TTGATGCATTATCCCATCCCATTTTTTATATTCATCAGATAAAACATCTATTGAGGAATCTACAAATGTTACTGGCAGGCAACCAACTGAATAATTCAAAAGATTATAAATGAAAGTTGATGCAGCAATAGGTGCAACATTCATTGTTCCATTATGAGGTAATGCAGGAAGAGGATTACTAGGAGCAATTATACCATCAAGTTTATAATGATTCCATATTTTGAACCATTCATTGCGATAAAGATCGCGTCTATGAACAAGATGACAATATTCCGTAAACTTCTTTCTCCCTGATGCTTTAAATACAACAGAAAGCTTTAAATCACAAATAATATTTTCAATTATATATCCAATAATAGATTTCATAAAATAAGGAATCCAAGTAGACAAGACAAAAAGTCGAAGATTCTTCTCCAATGGGTCTTTTTTAATGGCATCATAAATTTTTTTATACCCATCACTAGATGACAAACCTTCTAAATTAGATAAAATATCAAAAAAACCTCAAATACCAATAAATATTTCAACAGCATCTAAAGAACTAGGAGGACGTATTTCAACAACTTTATGACCAGCAGCTTTAAGTGAATCAACTACCATACGAACTGCTCTACGACATGCAGGAGATGTTAAAGTAAATCCATCTAAACAAAATAAATACGAAATCTTCATTTTCCCAATTTACCTTCAAAATAATATCCAAATACTTTTAAATTATTTTCTGATTGTAATGGTTCTTTCCATGGTAAAGGTATACATGAAAAATCATATAATTCAGGTCTAGAAAGTAATACAGTCTAATAAATTCATTAAAACATACTTTTCTCTAAAATATCATACCTTAGTAATAAACTTTAAATCTGAAATAGATCTCGTCATAGGACCAGAGACAACAGGAATTCCCTCAAAACCCTCAACAATTCCAAAATGTCCTTTTGAAGGAAATCTATAAGAAGAAGGCTTTAAAGAATAAATACCTGAATTGTTAACAACTTTTAATTTATACAAAAACATACCACAATAATGTGCAGGAATTCTTAGACTACCACCAATATCACTTCCAAAACCCAAAGCAGATGAATTAGAAGAAAGTGAAGCAGCTTCACCACCAGAACTACCACCACATGTATATTCAGAAGAAAATGGATTTAGAGTTCTTCCAAAAATAGGATTAGAACATTCAAATGTAAAAAGCGATTGAGGAACATTCGTCTTAAAAAGAATCACTGCTCCCATATTCTTTATCATCTTTACAAGAGCAGAATCATCTAATGAAGGTTTACAAACAAAAGTTGAGATTCCAAGAGACGAATCATATCCACTTATATTATATGTATCTTTAAACGACACTGGAACACCTTATATACTCTTAGCAAAAAAATCAACATAAAATATTATACCATGAAGAGGCCCTCTTGGTAACTTTCCAAGTGACAATTCCCTATCTAAAAGAATTGCCTGTTCTATTGCTTCAACAAAAAACACTAAATCCTCAATATCTCATCTAATTTCATCAACAACTTCACCTTCTGTTATAAAGTTCATCTTCTCATTATTTCGAATACAACTGCGAATATAAGCCTTTACAACATTCTCTGACGTCCATCTAGATTCTCTTTCTGCTATTTTCTTTGCTATTGTTTCTGCAGAAGCTGTAAGAAATTCTTCATCTCCATCTTCTGGAAAACTTGATCCAACTAATACCATAGCTTTTCGAATAGCTGCTTGTCTTTCTTTCTGCTTGATCCTCTTAAAATTTTGAAAGGAAACCATTTAATTAACTTTGATTTTCTACTTTAAATAACTGCTTAAATCTATATAAGAATATCCGTCTAACGATTATCTTGTACAAAAAGCTTTATTATTATATTTTTATAATTTACTAATAAAAACAGGAGAAAACAAGGAAAAACAGGATTAAATCTATTAGAAACACTATTTTTAACGAAAACAAAGATTAAATTTTATGTTTAAAAAGTTTAAATTAGAAGTTAGTGAGTTATTAAGAAAACTCAATACTCAAAAAATTAAACATATATAACTCAAATATAAGTCAGAAATAGTATTGGATTTACTTATAGGAGTGATATTTTAAAAAGGAAAAGAATAGATATAATTTTTAAATATTAATCATAATTACTTGAAATTATAAGAATGGTGAAAAATAGAGAAAAATCACAAAATCAACAAAAAAACAAACATCAACCTTTTTTAAAGGCAGATATAGTAATTGATGATGGTAAAACAAAAGATAAAATGACACATGTTTCAGAGAAGGTTAAAAAGACAAATCAGAAGAAGGACAAAAAAATATATAATTTTAATTCAGATGAAGATGATCAATATGATATTGATTGTAAATCAGAAGAAAATATAGAAAATTATGTAGAAAAATTGAAAATAACGAAGAAAAACAAGGAATCTAAAAAAAATGTATTTAATTTTCTTAATGAAGAAATTGAAGAAAGTGAGGATGATGTAAACGATGAAGAAAATATTTCAAATCAAACTCAAGAAGCGAATCATTGGATGCATCCGCGTAGTGAAAGTGTCTTAAGGAATCTTGAAAATCTTTCTACGGAGGATTTGGCAGAAGATGGACGAATAACAGGAACAAAATCATTAAAAAAAGAGATTAAAGATCAAAAACCAAATGAAAATAAAAAAACTAGAAAAGAAAGGTATAATAAATCAAAGAATTTGATGAAAAGTATTGATTGATTGATTAGAAAAATGGAATACAAACAGAAAATGAATGAAACTAAAACGTTAAAAAGTAAACAAAATGGAGAGAACATACTAGATGAAAATAAAGACAGGATTGCTACTATTTATTCGCATGCTTCAGGATCTTTAATAACCTCAGAAGAGACACAAATAAGTAAAGCAATAGCAGTTACAGGAAATTTAGTGTCACCACTGAATTCAAAAAATCTTCAAGTTGATAAAATAACAATACAAGCATATGGAAAATTACTTATAAAAGAAAGCGAGCTAAATTTAATTAATGGAAGAAGATATGGATTAATAGCACCGAATGGGGTATAAAATATCAAGTAGAAACATATATACTAATATTTTTAGAGTGGAAAATCTACACTTATGCATGCAATTGCATCTAACCTTATTCCAAGACCGCCTGCTCTTGATGTTTATTTGCTAGACAAAGAATATACGCCTACAGAGATGACCTGCATTCAAGCCTTATTAGATATTAACGAACATGAGAAAAGATGTTTAGAAGAAGAATTAATTAATCTATTAGATGACCCAGATGAAAATTATCTACGTATTAGTTCTATTGAGCAAAGAATTGGAGAATTGGAAACAGGCGGGTCTGACCATAAAGCTAGACATATTTTAGAAGGTCTTGGTTTTACTGAGGAAATGATACAACAGAAAACTTGCGATTTAAGTGGTGGATGGAGAATGAGAATATCTTTAGCACGTATATTGTTTGTCAAACCTACTTTAATTTTGCTTGATGAACCAACTAATCATCTTGATTTTGAAGCCATTGCATGGTTAGAGGACTATCTCGTTCATGAATTGAGCGGCCACACTCTTCTTATGACATCGCATTCCCAAGATACATTAAATGAAGTCTGTACAGATATAATACATCTTTATAACAATCATCTTTATTATTATTCAGGAAATTATGACACATTTAAAAAAATAAGAAAAGAGAAGGATATACAAATTATGAAAAAAGCAAAGATAAAAGAAAACAAAATGGAAATTTTGCAGAAAAAAATGAGCATGACAGGAAACAAACAACGGGAACAAGCAAAAAGTAGAATTGCTACAATGGAAAAGAAAATGGAGAAAGATAAACAAAAAAATAAAGTTTTGGAGGAAGAAATTGTAAAAGAAAAGAAGTTAATTATTAGGTTTGAAGAATGTAGTGGAGGAATACCATCTCCTGCTATAAAATTTAGAGATGTTTCTTTTGGATTCCCAAATAAACGCCTTCTTTTTAATAATCTCAATTTTGGTGTCGATCTTAATTCTAAAATCGCATTAGTTGGTCCTAATGGCGCAGGAAAAACAACACTAATTAAGCTTTTGATGGGAGCTTTACAACCAATTTCAGGAGATATAACTCGTCATCACCATTTACGTATTGCTCAATTTCACCAACATATGAATGATCAGCTGAATTTGGATATTTCAGCAGTACAATGGCTACATGAAATATCACCAGAACGTTCAGAAGGTTCTATGAGAGGTTTTTTAGGAGGCTATGGGCTTACAGGAAAAAGTCAAGTTGTACCTATGAAACAATTAAGTGATGGACAACGACGAAGAGTTTTATTTGCATTTTTAGGGCTAAAAAATCCTCATATAATTATGTTTGACGAACCCACGAATGCGTAAGTTCTTAAAATTTAAAAATCAAGCTCAAATAAAATTAGGTTAGATATCAATACAATTGATGCTCTAAGCGATGCTATCAATAATTTTAATGGAGGCGCTATTATAATCTCTCACGTAAATATATCCTCTTTTTTTATATCTAATTGTAACAAATATAGGATTTTGTACTAATTAATAGAGTAGCAACTGAAATATGGGTTATAGACAACGGAGAAATTAAGGTATGGGATGGAAGCATAAAAGAATATAAAGAAAGCTTGAAAAAGAAATTTCAAGAGAAAAGAGAAAAAGAAGCAGAATTACTACTTTAAAAAACTTATTAAAACACTTTTTAAAGATGCTAAACATGTATTTTTATTATTCGAAGACACGCATTATTCTATAATTTTAGACTTTATATCAAGGTTCCATAATTCTAACCTTTGAATATGAGCATATTTCTATTTATTAATCTATAAACCGTTTCAAATATAATATCCGTATAATTAAATATTAATAGGAAAAAAAAAGATATGTAGTATTATTTGTATAATATTTAATTATATAATAAAATTTATTCTAAAACGAAAACATCAAACACTAATCTATTTGAGATTAAAATATAAAAAATAGATATACTATTTCAATAATTATTGAATAATATAATTATTAAAAGTATAAAAAATATTAAACCAAAGGTTTTCTACAAACCCATAATTGCATAGGAGTAAATATTTCCTTTTTTCCAGCCTTTACAAGGGAATCCGCGGCAACCAACAAAATGTCATTAACTTTTTTACTACCTTTTGGAAGAAGACCAATGAATTCCATAAGTCCTATAAAAGAACTAATAAGCCATTTCCCAATTGTTGTCATACGAGCAATCGAAATAAAATCTCTGAACGATCTAACTTTTCTCAAATCACCATCGAGATAATAATACCATGGGAGTGGGCTATTTTTTGTAGAAAGCTCCTCAGAATGAATAATTTCAAATCCTACTTTAATTAAGGCTGCTTCTGCTTCTCCAATTTTAGAAATTTTAGGGATAGAATCACCAATCTCAATCCCATATACAATTTGTTGATGTTCAGGGTCATTTTCATCATATTTGTTAAGCATAACCCATTCATATGAAGCATAAAGACCTCCTGGCTTAAGGACTCGATAAATTTCTGAATAAACACCCTCTAAAGAAGGTGCATGAATTGTTGCTTCAATAGAGTATATTTTATCAAATGAATTTTCTGGAAAAGGCATTTGCATAAAATCACCCTTGATAAACTTTAATTTATCTGATAATCCCTTTTTTTCTGAATAATATTTAGCTCGCTGAATTTGATACTATAAAAAATATCAACTATAATAATATTTTCTAAAAAAAAATACATCATTATTATTTAATCCCACAATATTTGCACCCGTAAAAACAGAAATCTGACATGCAGGTCCACCTACCCCACATCCAACATCCAATACCGTTTCGCCTTCACGTATTCCAGCATGTAACGCAATATAGTGCTCATGACGAGCAATTGCCTGGCTAAATGATTCGTCTTTTGCAAAACGGCAAAAATGAAATGATGTTGACCATCCATATTCATAAAAATCAGTAACCTAACCTTTTTTAATAATATTTCAATAAAAAAATATCTTTCTACAAGATTATAATAATGACGAGTAAGAGTAGCATAAAACTTAAAACGCTCCTTACAATATATTAGACAGTATATAAAAAAAAACTCCCATTTACTTGTTGATGAATATCATTCTTCTCTGAGGTACATTTATCACCCCAAAATCCAAAATACGAATCTAGCGCTATCTTTTGTGCTTCTTTATCCTTCCTAAAAGATGAAAGCAATCCCCGTTCTTTTGCTGCATCTTTCCCATGCATAATCTCTGAAAACTCCCGATCCTTCTCTATATCAATACGTTCAAGTTCAAAAGACATTATTATTAAATTCTTGAGCTATAATAATCAGAAAAACACATAAAAAAAACAAAAATTACAAAATACCTAGTATCTATAGTTTTTTTCAAAACTTCTCAAGTATATGGTAAAAACCTAAACCTGAAATATATTTTTACACAAATCCAGTGGAAAATAAAGTTTTTATAATATAACTAAGTTTTGAAACAATTTCACTAAGATTTTTACATATATAAAAACGTTTTTAAATTTTAATATATCTTCAAAAAAAAAAATCATCCATACATTATGAAATTTTTTAGTAATATATTTTTATAAATTAATAAAGAAATCTAATAGAAATCCATAAACTTCTATTAAATTGGTTATTTATTATAATATTTTTATGTTAATTTTTCAATTAACTTTTTTTTTGGTGATTTAACATATAAATTTTATATTAACATATAAATTTTGTTAAAATATAAATTTTTAAAAATAATAATAAAATTGATAGAAAAACTAGAAATAAAAGCATAAAACATGTATAAGTTGCTTAGTAGAATCATATGAGCTATTAAAAGTGAAGAAAATCCAAAAAAAATTTTTCAAGCATTTTGGAATTTTTATTGAAAAGATAAATAAAAATACAAATATGTAAAACAGATCACAAAGAAGAATCATATAATGATGAATTTTATATGTTTTAAATCATATTTAAAGTTATAAATGTAAAAGTTTATACTTTGTAAACCTAACCTATCGAAAAACCGGTCATTATATATCAAAGATAAAATTTAACAAACATTAAGATTAAGAAGAAAAATAGTAATAATTTATTAAAAAAACACAAAATACTAATTATTTATAAAAAGGAAAATCTTAAAATAGTTTTTGGATTTTTTTAATACTAAAAATTGAAAAAAATAGACGAAATCTATATTTTGTTGAAAAAGTAAAAATAAGAATTAATTGTATAAAAATAAATCAAACTGGTACAATCAGGATCGTATTCAACAGGTCTTTTTAGGTATGATACTTTTTCTAGCAAAAAAAAGGGAAAAAAATATAATGAAATATATATGTTATAATATTAAAAAAAAGAAGACAAAAAGAAAAAAATAGAAGAGTTAGGACGAATATATAAAAAAAGAAGATTTTAAGCTAATAAGGGGATGATTTATGACTAATAATATGTTTATTAGGCGTGCTCCTATGCAAACCATTAAATGTGTCGTTGTTGGGGATGGCGCGGTTGGTAAAACGTGTCTTTTAATATCCTATACGACAAACAAATTTCCTTCAGAATATGTTCCTACTGTAAATATTTCTTTATTTTCCTAATAATTTTTGGGACTGATTATGTTTCTAGGTATTTGATAATTATGCGGGTTAAAATTATTGATTTTCAACGCTTTTTTTCTAATTATTACATATAGTTACCGTAATGATTGGAGAAGAACCTTATACTTTAGGACTTTTTGATACAGCAGGTCAAGAAGATTATGACAGATTGCGTCCCTTATCATATCCACAAACGGATGTTTTTCTTATTTGCTTTTCTGTTACTAGTCCAGCAAGTTTTGAAAATGTAAGAGAAAAGTGGCATCCAGAGGTTCGTCATCATTGTCCAGGAACACCCTGTCTTATTGTTGGTACACAAATCGATTTACGAGATGATCCTATGATTGTAGAGAAACTCAGTCGACAAAGACAAACCCCCATTACAAAAGAATTAGGTGAAAAACTTTCAAAAGAATTGGGTGCTGTAAAATATGTTGAGGTTTATAAATATCATTTTATTTTTTTATAAATATAACATAATATATAGTGCTCAGCTTTGACTCAAAAAGGATTAAAAAACGTTTTTGATGAAGCTATAGTTTGCGCACTTGAACCACCCGTTACGAAGAAGAAAACTAAATGTCTTATTTTATAAATTTAATTTATTGACAGACTATTGTATTTCATCAAAGCGATTAGTCTTTTCTAAAAAAGCTTTATTATTTTATATTTGACATCTACTAAATATTATAATTGGTTTTTATTTGTTTTTCATATATAATTTAATCATAGAAATTCCTGCGCTTCAAACTTTAAGATATTTTTATGATATCTTTTTTTAAAACAAAAACTATGATCTAAATAATTTTCATTCAAAAGTAACAAAATATTATGAAAAATAAACTAGTTTATAAACTTTTTTTTCTAATTTATCAATTTGACAAATTATACTTGAATTAACATATCAACCTCCGTTTTTTTTAAAGATATTTTCCTTTTAAAATAACAACATTTTCACAGAGAAAGACCTTATAAAAGACATAAAACAGGATTTTTCATTAGTAAAAGTTAAATTTCCTTTTTTTTCCCGCTAAAAATCATCAATATTTAACAAAATATGTCAAATTTATAAGATATATATAAATACCAGATATAATATGCCTCGACCAATTAGACATCCAAGAGACTCAATAATTTTAGAATATTCACATTCATTTTCATCTGGACCACAAGCATCTTCTACACCGACTCAAGATCCATCTAATATAACATGGGTATCAGATTTATCTCCTATTGCAACATCTACATCAAAAAAAAAAACAGTTATGCAAGAAGATACATCTCCAGATCCATTTGGATTCCAAGAAATTCGAGGAATTCGTTCAACATTTAAAACAATACACTCAGAACTATCACCAAAAAATTTAGAAACTAGTGAAAAAGAAACATCTTCAGATTCTTTATCATCACAGGAAGAAAATCTATCTTCAAGATCTACAGATGAGGAGGAGGATTTAAAATTGCCATCTAGGAAAAAATCTGCAAGAATTAAACCAAAGGATTTAAAATATGAAGAAAGTGAAGATGAAGAATTACCAAAAAAAAGAAGGTATACTAGAAAATATCAAAATATCACAGAAAACATAAGAGAAGAGAAAGAAATATATGAAAAAGATATAAATACATATGATTCTAAAAAACAAACCATGTCATCAAAAGATATCATAGAATACTTTCGTGAAGTTGATAAATTTGAATTAGATGTAGAAGATGTTCCAGCAGACTATACTAGTGAGAACTAGGCAATCTATATAATATAGGTTTAGATATAACACCAACAAAATACAAGAATTTACAAATATTGTTCAAATTTAAATATCATCAATTTGTTTTTAACCATTTATTCAACATCAAAATAAGCTATATATCATAAATATTCTTTTATATGGTAGCTAAATAAAATCATATCTAATAATATGCATCGTTTTTTTTCAATAACCTTTACAAATAACATGACTAATTACAATTCCCTATCAAATATCGTTCATTTTATTTTTATTTATGGAGAAAGACTGCTGTCAGTATCCAAGCTATCCAATTGAGCATCACTTTCATCGCTTTCATGATCATTTATTTCTTCTATCATTTCGTCATCATCTTCATCACCGTTCTCAACATAATTAACTGCTTGTAAAACCCTTCTACTTCGTCTTAATGGAACAGATGTATTTTCTAATTTTTTCTTTCTTTGATTTTTAATGGTATTCTTTGAAAAACGCCTTTTAATAGGTTCTATTTGCTTTTCACCAATAGATTTCCGCTAAATAAATTAAAAAAAACACTAATTTTATCAATTACTTACTTTTCGAATTAATTTAAGGGACTTTGTTAATGATAATAATTGTTCTTCAATATCTTTATCAATATAATTTCGTTGTGTAATCTTCAATCTTAATCAAAAATAATAAAACAATCATAAATTACCTCTGTAGCGACTTTTGCATTAGTTAATGGAGCATACAATTCTATTGGCAACTTCAATTTTTTTGGATAAATCTGCATTGTCCATGAATTGGATTCAGCAACAATCCTAATCAAAGCTTGAGATAAATCGGATAAAACATAAAGTCTCTAAATATTTATTAACTATGAGAAATAAATTGAAGACAAACATACATCACTGTTTTCGGGAGATATTAAATCATAAACTTGCTTTATTCTCTGTACTAAATGAAACAATAATGACAAACAATCCGAAGTGGCCACAAGTTCCAAATAAAAATTTATATATCTAAAAATTATTAAAATAAAAAAAATAGTAATGATTATTACTTTGCAAAATCAATTAAATCATCAGAATCAGTAGAAAAATCGGGATGATGAGAGAGAAAATGAATAAATCTTACAATTGCATATTCAATCGTAAAAATTTCACGAGCACCTAAGATAAATTTAAAACGATAAGATAAAAAAATAAATATAACAAACGATAAGCAGATATACACGATTTAATCCATTTAGACACCTCTTGCTTAAACTCTTCTTCTGGCTCATGGGCCATAAGAAAAATAGGTACATAATAACGAGCAGTCAATTTATTTAAATTTAAACCTTTCATCAATTTTTTGACAAAATTATAACGAACCTGAAAACATGGATCCTTTATTCAATTAAATAAAATATGGCAACTTTAAAAAATATCTAACCTGTACCAATAATGCCATTTTGTAAAAATCTTCAACAGAGATCATTTCTTCAAACACACTATAACTAGACAGCTTTAAAAACAATCGACCAGCAGCTAAACGTATGTGTGATTGAAATCGAGCTCTAAAAAAAACTTAGCTTATACAATTATAAACAAGAACTTTACGGAGTGTTTCTTTCTTTTGAAATTTCCCCCATATTTGTTAAAATTGATGCAAGAAGCCGAAATACAGGTTTTGCCAGTTCCTGAATACCATCTGCATTTACATTTGCTCTTAATCTATTCACAAGAGTTTTGAGCGCAAGTATCTTAACTTATAAACACCTTAATTAAAACTCAATATTATCTACCTTAGCTTTACACTCATTTTCAAGAACATTATTTTCTACCCAATCTTCCTCACTTGAATCTTCAGAAATAAGATTAACAAGTAACACTTCCTTAATGAAGAAACTCGTATATTGATCTGCTCTAGGTTCCATTTCTTCAGGTGCATAAAGTACAAATTGAGATAAAGCTGATAATCTTGTTAAAAAATACTCCGAACCAACAGTAAGCCCATCAAATATTTTCTAAAATCATGTAAAAAACAAGTATTTTTAAATAAATAATACTTTAATTAAATCAGGAGTAAATTTCTCTTTATTCATTGAATGCAACAAAATAAAAACAGCTTGTTTTGACTCAGCAGGCGTTCCTTTCAAAGCAAAAGAAGTAAGCGCCTTTAATAATTTCGGATCAATAGTTATATCTTGAGGAAATGAAATAGTAAATTGAGCATAAACTTTCAAGGTATCAACATAAGATATGTTCGATTTAATATCATGTTCTTTAATTAAAGATAAGATTTCCTCTATATGTGCTTTATATACGGAAGGCTGTACTAAGGATATTTCCTTCAAAAAATAAGAACAAGCTATTATTATTTCTTCTTTACCTTTAAAAGTTCACATGCAGTATCCGCCAACATATTTTTATTAGATCTAGCATATTCAATAATCGGTGAAATCACACTTTTATTATATAGCATTGGACTTATTTTCAAAACAAGAATCTTAAATGTTTCCACTAAAGTTGATGATTGTTCTATTCGTTTAAAAAACTCCTTCTATTTAACAATTAAAATTCAAATACAATTATTTATCCCAAAGAAAGAAATATACCTGAGATTTTTGAATTTGTTTATAATCACTCATCAGATTCATACAATCTCCAAGTAACTTATATAAACGCCTATCATTTAATCGAGAAAACTTTTCGAAATCCAATTCTGCCTTAGAAGAATCACCATATAGAGACTTAAGACGAGTAATAGCATCTTTCAAAGCTGAAAGGGCTTTCTTTTCATTATCAGTAATTACACCACCCTAACCTTTTTAATATATAAAAAAAGAATAATTTTCTTACATTATATTTTTCGCAAATACTAAGATAGTATTCTGCTATTTTAGCATATCTACAAGATCATTAATGATAGATAAATATATAGATCAATATATTTTACTTAGGTTGATTCCTTCCTAATGATAAGAATGCATGTTTAGCTCGACCATCCAAATTTTTAAACGTGAATAGCATTCGTTCAGTCCGTTTAAAATCATCCATCTCTGTATAGTCAAGAATATATTGATATAAAACAAATTCCAACAATGCATTAATCTCCTTATCGTTTATATATATAGTATGTAGTATTCGAGAAGGAATTGATAAAAACCATTCCGTTGTAGGATTTGAATTTTTTAAACTAAGAAGATCAATGATCTATTATATTTTAAAGCCATGTATAAATACATATCATTATAAGCCATATAATATAATTTTCCAAGACAGTGCATCGCTTCAACTCGAACCATGTGCTTCCTATCTTTACATCGATCGGATAAAGCTTCCAAAATATTACTTGGAATCCTTTCAGAGACTATTTTATAATCCAAAGAGCCTATCATTTTGCAAACCGTCATACGTACTTTTTCATCGATATCTACATGCTTTGAAAGAATACCCTCTATAATATATTCATTAAAATATAATAACAATAAACATATATATGTATATACATACCAATTGCAACAGCCATTGCCTCAGGGGAGTAACCAAAATTAATTAAAACATTAAATAAACCCTCTAACCATCTTATTCGTATAGAAGAATTTTTATCATTTCCACGAGATACCCAACTTTTCCACAAAGACGGATATTCCTTGACAAAATCAACCTTTTGTTCTTTAATTGAAAACATTTCAGAAATAGTTGACGTGCTTAATAGTCGAAGTGCTACATTTTCTACCATAAGTTCTTGCTCTAATTGAGGCATAATATTTTCAAGAACAGAAGGAGATGCTATATAAAGTTCATAAACTAAATTATGAACCTTTTCTACCTCTTCTAATACAACTTTATCTAATTCTACTTGCGGATCCCTTTCAATTGATCGATTCGCCTCAAAAACAACATCTGTAAAATGCTGACAGACATATCTCTGAAGCCTTTCCGCACAAATATTAAAGAGTTGTTTAGCCATAATATATGCAGGAGGTCGCTCTGTCTTCATTCCAAATGGATGATTCTTTTTCGAACTCGCTACTGTAAATTGAGAAAGCATAATATCTATAACTTTTGGAGGAAGCGTTGCAAATTCATCAATCAATTGTGCCAAAATATCAACCATAGCGATTACTACGTTTCGTGGCTGCTCCGGTCTAATAATTTATCAATTTAACCCTTTTTTTTTTTAAAAAATATCTAAAACATACGTAACCATCTCGAAAAACATACGAAATAACTCCATTGTTAACGAATGCCCATTCGAAAGATCTGCTATCAAAACTACTGATTTAACTTGAGATAAACTCTCAAGAAGATAAAATGACTGTGCATAATACGGTAATTCCGAGCTAAAAAGATTCTTCAACTGTCCAACAAATAATTCAAAAATATTCTAAATCCCTCCCAATCAATTTTCATACTTTTCTTCTCCATCATACATACATTCAATTGAGACGGCGTATATGGCGCATCTGGTGCACATAACCGAAGAATATCCGCCAAACAACATGCCGTATATGCACGAACTCCTTTATCCTTATGATTTAATAATCCTTCATTTATTAATTCAACAATTATCCCATTCAATGACTCTCTTTCAATCTGCTCTTGATCATGTTCTGCAAGCTCACTTTGAAGCACCTAAACTCCTATTAAAAACACATAATCCCCCATAAAAAACTTACGCGAAGACGTTTAAGAAGTTCATTTACGCTGAAACGGCCTCCTCCCTTAGATATAAGCGTTTCTTTGAATCCAAGCCGTGCCATCAAAGGATACTAGTCGAGAGCGATCGAGCTTATAAAAAAGGCCTCAAAATACAGAAATACCATAAAACTTCTTATAAAATACGCATATAACACGCATACAATACGCATACAACCCGAAAAATACGGTATAATATGCAGATAGACAGGAGAATTGACTTTTAAGACAATTTATAAGCCGTAAATAAGAAATCTAGGGTTTTTTTTGAGTGTGAAGCCGGGACCTGGCGATCGATCTACGTATAAATTAGGCGTAAAAAAGACGTATACGCGGGTTTAATGAGGGGGAAGGGTGGTTAATTGGGAAGAATAAGAGGAACCATGCTTCGAATCAAACGTAAACGAGAAGAAGAAGCAGTTGCTTTGCTTTGTAAGGGAATGAAATGGACGATTTTTGAATAATCTGAAGGAACTAGATGTAACTAAAGAGTCAATTCCTTTAAAACGGAGAAAACAAGGGAACAATTGTTGTAGAATTGTTTAGAGAGATGCATATATTAATAGAAATTAAGTTTATATGCTTTTTGAAACATTAGAATTGGAGTCAGTTGGAAAATTTGAGGAGGAACAAGAGAAACAAACAATAGAGTTAGAAAAACAAAGTGATTCATATTTTCTATACAAATTGAAGAGGAAAAAACGAAAAAAATGTTATTTTCTTTATCTTATTAATTTTACAGAACATCTAATGAGCAGGAGGAGGAATTAAGGCAAAACGAAGCAAACATTTCAAAACGGGATAAATACAGGGAATGTATGATTTTTGCTTTTTTTTGAAAGGAGGCTTTTAGAAATTAGTGATTCATGAGTCATCAGAAGAGAATTATGTATATGATATGTATGTACCATTAGTTTACACACCAGATACATCGCAGACAAATTCTATGTGTTTTGGAGTTGTGTAAGTCTATTTGAAATATTGTATATGAGATTTTTTAATAGATTGGTATGAAGAACGTTGGAAGATAATGATATTTCTTTTTTTGAAGAAACAGATTCTTATGACCAATATGATAATGATGAAGACTCTAATGCAGAAGATTTCTATCAAAATTCATATCCAGATGAAGATGAATGGCCAAACAGTGATATAGAGGAACGAGAAATATAAAAAAGTTTACAATTAATTCAAATACACATGATAACAATGGTTCTATTTATTTTGATATATTTTAATACATTCAAAAACAAATTAAAACGTAAAAACAGATAAAAGAATATATAAGAAAGCTTTTTTTATCAAAATGAAGCGACACATTCTACAATATAACTTTCAATAAATATTTCTTTCAAACGTCAGTTAAATCAGACGCTATACACTTGCGATATCATTAGATTATTAAAATACTATTTAGAACTATTTTGTTATCACTTATTATATCTTCTAATATTCTTATACCGGTAGAAATTTAGAAGAAAACAGGTTCGCCGATATCAAAATATATAAAATCGACAATATTTAGAAACACAGAATTAACAGGGTTTAAGATAGATAAATATTTTGAAAAATGAAATTAGAAGCAGCAGAAGATTCACTTGAGAACCCGGATATATTAACAAAATACAAAAGCGCATCGGATATTGCACAGAAAGTTCTTGAAAAAATCAAAAAAAAGTGTATTGATGGAGCAGTTATTCTAGATCTTTGCAGAGAAGGAGATAAGCTGATTGAAGAAGAAACGGCAAAAATTTTTAAAGATAAAAAAATTATAAAAGGTATAATATTTTTATAAAGTGTTTTAACGATTAATAAATAATAGGTATTGCATTTCCAACATGTATTGCACCGAACGAAATTGCACCATATTTTTGCCCATTAGTATCAGATCCTGAGTCATGTAAAGTGCTTCAAGAGGGGGATTTAGTGAAAATTTCATTGGGTGTTCAAATCGATGGTTTTGCAGGACTTCTTGGAGATACAATAATAATTGGTAAAGAAGATATATATGGACGAAAAGCAGATGTATTAATGGCAACATACTTGGCATCGGAAGCAGCTATACGTTTAATTAAACCGGGAAATACAAATTGGGAGGTAACAGAAGCTATTGATAAAATTACAAGTAGTTTTGGATGTAAGCCATGTGAAGGTTATTTCTTAACTATATTTTAAACAAAAAAATAACAAAAAAAACCAGGAACATTAACATATCAACATGGAAAAAATATAATCAATGGAAAAAAGCAATTTGTTCTAAATCCTAATGAAAATCAGAAAAAACAACTTGATACATATATATTTGAAACGAATGAAGTATATGGTGTTGATATCTCTGTATCTACGGGTGATGGAAAAGTATACATTCATACTTTTATCATTATATTTTTACTTAACAAATAAATAGACAAGAACAATGGAAACACGCACCAGTATTTTTAAGAAGACAGATGTAACGTATTCATTAAAATTAAAAGCATCCAGAAAAGTTTTTACAGAGATTCAAAAGAAATTTGGCCCATTTCCATTTACTATACGAGCTTTGGAAGATGAAAAAAAAGCACGCATGGGTATTATAGAATGCGCAAATCACAATTTATTTTTACCATATAAATCCATGTATGAAAAAGAAGGAGAATATATAGCACGTTTTTTCACTGTAAGATTATATTGTATTAATTAATCCTTTATATTAACAAATTATCCTAGACAATTGCATTAACAAAAAATGGCACACTTAAACTTGCAGGTCCTGCAACTCCTAATATAGATCAAATTAAGACAGAAAAAAAACTGGAAGATATGGAATTATATGATCTAATAAAAACACCTCTAAGGAAGAAAAAAACATCTGTATCAGCAAAAACTACATTAACTGAGCCAATATCAACTTAAGATAACTCGCTATCCATATAACTAATAATAAAAATATTTTTTATGGCAAAAAAGAAATCAATAATTCAAAAGTACTGTTAATCATTGCATTTGGCTGCCTTAAGGGTTTTTCATAAGGGAATATGAGTTATGATTTTTCAAAAAATGTTTAAAAATATCTGGTAAAAAAAATCATTTTATACAGAAAAACCAGAACATAAAACAACTATATATGATTACATGATGATCTAGGCTATTATCAAATTTTATGATGTTTTTAATCTATCTTTTTTATTTGTCCGACTCGATATTTAACGTAGTAGACGGTTTCCTGCATTAGTAGAAAACTAAAAGTTTAGAAAAAACTGTGCAAAAAAAGGAAGCAGTGGAAATTATACAGGAATGCCTGAATTAATAGATAAGATAGTTATAAAATCAAGAAAAAGTGAAGTAAATCGTTTTAAAAAAAAAGAACTAGAACAAGAAAAACGGATAAAAAATACTTTAGAAGAAAAGCAATTTGAGCGTGGATCACTAGATGATTATATTTACAATGATCCCCAGAAGGGGAAATTAACTATGGATGAACATGAGATGTTGAATTGGAGAAAAAGAAGACATACAGAACGAACAAAGTCACGTTCAAAAAAAACGCGTTTTATAGAAAATAATGAGTGCAAACAGGAGAAAAATACAAGAGGTAGAGTAAGGTTAAAGGTGGATATGAATCGTGGTCCATCATCAGGTTATCCAGCATTTTTATCGCTCAAATCATCGTCAAAAGTATCGCATACTGAAAATCAACATTTCAAACCTCTCCACCTTTTTCCAAATGCAAAAGGGATTTCACAATCATCTATCCGATCAACTAGTGATTTAGAACAAAAATTATCGCAAAAAAAAGAAACTTTTAATAAGCAAAAAAACAAAGAAATTATGCATCTTTCTTCTCAACAAAAACCTACGTTGCTAAGACTTTCATCATCAACAATATCCGATAAAAAGCGAAAGGTTGGGCGTCCCAGAAAGGTTAAATTAAGGTGATTCAATAGGGGTTTGTGTTAACCTTTTAATAACCGATTTTATTCAGCCCTATTAAAAATTACATGAAAAAAACCAGATTTGATATAGGCATTCCCGGAATATATACAGGAAACACAAATCACATGTCATTTCAGATACAACAATCATCACAAGAAGATCCTACAAAGGTAGAAAATCAAAATTTTATAATATCAACTAATTCATTAGTATAACGAAGATTTTTGCTCCGCTTGTAAAAGATATGGACGATTTCTTTGTTGCGAATCGTGTCCAAGATCGTTTCATTTCTCATGCATTGAGCCACCTATCGACGAAGATAACCTTCCACAAGATGCATGGCACTGCACACTTTGCAGGACGAAGAGAGTATATATAGGATTATTAGCATCATCATCATCTATTCATTAATTTTAGTGTCCACCGCCCAAACAGCCTCGAGGACTTTTTGCTTTCTTAATGGAGTACATTATTAGAAATAATCCTAAAGAATTTAGCCTTCCTCTTAGTATTCGAGAATACTTTGAAGGAGGTTTGTCCTTTTTTTTTTATACAAGTAATCATTTAGACTAATCCATTAAGTATCTACTGGTCCAGATGGAGAATACCAAGACCTGGTGGAACATAGGAATCAGAAGTGCGGGTAAGTATACATATTTTTTTTACAAAATTTGCTCAAAATATTCAAGTCGTCAAAAAATTTTAGAAGAAAGAGATCCATTTCAGCTAGAAGATAAAAATGGTAACCCTATACTCTGCTACAGATGTTCTGAAAATGCAATGAATGGCAAAGCGATCGTTTCTTGTGATCACTGTACTCTTCATTGGCATATTGATTGTATTGACCCACCTATGAGTGGTATACCTGCAGCATCACGGAAATGGATGTGTCCAAACCATGCATATCATGTAACTGTAAGAATGATTGCATTATTATTATTATTATTTATCATTTTTATACAGCCTAAAATACGACAACCTAAAAAATCAAAGATTCTAGATGTATGTTTAAAAAGGGGATTTAAGAACAATGGAAATATAGAAATTGATAATACAGAAGAGGAATTATTAGAAAAAAAAGAAAGATACTCGTTTGATGATGCGTATATTATAAATAATATACGGTACCGGTTGCCTGAAAGTGGAGTTAAACTGGATTTCCTGGATAAAGTTAGAACGTATCTGCCGATTGATTTAATTCTTCAGAAAGCTAATTTAATCATAGACTACGTAAATCTCAACTATCTCAAAAATCTCAAATAGATAACGATGAAATTCAATCAAATTCATTAAAAGTATTTTTTTTTTTGTAATATATTTAAAAACAACTAATAAGAACAAGGAAATATTGCCAGATACATTAGGACCATTAGAACGTGAAATCATTAAAGATTTAATACAACTTAGACTAGTCGAAGTTACACCTCAAGATCATAAAAATCTTACATCATTAATTACGATTGCTCAGGTAGGGAATTATATTCTACTCTTTTAAAGCCAACATAAAGACAGATGGAGCTTGATGCATTCAAAAATTATGAAGAAAATAACTCAGAAAAAGATAATATGAAAACAGAGCAAAAAATATCAGATGAAGAACACGCACAAGTTCTTACGATAAAAAAGTTAATAAAAGTCAAAGGATATTCAGCACTTGTAGAATTTTTAACCACATCTTAAATATCTAAATATTTATATTTATATACAAAGATTAAATATTTTATAATAGAAATATAATATCCAATTTCTTATGGCTTACATCTTCCAGTAAACCTTGGATACAAACAACACTCCCTTACTGTATTTCTATTTGTAAGCCATGCCAAAATTCTTTCTAAACCAATTCCATAACCACCATGAGGGCATGAGCCATACCTTCTTAAATCAAGGTACCTAAGTTATCAGAAAGGAATAGAATAACACTAATATAACTAACCAATAATATGGCTCTGAATCAATATTTTCCCTTTCAAACGCTTTTTTTAGCTCATCATAATCTGAAATCCTCATACTACCACCAACAACCTCTCCAATGCCAGGCTTAAATCATCAGTATAAGATAATACATATAAAACAACATACAAGTAATAAATCAACACTTTCAGTTAACGATTCATTTCCAGGTGTACGTTTCATATAAAATGATTTTAAGCTAGCAGGAAACTGTATTAAAAAAATAGGTTTTTGAATTTCATCAACAATTCTTCTTTCTGCAGCCTCTGCAATATCATCCCCAAAAACATGAAGCTCCCCATTAGTGTTCAAAATATTGTGTTCATTACAATACTTAATAGCATCTTCATATTTCATTCGTAAAAAAGGCTTTTGTGGTTTCTCAAAACCAGGATTTAAATATTCTATCAAAGGGCGTGCAATAGGATCATCCAAAAGAGCATCAATGGAAAGACATAGCTAATAACCATTATCCCAATTTCTATAATAATATATATATAACTCACAAAATCTTCTAAATGACTCAAAAATTCATCAAACGATAAAAACATCAATTCAGCCTCCAAATGAGAATATTCCGAAAGATGACGTCTAGTATGAGACGTTTCTGCTCTAAAACTCTCCTGAAGACAATATACATAACCTAATGACGGTAAACAAGTTTCTAAATATAACTGACTCGATTGTGTTAAATAAGCCTTTCATAGTTCAATAAAACATATAAAACATAAAACTAAACTTACCTTTTCTCCGTAATAATTTAAATCAAACAACGTTGCACCTCCTTCCACCTGTGTTTGTACTAAACATGGAGGTGTTACCTCTACAAATCCCATTTTTTCATAAATCTTTCTAAAAGCAGACAAAAGGCGTGAACGCACTTTCAAAACTGAACTAGATACTTCTCCACGAATAACAAGATGTCGTTGATCATATATAACTTGCGATTCTGATTCAACATTAAGTTTATTAGCAAAAGAAAGATCTCCTCCAGGAGCCTTATGAATAATTTCATAATAAAGAACATTCAATTCATGATTATCAGGTGCTACCTTCCCATCTGGCAAAGACGTAATCATCCCATACACCGTTAATGTCGTTTCAAGCGTAAGTGTCAACGAATCATAGGTTCGTGCCTATTAATACATCAAAATTACACAGAAAAACATATTCATTCTTCCATACAATCTTTCCACTTAAAACACATTGAAGATATCCTGTTCCATCCCGAAGAATAATAAAAATAAGCTCCTTCTGATGCCTCAAACGATGAATCCATCCTGATACTTGAACTATTGCATCTTTATGAAGCTTAGAATCACTTATCCTGATTCTTATAGCCTCATTAACCCTTTCATCCTTCTCAATAACTATATTTTCTGTATTTTTTAACCCCCTAGTTTCTTCACTATATTCATCTTGAACCTTCATTTGACTAAATGACTCATTCAACTTCTGCTTCTTCTTCAAAAGAATGCAGAGCGATTTCTTAGCTTTTTTCAATGATGTCTGTGTAATTTCCTTGTATTCTTCCCCTTCATTTTTCTTAACATATATTATACTTTCTTGATCGCCCATTTCAAGGGCTTTAACAGCCGTTTTAAAGGGATTTTCAACAAAACCAGTACCAAAATCATCAGAACCACCTATTTCATCAACGTACAAACACTTTTTAGAGCCTAATTCTCCTTTTAAAGGGCTATTTTTCAGCATCATTTTATTGACCTTTAAAATCTTGTTTCTCAGCCATTTTTTAAGCTTTTTTCACAGGATTTTTTGGAAAACAAAAATAAAACACAAACAAAATGATTTTCTCTATATTTTTTAGTAAAATTTCTTAAAATTAGACTCAATTTTTACCTTTCTAGTCTCACTCATATAACTGCCAAAACTTCGATGTTCGGAATCCAACCTCGAAATATTGAAGGGGCAGGATTTCTATTAAAAATCGAAAAAATAGAGGTATAAACATAGAAATAAGCGTATAAAACGTTATTAACATGATATTCAGCAGGTTTATTAAGGGATTTACCTTTTTTCCGGGCTTTTAAAGGGGTTTATAAGGCTAGATTTTCCAAGAATTAGGAAAAAAAAGTTTTACCCTTAAATCTGGCCAAAAAAGACGATTTGAAAGCAAATAATAGGATTTTTCGTGTATTCATATGTGAATATATAGTGTTTTATCTTTTTTCCGGTGTTATTTCTGTTAAAATTGAGGAAAAGACACAAAAATAAGAAATTACTTGAAGGATCTTTAATATCTTTAAGTTCGGGGAGAATTCCTACAGAATACGATAAATCAGATCTATTTTTGGGACATTGTATGATATTGAGCGAAAACAGGGTGTTAATATGCACGATGAACATAAAGATAGTGTATTAGAACATCATGAAACAAATATATCACAAGAGAAGTCTACAAGCACGAATAATAAGGAGGAGGATGTTGGTAGGATAGAGGGAATTTCAGAGATACAAGAAGAAGCTAATCAGCAAGATTTTGGAATGGTTGTTCCGCCTCAACATCTTGCAGCATCACCTTTTATTTCGCATACGTCTTCAGTTCCAGCACATGGTCTTAGCATGAGTTCATATGCACAGAATTCGCCGGGAAATGCAGGATATGGGGAAGTTAGGGTTCCGGGTCTTTTAGAGCCCCAATTTCCAATATTTCCTCATTTTTATGGAAATATTTCTATATTAGGGGACGCACATAAGCTGGGAAGAACAGTATTTCTAGTTTTTAAAAGTGGTATATTTTTTTTTTAATTTTAATAGATATATATTGGAAACATTCCTAGTGAGACAACAGTTAATGAAATTTTATCACAAGTTAGAACTGGACCAATTGAATCTGTTCGACTCCTTCCAGACAAGAATTGCGCATTTATTTCATTTCTAGAGCCGTCTCCGGCAGCATTATTTTATGAAGATGCAATAATGAAAAAATTAAGTTTTCATGGTAAAGAAGCAAAAATAGGTTGGGGAAAGCCAAGTTCTGTATCATCGACAGTAATGTTAGCTGTTCAGCAATCAGGAGCTACAAGAAATGTTTATCTAGGTAATTTGCAGGAAAATATTACGGAGGAAGAAATAAAAGAAGATTTAAGTAAATTCGGAACAATTGACCAAATCAAAATTGTTAAAAACAAAGGGATTTGTTTTGTTCATTTTCTTAGTATATCTAATGCAATGAAAGCTGTTCAACAACTTCCCATGGAGCATAAATGGGCAAATCGTAAAATATCTTATGGAAAAGATCGATGGTATATATATTATAAACATCAATATGTTTTTTTTTCCTGATAATTTACAGTGCGCAATCTTTCAGATATCATTCAACAATTCCACATGATCCTATTCTCCTAAATAATCTTGGTATGAATCATTTAACGTCTCAAATGAATACTATGAATTTAGTTCTTCCTAATTACACCAATTATCATGATTTGGGGCATTCTTGCGTTGATTCACACTCCATAATAGGAAATAGGACAGTATATCTAGGAAATATTCATCCAGAAACAACTGTTGAAGAAATTTGCAATGTTATTAGAGGCGGAATCTTACATAACATCAAATACTTTCCAGAAAAACATATATGTTTTGTTACATTTGTCAATCCTGCATCTGCAATGCTGTTTTATAATATATCTGTGACGCAAGGCCTTATTATTCATAATAGAAAACTTAAAGTTGGATTTGGGAAACATTCTGGTCTTTTACCATCATCTATTGCAATTGCTGTTACATCAGGCGCTACCAGAAATATTTATATCGGTAATACTAATGAAAATATAACCGTTGTTAAACTTAAAAAAGACTTTTCTGAATGGGGAGAAGTCGAACTAGTTAATATGCTAAGAGAAAAAAACTGTGCTTTTGTAAATTTCACAAATATAAGTGATGCATTAAAGGCTATTGAAGGCATTAAGACTAAGGAGGATTATAAAAAATTTAAAATTAATTTTGGTAAAGACAGGTATCTATAATATATCAAAAAATATATTTTTTCAATATTTTCATAGATGCGGAAATCCTCCAAAGCAAATTATTAACCAAAACGATCATATAGCATTGTCTCAGCCTAGAATTACACGCACTGGATTTAATATGTTTCATCCATCACCAGACATTCCATTTACTGCAAATATCATGAACGTAACACATTCTGAAGAAAAATTTGTCAATGAAATTCCTTATTATACTAATTATCCTCCAACTGAAAACAATGGAAATATTGATACCTGTTCAAAATCGCTTTCTCCTATATTATACGATTCAACAACTTATAATGATTCTTCAACCAATAATGGAAAAAATAATCAGCTTATTTATGAAATAATACACGATAATAAAATAAATGAAGCAAATTAGGACTGATTTCCATATTATTGTTTTGGAAAATAAGCTATATCTTATAAATATTATTAGCTTTATAACATTTACTATAAGAAATCAAATCTACATTAGATTTTAGTATTAAATTATCAAAATATGAAAATTTATGAAATCATACTAACCATCCTATTCTAATGTACACGTGTAGCTAATATAGAACAATTAAATTTAATATTATCTTTCAATATTATATAAAAAATATAATTAGCGCATAAAACTGTTTTTGGAAACTTCAAACAATAAAGATTCTGGGCAACTATTTAATATATTTCTATAAAATAATATACACCTTTAAATCATGCACTTTGAGATACAATATTATAGACCTATCTAAATATAATCTAATAGCGAAACATGTTAGTAACATCTAGGCTATTAATCTTTATGAAATTCTAAAAAATCATATAAGTAATAGTAATTGATCAACTGGCCATTGATATAAGCACTTCCTTCTGTATAAGAATGTTTTTTTTTATTTGTAAAATCCAATACAGAAATTTCTCCTGTTCCAGAACTCCAGAAGTCTTTACAATTTGATACAATACCATGATTAAATGGATTTTTAGTATTATTTATCAAAGATACAGACTTTGAAAAAATAGATATTATTTTTAGAAAATGATGAATACCCAGAAATCTTGATAACATTAAAAGCATACGATATCTTTTCTTATGAGAACAATAATGATGAGACTCTACATCACTATTTGAAAGAGTAGAGTTCAACATGTATGCAGCATCTTTTTTATAAAAATCTTGCTCAATTTTACCCATAAAACCATATTTATCCAAGTTTCTTGCTTCGTTTGTAGTTATAGAATGTGAAATCTGAAATAATTGAACAATTAGCAACAATGTAACCCAAATAAGTTGTAAAAAAGTCCATAATGCTAATACAAATGTAAAAGGATCTAGCAAAAAAGGTTCACAAAGCAATTTCAAAAAAGCAAAACACTTTTTAGACAATTCTGAAGAATCTAAAACCGTAAAATCTAGAAATTGAGTAAAAAAAAAGCACATAATAATAGACAAAAACATACGAATGATTAGCAACCGAAGAAAAAAAACAATCCCTATTTGCACCATAATAATATAAAGTATAAACGATCTATGATTCCTTAAACCTATACAATTCCCTGTCCAAGGACAATGGCTATAGAGATTAAATTTTATATAATATTTATCCATTACATACTGATCAAAACGTGCAACACATCTTGAACACACTTTACAATGCTTACTTCTCAATGGTTTTCTTGAATAACAAAAAATACAGAAATGCTGTCTATCAAACGACCTTTCCTTAATTAAATCATCTATTACTTCTCTTTGTTCCTTAATTCCTTGAGGTTTGGGTATATATCCAGGATTTGAAAACATAATATAGAAAAAAGAGATAATTGAAAAACAAACAATGATGAAAAATGAAATGTTAAAAGAGGGACTATTCTTCCAAGTACCTAAAATGATTAAAAGTGCTTTTTTCCCTGAAAAAAAGATACTTTCAAGTAAAACAAATATCCACCGAAGAATAACCCAGAGTAATGTTCCAAAAAAAATACCAGAAAAATATTTCTACAGGATTAAATGATCAAACAAACCATATTACTCAACTTACAGTCTTATGTATAACAAGAAAAGTATCATATTCAGTCGAAATAACTTTAACGAAAAATATATGAAAACCTACAAAGAGAAGTAATGCAAAAGGAATAGAAAGAAATATAGGGAAAACAGTAAAAATCCAGAATGAAAAGCCAAAGACGAAAAATGGGCCAAAAAATAAGACTACATTAGAACTTTTCTAAAATATCAAATTAATTATATTTATAATGAATTTCAGGACTTACTGAACCCAATATTCGCTTTTTTAATTTACCAGAAGCATCTCTCCCGGCTTCCTTCAATATACTTTTCCAGAGAAAAGTACGATTCATTTCTTCAGCTATTTTTTCAGCAGTTTTACCATTATTCTCTTGTATCAATAGATCTGAACCAAATTCGACTAATTTTTTAATACATAATTGATCACCTAAAATACCATTAACATAAATACAATATTTTGGAAATATTTTCCTTTGACAATTGCCCAATGAAGAGCCGTCATTCCCTGTTTATCCTGTAATTTAACATCTGCCCCCCAACGAAGAAGTATATCAACAATTGACACATCTCCATTATACGCCGCCCACATAAGAGGCGTATGATTCCTACAATCTAAACAATCAATCTGTACATTTTGATGAAGAAGATAAACAACAAGCATCACACTTGATCGATGTGTTGCTAAATGAAGCGCCGTAAACCCTTGTAAATCCGTTAATTCTAATGATGCTCCCGACCGATAAAGCATATCAATCATATATACATGTCCATTTCTAATTCAATTTAATCACCTCTTCAAAATATGATTAAATTCACTTTGCTGCCCAATGAACCGGTGTTGCACAAAGTTCTCCTCCTTGAACATTTACATCAACTCCATTTAATAAAAGATATCGTCCAACATTTAACTGATCATTAATAGAGGCCCAATGTAAAGCTGTAACACCTTGATCATCCGATATATTTGCCATAATTTCTCCCGATCCACACATATATTCAATCAAATTCAAATCACCTCTTCTTGATGCATCAAAAAACACATCTAATGATGATCTTTCTTTATCCAATAAGCCTCTTTATTAGCTTAAAAAACCCCAAAACCTTGATTTTCTTGTTTTCTATCAATACTTAACGCTTTTTCTTGGTTCAACTTGGCAAGCGCTAAGTCTGACTTTGGCAGAACAATTCCTGATAATGACTCATCTTTATCCTTCAAGAAACCCGATTTTTTCATGATAAATCCAATTTTTAAATAATATCTATTTGATGGTTAAGATCGATCGTACTTAAAATTCAATAAATGATTAAAGTCCTTTTAATCCCAAACAAACCAATAACAAGATCTCCATCCTTGTAAAAGAAGAGAAATATATCTGTATAAAAATATTAAATATGTTTATTGTTTAATATTTTTGATAAACTTATAAAAAATAAAACCTCCAAAAAAAAAAGATTGAATAAGCCAGAAATAGAGATAAACATGAATCTTAAGTGATAATGAATCCAATAGAATGATCGTTTATGAAAAAAATCTTAGTTAAAAAAAATGTGACATCCAATTTATCCAAGGAGAAAGATGATCATTTTTTACACTACCTGATAAAATAACAATATTAAAACCTTTTATATTATTCAAATGAACCGTTTCTTCGGAATCAAGTAACCAATCATCATCATCATCATCAATTTTTTTGTCAATTTCAGCAATACCTTTTAAACGAAGTGATACAATTTCTAATAACTTTTCTTCAATGATAGATGATATTCTCGTACAAGGTAATGATGTAAAAAGATCTTCTTTATTCGCTGCAATCAAAATATCTTTAATTTTCTTGGAACGTGCATCTTTTAAAACCCGATAAAACTGATTTACAACATGATCCGCATTCTTTATAATAGAAGATGAATCTATCATAAAAATAATGCCTTTAATATTCTTTATTTCCGTGAATAAATGATAAAATTTTAAATGTCCAGGAAAATCAATTAAAATCAGTTTTTTCCCCGGAAAAAACCGACAAACTGTTTCATTAAACTGTGTAGATGTATACACCTTCTGTTTATGACCATAACAAAGCTTTTAAACCCAATTTTAGCGGAAAAAAATGGAAAAAATCTTCATCCTACTTTTGTAAAAAATGAGGTCTTTCCTGATCCTTGAACCCCCATAATTACTATCTTTTTAACCCCTCTAATCCTCCAATAAATCCTCATAAAAACCAGTGAAATAACCAGGCAAATTATCGCACAAAAAACTGCTATCTTGATCTGCACCATTGAGCCTATCCAGAGAGATCGTAGCGAAATTATGTGATATGATAAAGGTTGGTTAAGATGAGATAAAATAAATACAAGAACCCTGGTATTTCTTAAGAGTATTGAGTGCGTCAGATTGAAATAAGAGGAGGTTGTATCATGATAAAGTGTTTCTTAACCTTTGCTCAACTCGAATACGGTGATAACGATTTTTTAAATGAATCTCAAAATTTTCAACAGTTGAAGAAGGCCCAGGAATGTACAATTTTCCAGGACAATCATTACAACGAATGCGTACAACAGTATCAGAAGGATCGTTACCATGTCGAACAAAACCTTCAAAAAGATCGTTAGGATAGCGTTGACGAAGGTTATCTAAAGCAATAACAAGCCATTGAGGAAGCTAAGAAGGGTTAAAAGAAGAGGGAAGAACAAGAAAGGTTAAAACTTACAGGAAGAGAACCAATTGAAGGAGATAGATGAGATTTGTTATCCAACATATTTGCCAAAAAATCCTTTAAACGAGGTATTTTGAATTTTAAAACAAGTCGTTGAGGTAAAGAAGGACTGATTGAAGGAGAATAAAGGTTTTGTTGTGTAGAATTTTTAGTTCGAGTATCACGAGAAAGTAAAGGTGAACGTTGTTTTTCGTTTAATGAAAGATCAAAATCATCATCATTTAAGCCAGGAATTAAGGCTTTATTAATTCCATATTGATCAATGTAAAAGTTTTCCGGAACCAAGACACTATGTACAACGGGTGTTCTTTGTGTTCTAGGACGTTCGTTAAATTCGGGCAATTGTATACCTCGACGAGCTCGAATTTGTCGTCTTTTACGACGAGCATCACGTTCATTCTCTTTATTTTGTTTTTCTAGTTCGGATTCAGAAAGTTCATATAAAACAGGTGAATATTCATTTAACATTTCCAAAGGTCGAAATATACATGAAACCGTAGGTAATATCATAGTTTTGATATCTTCATCTTCAATTGGCTTACCGTCAAAAGTGTATCCAACTAGAAATAATGATTTCGTATACATTTGTGCTTGTTCTCTGATAGAATGAGCAATTGCCGTTCTTAAATCAAATTAGCCCTTAAAAAATAATAAATTACCCTTATTTCATACTTGAATTCCCCTGTTAATGCCAGATCTAAACACATTCTTTCTGCAAAAACTTCTGGATCATTATATGGATTATTAATATCCCATTCAAATGTATCAACTAAATTGTATTGCGCAATAATAATATCCAACTTAAAAATCATTCATTTTTCATCCAAAAAATATCAAAAAAAATACCCACCTTGACTTGAATTCTCATATCATCATCTTTATACCTCGTATATGGTATATTCCTATCCAAAAATTCTTCTGACATTTCTGAACCTTGTAAAGCTTCATTCATAAAATGATGTTGATATTCATTCACCTGATCCGTAATACATTTTGCAATTGATGTTGCAAAATATGGATGAGGTGGTAAACTAAAATCCTCACATAATACTTCTGCAAATTGTTCTGGTGAAATACACATTTCATACATATTCCATGTAAATGTATCCCGCAATCGATATCTATCCGAATTCACATCAATACGCACTGGTACTAATAATTCTGGACATTCTGATTGATGTATTATAGCTTCTCTTGCACTAGCAAATATACGTCAAAAAAAAAATACAACAACTCCCTCTTAAAAACTAACATCTTGATTCTTCTAGCCTTATTTTTCATTGCTCTTTGTTCACGAGGGTACATCATTCGAGGTTTAATTCCTGTCCATCCATTACCATATCCTGAATATCCCATCCCATAAACTTCAATCGATCCATCTATACCTGATGATCTGAGCTTCTGTATTCTATTTAGACGATAGAGTTCCTCTTTTTTTCGCTCAATAAGCTCCACTTGTTGCTCTTGTTGTTCCAATAAAACTTGTTGATAGGCCTCTTCCCGCCGTTCAAACTCGCTCAAAATTTCACTGTTGCTTTTTATACATTTTATCTCCATATTAGACCTTTTTCTAGACTATTTTATTCATTTCCATGTATATAATTAGCACTTTTAATCCAGCTCAATATCCAGTATGTTATAAAGCCTATGCTTATTTCCGATATAGATTTTTTTGAAAAAGTTATTTATTAAAATTTGAGGCTAAAAACAGAAGAAAACCCGAATAATAATAGAATATTAAGACGTAGAATATTGAGAGGAGTATTTTGGTAGTTTTTTTTGTTGAAAAAGATGAATTCTGAGTGAAAATAGATGTATTTAATGTATTATCCAGATAAAGAAGGAAAACGAGAGTATACACTGCGGAAAAGAACAGAATCAGGAAAGAAAACACTGTCAGCACATCCGTCAAGGTAATTTACTATTTATTTATAAGTTATTTTTTAGAAAAAGAAGGTTTTCACCAGATGATAAGTATTCACGACATAGAATTACAATAAAGAAGAGATTTAAGCTGTACCTTGCAGATCTTCGTAACCTATTAATAGTCTAGTTTTTGATGTATGATTGATAATTTTTAGCGCAAAAGCCGTTTTGAAATATAGTAAAGAAGAGTGTAGTTAGTATAGTATAAGTTGAATAAAAATACATAAAAAAGAGAATAAAGACCTAAGAAATAGAAACTTCCAAGAACCATTGACGAAGAGCATTTGAAAGTACGAAAGGTAGCTCATTTAGATCTCTAACAATTAAAAAATGATCGAAAGCAAATTGATCCATATAATGAATGATTTCTAAAGAAGTTGAATGATCATCCATTGTTTTATAACGAACTTGTTTCATATCTAGTAGTGAAGTGGTTTTTTTTGCATGAATTATATCAATAATAACAAAAATGATCATAATTTTTAATTCATAAGCTTTTCTTAATAAAAGTTTTAAAGAATCATGATCATCACATATTCCATCAGATACAATGATTTGTAATTGCCATAATTCAGCAGAAGATTTAGTATGAAGGGTATTTCTTGCATCTTTAAACATATTTATTGAAATTTCAGTTAATGCTTTGAGATCAGTTGTCAATTGATTAAATTTAAAATGTCTAATCAATTTTGCACCTGAATCAGAAGTAAAAGGTTCCTTAAAAGGATGTATCAATAAAGGTTTATCACCAAAACTCATGATACAAATTTCACCTACTTCTAAAAGAGAAAGAGACTTTGATATAAGAGCAAGAGTTTCAAATGCTAAATTCATTGATTCAGATTCAGCCATTGATTTAGAATCATCCATACAAATCATAACTTGATATTGTCGTTTGCTAGGTTTTGTACGTCTCATCCAAATCTTATCTTTCCTATATTGACTAGCAATATAAGGAATAATACGTCTCATATTTAATCTTTTTCCAGTGGAATAGTTTCCTTGCATTTTTGTAGCTAAAGTTGGCTCAAGAATTAATCTTAATTGTTCACAAAGATGAATAGATAAATCATGAACAGAATTCTCATGAATTCTCCATAAATTTAAAGCATCATCAACAGATATGAGATCCAATGAATCAATTCCATAATCAGATAAAGTATTAAAATGAGTATTATCTAAATTTTTTTCATCTAAATTAGTTATATTTTGTAAAGACATTTCATTGATATTTTGCTCTATATCAGTCCTTTTTTGATAATCTATTTCAGCAGCAGAAATTTCAGAGTCAAGATTCTCAATATTTGCTATTTTTGAATCAATATAAGAATAATTTATTTCATCTGTATTTAGATCATAATTATTCATATTATATGAATCATCTTTTTCCATATCAAGATCATTTTTTTCCTCTTTTTCAGGTAAAAAGCCTGCTACTTGAGCATCTTCTTTGAAATCATTATCCTTCATATATTCATACCGATTAGCATCTTGATTTAACTCATCATTATCAAGTGAATTGTCATGATCTTTTGGATCAGAAATATTACTAATAATCCTATTCCATTGTTCAAGAGTATTTCCAAGACTTCTATACGAATCATTTAATGATTCAGTAGAATCAAATTCCTGCTCTTTTTCAAAACCTGTATTATTTCCTTGACATTTACTATCATTATCATTATTTTCTTTCAAAGAAGAGGATTTATTACTAGTCAATTGACTATATTTAGCTTCTAATTTCATAGCTTTATCATTATCCTCATATTCTTTATTAAAACTCTCATTATTTCCATACTTTTTGTAAAAATCTTCATCTGTATTTAAAACAGTAGAATCATTCTTATCAACAAGATCCTCAGCTAAATTTTCAGCAACCTGTTGATTCTCATCTCCTTCAAAATCTTTTTCTGTATCAATATCCATGGAATCATCTTTATTTCCATCATTATCCTTAATATTTTCTTCATTCTTATCATGTATGATTTGTTTATCATCACTTAGATCAATTTTAGACTCATCTTCAGGCTCATTTACAGAATTGTCTTGATGTTGAAAATCATTGTTAACAGAATCTGATTGATTATGATCCAATTCCTCATAATTCATATCCAAATGACTATTATTATCAGATGCACTATCTTTATCAATATTATCGTCTAAATGAAGATCTTCTGGTAAATTTAAAGAATCTATATGATCTAACCTTTCATTAAACTCGTTTTCTTCAACATTTTCCATAGTCTCTTCATTATCATTTATTTCATCATCTTTTTTATCATTATTAAGGTCAAAATCTTTCTTGGAATCTGGCAGAATCTCTTTTTCATATTTTTGAGGACTAGTTCCAATTTCATTTCTATCATTATTCAAATTTTGAGTATCAATTGTATCATTATTCTGTGATTCATTATTTTCTTTATCCCAGAATTCTTCATTTAGAGTAGAAGAATTATGGTGATCAATTTCTCCAAATTCATCATCCAAATCTTCATCATTAAAGTCTTCATTGGAATAAACAGAATTGCTTTCTGATATACCATCATCAAAATCATCAATAGCTTTTGTATCATCATCTATATTAGTATCATCATTTTTTTGAGAATCCATATTATCTAAATTATCAAAGTCTTGATCATTATCATGATCATTTACTGTATCTTCAGTATTATCGCCATTAACCAATTCAGTCCCTTGAGTAACAGCATCTTTTTCATTAACAGTATTATCAATTGGAGTACAGAAGCCTTTCTCAATCAATGTATTTAAAACAAGTGAAAATAGAAGAGTAGATTTTGTCAAAGACTTATGATGATCCATAAAATTCTTCAAGATATACTTAGATATTTCTAAATATTGATTCAATATTGGTGCAGATAAAGAATATATTGCTTTTAAACTAAATAAAATTTGAATGTTTGAAAAACCAGATGTATTTAAATCATTAATATCAGTTATAAGCTTATCCAATAAATGATTAATATTTTTTATTTCAAGAACACTTAAAGAACTAAGTAAAAACTTATGCTTTTTCAAAAGCCAAGAATTTTCTAAAATACCATCAGAGCTTTGTTTTGTATCCAGAGATTTAATATCAACTAAATTTTGAATAATCAAACATATTTTATCAGACAAGTTCCTCATAAATATATCAAATTCCAAAGAAATATCTTGATTTTCAGAAACATCTAAATGAACCAATCTTAAAAAATCCATGTTATCCTTGATCCAAGTAAGAATGGGAGTAACAAGATATGCACAAGGTGTAGATTGAATAGAATATGAAAACATCTTTTCATATATTTTTTCCATCCATGCCATAAAATTAGAAACAAAAGTATCACAAAATTTATCAATAACAAGCCTATTTAACCCGCCCAAAGATTCAAATTCAGCAATAAAATTTCCAATATCATTATTAATTAAATTAAAATCATCCTTCAATCCATGCAATAATGAAATAAAACATGTATTCAAATGCATAACTCGAATATCCTCCAAAATTGTAATAATATTTTGCATATGCTTCAAAAATGATCTAGATCTATCATATATGTATTTAGTTTTTCTATAATTTTTTATAAATGAAATGTTTTCTTCAAATGTCATAGTTTCCAAAAAAGATAATATACACAAATTCCTTTCAATACGCTGTATCTCAAATAAAGTCTTCATAAAAGCTGATCTTTCCAGCAAAAGTATATAAAACAATGAATTCATTAGCCCACATGAACGAGAAATCTCATTTAGACTTATATCATTAGGACATTTACCTTGAGATTGATGAATTCTAGTAATAAAAGTAAGAAGCTGATAAAAATGTTCATTAATTGTCCTTAAAGACGAAGCACTTTCTTCATTTTTTAATTTAATATCATAATATGGAATACTTGTTAATAAATCATTAATATTGGTAACCTTGTTAACAACAGGCATACTTGGATTTGTTTTAAGACCCAATCTCTTTAATTCAGAAAGTGTATCAAAAAAAAGCTTCTTTTTTCTTGTTTTTAAGTGGCTTATTTCTGATTTTAAAACATTATCCATAGAACTTGGCGTAAGATTTTGTAATTCCTTCATATTCTCAACAACATCTATTACAAATAATTCAAATGGATTCTCATTAGAAGTCAAATCCTGCCCATATTTCTGAATAACAATAGACCACATATTTCGAACAGTATTCATAATATTTCTATGTCTAGGTAGAGCATCTAGACGATTTGTAAGATTAACAGATTTACAATGATCTAAAGACCATTTTAACAATTCCTCATTGACAAATACCAATTGCAATTGATAAAGATCACAAGAATTATTATGTTGAAAATTTAGTAACAATGATTCTGTACATGGTTCAGTTAAAACAGAGAAAGAAGACATAGAAATAAGTTCTCTATATTTTTTAACGATTTTATATAAAGATCTATGTGACTTTCTTGCACTTTCCCTTAAAACAAAAACATTAGTGTCTTTCCAGCTCATCAATTGAATAGTTTCTCTTATACTCTTCTCCAAAGGACCTTTTCCTTGATGAATTGCATTTCGAATTTTAGGTAAATATGATGAATACAATGCAACAAGATTTTTAAGAGCAAATAGAATCCTTTTTTCCGAGAATTCAGTCTTTTCAATAACATCTAAATGACATGAAAAGCTATGAATGAGTTCTAAACGTTGCTCAAACTGTCCCAGAGGAGAACTAATTATAAATTGCTCCAATAAAGATACCAATTCATTTCTATACTTTTCTAAATCATCAATTGATAATGAAGATGTAAACTTTTTATAAATCAAATTCTCATAAAGATAAAACCAAGAAGTTGCCATTTCATCATTTTTCTTTTTATCTTCTAATTTAAATAAATCATTCCAACAACTTAATTCATATTTTCTCCATGTTATAATTAAATTCTTTATATTTTCCATATTAATATCAAGTGAACATTCAGAACCTGCAATTGTTTTCCATTCATCAATTGTACTATATAATTGTTCCAGTGCTATAAGTATTTGAGAAAGAGGAGTTTCTATTCCTAATTTTAAAATAATATCTGAACGGTTTATTATCTCATGAAGAAGAAAATTTTCTGGATTTTCTTCAAAGAGTTGCTCTACTTTAAGCTTTAAATCCTTAAGTATTGGAATAAGCTTAAGAGACTCTTTAATATTAGGATCACCATAAAAATTATATATCCAATCATCAGAATTTTGTAATATTGGTAATGTGAAATTTGAATCCTCAATTATACCTCTCATATAATATATCAATGATGAAAGAGCTATATTATTTACTTTGGAATTAATATTTAAAGTTTCTAAAGTTAATAGCTCTATTCCAAGATTCAATGCAGAATTAACCAATTCAGAAGAAGAAATTAGAGGCTCAGATTCATTAAAAAACTTTCTATAAACCACCATTAATTCTATATAACATTGATTATCATAATCTATTTTTGAGGATTTATATTCAGTTTCACTTTCTATACTTTCAAATTCAGGAAATAAAAATGGATATTCAGCAGTATTTTCTTGAGAACGAGATATTTTGTATACAGATTCTTTTTCTAGTTCCTCTTTTATCTTTTCATCTCTCTTAATAGCCCATTTTGAATAAAAATATAGAAAAATATAATCAATGATTTCCATATAATTAAAAGATTCATCCAAAAGTAAAGATCTCTTGAAAAAGCAAAGTTTCTTAAAACAAAATATCATAAAGCGATCCACAAACACCTTATTAAGTTTGTATTTAGAAACTTCCTCCAGAAACAACATTATAAAACTAATATCAAGAGGTTTAGTCAATATAGTATCAATATCAAAAAGATTTAAAAATATTTTCATAGTTAAATCTTCAGACAAGCATTTTGAAAACATTTCTCCTTTCTTTATAAGAACCAATGCAAAATTTATAGTCTTTAATGATCCACATATAGGTTTTAAAATATCTGCATAATATAAATATGACTCCAGACGATTTATTAGCTGATATATAGTTTTCTGTATAGTATTCAATTGAAAGACAGCACTAACATTGTCATTTTCAAAATTCTTAATAATATTTTCCAATGATTGATCAATAATAAACATTTTCAACAGTTTCTCAAATTCTCTATAAATACTAATAATATCAGAAACACAAGGGCGATAAACATGTGGCAAATCTATCTTTTTTGACTCTAAATTTTGATAACGTGTCTGCAATTTCTTTATAGAAGAATTGTCAGTGCTACCAGTGAATTCATTCTCATATAATTTTCTCAAAAGAATTTCATTAGAAATATCTTCCAATTCCTTTTTATGAAGCTCCATTTGAACTATAGGAAAAATTGCTGGATCATAGGGTATATTTGGAACATATAAATAAAGAAATCCTAATTCAAAGAAAATAAAAGCCTTCCCAAGTTTTAATACAAGTTCAGATTCTGTGGCCTGCATATTTTCCAAAATCGAACATATAATTGATAAAGACGGTATAAAGTATGTGTTAATGACCATTTTCAATTTCTCACAATGTGTTTTTTGCAATTCTTTTTTTAATTCATCAAGATTTTTAATAATATTTTCCTTTTGATTACAAGATGTAAAATCCAAGAATTCTTTCAAAATAATTAAGATAACTTGATAATCTTCCAAAGAATATAAAGATTTATGCATGCTAAAAACCTTGATAAAGTTAATATCACTTCATAAATGAGCAAAAAAGGTACCTGAATAATTTTTCTAATAAATATTTCAACAAACAACATAATTTTATCATTTTTAATATACAAAGTATATTGGAATACTTGAGAAACTAAATTTGATAAACAGGATTTCATCTTCTCAAAATCCTGAAATAATGCATTTTTTATATTATAACTAATATAACATTAGCTTGATTTTAAAACAATTCTAACTAACATAGCCATTGCAATTGTTCTTATTGGTCTTCCAAAAAAAATAAATGCAGAAGGTGATTCTAGTAATGATTCCTAAAGAAATTAATAACTTTAAGCTTCAAGTAATTTATCATACAAATTGTTCAGATGATGAAGAAGGCATATCTGTAATAGTGAAATATGAATCGAAGAGTTGAAACATTAAAGATTCATTTGTAACTTTTTCTATTAAAAATATTCTTTAATATTTCAATTTTTTTACCTGTTCCTTTATATGTAATAACATAGGGAATTAAAGAAATAGAACTCCTATCAGTCCATGCACTTAAAGTAATAACCATATCATACATTTCCTAAAATATTAGAAATATTTGATAAAAATATTTAAATTACCTTAGAAATAATACCAAACTTAAAAATATGATTTATTAGATAAACTTCCATACAAGAAAATATAACGTTAAAAGATTCATCAATTCTATGAAAATACCCAGATTTAACATTAGAGTTAGAGTGAATGTCGATTCTATTCATATTATTGTGCAATTTCTCTATAAAATCTTGAATTTTGAAATTGATCTGAAAAGAATCATTTTTTGATGGATTTTCTTCAATATTATCAGAAAAAGTAAGAACAAAATAGCAATTCTCCAAAAACAAGGTCCTAATATTTAATATTATATTAAATGTATCTACTATAGATTTATCAGTTAATGAAGAATATTCATAAGAAAATTACCATTATATTGAAGACTATTATCAAACTTATTCATGTATGATGTCAATTCTTTATACACAGACCATGTATATTCAGATTTTGGAACACTAGGCCTTACTTTTTTCCAAATATTTTCCATTGAAAACCCTGTCTTAAGTTCAAGATTCAAATTAAATAATTCAATTAATTGATGAAAACGCTTTCTAGAATCAACCGGCAAAAGAGATTCATATTTTCTATTCCATTCTCTCAAATTATCATTATAAACATGATATTTAGTATATTCAATAAGTGGAAAGTTTGTAAATTCATAAATGTGACGCCAAATATTAACCAATTCCAGAATAGCTTCAGTAAATTCCTATAACAAACACAGATATATACAAATTAAAATAACATTAAAAAAATTACCTCATTTACATAATCAAAATCTCCATTAATCAAAAGTGAACCTATTTCATTTAAGAGAGATGATAAAAAATGAAAAGGATTAATATGGAATAATGAATCCATGTCATTGTGGTGTAAGTTCATATATGATTTCTCTAATACTGTCATATCTATCTCCAAAATATTGCGAGACCTTTCTTGAACAGTTTCAAGAATAATCTTTAAATCCAGATATTTTGAAAATAAATTATACAAATAAGATAATTTGATATGCCTAGAGCATAATTGAGTAGGATACAAGCAAGATGATGAGCCCAAAAACATATTTTCAATATATGGATTACCTAAAGGATACAATGGCTATATTAATATAATATTAGTTTCAATTAATGATTATTATATATAAAAACCTGAATATTTATAAAATCCTCAAGGAAATCTAAGCCATGAATAGTATTTTTATAAAAATCATAGATCATTTGATAAAGAGAAGACTTTTGAAACTCAAAACATTTATGAATTAAGTTTAAAATGTCCTCTTTTTTTATTTGTGAAAACATGCCACTCTGGATTACATAAGATAAGTACCAACTTTTCAAAAGATCTATATGTTTTATAGGAATATATTCTAGAAATATATCACCCAATATAAAAACATTTTTCTGTGAATGATATCTTTTTAAAATCTTCCCATACAAATAAAAATGATTAAACATAAATGAAGGTAAAATGGTAAAGAGAATAAAATCATTATAGTTAGGTTTAGATGAAACACAAATTGATCCCATATTATCATCTAAAACAACTTTATCACAGAAGATTTCAATACATCTATTCCTCATTGCCCTAGAAAGCTCGCCATTAGCAGGATCCATTGTCAAGAAAACTCGAAAATTTGGATGAGATTTTATTAAAAAAGGACTTCCATTAAGAGAATTCCTTTCATTCAAAACAAGATTCCCATTAGGTTCCATAAGAGAATTAAGACGATCTAATACAGAAGAATTACACAAATTAGCATTATCTAAAAGAAGCCAATAGCCATTTTCCACAGCCTGAAGTAAAATACTATCAAACCATTTAAACTGGGATGGTTTGTATGTATCATCAACTAACACATATTCTTTTAATCTCTGAAAGATTTGTTGGAACAAGGAATCACAAATCATAGACATATTAGACAATTCTGTAAATAATAATACCAAATCTGACAAAAATTTACGGTAATGAGATATAGTATGTCTTCCTTGTACCCTTATCAATTCCAATATACGACTATAAATACCCACATATTTCAGATTTTCCTCTTGAGGTAAGACTATTAATGAGCGTAATCTATCATTACAAAATTCCTCAATAGTAATAATAAATTTATTCAATTCCAAAATCAAATCCATTTGTTCAAATCCACCCACAATATCCATTGTATCTATATCATTATTGATAGAAAATTCCACAAGTTTTGATCCTGAAATAAAAGAAAGAAATCTAATTAAAAAAGTTTTCCCAGAAGCAGGTGGCCCTACTAAAATACATGGCCAATTAAATTGAATACAAGAAATTAAACTTTCAATAACCTTCAAGTGACTAGTAGAAATATTAAAAAAGAAATCCTTATTATATTTTAAGCTGGAATTTCTGGGTAACAATGCATGTCCAACTTGTAAAAAATTCAAGCTAAGTCTATAATATAAATTTCGAGTAAATGAAGGATTTCCAAAGATCTCTTCATAGATTGTATCAACAATTTTTCGATCTTCAATTGTTCTAAATTTTTGTTTTATAATTATATCAAGAAATTCAGAAGGATCATTTTTATGTAAATTTAATTTTCTATATTGAAGAATTTCAAGCCATCTCAATATGTCCCTCAAGTTAAACTCCCAAGGACTACCGTATATTCCAAAAGTGCGATTTCGAGACAATTCATCATTAAGTCTTCCAATAAATGATACAATTTTCTTTTTTATCAATAAATCTTCATTAGGAAAAGCATGATCACAGATAAACAATAAATCCTGGGGCGACAATTCTTCAATATAAACGACTACAAACCTGTTTATAAACGATTTTGGTAATCCTTTACGACCACAACCCTGAGAATGTGGATTTTGAGCAGCAAAAACTCTAAATGAAGGATGACAAGCAAATGTTTGATTCAATTCTGGTATAAAAGCTTGAGCTCTATGATCAAGACAAGCGTTAAGCCCTTCTAAAATAGATTGCGATGCTAAATTCATTTCATCAAGAAGTACCCAATAACCATTTTTCATAGCTTGTAAGAAAGGTCCATCATGCCAAGCAAATTTCGTAGCTTCATCGTCTACAGGAAGATCAGAACCAAACAAATCCATCAAATCAGTCTGCTCAGATAAATTTATTCTTGTTAATTGAAAGCCAACAACAGAAGCAATAGCAGATATAAGAGATGTTTTTCCTACACCGGGACTTCCTTCAAGTAAAATAGGCCTAGATGTTTGCATTGCTCGTAGAATTCGCATTGCATTATAAGATGTTGTAGGAGAATTAAAGCTATAAGATGAATAATCAGAAATATTAGGTCCACGTAGTATAGAGAAGGAACCAATCTTTAAAACTTCTTTATCAATAATCACCTGAGGAACTTTTGAAAATTCTTCTCGTAAATCTTCACCTATCAAGTTGGAAAGATAATCAACAGACTCAAGCTTTTTCTCTCGAATTAGATCTTTAGTTAGGCCAGACAAAAATCCCATATTTACACCTATTTTATCAATATAAACCAAAGCAGCACCATGCAAAATATGATGAGTCATTGAAGTATGAATATTAGACAAATTTACATAGTCAATCCATGTTAATATATCCCTAATTGATATAGAAATTGATAAATGTGATGAAAATTTCCTCTGAAACCAAAAAGAAAATAAAACAAATGCTTTTGAATACATGCAAAAACTATCTTTAAGCTTTGAAGAAACAATTTTTAAAACATCTTCTTCATCATATCCTGAAGGAACCCAAATTTCAGTAAATCTATTTCGTAAAGCTGGAGAAAGCTCCCTTTTCCCATAATCACTACCAGGATTCATTGTAGCCATAAATTTAAAACCATCTTTTGCTTTTATTAGATTTTCATCAACAGATTTCTCAGCTAAAGTAATTGTACGAGAAGTCTCTAAAACGCTATTAAGTCTTTCCAAAACAGAATCATCAGCAAGAGATATTTCATCAAGTAGAAAATATTCCCCACACTTCATTGCTTTTACTAAAGCACCATCATACCAATCAAATAATTTCTTATATTGCTTAAGATCCTTTTCAATAAGATCAATAATATCCTCATAAACAATATCCTTTAGGTTTCTTTTAATATCATTAATATCTAAACTCAAAAATTCTGTTACTAAATCTGATAAAGTAGCAGATTGATTATTATTAAAATTCATAGAATTAAGATATACCAATAATTTTGAAATATTATCATATAGCCTTTTGCAAATAATATCCTTATTTCTTACAGGTCTTTGAGTTCCAATAATATCACCTGATTCAGTATTTTGATGAACATTTACAATATGTAAAAACGAAGAGCAATTCTTAGCAATTGCTTGGCAAATACTTGTTTTTCCAGTACCTGTTTCTCCAACAAGAAGTACAGGCTCATTATTTTCTAACGCTAAGGAAACCAATCGAAATAATCTTTTCATAGCGTTAGTCCAAACAATTCCATCTAAATCAGGAAAATTATCAGTAGATATACATTTCCCCATATCATCAAAATTATATAATTCATTTTCATCTATTTTAACTTTCATAACAGCTTCAATTGCTTCTTTAACAATGACTTTCTCATCAATTTTTCGTACTCGTTCTCCCAATAACATATATCCATTATTTACAAATTCCTGATAATTAGTATAATTTCTACTAGCCCAACGAAATAAGTCACGCAAAGTCATAAAACTACTTTTCTGTTCAAATATTCGAGATGATTCACGTTGTAAAGACAATTTCTTAAAAATAATTAATATAAATATATAAATTTCCCTTAAAAAAGAAATTATTACCTTATATACTTCAACCATTTTCATACTATATGAAGGAGGTATACGACATCGATTACATATAATGGTTTTGAGTTCATCTTGGGGTATATTATCATAATGTAGCTCTAAAAATCTATTACGAAATGCACGAGATAAACGTTTTCGTCCACCATAAATGCCAGGAGGATTTTGAGTAGCAAATAACATAAAATGAGGATGAGGCTTGACAGTTTCTTGAGTTTCGAGTATGAATAATTCTCTATTATCATCTAATAATCGATTAAGCGCCTCAAGAACTTCTGAAGGTGCTAAATTCAATTCATCCAATACAATCCAATATCCATTGCGCAATGCTTCTACCATGATCCCCTCCTTAAATCCTAAATTCCCAAAATCATCAGAAACATAAGCACCAAAATACTCTTGAAGTTCAATGTGTTCATGATTATTAATTCTTACAAATTTATTACCTGTCAACTTAGAAATATATTCAATCATGCTTGTTTTTCCACTTGAAGTTGGCCCTTGAATCAAAACAGGAAATTTCCTTGTTGTTATAGCTCTTATAAGATTCAACATATTCTTCTCAATAGTTTGTGTTATAATATAATCATCATCCTTTTGTATTTCATAGTTTCCTATAGGCATCCAATAGTGCTTAAATTGTATATAATCACCATTAGAAGGCCTTTTAGGAATCTGTGAAATTAAGGATTTCAAATTCTTTACATGATTGAATGTATATTGTTTAATAATAGGATGAAGAATTTCCTCACTTTTACTCTCCAATAAAGTTAGATATAGCATGCAAAATCCTTCATAAAGAGATCTGTGTAATCCATATAAATGATAAATCTCATTTACATACATTAATGTTCGAGTTAATGTTCTAATATTATAATAAGGTTTCTGGCCAGCAGAATCAATTAAACGATTTTCCTCTTCTAACTGTTTTGCTTTCAAATGAAGCTGAGCAACATCATATAAAACCTTTTGATCTGAAAAACTAAGATGCCCTATATATTTATGAACTATAGCTAGCAAATCATTGAAATTTTCATCAGGAGAATAAACATAGAATTCTGTAAATCTTGATCTCAAAGATAATGATAAATCATGCCTTCCAATATCTGTAACAGGATTCATACATGCAAACAAACGAAAATTAGGATGAGGATAGATAGGTTGAATATCACCTTTTTCTGATAAAAGAATAGACCCATTTTCCTGCAAAATACAAGTAATATTCTCAAGGACACCCGATTCTGCTAAATTAATTTCATCCAATAAAATCCAACTACCATTTTTAACAGCTTTAGTTAAAGGTCCTTCTACAAAATCAAAAAAAAAGCAATTAGGATTATTTAAAACATATTTTTCAAAATTAGCCAAATTACAAGAAAACGACATCAATTTCTTCTTCAATTCTGGATCAAGCCATCGTCTTTTTTTATGAGAAATGCGAGTCATTTCATCAATTTTTTCATTATCATGAAATAATGAAAGCCGTTTCTGTGCCATATCAATTGCTACAGTGAACAAGCGAACCATATATTTCCATTTTTTGTTAGAATATGCCTTCTGAGTTGCTTCAAGAAATTTAAAGTTTTTTTGTGTTGAAAACATAGTACTAAAAATATCATCAAATTGATTCTTCAAGGAAGCAGAAACAGTTTTTAGATCAATTGGCTTGAATCCACCAAGGAGATCAGCATTTTCCGTTTGTTGAGACATATTAACAATTATTAACTCGCGACCAAGAATATTAGCAAAATACTGAATGGTTGTAGTTTTTCCTGTTCCTGTTTCACCAACCAATAATACATGTTCTCCACACTCTACTGAAGCTCCTAATTGTTCAAGTAGTCTTAATACAGGGGATGTAAAAGTAAAATGACGATCAAGACGAGAAATTATATAGTCAGGTGATTTTTGAATATTGATTCTTCCAACTTTAATATAATCATCAAAATCCTCATACTTTGGAATATATGATTTAATATGAAATTCGGTCCAATCAGATGAATAACCAAGAGTTTCAGCAATTTTTTGAATAATAAAGGACTTTCCAGAGCTTGTTTGTATCATACCAGAAAAACAATCTACTGCATTATAAAACATGCTATCAATAACATCTTGAGAAATATAATCATCTTCTAAAGTAATCCTAGAATTATTTAAAAAATAAAGAATGCGTTTAGACCATTTTATTAAATCCCTCATTGAAACAATTCTCTTAAAAGCTATTTTACTTAAAGAATGAAACACAGGATCATTGTATATAGCAACAACAACACCATATACTTCGATAATCTTTTGAGATAGCTTTTTTAAAACCGGAAATTTCGAACAAATTAACTCTGACAATTCTGTCATTGGAATCTCATCAATATTAACAATTTCCCATAATCTATTCCCTAAAAATTTTACATCAGATTTTTGATAAATATTTATTGACATAGTCGCTATTATCTGAAAACCAAAATCAGCATTTATTTTTTCACCTCTACTAGGAATTTCAAGTTCATTTCTTTCCAATAACGGTAAAAGAACACTTATAATATCATTGGGTGCCTTATCAATATCTTCAATTAATACATATCTTCCTTCCTGAACAGCCCTAGTAAGAACTCCAGGTTTCCACTCAAAAGCGCCAGGTGTTGAACTTATATAAGTTCCAATCAAACTTCTCATATCCATTTGATCACTCAAATATATACGTACTAAATCCTCATATTTTCCAAGCATTTTAGCAACATTTTCAACCATAAATGTTTTGCCAATTCCATATGAACCTAAAAGAAGAACAGGTTTCTGACTTAACAGAGCTGTTGCAAAATTTTCCATATTTTTTCGGGAAATAGGTGTCATACAAAAACATGAATCTTCAAAAAGTGTAGGTTTTGTTCTTGGAAAATAAATACCAGATATAGATACTAATAAATCGGACTGATCAGAGTCATGAATAATACGAATTCCATCCTTTGAAAAATAATTGCGTTTAGAAATTCTATCCAGAAACAACATTTTTGATTCATTTTCAAATAAACTAATAATGTTTAGAAAAAGTTTTAAACAAAAATTTCATACCAAAAAAAATAATAATCTATAATTTTCCCTGAATATAAATAATCAATTGATCCTTCACCAACATACAATGATAACAATTCCTCCCTTTTAGCACTCGATAAACAAAGTAATATACATAAAATTTCCACACTAAGAAATCGTACAATACGTGACTCTGAAAACAGAAAAGGCCAGATATGAGAAATCGAAATAAAACTCGAAAAAACTTCACAATCAAAAATAATCAATCGATATATCGTAATCAAATGCTTTACAACATATGATACCCATTTCTATACATCTTTATAAATACCCAATTCCTATAAAATTTAAATATACTCTATTTTCTCCCTCTTTCTCCATATCATATACAATATTTAAAGGATCAATAAATATCCTCGATCCACTAAGCGCTTTTACAGCATATCTCCAATCATAAAAACGCCCTTTCCTGTATAAAAAAACTTACGGTTTTAATGACCTCTTAACAGGAAGTAATTTCGCATATGCACTCATAATTTCTCCCATTTTTTCCCCGTAAAAACGCTCCCAACGAACAACAAACATACAAAGAACAGGATAACACAATTCTGCCACTAATAACGTGCTTTCTTCCCGTAATAATATGTAAGAAATCGTATCAAGATAAATTTCGTTAGAAGAGCCTCCAGATGTCAGAATTTTTTCGGACTTTTTCGACAGGCAACCTCTTCCTACGAGTTCTAATGAAATCTCCTCGTAATTCACTCGATTTCCTGAGCTTAACCCCGTCTTTTCAGACATTTATCTCTGCTCTTAATTTTGGTCGTTGACCTCTCATTGCCATGACAACCTATACTCTCTCTCTCCCTCTCTCTTCTCTCTCAACCTCTATTATATATGAATAAAAAAAAATACAGCAAATCCCTATTTTAAAGAGATATTTAATTATAAAAAGTTGTTTTAAATAGATTTTTAGCATATTTAAGAACGATTCTACAAAATTATAGATCCTCCATATATAAACAGGATTTTTAGGTAAATCAACGGCCAAATGAGAAAGCAGAGGGTTATATATATATGGGGTTTAATAATAAAATTGCGGAGAAAATAAGAAGGATTAACAAGAGAAAACTGGATAAAACATAGATTTACAGGAGAATTATTGAAGTATCAAGGGTGTTAAAAAGGTTCAGGAAAAAAAACGGGAAAAAAAGAGGGTATATAGAGGGAAATAGGTGAAATACAAAATGGTAAGAATTATACACGTGTATAGCGCGGAAAGAGACCATAAAGAACTATTATTGACGAAAATGAATCAGGTTTTGCAGAAACGTAAAATAATTAAATATGTGTCTATTCCTGAAAATATACAGGAAGACCAGCAGGTGAATCAATATAGGGATATTAAAAGGTATTGATGAGAGGGATAAGGTTTGGTATATTCCTATAACGCAGGAGGTTTTTACAGAATATGAAGAATATCTTTCGAGGTAATGAAGAGATTGGATATATTTTTAATGACATGAATGTAGGATGGACTTTTATAATGAAGTAAGAAAAGAGAATAATAAAAGAAGGAATTATGTATGATATAGAAAATATTTATGTGTGAAATAACGGGACATACGAATATGACGTATTTCCAGGCATATGAATCGGAGGCGAATAAAATTTTATAGGTATTTATGTATTATTAATGTATATATATAGGTAGTTCATGCACGAGATGTAGAAGAAACCTTTCCAGAATCGCTTAAAGAGCCAGTTTTAAGGAAGATACAACTATCATTGACGACTAGAATAGATTATTTAGGCAGGGGGTATTAATTGAATGATTAAAATATAATAATAATTGATAGTGGATGAAATATATGATGTTTGTAGATCAAATGTGTTTAAGCCTATTTAATGTGAAAAGCAATTTAAAAAGGATTATTATCCGGGAGAATCGCTTATATGTACGCTTGCGGGTGAAAAGTAAGAAAAAGAAATAGAATGAAATGTTTTTTAATATTTAAGATGGGAAGTACAAGTTAGGGAAAAAACGAAATTTAATGAAATTATTTCACCTAATGGAATATTTCGTAAAAAATAGGGAAAAAAATATTTTTAAGATTAATTAAGATTTTTAGGACCAGCACATACGAAATATCTTGTAGAAATGCCGGAAAAATATAAAAAGGAAGATACTAGGGAAGAAATGGTTGATGAAAAGGTGTTAAGTCGGGAACGTGGATCATTTACGAAAGCAATTTTACGTGCTTTTATAAAGAATGTGGTAAAAAAAGAATCATGGACAGGAGCGCCTTGGATTATTAAGGCAATTAATAATGAATTAGTTATATTATGATTTAACTAAATTTTTAATAATAGGAAAAATATGCAAAAAGATTTAAAATAGATATTATATCACCAAAACTTAGGAAGGAAGAAATCGAAAAACAATTACATAAGAAAAAAATGGAAATAGAAGGAGTAGCGGGAAGAAATGCAAAAGGTTACCCATTGAAATATCCAATTGAGGACTTGGATCTTGCGCCAGCATCAAATGTTTCTCGTCGACCAGAATTTATATTTGAAACATTAATTAATAAAAATTCGATATCTGTATTATTAGAAACATGGACATTTTTAAATGTTTTTTGGTAATAATGGATTTATTTTTTCCTTAAATTTATCTAATGATGATTAGCGAACCTTTAATTCTAGATTCTTTTACATTAGATGATTATATCGATTCTCTTCATTATACATCACTTAACCCTCCTTGCGAATTGATAAATGAAACACATTGCTCTTTGTTAAAATCTTTGGTAGGTGAGCGTTCTCCTTTATGCCTTTCATCTTGTATGCCTCCTTCGAAAAAAGATGTGTTTAACAAAATAAATGTTATAAATGGTAATTATATAGGTAATTTTGGAGAAAATTGGAGAGAATTACTCCAAAGAAGAATCCTTGAAAATGGAAAATGGATAATAATAGTGATTGGAATTATAAATGAGGTTTTTTTTTTCCTTATAAAATATCAATCAAAAATCTAATAAAAGAAAAAGCTGCTAAAGAATAGTTTATATCCGGAAAAATATGATCTAATTTTTAAAGGGTTCAATGTTCCTCATATCAAGGAGTCCTATTGTGAAGTGTATTATAATTTTAACAGTGATAATAAGCTTCGAGTTTTAGAAGTTTTGATAGAACTATGTTATAATACTCCATTAGCACGAAATTATATTGAAGAATGTTCTGAATCCATAATACATGCGAAAAAAGACAAACAAGAATTAATAAAAACAAAAAAGAAACAGTAAATTATCAAGTTTATATGGTTTATAATAATAAAACTTATTTTTATTAGTTTAGAAAAAATACGAGAAATAAGAGATGAAATAAGAAAGCTTTTCTCAGGAGGAATTCCACATTCAGAAGAGTTTTCGCCACTGGATGAAGAAACTGAAGATGAAGATGAAGAAATGCATGAAAATTTCGAACCAGATGATCAATCTGTTACAAATACAGAAGATAATCTACTTACAATTAAAACAAGATCAAGATCAGGAGTAAAGCGTAGGAGGACATTTGAAGAAGAGCCTAAAGTAAAGCCACAACCACCAGATCCTAAATCTCTAAAACAACATGAAAAATTAACACAAGAAATAAAAAAAATTAAACGACAAATTCAAAAAATCGAAGAAGATATGGATATTAGTGATATAAATATTCGTGAAGCAGATGCCCAACGTGTTAGAGTACTTGGATATGATAGATTTTGGAATAGATATTGGTGGTTAGAAAATAATGGAATGCCGTATTACGGTATGCCAGATTCAAGTACTAGTTATGCTGGATATGCTACTGGAAGGATTTGGATCCAAGGACCTAGTCCAGACATAATTGAGAAATTTAGGCAGGACAAAATTTTAGAACGTAAACAAATAGAGGAAGGAGAAACACCTTTAGCATCATTTAATGATTGGGCTTATATAGATACACCGGAAAAAGTATATTATTTTTATCAATTCATTTGGCATATCTTAATATATTTTATAGATAGAAGAATTATTGAACTGGCTTAATCCAAAGGGAATTAGAGAACTTAAACTTAAAAATGTTATTCAAGCAAGAATTAATTTTATATACCAAGGAATGGATGCACGTCAAAAAGTATGAATTAAATGTTTTATATATTTAATCATTAATTTCATAAGTATCTTTCAGGTGAACTTGTTGAAGCGAAACGATCTACTAGAGCTACATTGGGTATAGATTATGAACGTGAAAGATTTTTAAATTGGGTTAATTCTAAAGCAATTGAATACTTTGGTTGTGGCCATTCACATTTACAAGCAAAGAAAGAACGCACTTCTAATAAGAAAAAATAAGAAAATTAACAATACTTAATCGATCAAAACTATCATCCTAACTAAACTTTTATTACCATCTAATACCTTTATTAGCATCAGCATGTAATTAGAACCCTGGAAAATTACCTCAGCATAGGGCTAAACATGGCTTTATGGTTTTGTTTCAAAAATATTTGTGGAATATTAATCCGTCATTGTTAAAAAATCCTTATATCTTCAAAAAAAACATTTAAATCAAATAAAATTAAGAAACTTTATTATTTATAATAAATAATATATATAAAAACTATACATTCCAAACCAATATGATAATTATAAAAGAAAAAAATTATAAAAATCTAGTTCTGATGAAAATCATCTGTATTGGGTGACTTTTCAAAACAAAATAACTTCCTAATACCTGTCCCCGGCCCATCTGTATTGTAAATCGATCCCGCTGCTTTAGTCGGATATCTCAATTCCTTTATTTGAGAATACCGATCTTTGTTCATTGTATCTTGATTTCTTATATTCAACATAACAGGTGTAACCAAGTCAATAGATCGTACAGATAATGAAGAAAAAGAATTTGTACGATATACAGGAGACTTGTATTTATGAGAATTAACCTTACTATTTATTAATGAAGCTGGAACCGTTGACGGAACATATTTAGCTGGTGATCCATATTCATTAATTTCTTCTGAATCAGAAAAAGAATAAAGACGATTCATTGAAGCATAACGAGGCCAATAGACACATTCATAGAACATATTCGTACATGATAAATGTGTCATTCCTGTATAAGATGGAGATGATGATACAGTTGTTAAGCCAGAAAATGAATTTTCATAGGAAACCGGAGAAATCTCACGATAATCATCTTCAGAATCCTTCTTCTTACATTCACCTGAGCAGTAAAGCAATGAACCATAGGAATTTTCAATTAGCCGATCACAAACAGTACTAAATAAGTTTTTTATTAGAAATATTCAAAAACAATACTGTTTTTTCCGCAAAAAAAAGGTATTTACCAATATTGATGAAAAACACAACCTATCTCCATAACTAAAAAACGTTTTTACAGTGATTTTCTGCCTTTTTTTTCAAAATTTAATTTCTCACTTGTTTTTAATCAAAAAAAAACCGTTCAAAAGATATCCTTAGAATCTTATTAATATTCCTAGTCCCTCTCATGCTTAGAAAGAAGAGATATGTGCTTTTTTCCTATAAAAATAGCCTCATTTTTCCTCACTAATTTCTTAATATTTGTTCTTCGGCACTCGGATAATAGAACCAACTTTCTAAAGCCATATATAAATACTGATAAAATATAAATAACAACTTAGTAATAAAAATAAAACAAAAGATCCGGTATTTATCTTTGAAAAATAAAATATAATTTATTTTTCAAAAAAATCCATTAAATAAGAATTTTTGATAAAAAGATAGAAAAAAAAATAGTTAAGAAAGAAGTCCTTTCCATATGTAAATAGTATTGAAGAGAACATCGGTTTGAGTGTTTATCCTATTTTTTGGGGGTTAATTTTAGTGAAAAAGTTAAATATATAAATTAAAATATATATCTAAGATGTATTAATAAAAAAAAAATATAAATAAAGATTACCAGAGAAAGATTACACAAACAACGAATTAAGACCATCAAAATTGACAGATATCTAGTTAATTTATAAATAAAAACGAAAAAAAAACAAAAAATTAAATTAATTTGATAACATTATCACTAATATATAATTAATAAAAATAAAAGAAAAAATAAATATACCTGATTTCTGTGAGAATTAAAATTAAGAAGAGATAAAGGTAATGAACATGAATATCCATTCGGTATATATTGTTCATTATAAAATGAATTAATATAAGAAAAAGAATGAGGAGGAATTTCGGATTGTTGAATATAAGACATATCATAATGTTGTAGATTCATTTTTTGTTGAGAAATAGTATGATAATGTAATGGATATAGATTATTGTTAACAGTATTCAAACTTTTATAATAATCTAAATTTTAAAGTTAGAATTTTTTTAATAGATAGATAAATAAATAAATAAATAAGAACCTGAAAAAAAAGGTTGAGGAAACAATGAAGCAGGTCCATGAAACTGAATATTTTTGAATCCAGAATATGGGATGGAAGAATCATATTTTTTATCTTTTTTTGAATGATAAATTCTTGAAAGATCAAGATTTTTTGATACTAAATTTAAAGAATTATGATTCAAACCAATTTCATCCATTAAGGTTTTGTATTGTTGTCCAGGAACGATTTTTAATTGAGAGAAAGCCTTTTTCAAAGCAATTGAAATATTTTCACGAAGTTCATCTTCTAAATAAGCAACAGTGAAAATTCTAAAAATAGTATCAACGCCATAATGTTCTTCTGATAAGACTTCATCTAATATTTGTCCATTCTGAGAGAAAAAAAGCGTATTTAGAAGAATTTTGCGAGCATCAGAATCCATTTTCTGATTAATAATCCTCAAAATGATAGAAGACGCTAATTTATGTGTACATAAGTAAACAATATGATGAACAAATTGCAATGCAAGCATTTTATATCTATTCGGAAAAGAAGAAGAATCCAATAACCAAGTAAGTAAGATTAAACCATTAGGATTTGTTGCTAAACGATGGCTTTCTAATGTTATAATAACAGCAAGATAACGCTAATAATTAAACATTACATAATTTAATTTATTAAATCATACCTGTTGTTCTTTTGTAACATAGTTACTCTCCAAACATGCTCTCATTGCTCTTGCTCCAAAACGACCTTGAGAAATATCCCAGCACCGATCAGCCATTATTTCAATAATAAAATTATTCATAGGTGCTTCAAATTTCAAACAACATTGTACAACATAATTTCCAAATTGATCTAAAAATAATAATGGTATATACGGGGAAAGATGCTTAGTAATATCATTAATCTAATATAATATATTAATTAACAATAAAAAATTAGAAAATATATACCTGTGTCTCTGTTTTTGCTAAATCAATTATTTTTTGTGCAGCCCATGTTCCATTTTTATCTTTTAAAAATGAATCAATTGCAAAAATTAAATAAAAACTTACGAATTCCTAGTCCTGACAAATGTGGGGCAATTTTTTTTAGCAATTTTTCCTTCATTTCTTCTGAACAATGTTCAAATAATTTTTGAATTATTGTATTACCAAGATAATCTATAAAGAAATAAAATAAACAATAAAAATAATAAATCTCTTACCACTTGAAAGTTCAGAAACTTCATCAATCATATCATTTGCCATATCTTCAATTTCTTTTTGTGTATATCCTGAATTGTCAAATTTCTTTCTAATTTCCTTTAACCTTGAGCCATGAAATTGTCGATTAAGTGATGGCTCAGGAACAGGTGGAATCTCAAAAGCATAGCTTCTAACTTTTCCTATGTCTAATACTATATTATCACTATTCATATAAATCATGAAAAACATACTTTGAATGTATTCCCATATTTTATCAGCTTCTTCTTGTGTAGCAGTATAATTCATAGCTATTTCTATCACTAAAGACTTTAAATCACCAGGTCTTGATGAAAAAACAGGAGAAAAAAAACATTCTGATTTAAATTCAGGAATTTTAGGTCTATAGAGAGAAGAATTGGGTATTTGCATATTCATAGGATTTTTAAGAGTCTAATATGTATTTAAATATCTTAAAAAATGAAAAAAAAATAACAAACCTTTATATATTCCACTCTTATAAGATCATTTCCGGGAAATAATTCTTTTCCATCAAGTGAAGTCTTTGCTTGTATAGCACTTTCCAATGTATTATAATTTACAAAACCATATTTCTTATCAGCCAATATCCAAATACTTTCTACCATTCCAAATTGAGAAAAGAGTGCAGTAAGAGAAGAATTAGAAGCAGTTAATGGTAAATTAATTATCCAAAGTGAACGTGTTGGAAATGACATAATATCACCATATTCACCCTCATTTACATTATCATAAGAACTAGGAGCAATATTATTCGGAAGATTATTATCAGAAATAGGTGATTCATGAGCATAAGATTGAGAACTTAAACCTTGATTATCCATATGATTCATAGAAAAATTAATAACACCTGCTGTTCTTGCTCTTGGTCGTAAATACAAATCTGAATGATCTTGATACAATGTATTATATGAATCAGAATAATCAATACTTTTAGATGGTATATTTTCTTGATTAGTATCCAGAGAAGATTCATACCCTTTCTCATATCCTTTATCATATCCTATCTTATTACCTGATACCGAACATGATCGAATCCTATCCGATCCATTCTTTAACGAATTGATATTAGACATAGTCATTTTAGCATTTTGCTTTTCTGAAATAGAATCACACGATTTAAACGGTTCTGACATTGTTGTCGGCGTTGATGAATCCGCCAATCCCAAATAATCAAGCGTCTTAATAGGTCCTTGTCCTTCCTCATCCTTTGGCGAAAAAGAAACAGTTTCTGTTAATTTATTTTGATTATCTAAAATTTGTTTCCAATCTAATGAAAAAACAAAAGGATCAAAGCCAGAATTATACATATTTCTATCATATAGTCTCAATGACCCCGATCTAAATCTAGAACTCGCAATAGATGGTACAATTGATGATTCTATTGTCGTTTTAATATCTTTATTCTTTAATGATTCTGAACATGACAATTCCGATCCTCCTAACACATCCGCCGGCATAGTCTCCGCCCTTTCCCTTCTAAATCTTGGCGTACTCGTTGATGACGAGTATTCTATCTCTGTTATACCCTTTTCTTTTGACATAAATACCCTTTGTTATCTAAAAACTCTATATTTACCCTCTCCTTGCTCTTCAAAACACGGATTCTTATAAAACTTAGCTTCCTCATCAATAAATGATGATATCCATGGCATTTCCTTCTTCTGTTTCTGCATTTCAAGGCTTCTATTCATCCATCTTAACTAATATCTCTTTTTCCCCCGTAAAAACGCACCTTTTTATCAAACAAGAACCACCCGAATTACCAGAATGTGTCTTCCTGACACTGTCAAGTGTATTAGATGCGTCAATCTCAATAGATGTCGGTTTGGAAGAAGATGAGTTTGTCATTAAGTTCTATAGCAAGAAAAATAGCTAAAAATAAGCGTTTTTTTCCCGGAAAAAAAGCCATACCTTCTCAGGAATAAACAGGGATTCAAATTTTAATCAAAATTGTGCTTTTAAACCGCTTTTTCAGCCTAAATTTAGGAATTTCATGAAGGTCAAAAAATTTTAGGTAAAAGAAGCGAGGTAGATGAGCTCAGAAGAAATATAGTAAAAAAAATTGGTAAAAATGGGGAGTTCAGAAGGAGAATCTATAGAATCAATGGAGTCAATAGAAGGGCTTGCAAAGGGTATCTTTTTTATTTTTTTTTCCATTTGAAAATAGGCAATGTAGGAAGAGAAAAGAGAATAACGGCGGGGAACCGTCTTCAAGCGCTTCTTGATGAAGAATTTGTAGCGGAATCTATATTTGATGTTACGGATGAACAGGATGATGATTTTGAAGGGGAAAAAAGTGAATTTTCCCGGTTTTTTTTTGAATAATTTTAACAAGATATATATAAAGATCAATTGCAGGATATTGAGATATCAGAATCGGATGAAGAGGAGTCTAATGATAGTTCAGATGGGGGAGAAGATAGGGAAATTGAAAGAATGGAAAAAAAGGCATGTTTTTAGGAGGAATAATGAAAAAAAGAAGGATAACTAATAAATTAAGCAAAGACCAAGAAAAGAAAGCCGCCAGAAGCGTTTTTTAAGAGAAGAATAGAACCTAAGAGGGTTAAGAAGAGTGAGGAAGTAAAAAAATCCGAGAAAAAAGGGATTAGTGTAGTACATCCGGAGTCTATTCGTCATAGTTTACGTGCTCATGCAATTGAGAACAAAAATATGATTGATCATAGGTTAAAAGAGTCTAGTAAAAGAAGGGTAGAATTTTCTAAAGGGATATAAGAGGTTTTTATTGAATAAAAGTAGTTTAAACAGAATTCCTATGGAAAAATGAAGGAAAAACAGATGACACAAGAGGAACGTATTGCAGAAGCCAAAATTACAGAGGAAAAGAACAAGGAATTGCTTCAGAAGTTGATTAAGGTTGAAGAGGAAAGAAAAAGGAATGCTAGAAGTTTGTTAAAAACGAATAAACCACTAACAAGTCCATTTATTCGGTTTTTATCAAAAAGTATTGAACAATGCATGGATGAGAAGGTATTTTCTAAGGAAGAAGAAGTAAATCAAGGCAAGTATATTTGTACAAATGAAGAAAATACAGAAAAAACCATTGAAAATGATAATGATTCAAATAATCAATTATTAGATCTATCAAAAGATAATTCAAAGATTTTAGAGGGAAATATGACAAAAAACAATAAAGAAATCATTAGTAATGAAGATATAATTAAAGATTCTATATCTTTACAGGAAAATAATGAGAATTCAATTTCTATTCATACTAATGACAAACCATCTAAAAAAATATACAATAAAATGGCAACAATTCCAACTAAAAACTCTCAGAAACATATATCACGCAATTATATTATATTAGAAGGCTTTTCTGAGCCTTTTGATTTAAATAAACAAAAAAATATTCTATTTTCACATACAGAACCATGTATTCGTATGTATTTATACTTTTTTATATATCTAACATAAAAAGAACCAAAAAAAAATTTTTGTTTAATTACAGGAAGAATTGCAAAATATAAAGATCCATTTTCAGGATTATATTATAGTGATCTTTCAACATATCAAACAATTTATCGAATTCTTCGAGGAGAAATACCATGGAGTCGTATAGTAGGAACATTTGTTTCTACATTAAAACCAGCTAATGGGGTACCAAATAATTTTCAATATTAAAAAGTTTTTATTAAAATAAGGTTTTTATTAAAGTTTCTATTAAAATTTCTATTAAATATGTTTAATCTCAATTTATTTAAATATAATTCTTATCTCTGACTGATAAGCTGAAGGGGAAGAGCAACCCTAACCCGAAGCGTGTAACCCTAGCGCCTAACCCTGATCCCGTTTAACCTAACCCCAACCCTGAACCCTCTACATTACAACCCTAACCCCACGTCCATCTTATAACCCTAACCAACCCTTAACCCAACCCTTCATTCTATAACCCTAACACGTAGCCCTAACCCCTAACGCCAACCTAACCCTCGCGCCAACCCTAACCTCCTTATTAAACCCGCTTCGCGGACCTTCTAACCTCATCGACCAAACAGCTAACAACCAGGCTATGGTCATCGCTTTTTAAAGGTAAAAAAAGGGTAAAAAAAGGCATTTTCTTAAAATTTTATAGTGAAAAACGATATTCTGCAAAGGATTAATAGTGGTTGATGTTTTTTTCCCGAAAAAAACGGTCAAAAAACGACTATTTTTGCGATAAACAAGTTTTTCAGATTGATTGGACATTTATAGCTTTATCAGGGCATATGAATAGGATTTTTAACGCTAATTGCATGAGGATACGCAAATATATGTGTAATAATTGTTTTTGAAGTACTTTCTTTGCTCAAATGACGGTGAGTTTATGAGATAAAATGAAAAAAGTATTAATAAAGGGTTAGACGATCAGTAAGAAGAGATCAATGGATAAAAAGATATTTAAACGAGTTAGATATACGTAGAGATGTCAACGATACTTTTTACCGGTACAAAATGCCGCGTCTACAGTCCAAAGTATAAAAATTTTTTTTAAAGGTGTATATGAAGGGTTAAAAATGATTAAATAGATTGAGGGCAGAGGAAATGGCATTAAAACGGTGATCCCCAATATGTCAGAGATTGCAAGGGCACTAAGTCGCTCACCTTTATGTATTTTTATAATTTTTATATATAAAAAACGAAATTGATATATAATGATAGATGTAACAAAGTTTTTTGGATTTGAATTAGGAGCACAGACGACTACGAATACGGATGCAGATAGATATATTGTAAACGGAGCTCATGATGCAGAGCGACTTCAAGATTTACTTGACGTTTTTATTCAAAGATATGTGTTATGTAAATCATGCAAAAATCCGGAAACAGATATTGTATTTTATGATATAAATAGGAGAATAAGTGATTTAATTCATGGTAGATCATTTTGAAGAACGACAAGATTGTTAGGGATTGTAAAGCATGTGGGCGACAAAGTGATGTACCACAGAATACGAAACTTGCAAGCGTTATATTAAAAAATCCTCCTAAAAACAGTAAAAGTAAGAAGAACAAAGTTAAAAATGATACATCATCGGAACATGTAAATATTGAGAAAGAAGTGGAATTTAATGATAACTTTATACATACAATAACAGCTTCGGAACAATCACATTCAGAAGAACATCAAATTGATGATTATTGGACAATGGATACGAGTGAAGCAGCGGTAAAAGCACGTATGCATGAATTGGAAGAAAATGTTAAGGCAAACCTTATTCTTTATGATGATGAGGAGGATGATCCAGATGAAAGTAATCCATATGAAGAATTTGGAACATGGGTATCAGAAAACTTTTCAGCATCAAATATCGAAATATATAGGAAAGCTCAGGAATTAAAGATTGAGAGTAAGCATAAAACAGTCGCAGTTCTTGCTCAAACAGTATTTGATGAACGTATCCTTGTTCAAATCAAAAATAGAGCAAGTCTTTTCCGAAAAATTATTAAAGGACAGGAAAAACATGAAAAATCACTTCTTGGAGGAACAGAACGATTTATCGCTATAAACCATACGGAACTTCTTCCTCTTATTCCTAAGATTCTTATGCAATATTATCAGAGCGATATTCTATCCGAGGAAGTAATTAAAAAATGGGCGGGTAAAATTAGCAAACGTTATGTAGATAAAAATATAGACAAGAAAATCAAGAAAGTTGCTGAACCATTTCTTCGATGGTTAGAAGAAGCTGATGATAGTGGTTCAGAATCAGAAGAATCGAAATAATGTATTTATATTCTCTTATCATCTTTTAATGCTTCAACTTCTTCTTTTTGTTAACAAATGATAATTATCTATGATTTATTTTTTTTAATTTTTTTTTCATATTCACTTAGTTTACATTCTAATGAAATGCCTAATCATTGGCTTCTTTTCCTACATCTAATAACTCACTCATAAAACAATATCAGGAAATAAAAGATTATCCACTGATACAGGTATATTTGCTCTAAAATCAGCAAAAGAAAGCATTGATAACCAAAGCTTATCCGGATACTTTTTTTCTAATGTTATTTTCAATGCTTCTATTTCCAATTCTTTACTTGTTTTCCCCAAAAAAGATATTACAGATTCAATTATCTTATCTATACATTTATCTGGTAATTTAACATTTTCAATAACAGAATTAAATACTGCAAAAATACCATTCTGAATATTTACTGATCTTGAAAATCTATTAACAATTCTGTGTATATCTTGTTGACAACTTTCATTTAAAAGATTACATAAAATCTTTATCCCATGTTTAGAAAGTCTTGAAGTCATAAAATCCTTAGCGTAAACACATAATAATGCAATAACATTCAAAGATGATAGAATTATTGATGTCATTTCATTTAGATTCAATTGGCCAATAATTAAAGGCCAAATATCATTAATAAATGGTAAAAAACTTCTTTCATCTGACGCCAAAAAAGGTATTGAAACAGAAAGCATCTTTAACAATTCATTACGAATATTTGGTGATTGATGATTGAGAAACATTTGAGATTTATTTGAAATTTTTTGAATAATTTTAAGAGTTACTTTATTCATATCATTTGATAGATTTTCTGAAGAAGTAGAATAATTTAATGAATCAAATGAGGTTTCCATTATTTCTGTTGTATTTCTATGATATAAAGAACGAATTTTAGTAACAATTTGTATAACTTTTGAACATGGACCTGTACTATGAATATCATCTTGATATACTACTTGAGAAATCTTAGGCCTTTCAACAATCCCATTGATTCGAACTACTTCATTTAGAAATGAAAAAAATACAGAAACAATATTAGAATATCCATGGTAATTGTCTAAAATAGCAAATACAGAATCAACAACATCTTCCAAGTAAGGTACCATAGTAAAACCAACCAAACGCAAAAGAATAATCAAAACAGCAGGTCCAGTAGGAAAAACATCAAACGTATTTAGCTTTAAATTAATTGCATTAATTAAATAATCAACATTTCCTATTAATAAATCCTGAATTGAATCATATTCACAATATACAGTCAAATTATTTAAACATATACGTGCATGTCGAATTATAGGTTCACAATGGCTTCCTAATAGACCAACAATAGGATATAAACAATCAACAAATTCATTTCTAAACGGTCTTCCAAGTTTTTTAGCAATCAAAGATATAATTTCTAAATCCAAACATATATGAACAACTTTATCTTGAGAAATATTCCAATCTATAGCTTCATCATACATATAAGATGAAAATTCTGATATATAATTTAATGAATCAGGATATATATTCGTATATATAGATTCCATATTAATATTTATATTTTGATCATGTTGAAGAGAAGAATTATGAATCATATGTCGTAAATTACATAGAAAAATCCATCTTAAAACATTTGTACGTGGTTCAGATGTTGATATCTTTATTTTATAAAGAAGAGAATTAAAAAATTCAACAGTAGAATATTTTCCAAAGTTTGAAAATAGATTTTCTAATGCAAAACATGTTAAATCACTCTCAATACTTTCAAACCTAAACATAGGAAATTTTAAACCTGAATACACATGATTATCTGATAGATCTTGTGTATTAAAATGAAAAAATGGCTGAATCAAATCTGTTTTCCTTAATATTTTAGTATCTGTAGCAAAATGAAGAGAATCAGAGATTCTATCAATAAGAAAATCAAAAACAAATCCTGATCCCAAATGTTTTTTAGATAGAAAAGAAAAAATATGCATCATTGCTACTAAATGATGTCGTTTAGCATCTTCATCATTATGTAACTTTAATCCCGGCCAAGCATCAAGATACTCTTTTAAAAGTATATTAATAACATCCTCAAGCTCTTGTTCAGAATATCTTTGCTCTTCAAGCTGAAATAAAAACTTAACAGAGATATTTTGTATACTTTCTTCCAAATCACCAGCTAAAAATAAAATTGTTGAAAGTAAAAGCTGAATACAATTACAAAGCATTTTAAAACATGTATTAAAAAGCCCAATTGAAAATTCCAATATTTCTTTCCGTACTTGTTTATTAGAATGAGCTTTTAAACTCAAAAGAATATTGCACACTGAATAAACCCGTTCACGAGTATTAACTAACCATTCTTGTGAACCAACAGATACTTTCCCTTCTGATCTAACATCCAATCCCTTAGAATCTTCCTTATTTACCTCTAATACATTTGATTCTACATTTAACATGCTAAAAACATGATCTAATCCTTTTTTCTCTTCCATCCCCTCTACTTCCACATTATCTACGATTTGTAAACTATCATCTGCAAAACATGTCTCTAAAAGTCTTCTAGATAATACAATTGATCCAATTATAGCCCTGCTATGCTTTATTTTGCCATTTACCACCAATTGACATATACAAGACATAATTCCCGGCAAAAAACGACGCAAAACCTTTTTGTCCTCAACTATCTCAAACAAAAATACCTGTAATACTTGTATACATTTATACTGTAGCCTATTCCATACTGTTTTTTCATAGATTTCAAGTAATACCGTTATTATATACCCAATTATCGCTACTAAACCCTCATCCAATCCTTCCTTATCATTTCCTAGGCATTTCTGACGCTCTATCTTGCATCTAAATAACATACAAAGCCCTTTTAGCCCTTCTAAACATACATCTTCTGGAATATCCCTTTTTACACCTGATACTGGCCTAATAAACCCCGTCAAAAGCACACACAACTGCTTAAACAGGGCATCCGACATCTCTAAACCCCATCCCACACGAATCAACTCATTTGTACACTTTAAAAGCCCTTCTTTATGACGATCATCTAGATCTCTATATCCACGCCATAAATGTGACAGTGGAAGAAAAACATAGTCCGATATATTACTTCCAAGCGGTTCCTCCGACGAAAATGATGATAACGTCTTATATAATGCCTCCAATGATACATATATATCCGGTCCAAGACTCAAATCTGTCCAGACACAACTAAGGCGCATACATATGGGTTTTAGCTAGAAAAAAAACATAAGAAACCATATTCCCGGTAGATTATACCGAAATACCTTGGAAAAAGCCGACAAACATGCCTTTTTATTCATTTATATAAGGATTAAAATCCCCAACAAAAAAATACCAAAAAACATTCAAAATGGATCCTTTAAAGACTTCTATGATGATCTTAGCATATTATATGCGTCGATAACTTGAATTGTATGCGCTGTTCCCCGTTATATATGCATACCTTTACAACCCTCTCTCGCTCGCCTCGACAAAACCTTCTAGAACTCTCCAACCACACAATATTTTTTATTTGCTTTTTTTTGGCTTTTTTCTATAAATACCTGTCCTCCCCCGGTTTTAAAGGTTCGTATTTATTATTTTTTGCAGTAAGGCGGGGTTAATAGGTAAATTAAGGTAAAAGAGAGGAATAAGAGTGAAATTAAGCATATTTCTAATAAAAATATAGTATTAGACGTATTTAATATAATTTGAGAAGATATTTCAGAGAAATATTGAAATAACGGGTAATATTAAGGGGTATACCTTTTTTCAGAACAAAAAACCGTCAAAAACAAGGTATTTTTTGGGGGTATGAAGGGTTATTTTGGAATATGCATGAATGGGACTGTATTATTGTTGGAGCAGGTCTTTTTTATATAGGAAATGAGGAAATAGATTGATAGAAAGGATAAGGTGTTTTAGGAGCATCATTAGCTACCGTTTTTGGTCGACAAAAGCGAAAAACTCTTTTACTTGGTGGAGAAGAAGAAAAGAGGTTTTATATATTGTTTAATTATAATATAGAACGAAATGTATCAGAACCGGATAGAATTGTAGGAGAACTTCTTCAACCAGGAGGTATAAAGGCGCTGGAAGCATTAGGAATCGAAGGTATATATCATTAGATAAAAAAAATCCAGAAAAAGGGTTTATAATATGAAAAAGAAGTATTTCTTTATCTAAAAGAAAGAATTATGAAATAAGAAATATATTGATGTGTATTTTTTAATCTGAACAAAAGATTAAATTGATTTCATATATAAACTTTTTCTATGCTATGATTTATTATATAATTTTTACTCTTTTTAATGGAAAAAAAACAGATGCAGTAGAAGGAATTGATGCAATTCATGTCAAAGGATATCAACTTCTTTGGAATAATGAATCTGTCAATATTCCGTATGTAAATAAAAAATCGTCATATCATAAACATATATCATATCAAGGACGTTCATTTCATCATGGACGTTTTGTTATGAAATTGAGACAACATGCAGTTGCAAATGAAAGGTAAAAAAGGGTATAATTTATATTATTGCTATAAAAAGATATAGTGTGACAATGATTGAATCAACAGTACTTGATGTGATTGAGAATCCATTAACACAACAAGTTTTAGGTGTGAAAGCTTTTATTAAAGCTACACAACAATATGAACATGTAAGTTAAAAAAAGATATTGAGAGATACAAGGGATATAATAGAGAGAGAGAGAATGAGTGAGGGGTTTACAATATTTTATAGAATCATGAATTAATGATTTATTTTTTAAACCCTTATTTAAGTTTATATATTCTTTAAATAGATGATAAACTTAATAGTAATTTTGAACTCGTAATTATATCGACTTTTCTCTAATTATATCATCTTTATACATTTCTTTTCTTTTCTTTTTTTTTTTTCTTACATATTCATTAGTATTTTGCACCTTTAGTTGTCATTGCAGATGGTTGTTTCTCAAAATTTCGAAAACAATTTATATCTAAACCTGTCATTATTAAATCAAACTTTGTTGGATTAATACTCGAAAATGTTACACTTCCTATGCCTTTTTATGGTCACGTTATTCTTAGTAATCGTTCACCTATCTTGATGTATCAATTATCGACACATCACACACGAATTTTGATAGATCTTCCAGGCAAACTTCCATCAAACACTACAGGAGAACTTAAAAAATACCTTAAAGAAGTAATTACACCGATTCTACCAAAAAATATTCAATCATCATTTATCGATGCACTTGATAATCAAAAGATTCGGTCTATGCCTAATTGTTTCCTTCCACCTTCCTTAAATACAAAACCTGGATTAATTATACTTGGAGATGCTATGAATATGAGACATCCATTAACAGGTGGAGGAATGACAGTTGCTTTAAATGATGCTGTTTTACTTTCAGATCTTTTATCACCATCTTCTGTTCCATCTTTTCAAGACACTGATCTTGTTTTACACAAAATGTTTATCTTTCATTGGAAACGCAAAAAATTTAGTGCTGTCATTAACATCCTTGCGCAAATACTTTATTTCCTCTTTTCTCCTACTGGTAATATCAATTTAATTCTTAATTCTTATTATTAATCTTTTCAGATATATATTTAAATATTCTACAGAAAGGTTGTTTTAAATATTTTCAATTAGGTGGTATTGCTATTAGTGGTCCAATTAGTTTATTGTCCGGGTTTGTTCTAAATTCCTTATTTTTCTATCAATCATAATTTACCTTTTTAACACAGAATTAATCATCAACCATGGCTTCTATTTTTTCATTTTTTTGCCGTGGTATTTTATTCAACATATATAACATGTTCATCTTCTTTCTTCAACATATTTGACATTTTCTCCGGGTTAATACTATTTTTTCGAGCTTGTGAAGTTCTTTTTCCATACATTAAGAGTGAATTATTTCATTAAGATAATCACTAGGGTATAACATATACTTAAGTTACTATAGCAATTATTGTTATGACAACCACTACACTAACAACACATGGAACAAACATCATTAGCTAAGGTGGATAGATTTAAATGCTTATGGACAGCTAATAAGCATCAAGTAAGAAAACGTAAGAATCTATGGAACTTATTTATTGTATTAACATTTATATATAGGATGGCATGGTAAACTATATTTTATTAAAATTATAAACCTAATCATTTTCGAGATGGCATACTTCATTTTCATACATTTAATTTTCGTGCAATGCTTTATGATGAAGCCAATGTATTAGTAGATGATCTATTTATTTCAAAACAACATATTACGTCTGGAGATGAGATAGAATTTGATAACCATTTAGTTATAATTGAAGATGCTTTAGAAGCTATTTATTCCGATATATCATCTTTGTATGTACGTCATCAAAAACGAAGAATAAAAGAAACGGAAAAACCGTTAAAAATACGAAACTTAAAAAAGTGTTTAAAAGAACAAACTCAACATGACTTGCCTTCTATTAATACTTTGTATACCCTTACAAAAAAGACAAAGACAAAAACAAAAACTCAAAAGGTAAAAAAGAAAAAGGGTAAACTAATCATCTAACCCTTTGGTATTATTAGCAACCCGTTAACCCTTCATGTACGAGCTTAAAAAAAGAAGAAACGTTGGAACTAGAATGTCAAAAAAAAAAAGAACATATAAATGAAAATATAAATGAAAATATAAATGAAACATTCATATCAGATGATGAAGCATATGATTTATTTTCTCAATAATTATATTATTATTATTATTTATAAATATTAACAATTTGTCTTTCCTAAATTTCCAATAGAAATAGAAATTTTTTTTGGACTAGATTGAGATGTAGACTTTATATCAGAGGTAGAATTTCGTTTTACACGAGTTAATAGTTCAAAATCATCATCATCTCGATAACGTTTCTCAGTTATTTTATCAAAAGAAATCGAAGAATCCATACTTTTATCATAATAGATATCTATTTAATATTTTAATATAACATATTAAAGATTATAAATGTTAATACTTAAATCTGTCTTCTCATATACTTCAATATCATCGTCAGGATAATCTACAAGTTTCTTCATTATGGAAGTTTCACCCTTTTCTAAATCAACATTATCATCGTCATCAGATGTATTAAAATAATTCTCTTCTTCAATATCAAGTGTTTCTGTTTCTGCCCATCGACCAGGAGTATGTTTAGTACTTGAAAAATAATTAGTACGAATGAAATAGAATGAATGAATGAATGAATGAATGGACTTACTCTTCATTTTTAACACTTTCCAATTCATATGATTTATCATGGTATTGTTCATATTTTTTAATAAGTTGATCAAAAACAGGAATATCATTCAAACTTTTAATTTTATCATAATTACTTTCAATCAAATGATTAACAATACTTTTCATATTCTCCTAAATAAATATATTTAGAAATTTAAAATTAAAAGATGATAATTGTATACTTTTCTTATAACATCAAAAAACTCAAGACAAGCAGAACTTAAAAGATTATCATAACGATTGGTCTCCATATAAACCGTAAGAACATAACTAAATAAATTATTTTTAATAAAATGACGACTATAAAATTCATCATTAAGACCAATGCAGGTCCTAAAATATCGTAATGATGCTTAAAAATATTAATAAATATTGTAATAATATGATATATATATATATAAATCGAATTTTAACACTTACCAAGACGTATATATTTTTGAGGAAATGTAAATAAAAAAGCTATCTTGCACGAAATATTAGATGATAAAATGAAAAACTTGCTACGAAACGAGTGCACTTTAACAAAAAAACATAAGAGTTCACATAAATGCACCAATAATGCAGATGATATCAAGTTGAATTCTAAGAGAAAAATGAGTTTAAAATGATCAAGAATCCTTTAATAAATCAATAATAGATACCTTTTATTGATGAATCTAGATTTGAAATAGGTTTAAATAAGAGCTTGGCAGATTTATCATAAAATAACTGTAAAAATTTATCAGTATCTGAATCATTAGATTTTTGTGTAGACTCGTTTAATTTCAAAACTGTATTAGAAGAAACAGAACTAGGGTCCATCAAAATTCTAATAGCTTCAAAGATTTGAGCTTTAATGCCAAGATCAGTTTCATCATGAAGTAAGTTAATTAAAACGTTTAAAAGTGATTTATCATTATCCTTATCAATCTGATTTAAAATGAAAGATCGTAAATACCCAGGATCATGCTCGATAATGGCCATCAATATTTCGGCTCCAGCTATACATATCAAAGGTTGAGAACAAAGTGCAAAAAGAACGACATCGAATAAACCATTTTCTACAAACGTTGTATACAACGATACACGCGAAGGGTTTTGAAGCGTTTTCGCAACATTACAAACTTGTTGAATAAAAACAACGGCATCCAGCTTACGGCTTAGCTCAATGGAATCATCTTTAAAAAGCCCAAAAAGTTCTTCAAGAAATTCATTATTATGTTGAATATGTTGTATAATATCTACTTGATTAAAGAATATAAGTGTATTAAGGATAGAAAATGTTAAATCATCAATAATCCTAGCAAGGACTACATCTTTTAAATATTGTAAACGAAAGGTTTGATGAATTTTATTTCGTATCTCAGGATTTTTAATATCTACGACTTGTTTAAATTTCGATGCATCAGACAAGTATTCGCGATAATTCGCCTTATGATTACTAAAATCAGGATCATCTATACGTTAAAAATGAGAAAATTCAATTCATTTTATCATTAACAAATAGAGACTCACATTCAAGAATACCTACAACACCCAAAATAATATCATCTCTCAAAATGTATTCAATAACAGCAGCATCATCAATCAATACTAGTTTATCCTTAAACGAATAAACATTATAACCAATAAGGTATACGAACTTATATTTTTCATAATAGAACATAATAGATGTAAGTCATTCAAAATCTCCAAATCCTCACAAACATCCAGAAGCAAAACGAGCTGCATTATATAATTCTATGATAAATATTAAGAAAAAGGTGAAAAAAAAAAAAAAGGTTTTATTATGAATTAGCGTATACTTCATTCAAAACAAATTTTGCCAAATTTTCTTTCCCCAAAACTGTTTGATTCGCTTTTAAAATTAACGCCTCAATTTCAGCAAGATTACGTAGTTCAGGAACGGGTAAATGTATAGGACTCGATGCATTTTGTTCAACTACATCATCAGAAAAAAATTCATCTTATAAAATAAGAAAAAAAAAAAAAACAAAACAAAATTCTTACCCACTTGATCATTTAACGATTCTGTACTCGTCGGTTTTAAAACTTCTATCATATTTAGAAAAAAAATCGTAAAAATAATAAATAAAAATGAGGAAAAACCATATGCAAGACTAAGTGCTTTTCTAACATCGTTTAAAAAGTTCCTAATGCATTAAAAAGTCAATTTTTTCCCAAAAAAAATAAAAAAAAAACAAAATTACCAAATTTCATCACATCCTTCTGCTTCTTGAAAGCTTAACGCAATATCCGTCCCATCTAATTCTTGCCAAACGATCAACGTCTCTATTACCCTCTCAATATCACATATTAACCCTTTTTTAATCTATTTACTCTGCTGTATCTGATACAAGTCCTCTCGCATAATTTTACTCTTTAATAACACCTGTTCTTCATCCGCCTCTGATTTTACCACAAAATACCCATCTGTCTACGCACAAAATCAATCTTAACCCCCCTAAAAACCGCTCCCTTGACCTCTTTATCAATTATCCCCGTACAATATCCAGTACCACAATCATGCCAATTTTCACCCCGCATCTCATATACCTTTACCCGACGGGCATTTTGTGGAACTTTAACGTCTTTAAGGGCTCTATTCTCTCCTATATTGCCCTCCTGTTCTTCCATACGTAATTTTATTAAAAAACACCGTATTTCAGCTAAAAATGCCCGAAAAAAACCCGGAAAAAAACGCCAATATCTTTATATACTCCTCCCCTTCATAAATATGCATAAAAATTCTTTATTTCTCCATGATTCATGCTCATTTCCGTGTTGTATGCGGTTTCACTGACTCCCAAAAATTTTGGTTTTTTGGAGGTCAGCGATACAGCTCGAAGCACAGGAAAGGGTATATATAAGAGGTGTGTGAAGGAGGATAAAATAATACAAGAAAAAGAAGATAAATGAGTAGAATAGAATAAGAAGAATCCATTGGATATATTTTTTTTTGAATTTATGAAAAATTAGGAAAAGAAGTAGAGTAGGATAAATCGAAAGATAAGATGCAAAAAAAGAAGTAGAAAGGTTAAATATCAGAGGAAACATGTTTTTCGTTTATTCGTTGTTGTTTTTGTAGCAATTTTGACTATAATTTGTTATAAAAATATAGTGAAAATAGAAATACCTGAAGTTTTTTAGCAGTATTAAAAATACCAGAAGTTCCAGCACCGCAAATAATGCAATTTGGGTTTTTTCTGTACCTTTGTATTGCACAGGATTCGCAAAAATAATGACCACATTTTGTAACTATAGGTTGAACATATTCTTTTCGACATATAAAACAAGCAAATGGAATCTCATCATTTTCAGAAGAAGAATCATCAGTATGAGAATCGTATTTATTTCCATGAAGAATAGCGGATCTTTTTTTATGTTGAAGTAAATCCCATTCATGATCAAGTTGCCAACCAGCCTTATAGTCTTCACGATCATGAAGAAATTTACAAGTATCACCAAAACCACAAAATCCGGTTTGTTTGTAATCTTTACAAATATCGGGAGCATAATCAATAAAAGTAGTTGGTAAAATATGTTTTGCTTGAACAGGACCAGGACGAGTAAGGGTTTGATTTGAATTTTTTGTATGATCAGAAGCAATAATAGGAGGATCTGCAGTATTAACAGAAGAAGTTTCAAATTCTTCAATTAATGATGATTTTCCAGAAATATTAGTACTTGTTACTGTATTTTTTTTTTGAAAATTAACTTTTTTAGATTTTACAACTGTATCATCCTCTGATTCAGAATCTTCCTCACGTTTCCTTACAGACTTTATACGACCCTTTTTAATAAATTTTACAGGCTCCATAGATCCTATTTAACTTGACAAAATCCAATTTTAACCTTATTTTATGATATAAATTTTAACTTTATTCTTTTTTAAATATTTGAAAAATATGTATAAAAGTATCAATTTTCATATCTCATTAGACCCATATAATGCAAAAAATTAGTTTGTTTAATCAGTGAAAAAATCCATTGATTATATGTAAAAACAAAATCAAAAATATCAAACTTAATTGTACGAAATCGTAGTCTTGAATAACTTGATTTATGAGGAATTACCTGTTGATAAAGAATAACTAACTTGTCACAAGATGCCATATAAACTAAAGAAATAATATGTTATATTTTTTTTTAAAACAATATATTTTTTGTATAAATAAATTATCCTATAATTTGTTAATATAATTAAAAATATAATAATATACCTTCTTTTGAAACAATAGTATTTAATTTTTATATAAAAAGTGAGAATCCTGTAGTATATTAATTTCTTTATGCCATTGATTAGCAAAAAAATCAAATTGAAAACAAAAGTTACAAATGATTTCAAATATTTCCCATAAATGTAAGAAAAACATCAGTATTCGTATTTATAAATGTATATATATTATGTGTGTATGATTATCCAAAAGTTTTAATACTTGGAGTACTTAAAGGACCATCCTATAATGATTTAATTATCAATAATATTATTAAAATGAAAAAATATACATAAAAAGTCCAACCAGGGCAATCCACACAATCAGGATATGCATTACATTTTGGAACATCTTCATAGTCTTTAATAATATCAATTACTTGTTTAATTCGATGTGTACCAATTGCCATTTTCCAACCTTTATCAGCAATGATATCATAAATACAGGAAAGACCACTATGACAATGAGTTTCCATTGCATATCCGCCATACCAACATGTTGATTTAGGTCCCTGTAAATTAATAATTAAATATGTTATATTTTAAAAAAAACAAGTTCATTTACATTACATGTACCCATAAAAATAGGATCTGCAGTATGCCCAAAATGCCATACATAAGATTCATCATCAGGAAGTCCAGGGGGAAAAGGCAAATGTAAACGTTTTGCTGCTAATTTTTCCCCTGGAGCTTCAAAAGTAACTGTTGGAAGACCAAAAGTTAAACCAACTAATGATGAAAGAGCTCCACCCAAAGAATGACCTACCATCCACACATTTGCTTCAGGATAGATGCTAGAAACATTGTAAAAGATATTCTTTTACATAAATAAATATATCTTTTTAGAAAAAAAGACATACCAAAGCAATCATGTAATAATGAGATTCATCAAGAAGCTCTTTTTCAAGACATCGTTGATCACATGAATAAATACCATTAAAACAATTACAAACTGGCGTCCATATCCATGATACTCGCCCACAACAACATGAAAAAAGTAAATTATCCTAGATTTCTTAATTATTAAACATTATATCCTGGATTTACATTAATTTTATCCTTTATACCAGTCGTAGGGTCATAGACACCAAAAAGCTCTGGGCTTGTCCCTTTTAACGCTATAATTACTGTTTTATTTTGATCATCTATAAAAACATGTCCATGAAGCGCCGTTTTATTCCATGAATCATCATCAACAATATCTAACCCTCCACCTACATCTATCCAATCCCCTGTATTAGGCACATCAACATAAGCATTACTAGCAATTTCTGCCATGCTAATTACTGTTTCTTTATCTTCAATATCAGGAATATCCACATTTACATGATCCCATTCAAAAAACATAAAGGAATTGCTACTATATTTTGATGAAACAATCAATTCCTTAACTAAATTCCTAGAATGATCTGATAAACGTCTAATCCTCATAGATCTCTTCAAAATTTTAAAAGGTCCTTTATATAGTGATAATTTATATTCTGATTCATTTTTCATGCTCAAAAACCGGTATTTATAGGAATAAGAGCATGTACCAAATGTAAATATATGCTTCAAACTGAAATATGAGGGTTTCTTTAATAAATTGTCTGATGATACATTTTCCATTTTAGCAATAAAAGCCTTTTCCCATGATATTAAGACCAAATAAAAGAATATAGCACAAAAACTTAAGATAAAGACAAATAATATATATGATTTATTCCTTTTAAACATTCTTATATGTATTTTTTTTCAATTTTTAGATAATATTTTTTGCTTATAAATATTGGACGTTGATAAAGATGATCTCTACGTTATCTATTTTATCTATGAATAATTAAGAAATGGATAATTTATGTATAAAATGAAGGATTTATGAGTAAATGAATATGTAAATTAGTAGAATGTTGCTAGATAAATGTAAATATTTAAAAATAGGTATATTTTTGAGTTAGTGAGATTTGACAAAAGATGTAAATAATGGGTATAATTTGATTTTATAGCATTAGAATAGCATGAAAGAATAGGATAGAAGAGTTTTTTTTCAAAAAAAAAGGGTAAAAATTGAAAAATAAGTGTAAAAATTAAAAAATAAGTGTAAATATTGAAATTTTTAATAAATAAAAAATAAAAGCTAAAGATAGTCATATAAAACATTTTAAATATTCCCAATGATTAAGGGAAAATGAATAAAAATCATAATTTATATTAAAAACTTGATATCAGATCACAATTGTTTTAATTATAAAAAAAAGATGCAATTTTATTAAAAACTAAACCAATTTAAATAATTTGTATTTAATTTCTTATGATATACAAGAATTTAAATAAAAATGTCATTTTTACTAGTATTCTTAATATATCTGCTCATTTTTAGAAAGAACAAAAACTTATAGAGATTAATTGAAAAACATCAATTCTATCAATTTTTAGTGTTAACAAACTTTTCTTTTTAAAAATAAGACAAGAAAAATAAAATATAAAGATATTTAGAAAAGAAATAGTGTATAACATTTCTTAGATATATCTTTTTAATCCTGATACATTTTTCCAAAAATTCAATTCTAAGTCTATTTGTATCATTATTTTGTGTTTATTAAATGTACTTGTATAATTTATTGAATTCTCCTAAAAATTAATAACTTTATAATATATATCTTCCATAATATAATATCATCAAATTTTTATATGAACTCTTTAAAAAATTAATAGATAAGAAATGAAAGAATTTTCCAAATTGATTGATTGTTATAAAGTAGATTTCATATTTCCTGTATAATGAAAAACAGAAAAGATATACCTTTCAAAAATAAAATAAAAAGTCCAAAATACATATTCATGATATATTATAGAAGATAAAAAATCCAGGAGTTTTATTAGTACAATTAAATAGTCCTATATGAGATATTTTTTAAAAAAACTAAGCAATACTGTGTAAGATTTTATTCAGATATCTCAAAAATTTATAGACCATTAACTTGATTATTCTTAATGACACAATAACAATTGGTGAAAAAGAATTGACAGATCCATAACAATTAAAAGTATAGAATGTTTGTATAACATTAAATATTGATTATCAGATTTATCTAAAATTAACTTTTGTAAAAAACTCAAAAATATTAAAATTCACTTTTAAAAATTAATAATTTTTTCCTTTTAAAATAGTCCTCATTGAATATTAAATTAGAAGAATATTAAAAAAATGCATAAAGCATTATCCAGATTTTGTAAAACTTGGATTTAAGAATTAAATTAAGAAATATATCATTTATAAAAAATCTAAAAAAATATTAAATATTTAAAATAAAACAAAAATCCATAGATTCCTTTAAGAAGAAGAGTTTAACTTTAAAACCTATAAGTTCAATATTAAAACATTTATAAAAAAGATATTTTTTTATAAACAAAATACCCTGACATACCTTTAACAAAATAATTCAAAATTTAATATAAACTCTTTAAGAGATTCAAATAAATAATAAAATAGCTAATCAGTACATTGGCCCAAAAGCAAAAATGCTGCATTTATTGAATCATTTTGAAACTCTATTAATAAAAATTAAATGAAAAAAAAAAAAACCATAATAAATAACATACCACGATTTATAGAGAAAAAAAGAACTCGTATATTATCACGCAAATCTTTTGTCCCAGTTTTTCCTAGATCAATAAGAATATTTAATATAACTTCATCTTGCAAGAGATTAAACACAATCTTTTTAAAATCTGAACAAAAAGATCGAGAAATCAATGCAAGAGCAAAGATAGCCTCTGTACGAATGACATGATACTGAGTTTGAACAATCATATCTTTAAAAATATTTTCATAATCAGGATACACAAGCATTTTCTTTTCGATATCAAATAGTTTAAACAAATTAATAGTACGTATCATACTTGAAACAACCCTAGATGATTCCATTATTATAAAATGATCATCTGTTCCTTTTCGAAGTTCCAATAATTGCATAAAAATACCAGAATCAACAAAAAAAGAAGCATTTTTTCCTAATAATATTAATATAACAAAAAAAAACAATATTTATTACCATCATCAATAATTAGCTGTCTAAGAATACATACAGCTGTATATAATATTGGCTTGACAGAATCAAAAGTAAATAATTTTGTACATAATTTTATACCTCCTGCTTCTCCAATAATTGACTTGTTATCTTCTATTTCTATTAGAAATATATTCATATCAATCATTTCATACTAGGTATAGATAGGTTTTTCAAAAATCCTGAACTTGAATAAATTACTTTTGGATTATCAAAAAGATTAATAATATTGATCAATTTTTCATATAGCTTCAATTCATGAACAAAATAGATACAAGTTTTATCTAAATAAATATTAAGATTCATATAATGAAAAAAAGAAAAGCAAATAAGAACCTGTTCGAGCTAAATTCCCAAGCATAACACAACTACATAATATCAAAATATAAAAAGAATTAATTTCAAGATGTTTTAAAAGCATATCCATTATAAGCTTATTATTTAATATATATTCGGAAAAATCATTATTTGCTGCTATTTCTCCAAATAAATTAATTAACATAGAAATAAGTCCCTTATTTTCAGAATTAAAATGCTCTTGATAAGGTACCATACGATAAAAATATTCAAGTAAATCATACAGCTTTTCTGATTGAATTAGAGCGGATTGTATATCAATTTGAGGAAGAAAAGAAAGAATAATAGAGAATGCATCAGCAACATTATCTGGATATGATTGAAGAAACGACAAAAATCCTATAAAACAATCCGTATCATAATGCTTCTCTTCTTAAAAATATTAAACCCTAATTTCTAAAAATATCTGTTAAAATATCACCTTTAGACATTAACCATCCTATAATTCTCGCCAATATATCAAAATTTGTACGGGAATTCGTAGTTTTAAGAATCCTTGAAACCGCTTTTTTTCTATTAAGTCTTTCTGTCGCTTCATCTTGATAAATATAAATAATAATTCATATTCATATCATCAATTTCAAACCACAATCCATACACAAATTCAATAATGATGTAAGCGATACCATATATATATCAGAATCCTCATGTTCTAAAAAATCCATAAGAATATCTTCGCCGCAAAGCTCCAGAACACGTTTCCGGTTCTTAGCTATCATATTTATGTAAAAATTTAATCTTCATCTTTCATCTCCTTATTCACCATGATCAATACAACAATTTCCAATCACACGTAAAGATTGAAAAACACATCTTTTATCAATATTTGACACATCTTTCATCACTGAAAACATAAAATTGCTGTATATTTCTCCAATATATTCTCTATTTTCCACTAACACCTTAATATAACCTAAAAAAACCCGGAAAAAACCCACTTTCTCTGGAAAAATCCCCAATACTACATATATTCCTTACGAGTTCTTCTATAATATCGCTATTTTCGGTTCTTTCAAGGCATTTTTTATACTGTTTTTCCAATTCTTCAAGGCTTATTAATTTATCACTAATACCTAAAATATATCAATTTTTTTCCGGAAAAAAAGTATTATTATTAAATAATACACGGAGAATTCATATTTTTCATCTGTTTTTCATTTTTTACGGCTTATTTTACCTCTTTTTTCATCTTTTTTTTCCTCATAAAATCTTTATACGTTCCCTTCCTATATCGACGTTGCCATGGCAACCTCCAACGACAAAAAAAATAACGAGCAAATACACATAAAAAAGGTGTCTAAAAAGCTCAAAGAATAACCAATTTCCCGGCCAAAAACTCACTGAAATGGCCTCTAGACGTCAGGACTATATTTTTCGTGTAAGGTTATACCCTATTTCTTTTTTGAACGGTAAAAATTGACTTAGTAGATATCAAAATAAGCTTCCACTACCTCCATTCTTTCCTAAGATGCTTAACATACCGATTCCGCTGAATAATTACACTAAAACCTCATATCTATCAAGTCTGATCCAAGAACAGCCGATTGATATAGAGTTAGACCCAGAACTGGGGATACCATTGGACTTAAGCATGATTTCGAATGTTTTTGAAGGAATATATGATAGTACAGACCGTATATTTAGATGAAATATGTTTATTATGAGCCAGATATGCATAAGGAACCTAAAGATGTAAAATTGGATCCTAAAGATGTAGTATTATTGAAGGAAGTATCATCTGTATCTCAGCGAAATTCAGCAGGAGTATCATTTCTGAGACGAACAGAGTATATTTCATCAGAAAGTGCTAAAACAGCAGTGAAACCGAAAGCTTTTGATCCACGATTTGTTAAATCAGCAGAATTAACAAATGAAAAACTTGAAGATCCAGAAAAACAAGTAGTAGCGATTGAAACGACGTTTAAAGAGGCATCTAAGAACTGGTTATCATTTACACATCCACATAAGAAGAATTTGACGGTGGTTGATTCATTTCCTATATTTCCTAATATAAATATTTCGGATCAACAGTTTTTATTGATGAAATTTACAACAGATCCTGAACAAAAGAACATATCATCACAAGTAAGTCATAAAGAGAGATAAAATAAGGTTAAGAAGATTAGATGTCGAATGATGGCTGCTCAGATTTAGCATTATTCATGCCAGTCTCAGGAAGAGGAGAAGAATGGTTAGCCTATTATTTACCTGAACAGGAATCGTATAATGAACTAAAAGAAACACTTAAGAACCAAGATTTCGAAAAGAACAAGGTATTTCTTAGTAGAAATAGGTATACTTTAACTAAATTGATAGTCGCCTTTTATATATAATCATGTTCATGATTATGATACAACTATGCATATTAATTCAACACCTCTGGATGAAATAGCACTTGTGTTTAGGAATGATCCAAAAACGAAACTGAAATCTGCATTTTATTCACCTATTTATGCAAAATCCACATTAAAAAGGCGAAGATCAAAGATTCCAAATGGAATGATTAAAAACTTGAGTGTTTCAAATATAGAATTAAAGCTTCGACCTTTAAATGAAGAAGAAAGTAGAGAAAAGAAGAAGCACTGTTCCATGCTTGATATACACAATTGTTTTAGTGAAGAATGATTAAGAGAAAACGAAGATATAAACATAAAACATAACGTGCTGAATTGAAAACACAAGCTAAACCAATTGCTTCGATTATTGTATACATTATTAGGTAAAGACGAAGTATTTAATAGAACCCAGCAGGACATGCATTTCTTTTTGAAACAATAGCCATAAATTTGTATACTTTTCCCATTGCACCACCGCTTCTTTCAATTAATCTTTTATATGACAATTCTATTCGTTTTTTATTGGAAATACTCCTAGAAGCATCCATTAATGCCTTTGCTCTAACCTCAATTCCCATTGTTTTCAGCCAAGTACCCTGTTCAATGGGTCCATAAACCTCAAGCTCATCATGTTTAAGTACAACCTCTTTAAGAGCTTGAAAATCTACATCAGAAGAAAGATCCACTTCTCCAGGCTTTTCAAAAGGTGATACAATATGATGTGAACGAATTCCTCGCAATGTATGAATTGGAATAGTATCTGAAGGTCCATAATCAATAATTAAAGCAGATCCATACGCTGTATTTGAATTATTCAAAAGAATTTTAGAAATTCTTTCCATAAGAACAAGAGATTCCGGTGATATCTCAATACATGATCCTACAGGAAGCATAGAATATCGCTGAGAAATACTTGGAAGGGTTAAACTATGATAAGTCGGTCGTTTTGATAAAACTAAACGAAATTGTAAAGGCTTTGACGAATCTCCCATAGAATCCTTAGTATATAAAGCATCCTGAGATACCAAATCAACCAAAAACTCCCTCCATCCATGCTCTGTTTTCTTTAAAAAGTCAATATTCCATATATACATATATATATATTTAAACAAATAACAATTAATCACCTCAAATTTATGAATTGGCATTGAATCAAAAAACTCATGTGCAACAATAAACGGTGTAGAAAGATCTTTAAGCCAAAAATCAATTCTATCAAAAAATCCCACCGAATTACTAACCTGTTGGAAGTTGATCAAATCGTTCATACCAATAAACAGGTATTCCATATTTACTTAAGCATTTCCACACATCTGAACCAATATTTTCCACCGTATTAGAGCCACAAAGCAATTGACGCTGGGTTTCACGCAAAACCGGGCTTATCTCAATTAATCTTAATGATTCAATTGCTTGAAAATAATCTTTAAACACCATTGCTGTCTTTGATAAAAAATTAACAGCAATCTAAATGAATATAAACAATTACTCTTAAATAATCATCTGTTAATGTTCCTCGTCCTGGTCCTAGCTCAATCCATGTTATTTTAGACGGCTTTTCCTTAATATCCCATTCATATATCATCCAAATACCTATCAACTCCCCAAAAATTTGAGAAATCTCTGGTGATGTAATAAAATCCCCGTCTGTTCCAAACGGATATCTGCCTGTATAATATCCTCCTGTGGGATTCGTCAGGCAATATTTCATAAAAGATGCAACACTGATGGGTCCAACCATCTATTTAAAATACGATTAACACAGAAACCGCTGAAAAAGCTTCTACCCTGATCATTTTCTCTAAGATCTCTTGTATTCCACTCTGAGATGCCATATGATCTTTTTTTAATGAAAAAAATCTGTAATTTCTTTGTTTAAGTCCAAAAAATACAGGAAAAAAAAGGTTCCTATAACAAAATAACCTGTAGAATCCCATTATCTATATGTAAAGCTTCAATCTGTCATTTTTTCCTGTATTTTTATTGATTTTCTAAAGCTGGAGATGGCATAACACTCTCGATATATACAAGAGCTATATTGTTCCAAAAAAGATCAATTTTTGCCCTGAAAAATACATGATTCCTGCAAAATCCAAGTGGGACAAGGAAGAAGACGATCCGCTAGATGAACAGTGGTATTTCCTTGAAAAAGAACGGAGAAAAAAGGCCAAATATAAGAAATCTAGTGAAAAAATAAGTGATAAAAGAAACCTAGCAAAGAAAGAGGCCATAAATGACAGAGAAAAAGCTGATATAGAAGAAGAAGAAGCCCAAGAACCTGTAGAACATGTTAATAGAGGATATTCGGATGAATCAAAAGTAATAAACCAAGTTGAAGATCCAGAAAAAAAGTTTAAAAAAATAAAACAAGAAACAACGTTGAAAACAAGCCTAAATATAGAAAGAAAAGCTGGAATAAATCGTTGTAGAAGTGTAGAAAATTATACATGTTTGAATCATATTGAAGAAGGGTCCTATGGGATCGTATATAGAGCCAAGAATAATGAAACAGGAGAAATTGTAGCATTGAAGAAGTTAAAGCTTGATCAGGAGAAGAATGGATTTCCTATAACCAGTCTGAGGGAAATAAGATCATTATTTGCACTTGAACATCCTAATATTGTTAATATACGTGAAATTGTAGTAGGTGATTCATTAGCAGAGTAAGAAATTTCCAGTAAAAAAGGAATTATCTATAATAATGAAGGATATATATTGTGATGGATTTCGTTGATCATGATTTAAAGTCTTTAATGGAGGATATGACCCAAAATTTTTTACAATCTGAAGTAAAAACATTGATGCAACAACTTTTATCAGCAACAGCACATATGCATGACAAGTGGATTTTACATAGAGACCTTAAGACATCAAATCTTTTGATGACAAATCGAGGAATGATAAAAATTGCTGATTTCGGCCTTTCAAGATATCATGGCAATCCAATACCGCCTATGACACAATTAATTGTTACTCTTTGGTATAGGTTCGAATTTTAAAAGTGATTCTTTTCTTTTTTTTTTCTAAAATATATCATTTAGATCCCCAGAAATCCTTTTGGGTGCACATGAATATGGAACAGCAGTTGATATGTGGTCAATTGGATGCATTTTTGCAGAATTATTAACAAGAGAACCTTTAATACGTGGTATAGGTGAAATTGATCAACTTTCAAAAGTAATTGCATTCTATTTTACCCCATCTAACTTATTAAGATATTCGATCTTATTGGTGTACCAACAGAAGAGACTTGGCCTGGGTTTATGAACCTTCCTAATTCAAAAAATATATATTTCCCAAAGAAAAAATCCAGGTATATCCAATATTTCTTCTCAATTATTCAATTAACATACTTTTTTTTAGTATTGGCTCTCGTTTAAGAACAAAATTCCCTTTCTTAACAAATGCCGGTATCGATCTCCTTTCAAACCTACTAACACTTGATCCTAATAAACGAATCTCTGCTCTCGATGCTTTACATCATCCTTATTTCACTGAAGACCCAAAACCTAAGGAACCTGCTCTTTTTCCAACTTTTCCAAGTAAAGCAAGTGAAGAAAGACGTAGGCGCCATCATACTCCTGATGCTCCTCATGCACAACAATACAATTCCTTCTCATCATTCGATTCTCCTACTCTTTTTGATACCCAATCAAATACTCGTCCTAATCATTTCCAACTTCGCATCTGTTGAAACATAGAAAAAAATATGATAAAATAGACCCAAAACACTTCCTTTTCATACATAATTTCTTCTTCAAAACATGTATACTCTTCATATACTGCCCTAAACCCTTTCTTTATTCCTGTACAACCCTAAACCATAGTGCTTGTTCATTTTTTACTTAAACTTTAACAAAAAAACTTGAAATAAGCCCAGAAACTCGGGTAAAAACACATCCAAAATGACGATCAAGCATAATAATATGCTGCCAAATCAGCATTTCAGAAAACACTGGCAGAAACGAGTCCGTACATGGTTTAATCAGCCTGGACGTAAGCTTCGTAGAAGAAAAGCCCGACAAGAAAAGGCTGCAAGACTAGCACCAAGGCCCGTAGGGATGCTACGACCTACAGTCTTTGCTCCTACAGTGAAATATAACTATAAACTTCGTCTTGGCCGAGGGTTTACCTTTGAAGAATTAAAGGTAAACAGAAATAAGATTTTTTTGCCTATCCAGAGATAACAATATGATCCAGACAGCAGGTATATCAAGGAGAGAAGCGCCTACAATTGGTATTTCGGTAGATCACCGCCGAAGGAACCGTTGTCTTGAATCACTTGAAAGAAATGTTAAGCGACTTGTATTATATAAGAAGCATTTGATTGTTTTCCCACGAAAAACCAAGAAGACGAATAAAAGGGATAAGATGGTAGTGTTGGAGGTGAATATTTGTGTATTTTTTAACAAAATATATATAGGATGTCTGTGAGAGAAAATATCCACAAAGATCAATTGAAGCAGTAGTTCCATCAAAAGAAGCTAAAAACCAAGTAGAATCACGTATTATTACAGAAGAAGAAAGATCATTTGAAGCCTTTGCTACACTTCGAAAAGTACGTAAGGAAGCCAAGTTAGTAGGTAAAAGTGAAGAGAGTTAGTTAGAAGAGTTGAAAAGTATCTAAAATATCTTTAATGTAATGAATAAAGCCGAGGAATTGTCCTATAGATTTTGTTATACATTTAAAGATGAATGAATTTTTATAATGAAAAGAAATATATGAAAGTATTAAGTGTTAGCCATATGAAAAGACCAATGAATCAAGAATAAGAGGAATCGACATGAAAGAGAGAAGAAAGTAAAAGAATGCATGCGATATAGATTCCTTTATATTTTATCATTTTTTGAAACATATGATTCATTTTTTTTAAGACATTAGTTTCATCAAAGAGATCCCCTAGTTAATTAGTTAAAAAGCAGTATGAAAATGTAACATACAGCTTTCAGGATATCTTGGAAGAGCGGAGATATCGCTACTAGCATCAGCAGTAATGTGATCTATCTTTATCTTCCAATTTAGAATCAATTCGAAGCCATTTTCATGAACAAAATGTAAATATTGAACACCAAAAAACTCTTCTGGTAGTCTTTTGTTCATTTTTAATGTATAATCATCATATGACAAAAGTTGTGAATATTTAGTAGATAAGCGAGAAAACAGATCACAGCGTATAGTTGACAATTTTGAATAAGATGAGATCCCATAAAAGACATTATTGACATTTCTTTCTTGCATCATTCTATAAATTGTTAACTAATTATTATAAAATAATTAAAAGAATAAAACAATGAAAGAAACTCATGCAATTCTGGATATGTCCAAGGTGATACTTTAACATTTAGAAATGTAACTGTTAAAGTGCCCTCATCTACAAGCATTTTAATATCAAAAAATATATGCCCATTATAACAATCTCCCTTTAAACAATGTTCTCGAATTAAATGTCCATGTTCTTCTGATGAAACAATTCTATTAGATGTATCATGAAAGTTAAGCTGATTAAAAATTCGTAATTGAGGAATTGGATTTTCGACAGAAAGAGGCAATGCAGATATCATTGTATCATCAGCCACAATTCTAGGATCAGATTGATTTTCCAAAAAGTAATTGTTTGAATTAAGAAGTGAATCTCTAAATCAAAAATTACTCTCATCTTCAAAAAAAAAAAGTTATATACACAAGATCATCCATATTTTTATAGGATTGTCCTTCCCCACCATTTCTATCCATTTCAAGTGAATAAATTTCTCTTCTATACTTCTCAATTTCATCTTTTGTCTTCTGTAGTTGCTTCATAAGATATATCTTTTCTTTTTCAATATCTTCTTCCTCATTTACACGCATCTGCTGATGAGGAGATATTAAATGTAATATATTAGAGTCCGTATCTCTTGATTGTTCCTCATGTTCAACCTTATCAGATATCTGTGAAAAGCTTCTACGCAAAAAATGACGATTTTGGCTTGATTTCTGGCCAAATTCCGCCAAATAACCCGGATTTTTTTGAGATTCAGAATCAGAATACATAATTCTTCTGATATATTATAAATATAGTAGCAAAATAGCTTATTAAACAGAAATTCTCTTGTCAACAAATAATATATATATAGATTGGTCAAATTCTCTTCAATTTTCACCGTTTTTTTCCAGAAAAAAAGGAAAACCTACATAAAAACACCTGTACTTTTTAATAAAAATATAAAAACATTTTTTTTCCGGCAAAAAACCCATTTTTTACCGCTTCAAACGTACCCATTTTTTGATGACGTTGGAAATCGTATCGTCGACAGCACACCAACCACCAAGATATACTATAAAATTAATTAAGAGAAATAATCAACTAAAAACATAAAAACCCTCTAAAAATACCTTAAATTCATATTCTTAAATATTATATTTATATTGTGGTTTTTTTTCCGCTTAAAAAAAGGCCTATTTAAAGCTTTTATAAGAAATCGTCTTCAAAGACAAATATATATTTTAAAAAAACAGGATAAATACAGAGATTATTGGTTATTAAAGAAAAAAATATAAGGAATTTTTCAGCTATTGTTTTTGAACCGACAATTTTTATCAAAAAAGAGGGATTTATTGTAAAAAAATGGAAAAATTTACTAAATGGAGGGGTATATACTAGATCTATAGCAGTTCTATTGCTTAGATTCTTTTTTCATAGACAGAGGAACAGGATTGGCACCTTTTTTTCAGAATTCATTTGAAATACAGTCACCAAAATGGGTTTTTTTGATTTTGGGGATATTTCTATATATAATACGACATTTATTTATATTTTTTCTTTTTATTAGCTACATTATATTTGTTCATGTCATATTATCAGCTATTTTTCAGCCATTATTTCCTGGAATGGTTCATTTTGTTAAGAAATTATATATAGGCAGTGTTTTTATTATATGTGGAATTTCTTTATCATCATTTCAAATCAATTATACAAAAAAGTTTATTTCTAATTGGAGAATATATAGATTACTTATATTCTGATAGAAAAAGGACAGTTCCATGTGCACAAGACATCATTATTTCTTGTTATTGTTCTCCTTTGGATATTTTATGTCTAATTTATAAGTAAAAAAGCGTTATTTGTACTAATTGTTTTATTTATTTTAGTTATGACCCTATATTTACAATTTCTTTTTCTAATACATCATTGGTTCAACATGTTTCTGGATTAAAGGCACTTTTTTATACATTTTCAGTACCAAAAAGATCTCCATATAAAAATTATACAACATTGGACAGTTTGTCAAAATTATATCCAAATAGAATTATTTCTGTTTTTCCAGAGGTAGAAATTCATATCTTTTTTGATTTTTATTTTAATATTATAAAGGGAACTACTTCTAATGGTAATGGATTGCTTTTATTTACACAAAGCCTTGAATCAGTTACACCTCAAGCTAAAATCTTCCCTTTATCTATCAAGTAAAATTATAATATTACATTTTTATAGCTAATAATTTAAAAAGATACAGCAATTATCTTACAACACCCCTTCCAGGGTCTTTTTTTATATTTTTATTAAGATTTACATTCAAATTAACACATAACTTTCAAATAAAAATATCAGAAACACCTATTATTGCAGATCATCCAGAAAAACTTGGAGAAATAGCTTCTATTGCTCTTTCAAAATTATCTAAGATACCTAGACTTGAATTGGGTGTTAATGAAAAGATATCCTTTTTAAAGGCATGGAAAACCTTTTCAAAGGTTTAATATTTTTTCATAAATTTTATTTTAATTTAAAGAATTTATACAATTTATTATAAAATAAAGGTTTTTATATTCAATCATATATATAATTATATTAATATTTATACAGCTTTAAAGAGATTACATATATGTTTTAATACTTTATTCAACTAAATAGTATCAAAATACTTATTATCAAAATAATTTAGTATTTTTTCGACATATGAAAATCAATAAATAGATCAATAAACAATATTGATATATACAAGTACTTTAACAAGGTTTAAATGATGGAGAATAACCTATCTATTTCTATATAATTTGGATTTTTTATTTTATTTGACATATATATACTATATATATATTAATTATATTATTCATATGGAAAAAATACAGAAACAGCTTGAAAATTGCAGGATAAATGACCAAAAAGCATCATCAGAAGAAAGTTTATCTTTTAAATCAATAGATCATCAAAAAAATTTACAAAAATCCGTTAAAAAAGACATTTATTCTACTAAAAATGACATTATTACTTATCAACAGGATTTTTTAGATAACATAAAATACACAAATTCTGAAGAAAAACATAATAGCTTTTCAGAAAAATATATTGAACAGGATCCAGTTCTTTTTTCATTAAAAACTGATAATCCTGCACTATCTTCTCTAGAATTACCAGATGAAGCATTTCATATTCAGAATTTTTCAGGTATACCAAAGCTTAGGGAGCCATTTATTCTTCTTCATAAAATATGTTCTCAGGAAAAACAAAGGGAAGATATTTATCTACATCCTCCTTCATATCTCACAGACAATTCTAAATATTATGTTTTTCAATCTGAAATTTTAATTGCAAGAGCTTTAACATCTGAAGGATCCTTAAAACAGACTCTTCACTTTGATCTAGATGTAAAAGACTATGTGTTAAATAAAGATGAGACCTGGAGCATTGGTGGTACTATTGGAATTTGGGTTCCTAACCTTAAAAATGTTGTAGATGAAATATTTGAGATTCTTAATATTTCCAAAGACAAAGCAGATGAACAGATTATATTAGAAATAAAAGGTGGTAAATGGCCAGTAATGAGGGACAATGTTTATCCTCAAAAAATTAAAACTACTAGAAGAGACTTGTTAACATGGACAGTGGATATTCAATCAATGCCACCTAAGAAAAATCTTCTGAGAGTACTTATGGAATATGCAAAAGATCCATTAGACAAACAGCTTTTAGCCTTTTTATGTTCAAAAGAAGGTAGGATTTATTCAATTGATACAAATATTTTATATTTATTTTTAAAGGTCAAAAATCATTTTCAAATCTTTGTCTTCAAAAATGTATCACACTTTCACATTTGTTATTAGCATTTCCTTCATGCAAACCATCTTTTGAACATTTACTTTCAGTATTAACACCTTTATCTCCTCGAAAGTATTCTCTTTCTAATGATCCATCATTATCTCCAGGAATTTTACAAATAGCTCTTACAATTTTACAAATACCGCATTGGAAAGGTGGTACACGGCCTGGTGTTGCTTCTGCATACTTTGAACAGATATTTTATGAATATATTAATAGGAAAAAAACAAATATTATGAAAGAAACACTACATAAATTATCTATCTCTATATTTAGGGACCATATAAATCCTTTTGCACACAATGCGTATGCACCTGGATCTAGGATTTTCATAGGTGTAGGCGTAGGTATTGCTCCCTTTCGTGGATTTATTCAAAATCGTCTTCAAGACTTAACATGTCTTGAAAATCTATGGATAATTCAAGGCTGCCGTGATTCAAAATTGGATGAAATATACTCTGGGGAATGGGGTTTATTTAATACATCTAAGAATAGAATTATTGTGGAAAGTCGTGTGGGGAAAAAGGAACATGTTCAAGATATAATCAAACAAAAAGGAAAATTGATATGGGAAGTTATTAATAGTAAAGATGGTCGTATATATGTATGTGGACCAGGCATTACATTTACTAGATCAATTGATGAATGTCTTATTAGGATTGCTATGGAACAGGAAGGATATACTCGTGAAGATGCAATTAAGAAATGGAAAGAATTTGAAGATCCATCTGTCTTTAAATATATTAAAGAGGCATGGTAATTCCCTTGTACCTAAACACACAGAAATATTTCATATATAAAAACTCGATAAATTATTCAACCTTGATTAATCATTATTAAAATATTCAATACAGACATATTTTCAAGTGTTATTTCATCTAACATTATACTAAAACTCAGGATAATACAAATTTAAAATATGTACTATCAATATTAATAAAATATTGTATCTTTTTATGAATCTTAATATCTATTAATTTTGCAGAAATAACCAACATTAATCTTAATAATGAGATTTTAAAGTTAATGCTGGTTATAATTATGTAGTTGTTCTCCTATAAGATACACTTCATCACGAATGCTTTGCCTACATTTAGCTAATAAAATATGAAATACTTTTAGAACTAATATAACTAAGATTCCAACAAAGGTTAAAGGATATGAATAGCGATATATACGAGAAATTGTGTCATAATCATTAGAACGATCTATAAAGATTAATACCTTTTATAAATTAAACTTGATAAATTATTTTACATATTAACATTGATATAAAATAACCTAGACACAATGGAAGTAATAATGCCGTTAACATTATTAGTCCAATAGGAAAAATAAATAATTTAGTAGAAAGTACGATATCAGGGTCTAAATATCCATTATGAACAATCTAATTCAATAAATAAAATATCCTTTATTAATGACATTTATAAATACCTGTATCATTGACCGTGCAAGAGATGAGTCTCTATTTAACATAATCAAATTGGCAATAATTAAGGTATATAAAATTCCTAAGGCCCAATCGTGAAAAATATATATTACAGGATCATCTTCTGATAAAAAATAGGTATTAAATGGAATAATGATATAATAATCCATAACCAAGCCAAATAAGAATGGAATAAATATTTCAAAAGCAATAATCATATATCCAATCTTTAAAAGCTAGGAAAAAGTTAAAACGTATTCTGAAATCAGCAGAAAAGCTCACCCTGAACAAAAATGTACTTAGGCATGATACCATTATTTTAGGAGACTTTAATTTATCTATAAAGATTCTTAAAGTATTTTTAAGTAAATTTCCATGAGTATATAAAAATATTGATAATGCAATAAAAGTTCCAAGAAAGTAACATCCAAAAATATATGTATAAAAATCATGAAATTCATAAGTAGAAAATAAAAATGCAAAAATCTGTCGTCCAACAATTACTATTTGCTTATTAGTATAATTTTAAATATTGATAAAAAATATACATGGAGGAATGGTCAACATAATACCAATAAAGAATGCAAAAATCCATATCAAGAATAAAAGCACAATTATCCTCTTAATAAAAGACGGAGGAACATATACCACCGTAAAATTAGGGCTATTTTTCGACTCGTTATCCTGTTTCTTATCCAATCTAACATTATCCTCTGTAACAGGTATAAACATAGATTCTCTTTGAAGAGAGATATTGTCTTTAAAGGGTACACGTAAAAAGGATCCATTACGAACGAAAACAACATCTAGATCTTTCAGAGGTTGCCCGGAATCATCATGAATATCCGTTTTTTTTATTAATAACTTTGCCATAAGAGTTTTCCTTACGTATACACCTTCTTCTTGAGGATGTCGACCATTAAACATGAATGAAGTAAGACGAAGCTTGGCACTTATAGTTTTCAACCACCAAACCCACAATGCCTTTGCTATAGCAGCTGGTTTAATCATTTTTAAAGTTAAAGGAATCAATATATGTAAAGCCAATATATCAAAAGGAATATCAAAAAGGAATTTACTACAAAATGATTAGAAAGAATGAAATCAATAATAAACGAAGCCTACTTGAGTGATAAACGAAGGGGAAAAAGATCTGGAATAAAATATCTCACAGAATATATTACGCTCGAAAAGCATGAACATATCAAACAAGAATAAATGATTCCACTTGTAAATATTTTTCGTAACTGAACTTTAATAGGACGTTCAAGGATCTCTTTAATCGGATGGAATTGTGCATCATTAGGATCATGAATAAAAACTTAATATTAGATAAAAAAAGAAAAAAAAAAAAATAATATGTAAAACTTACATAAAACACCAGGACGAACAATATCACGACACATCTTAACAAATAAAGCAAATTGAAACATATATGCAGTACCAATAAACCAATGTCTAAAGAAAGTAAATATAAATATAATATAAAGTAATAATGAAAAAAATACAAAAAATAACTGGTAAAAGGATTTGAGTTTGTAAAAGCCAGCCGTGTATTGATATTAGCATTTTCAAATAAATCCAGTAATAATAAATCTATAAGGATCCCACAATAAATAGGAAATGCAATGACTTCTATTCCTACAATTACAATAAACTAAATAATTAGATCAAACTCGTATGAATAAATAAAAATAAAAACCTTAATAATTAAGCTTGCTTGATGAAGCGTATCATTCATTACACGTTGAACCATTCCTTGTCGTGCATTTTTTTTAATATTAGAATATTTCTTCAAATATAATGCGCCAATAGATATTAAAATACAATACCCAATAATAATGGATATTGTTCTATCAAAAGCAGTATTTCTCGTTCCAAGAGTAATGATTCTAGGAGGTATAGAGATCTTCATACCATAAATATGAAATATAACCTCTTTTTCCAAATTAGAAGATGAACCTGAGAAATAAATAGATGAAACTCTTTCTGTAATTCTAATGAACGCATTATTAGCTATAGATTTTATAAAATTGCGCGCTTTAAAAATCCTCATATATGATTCTTTACTAAATATATCAAAGATTATTATGTTAAATAATATCCTTCCTATAATGATAAAACCATTAATTACTTGAAAAATGAAAAAAACAATCGCATCAACAATAGTTAAAAAAACTTTTTGAACCGTACTTTCTGAAAACAATATCAAATAATGCGGTATTCGAACCTATTTTACTGTTAACCAACATCATATGCAAGAAAAGGTAAAAAAAAAAAGGACAAACCATAACAAGAACTAGTGATTTTCCCAAAACATATGGTATAAGTATTAACAATCCAAGAAATATAGCAATTAAAATAGATGTTACAGTACAATTTTGAAAAAGACCACTTATAGGCCCTCGAATCCCGGATAATTCAATGATTCCATCGATTTCTCCCAATTCTTCAGGCATATCATCATTTTCCTAATTTATATTAATACGTACAACTCCATATAATCTTTTCTATATCAACATTTTCAAAATGATCTTCTCTAGATTCATCATTGGGAATACGTTCTCTATTCTCCGTATTCTCCTCGTTAGAGCTCCAAAGACTCCTTACTCGTGACGTTAAAGACTGAACAATCGTACTTCTAACATTTTCTTGAATATCGTTTTGAGATGAAGATAAAGAGGAAGTAGAAGAAAAATCCATATGATTTTGTTGCATCGATTCATTCGTTTCATATACTTCTGTTCGATGATTTACATCAATATCCATGGTTTCCGGAAACACAACTTTCTTTTCAAATGACTGTCCATTTCGCTCATCATATTCTAACTCTTTAATCGAAGAAGGACCCGCCTCCGCTAATGTTTCCTGATATTGATTCATATTATTTTTCTTTGGTTCATAATCCAAAGACCCTAAATCTGGTAGTAACATCCTATCCTCATAATTCCTAGACGATCCCTCTCCGGTCCCGTCAAAAGATGAAATTTCATCAATTCCCCATCTTTCACTAGAATAAACCAACGTATTTGCAGAAAGAGGCCGCTCAGCAGGACCTTCTTCAAAATAATTCATATCCACATTATTTTCATTCTCATTTTCCCCTTCATCCTCGGGAAAATGTTCATCTTCCTCTACATTTTCTTGTAACGATTCTTGCGATGCCCTCCGATTGATCATTCCTGAAGTCCTTAATGAATCATTATGAAAATTCAGATCAAACCTGAGGACTCAAAAGGATGTTCATCATTTAAACTAATAACCATAACCCACTCTCTACAAAGCAAAATAATAATAAAGATAATAACAATAATACCAGTTATAAGCTGTCCCTCAAACACATCCATCATAATTTTACTAAAAAAAAAAAATACATCAACATTCATGGATAAACTTCATTTCACAAAAATACTTAATTGTCTTGTATCTAAAGAGGTTTCTAAGCGAAAAATCCCTCTTCCTAAAGGTATATTGCAACCATGTCATTCTTGATGACTCAGACGTCTCATCCAGCAACGTTTTCCCAACCAAATTATCCCCTAGACTAAGGGAAAACCTCCATACACATTGTGTCATCCATGGAAGCCATCCAAGCCATAAAAATAATGCAAGTCCCGTACGCAGCCATTTTAACGCTAATCCCCTCAAACGCCTCAATAAACGCACCAAAAAAACCGCTATCGGCATAGATTTCGGCATATTCGGATCATACACTATATTTAAAATCAATCAGACACCCCAAATCCCCCATTTAACTCAGACATTTGGTAAACCGAAATGGTGTACGACAAAGCTCACAATCCCGACGTCTACTGTACTGCAGCCACTTAATAAGACTTAGATCCATTAATAACCCTTATAATACACGCCGTATATCTTATTATTACCAGTTATCATGAACATACTTAATTGTTCCTGAACATTTACTATATTTCAGTCATTATTCATCCGTTTTTCACCGTTCAAATCGGATCATACTCACCATGGATAGAATAAGGGCTCCTCCTCCGAGTTTTCGCCGCAACAGACTCGACATACTCTATCATCTGCCATATTTTAATTTTTTGATGGTCTCACTGAAAAAAAACAATATCGATAAGCCAGAAAAATTTCGGGAAAACCTATGAAGGCAGAGAGATTTCCTTTTAAAAAAATGTAGAAAAATAGCAGTAAAAATGAAGGGAAATCAAGTTTGAAGCGTTAATTATTTGTATGTTTTTTCTGGTGTTTTTTTTTTGAAAAAAACAAGAAGAGTATTTTTGTAAATAATTGAAAAAAGTTGTAGAAAAGTTGTAGAAAGAATAGATTTATATGTGTCAATAGATGCCCTGAGTCAATTGTTGATATTGATCATAAAGTCTCTAGAAGAAAGAGGAGTAAAAGAAGAAAAAATAAGTAAAACCTACAGTCCATACAGAAGAATTTGCTTTTGTGATTAAAGAATCCATGAAATCATCTATTTCAGATTCGGATAGATGAAGCTGAAAGCGTTGTTGAAATTGTATGGAAGTTAATTCACCGGAACCGAAGCAAGGAAGTTTTGATTCTATGTATGAAATATGAATTAAAAAAAAATAAAAAAAAGGATAGAATACCGTTCTGCATCATTTTAACAAGTAATATAAGATCTTCTGCTTTTTTTCTTAGTGCTTTAAAGGCCTGTTTCATTAAATCTTTCCAATCATCAAACCTGTCGTCCAAAATATTTATATAATCAGTAGTAAGTTTAAAAGGAGCGTTTTCAAAGCCAACGTTTCCGGGGGTATTTGTTAACATGAAGCCAAAATCAATATGAATTAAATGACCTTCTGTATCTAAAAGAATATTTCCATTGTGTCTATCTTTGAGTTGAAAAATATAGCAAATCAAACTATAAGCTGCTAAAGAACGCATAAAACAATCTTGTGCAGCTTTATATTGTACCGAATGTGTATCACCATAGATCTTTGAATTAGTTGTATGTATGAATGAAGAGATCATGTTTAAATACCTTTAGAAAATAATCTTTTAATGATAAAACCTTGCCTTTTGAGCTTTCAGAGAAAGATTGAGTTATTTTTTTTTTTATAGAATGAATACTTGTAGAATTAATTATAGTTTCTATTAAACCAGAGTCATTTCCAGTTATGAGTATTCTCATTCTAAAAGAAAATATAAATATAAAAGATTATTTGTGATTGATATACAACCGTTTAACCCATACAGGAATATTATATTCATCCCAAATTTTCTGACAAGCGTATATGAGTTGACACGCAAAGGCTTCTTGTCTTAAATCTGAACCAGTCTTTACAATTACACTAATTATATTCCAATTAGGTAAATGACTATATGGAGATGATTTCCGTATACGTTCTACCTTTGCACTCCATTTTTCTTCAAATATTTTCACTTAAACAATATTAGCATCAAGAGTATTAAGTATTCATATATTTACTTGTAGAATTTCTATTGTTATCTTCAATTCCATCATATCCTATATTATTCATGCGAATATCCACGAAATTATCAGAATTATTCATATTTATACGTTTTTCTTCAAGATTTTGCATCTCTTTGATTATTTTACTCTTAATAGCAGATGTTTCTGCTTTAGGACGTTTATTGCTATCAGAATCCAATTGAGCTAACATTGTCGCAGCTGCTCTCATATAAGTAGCTATGATAGAATTCTCATCAATAAAAGGAGATAAAGAATTGTTTTCTTTAAAATAGATATTTGTTTCTGTTTGATCTTGAAGAAATTTAAGACGAGCATCCAAGCTATGATTTATATGTTTCAACTTAGAAAATTGAGGTAACAAAACATCTGAATAGCCATTAAAATCTGCTTTTTTATACAGTATGTCATCTGCATAATTATAGATAGATAATACATTGATATCTCCAAGATCAGATTCTATATCTGTTTTTTGATTAGCTTTATGCAATTCGGCATCAAAGTTATGTGACAAATTGGGATCATGAAGGAGATCAAAAAGCCGCTTGTTTTTTTCTGTATTTGATAATATCTTGGTAATTTTTTCTTTATTCTCCGCTTTCTCAGGATCAAAAGATAAGTCATTTTCCAAAATTTCTATTATAAGAAGATAAGGAACCTTTGAGAAAAATTAGAAAGATAAAACAAAAAATAAAAGGTACTCTTTTTGCACTATTTAGAACAACAGCTTCTGCTGAATCAATCCTAACGATTCGATGATGAACAGGATAACTGGCCGTTGCAGTACAAAGAGATGGTATACATATATCAGCAGGAAGATAAGTATTTAATAACGCTAATTCAGCTCGTAATGCGCTCAAACGTGCAAGCTGAGGTACAAGAATTAAACGAGAAGAAATATCATGTAATGCTTGAAGAAATGCAGTTTCGTACCTAAAATACTGCGTTTGAAGTAATAGACTTTGTTTTCTCGGTGAAATACTTGACAATGAATCAAAATTTTGAACACAAAAATCCGACAATAAAGACTTTTTAGAATTTAAGTCTTCAACAAGATATGGATCAAAACAAGGTGAAAAATAATCAGAAGAACAATTAATTTCATCTTTTAAATGAAATTGCTCATTACACATAGACATTAATAATGTTTCTTGCGAGGTTGTACCCGAAAATTGCGAATTTTCATACATATTTTGCTTATCTTCAGATAAATTTCGATCCAATTGAACCATAGACACATTATTTGATAATGTCTCCGATAAATTCTCCCTTGGTGTATTAAAAAAATCAGAAAATAATGTATGCTGAAATATTCCTTTATCTGTCTCTCTCGATTGAGGACGATATTGTCTAGCTTGAGCGATAGCAATCGGACCAACCGCTTTTGATAAAAAAGGCGCAGAAACACTCCCAATAATAACACTAGACAATAAAACTGAAGGAAATATATTCTCCCTAACCTTAAAATCATCCAAATCATGTATTTCTCTTTCATCAAAAATAATATGTTGGATCTTATTAAACAATCTTTTGCACGTTCTAAATGAAACATATTCCGGCGTCCTAATAAGATCCATAAAATGCCCCTGAAATAACCAAAAAACCTATTATCCATTTAACCTTTATAAAAAATATATTTTTTTCGCTTAAAATGCACCATTAACGCAATATGAGACGAACTTCTACATTGATCCAATATAAACACCTCCAGAGCTACCGATTCCGTATTTAGGTTCACTGCAAGATGGCTATTCCTCCATTATTTCCCTTCTTTTCCTCTCCATTAAAAACATACCATAATTGAGGCAAAAAAAACTCAATTTCATCCGCTGAAAACCTGTTTTTTTTAATCCTATTCATAAAACCTCTTAAAAGAACTTCATACTCCTTCATTTTAGAGCACAGATAGTGATGAATACCTATATTATCCGCATACCTGGCAAGATATGCTACACAAAGCTTATCTCCTGTTAAAATCATCCGTTTAACTCCGTTTTTTCGGGCTTACATGTGATGTAAAATGCGTAGATTCAAAAAATCTAAATAAAAGATCGTTTCCTGACACTTTTGACCCATTCATGAGCCCTATTTTATTTTTGATGTCATCTCGATCGGCCTTTTTTTTCGATATACAGTCCTATCGACGCGTCCCTCCCCCCTCCCCCTCCCTCCGAAACACGTATTTTCTTATTTCATAAAAATTCCGCTTAAATTCTGCATTTTTACCGTAAATTTATCCGCATATATTCGCATTATTTTCAAAAAAAAAGCTGTTTTCCTTATCTTTTACCCTTCTTCTACCCATCCGTGGACGCGCGTCCCCGTTTCCATGGAAACTACGCATACATCGATTGCCTAATTGGGATTACGCGTATCTTACGCGTCAGCGACATATAAAAGCCGGGTTTCCTCCGTCTTCCACCTGATAAGAACCATATTTTTAGTGTTTGAGGAGTTTGTTTGAAAAAGCCTTATAAAGGCGAGTAAATTGTCACTGAAGCAGGTCTTTTATTGTATCTGAACAGGTCTTTCTAGAAAACCAAAAAAAAAGCGCATACAAATGGTAAGTTATGGAGATAAATGAGATTAAGTGCCGGCTAACAGAGAATAGATGTGCAAAAAACCGCATATATCAGGGACATTTTTTGGATTAGGGTTGAAGTATGAAAATAGGAGAAATAATCAGGGTTTATTGAGGGGTTACTAGACTTTTTATACTTTTTACAGTGTATAAGCTTTTTTTTGTATGTCCTTTAGAAGAATTGTCAGGGACGCAAGTGTTACTATGCAGAAATTATTATTATTTGAGGTCAGCAGTGGATCCGTATTTAAAACCGGTGTATTATAGATATGCGTGGGAGCAGGTGGAGATTGCAAGACCTTATTTAGAAAAAGTGCGAGAAAGGGTTAAAGGATACAGTAAACCGGTTGTAGAACATGCTAGAAGGCAATATGAGGGTAATATTTATCCGTATGTGTTAAATGGAAAAGAATGTATATATCGATATATTAAGAAGCATTTGGTACCTTTAAAAGCAAGATATCTTAGGGGATACGATGAGATTTGTAGAGATAGACTGGTAGGATGTATAGAATATCTTGTGAGGGTATATCGAATGTATATTTTCCCGGGTATTTATTTGGGTTATGAGACAGTCATTTATATGTATCAATCAAAGGTGATTCCGTTTTATTATCGGACGAAACCTTATTTGGTGCAATTGTTTAAGATGGGGCTTAGATTTTTAGTAAAAAAGGTGTATCCTTGTATTATAGAGGGTTTGTTTTGGTTAAAACATCTTTTTCTCACATATGTACTTCCAAAAATGAATGATTTTTGGATTACACATGTAAATCCGCAATTGGACAGAATTTATGATCGTATTTTTCAATATAAAAGTGTGGATTATAATATTGTATCGGAAACATCATCATCATCATCATCAAACAGGTCATTATTTTCTATATTATTATTCATTTGTGTTTATTCATTTTAGACAAGGAACATCAAAAGGAAATATTATGGATGAAAAGAAGAATACTCATGCTCCATATGATCAGACGGAAGAACAACTTTTTTCAGAAATTTTGTCATTATGGACTGATCGTCTTAATAAAATAGGCAAAGAAATAGAAAAAGCATTGATTGAGGATTTGATTGATGTATTTTTGCCCGTCATTTATAAAAAAGAGAAGGCTATAATTGAAAATCTTCTTAATGAATTGAATTCATTAGTAGATTCGGAAATCTCTAAGATAAAAGACAAAATTATATCAAAAGAGAATGTTCTTAAAAACACTTTCTATAACATTGATGATATTAAGACGGCTGGAAAAAAAATTCATGCTAAAGCTTTAGAAATAAGGTAATTCGTATTATAACAGACTGATACAATTTTAATCATAATACATTAGGAATTATCTTAAATCGATTGAAAATGATTGTAAAAAGAAAATAATCAAAAAATCTAAACTATATTTTAACCAAATCATAACCTTTCAATCAGAAATGGCATCGTTATTTGAAGTCTTCATTAGATTGAGTACTAAAGATGAAAATTATAAAAACGTAATTTTAAATTATTTCTTTATTACTTTTTTTTTTTTTGATTCTTATTTATAGGTTTATAAGAGGTATTTTGACTTTAGAAACCTTATTGATCCAATTGAAAAACAATTTTTCGATTCTATATTAAATTCTACACTATCTGGTGTTAAAAAAATACGCAATTTGTCTATAAAAGCAGAGCTTGCCGTAAACAATATTGCGGGTTTAGCTGCAAGACAATTAAAAGACTTTAAATCGGCGAATACTTCAAATAACTTTATTCAAAAACTTTATCATAATCCAATTGATGGTAAGATAAAAAATGATTTAATTAATATTATATTTAACTGATAAAAGAAGAAAATAATGCTTCATCAGGATTAAATGAAGAATCAGAGGATCAATCAATGGCTTCAGATAATTCCAAACAAGAAACAAAACAAGAAAATGAAAAATTCGAGTCAGAACATCCTGCTTTAAACCAGGATTCCAAATCCTATTATACGGAAAAACAAATAAACACTAATTCATACCCCTCGGATAATAAAAATTTTATGGAAAACATTGATGATATTTCATCGCAAACAGATACGTTACATATACAAAAAGAAGCTATAAGGTATATCAACTTTTTATCTAATATTTATTGACTAAAAACAATAAAAACAGTGTATAGTACTTAAATATGCAATATTTAATGACGAATATTTTTGGTAATATATTAGACTATATTTTTGGTAATATATTAGACTATATTTTTATATCGGTCCAAGTTCTCGTTGTAATATATAAGAAAAAAAATTTAAAAAAATTATGTTCGGAGCATTTAAGCCTAGTCTTCCTGTATTTTCGGGTTTATTGTGGTATTCTCTCTCGTGTATTCTTAAATGATTTATCTATAAATTTCGCCAGGAAGATTCCATGGAGACTTTCAAAAACACGCAAATTAAGACATAGAAGAAGATTACGTAGAGTAGATTTAGTTTTATCGACTCTTCATACATCTCTTAGTAAAGCAGGATTGACATGTCATGCATTGGAAAGACAAGTTCGTGAAATTACACCAGAATCAAAGATGCTACCAAAAGATAAATATACAGTGTTTGATAAAAAATCAAAGAAATATAGAAAAAGTATTCATTTCGTGCCAAAAGTAAGACATCATAAAACAGGAACTTAATTGATAAATATTTCTAGTTTACAAGAGTAACTATTATGAACAGAATGTTCCCTCCAGGATATTAAAATACAAGAGTAATATATATTAAGAAAATATTTTCAATATTTTTTACAGAAAATGTACAGTTAAGATGTACAATTATAATGTAAACATTAGCATTTTCTACGCAATCGTCTATTATTATTAGTTAAAGCCATCGTTAAATATTGTTTTTTTTTCCGATTCTTTTGAGAGTTGGAATTTATACTATCATCGAGTGTTATGATTGTTCTTATTGATAAATCAATGTGTCATGGTAAACGTATTCGGAATTGAAATATTATGAGGATCCAAAATAGATTTTTCATCTGACATACTTAAATCCGAAACTTTATTTAATGAGGATGTAACATTCATTTTATCATATGATTCAGTAGATATTTTAGATATATATTCTGTAATTTTTATCATGGTTGATTCCCCAAGTACTTTATCTGTTCTTCTACGATAAAACAATAGATATGCAGCAGGTGTAACGATTTGTGATTCATGAACTTGTACGACTAAAGAATCTAAATATATTAATTTTAATTTCATTAAAAGATATAATGGTTTACCGTCGAAATGATAAAAATGGCCATTTTCCAAAGCAACATAAGCTGTATAATGGCCTCCACCTAACCCTCCAAAATGATTACTAACAGCGTAAAGATCATATATTTGAGAATCGCTAGTTAAATTAAATCCATTTTTATACTCTGCCACTCGTTCTGAAAGATCAAGCCCTTTCAAAGGAAAATCAACAAGAACGTCTATTTTATCTCTTAAATTTCTCGAATTTGAAAATCTTTTCAAATGAATAACAAGAATGTCTGGTGATTTCCATATTTCAAGTTGTTTTGTTGCTCGTCGATGTTCTTTACAATTTGGACAATACCAAAGATCATCTTCTCCTAGTTGTTCTTTCTTTGCAAATAAATCCAGACAATCATTTAAATGGATTGTTGATGTTTCATGATGATCAAGCAGAGGATCTTCATATTTTTTTACATCATCCCATAGATTACTATTCCTTAAACCATTTTCTGTTTCACTTGAAAAGACAGATATATAATGATCAGCGGGCCATTCACATACAATTGCTTCTCCTTGATGAATGAAAGCTTTATTCTTTAGCGATTTATTTTCATGAATATTCAAATCAGAAGATAAATGTGGACCATTTTCTTGTTTTGGGGAAATTTGACAAGTTTTTTTTACATTTGAATTTACAGGCAAAAGTTCATCATCACTCGAATCTTTGGTAATAGAAAAATCACTATCTTCTACAATATCATCTAATGAAATCGGTGTTCCATGTGAAAAAGGTTCTTCTTCAGATTCTGCTGTTAATAAAGTGTCATCTTCATCAAAAAATTTATCATTGTTTGTATCTTTTCCAAATCTTGTTTTTAATCGTGGTAAATGATCCATTGGTACTGACCAGCCTGTAGGAAGAACAGAATGACGGGATGAAAAATATTTTAAATCAAAAACATCTTCGTGAAGATCCAATTCTTTTTTCAAAACACTTTCTGCAGGTTGAGAAAACTTAGTAGTTGATGCTTCATGATCTGTTTGAGTCATTTCTTGTGTTTGAACCAGTGATACTTTTTTTGAACCAACAAATTGTTTATATTTTTCAGCAATTTTTTTAAGAATAACATCATAAGAACATGCCTCTTCATGTGTTAAAAGAATAAAAAAGGGTATACCGAATGCAACTGGATGATGATATAATTTCTCTATTCTTTGATGAAAAATAGGTATAATAATTTTAGATCGATTTGTTACAAAATCTGATATAGAACATGGCATTTCATAAAGATAGACTTGATCATGAGGTGATAATTGTGTACTGACAATGCTAGTGTCTGAGTGATGCCTATAAAATTTATATGCATAAATTTCTGATGAAATCAACTAGATTATAAGCTTTTGATAGGATATTAAACAGAATAGCTTACTGCATGTGGATCCATGCTAAGTTTAGATGCAACATAGGCTTTCATTGAAGCAATTGTTGATGATGCATCCAATTCCACGGTTATCTTGCAAATATTAAATAAAATAGATCGAAGATTGTGTAAAGGAAAACCTACATGAATTTGTTTTTTATTAATATCTGAAGGTACAACTGTTACAGGATAAGTCCATCGATTTTTAAATGGTAGCGGTAAAGTGAGATCCATAAATGGATCAAATGTAATTGATACCTGAATCATCATTAGTTATTAATTCATAGATTTTTTTTTTTTTTTTTTTCTTGAAAACCTGATCACAAACTGGACAAACCAAAACACTTTTATATAACCCATGAAACAAATCTACAATAACCGAATCATTTCGTTTTCGATGAAGTTGCCAGCAAACATCTGCCGTTTTCGCAATTAACGCATCATTTATATCGCCAAGTGTTGGTTTTTCAAAATAAGGTTTCCTTTTAATACGATTAAGATCTTCATGCATTCCATCAAGCAAAAAAGCAAGTAATTCCTGACTATCTTGCTGTGCGTATCCTGCAAACGAAGGATTAAAACGTCCGATACAATTCTTAAAGGCTTTTGGTGAAAAAGATGTTGTAGCATGTACTAAATTGTTTAATAAAGTCGCATATGATTTTGCTATTTGCCCGCCCGTTCCTAATGGATTAGTCGAATTTATTTCAGAATGATAAACACCAGAAAGAAAATATGTTGTTAATTCCGATGTATGCATAAGACATTGTAATGCAGCATTCATATAACAACTATTACCAAGGTTTTGCAAACCAATTGCTTTTAATTTCGATGATTTACCAAATGAATTTGTTTGCTTAAAATCTTCTTGTTTCTTATAATCAGCATCAGGAAATGATGTTAATGAAGGTGCATATCCTTGAAAAGATGCAATATCCGTTGTTTCAACAACAAGTTCCGAAAATAATGGCAATTCAAGAGCTTTAACTGTCATTTCTAATGATAAAGTCATCCAAGGCGTTATAATTGATTTCCCCTCATGCCATAATCGAATTGGTTGCATAGACGCAAGTCCCAATGTCTGCTTAATAATTTGTAACAAACTACTTATAGTTGCATTGCCATTTATTGTAATTTGCGTTGCTAAAACATCAACAGGAGATGTTACAGATGATTCAATAGGCATTATCTCATCTATGGATACTTTTTCCGATATTAGTATATTTTCTGATGAAGGAGGTCCTGAATCATCATCTAATGCATCCTCTGATGTTCCCAAATTCGTTATAACTGTGGAATAATCAGAAAGATTTCCAGCTGTCGCACTATTAGGAGAGGGTGCTTCTAATGCTATAGTATCTTCACTACTATCATTTGGTATTTCTTCTTTATTTGTTCTCATTTGAACTAATCGAAAAGTGTATAAACACACATCAGTATCAAGGGTTAACTCTTTTTCCGATATTCCTGATGTTGTTATATCTATTGCTGCTGGTGCTGTTGGTGCTGCTGTTGGTGCTGTCGTTGCTGCTGTTACTGCTGCAGTCGTTGCTTTTACATCATTATTTTCCTCTAAATCTACATGTACCCCTGTCACCGTTTTCCTAATGGCATATCCTTTAACACCATACCTAAACTATCTTCAATTCTATGCATTCCTCTTTCTTAATATTTACCAAAGAGAAAGATACTTCCATACTTCACCAGATACCAATACATAATCCTTACCCTCAATAACTCCATGTTTCAATTCATTTCCTTCCACTAAACTCGTTTGATCGATAGGTCCAATTGTTTCTTGATGTCCTTGTTCAAGAAAATTAAGATAATTCATCATCCATAAAGCTTCTATACAAAAAGATACATCATCAATAAATTTCGCAAGTAAAGGCTCTATAATCGCCTTTTGCACACTCCAACTAGGGCAATCTTTATCCAATTTATTTCTTGTTTCACTATTCTCAAACAAATCCTTCAAATTCGGTGAAAATGGCGTCTCAATAACCACATTTTCCGAATACAAATTTATCGCTGGATCATATAGATTTTCATGTATCTTTCCCTTGTTTTCCTCTGTTTTTTTCTTACAATATACTTTACTAGATTCCCCAGATACAATGTTAGCATTAATAATATCATTTAATTCCGCTGAAAACGTATTTGGTACATTATACGGCATACCACTACCAATCCCTGAACGCGGTGCCTCTGAATTACCCATTTGTCGGGCTATATGCGTTGTATATGCGCCTTTCATTGAATTCATACAATTCAATGTATCATATGTATTATATGTACTTGTCGGATTTAACAAAGAAGAACGCATACTACGCGTTATACGCTCTCCCTGAACATTCTGCATCTCTTTCACCTCATTTTCACGGGATATATGCGTCATATATGCGCCTCCTACCTCCATTCTACCCGCCGAATCATGCATACACAAAGATGCTATAAATATCAGATTCCTAAAAAAAATCTCAAATAATACAATCTATATTTGCCGCTATATCTGCCGATTCCTCTGCAATATTAACCATTTCTTTACGCTTATTAGATTCACTCAAACTAGAACGCGGCCGTTTGGAGGGCGACAAAAGATCTTCCGGCGTATACGCGCCCTCCATAGGCTCAAAACTTGCCACGACAAGCTATATCTTGTCAATATTATAGATAATCCCCAAAATATAGCCCAGATTATTCTGCAGGACACAAACAGGGCATACACTGAGTATTTATAGAATAACTGATCACTCGATACATGAAATTCAAGAGGGTGAAAAAAATATATAAATATAAAAGAATATAAAGGAAACAGAGCTATTATTAACAAAATAGATCAATTCTTGAGAGAGTTATTTAAGAATACAAGATATTTCTCAATATCCTTGTATACACCTATATGTATGCTATATATATATGTATATGTTTTTGATTTTAATATAATCTGTAGAGCATATAAAGGGATGAAAGGAAGGGAAATGGACTAGAATGAAGAGATTGACGTGTCAAAAAGCAATAGATTAATGCATAGAATGTATCCAGACGATTTATATGTCTATTGGTGTATTAATCCTCAGTATATTTGAAAGTGGATATTGTTAATGGGGAGTACAGAGTATAAAAAGACAATAGATGATCTATATATAATCTAATATATACAAAAAATCGGTTCTTTTTGTATATATTAAATATTAAATTTTCTATCAGAGCCAGTGGTCAATTTTATAAGCAGCGTCGATATCAGAAATAGGCGGAGAGGAGCAGGAGATAAACATATAAAACGGGGTATTAAGCGCATATAACAGGATAAATCAGTATATTTTCTATATAAATAGGAATCAGGAAGCATAATAAGTGTTTTTAGGGTATTTTATATATATTTTATTGAATATTTTGATAATCCATCAGACAGTACGAAGGAATTATGCAGAAAAAAATAGGAAGATTAGGTCAGTGGACCAAGGAGATGGTATAGTTTTATTGAGAAGAGTGCATATACTCATAGATCTTAGCTTGGAAGGGAGCAACGTACACAGACAACGGATGAATTTAAAGAGCTGGAGCAAGAGATGCAGATGAGACATGAAGGCATTTTTTTAAGGATAAAAAGGCGAATTTTTACATAAACTAGGAGTAGAGAGTCTTTATACGTCTATTAATCAGTGGGCTAAATCTATGTGTATATTTTTATATAATATTGTCAAGTGGGTTGAACATATATATAGTGAATCGGCGGGAGGAAAGGAGACATACATTGATTGAATTATTTAGCCAAGCACTTTTAAGCTTTGGAGAGAAATTTTCATCAGAATCAGTCTATGGTTTTTTGTTTTATAATTATGATATTTTTGATTTATTGAGTTTTCAGGTCAAGGATTGCTAAAATATGGTATAGCACATAAAGAAATGTCAAAAGAACAGGAAAGACTTATTGATGGGATTTCAAACAGTGTTTTAGAATCGATGGAACGATCATTAGTCCAGTTTAAAGATTTTCATGTATAAAAATAAATGAGGATTTAATGTATGATTTAATAAATATGAATAGGCAGCAAGAAAAAAGCTTGAAAGTCGACGATTATCATATGATTCGGTCTCTAATAGATTTATAAAAGCTAAAAAAGAAGATTCACGTATAGAAGAGGAATTAAGGGCAACTAAAGCAAAATATGAAGAAGCTTGTGAAAGTATATATAGTCGAATATATTCGATCCAGCAAGCAGAGGTAAAATAAGTGAAAAAACGAGTATGTTTTAGTGACAGGATGATCAAGGCTACGCAATTAAATGATTTAACTCTTCTTCTTGATTTAGAATTCAGATATTATGAACGATGTTATATAATTATACAGAATTTAAAAGAATCATGGGCAGAAATGTATAGATTACATTAATAATTTGTATTTAAATAATCTGAATAGTAATAATGCATACGGAGCCAGCTCGAAATATGTTAAACATCAACAAATTTCGGCACATGCTTTTAATAATGGTGGAGAAAACACTATCAATAGGCCATCATTACCATTTCGATCGGGAATGAGTGCATCATCACTTGAAAGAAAAATGTCAGAGATAGATTTAAATAGTCCTAGACAAACATCTTCTTTTAGAGCAACACCTACAAGAAGTATGTTGTTGAGATATTTGATTTTTTTTTTTTTTATTATCTGACGTTTAAAAAGTTCCACCGGAATCACCATATTCAATTGAGGATGAAAACACACAAGATACTTCATCATTAAAATTGGAGCAATCCTTTAAAACAGATGAACAAGATACATCTATGCAATCAAACAACAGTGCGCCAGTAGTTCCTCCACGAACATACGGAAGATTTGATAAAAAAGATTATACATCATCTACAAAACGTTATTCAACATTAAAGAATTCAAACGTTACAAGTTTTTCTAGTACATACCAAGATGCTTCTGAAGATAATTCACCGTTTTCCGATGAAAACAAAAACATTTATTCAGGAAATCATTTATCTGAATTATCGAATACATTTTCAAATTCAGACGATCCAACCTTAAAGTCATATTCAAAATCTATATCAGAAATCAAGACTTTAGAATTTCCTATTGTAAAAACCAGAAAACCTCCAATTCCTTCGCAATTTTTGAAAGATACTGATTCAAATAAATTAAATAATACATGCAAAAATTGTAATTGTGATGATTACCAGGAAAATTTATTTAAAAAAGGCATGCTTTCTCCCAAATATATTATAATATTAATGATAATAGGTCAATGCAATCAATGTTTTCATGCTCACTAATTTAAAATTTATATTTATATATTCAAAACTAATTTTTGTACAAATAGGATATATTAATAAAATATAATTATCATCTTTGATAGTATCATGAGAATTGGGGATTATTTAATATTATGTTTATTAATATTTAAGGTATATAAAAGTTTAGAAATAATTATAATTTAGAATTTAACTTCATAATTGCCTGCTTTTGATATATATCTTACCCTGTTTTTTTTTAAATATTAATCAAGTATAGACATATCAAATACCATTTAACACTTTTATAGCTTTCTTTTTCAGATATTTTTAAATACTTTAGGTGTAATCCTGAACTAGTAAACATTGGAATGAAAAAGTTTAAAGATATTGGAGGTTTAGACCAATGTTTATCATCTGATGTTGCTTTTAAAGTCGCTTCTGCCGCAAAAATATATTCCATTTTCCCTGCAATTTTAGGAATTCTAAAATAATACTAAGTATAAATCATGATTTATAGAAAAGAATTACTTCCATATAATATTATTAGAAGCAGATTCCTATAAATTCAATTACAAAAAAGGAAAATATAAATATATTTTTTATTACATATTTTGTTTTTCCCCTGTTTGCTTTAGAACTCGTATTTGCAGTATTCAATGGTGTTGGTATTTTAATAATTACATCTGTTGCAAAAAGATCTGAAGAAAATGATGCTTTAATAGTTAGCTGATATACAACCTTGGTTTTTCCAATTTCATTTATAATAGGAAAAAGTAAGAATGGTAAACGAACATTCTCTGTAACACGATATCTATTTTTACATATTAAAACCATTCCATTTTTTATAATTTTTTACTTCATCAATTCAAATTCTCCATCTGGTGGAATAAAAATAATTGATTTATCTTTATTAAAAGATCCTAATTTAACACATTGATGAAAGTGACAATTTTCCAAAGTTATATATTCACTTTTCTCCGTCTTGGATATATTTGTTCTATAAAATTCATAAATATTATAACTAAAATTCATAAATTGTTATACGAAGTTGTAGGCAATTGACTATTATTGATAAACACCTTATCAGTAAATCTTATCTTGCATTGTGGAACTCCTGAAAGTGATGATTTCATAATAATTTGACCAGAAATATCAGATCTTAAAGTAGTATCTTCATAGAATTAATAAACTTGCTTTTTTTTCAGTAATATATTACTTGCTGTCATAATAACATTGATATTTTCAATAATATCAAGATACGCTTCATTTTTTTTATATTTTATATCTGATTCTCTCCAAAAAGTCGTTCCCATCACATGTCTAGTGATTTTTGAAGAATTGTTTTTCTAAAAAATTAATCCTATACTAAACAATAATCATATGGAAACTTACAATATCATTTTCTGATTTAAATTCATTTGTTGTGATATACATTTTCAAAGAATTAATATCTGTATTTTGTGGATATCCGAAATCAACAATTTCTAGCCTCATTTACTCCTTTTCTCAAGATTTACATTCATTACCATCAAGTAACTCATAAATCAATGTAAAATTATTCTTTATAGAATCCTCATTAAATCTCTTAAAATATCCTTCATGCAAAAATATAATTTTATATAAAAATTCAAATACTAATGATGTATTTGCATTGTTTCCTGTAACTGCAACAACATATATGTTCTCATGTTTGATATGGAAAAACGTATTTGACTCAATCGTATTAATAGGTGAGTCAATCTCTTTATTAAAGAGAATATGAATCCGAAAAACGTCCTCAACCGAACGTCTACTAATATATAAACTACGGACAATATATTCCCATGTATTTACTTTAAATCCTGTTGATATATCCTACTAATTAATACTTCTCCCCTCTGATTATAAAAATATATCGCCTAATAACAAAAATCAACAAAAAAACCCCGTTTTTTCGAGCTTCAAAAAACCAAAATCATATCAATATATAATAAAACACTGTTTTCTACTGATATATCTCGAAACCCCGCTAATTAAAGGCCTTAATATCCGGTAAAAAAACAAATCTTTGTTAAATACTTTTTTTGACGAAAAAACACTCAAAATTCGTCCTTTTTTTTCCAAAAAAAAAGGAACCTATTCAAATTACCCTCAGCTATATTATCAATCTATTTATTCCGATAAAAATCCCTTATTTTATGGCCCCGCTAATTTTATTATTTTTATTATTTTTTTGACGTTCATCGAACCTCGTTTTTTTCTTAGGCACAGCAAATTTTCAAAATCCCCACTAAAAAGCCCATTTTTCCAGCTTTTTTTCTGCTTTTTTCAGGATAAATGACCAGGAAATCCATTTCTCAAGGTATTTCTATATGTTTATAAGATATATATTTCAATTGACCTTTTTTTTCCAGATGAAATTGACATATATGACCGCCAGATACGTCTTTGGGGAATTGAGGGGCAAACAAGGTAAAAACAGGGGAAAAAGAGGTTAAACAGGGTCTTACGACGGTAGTATAAGTAATTCCAGCGTTGTTCTTATCGGTGTCCGCGAATTGGGCGAAGAAATAGGCAAAAATCTGGTTTTAGCAGGTATCGGAAGTTTGACGCTTCTAGACGGGGAAGAAATCAAAGATATTGCACCAAATACACACTTCTGTATAAGTTCTTCTGATATAGGAAAAAAAGTAAATTTGAACGGGTCAAAACGGGGGATTAATTGGTGTATAGTACGCAGAAGTAGTATTAAATGAATTGAAGAGGGTTAATCCGTCGGTAAAGCTTATTGCAAGCACGGAAAATATTTTTGATCTTCCGGATGAATATTTTTCGTCTTTTGATGTTGTTATTTGTTGTGAATTGGGGCTAGATTTGATGGTAAATGAGTGTATATGAAATGAACGAATGATTTATGCAAGAAGATGCGTTTAAATTCGATATGTAGGAGATTTGGAGTAGCATTTTATAGTTGTGCTATGTATGGGTTTTATGGGTATATTTTTTCTGATCTGATTGAACATACATATATCATGTAATATTTATGGATTATATGAATGATTTATAATGTTTTAGAGAGAAAAAGGTGCAAGATAAGGCGAAAGAGAGTGTGAAAGTTCCATGTACAGAACGCTATTATCCTCTTTCAGAGATTATTCATCATAAATATGGAGAAACATTGACGCAAAAACGTAAAAAGAAGGTTTCACCTCTTCTTCCGGGAATAATGGGTAAAATAAGTATTTAGTATTTACAATATCTTATCATATTAAAGGGCTATGGAAATTTCAGCAGAAATTCTCACATTTTCCATCTAATTCTCAAGAAATAACACAATATCTTTCTATGATTAAAGAAATAAACGCACAGCTGGGTCTATCTGATGATATCTTGGAAAATAATGTTCTTATGTAAGTATATTTTTCGTATTTAAACATTATTGTAAATGTGGACATAGTAATTTGGCAAAAAAGGCTAATTACAAATGGTCACCTGTTGCATCAGTTATTGGAGGAGTCTTGGCACAAGATATTCTCAATTTTTTGAACAAACAAGAAAGACCAATCCAAAATCTGTTCTTTTTTAATGGAGAAATATGTATATATTTAAACATTTGCTAAAATACTCAACAGATCTAGGTACTGGACCCATTTATCAAGTATAAAAATCTAAATAAGGATATATTCTAATTACTAAAAATCACAATTGGCATCAAATCGCAAAGAAACATAACTATCAAGCCAAAAAAAGACATTACAGATATCTAATCAATAGCAATCCTTCTGCTAACCGAACAAGCTGATTTAGGAACATTGATCTTTAATATACCATTTTCCAAAGATGCTTTAACATGATCTCTATCAACACTTGTCGGAAAGTGGATTTTACGACTAAATTCACCCATGGCTCGCTCTTTATACCAATAGGTAACATGAGGTGGGTTTTTTGATACATTTTTTTCACAAACTTTAAGAGATTTAGTTTTAGATTTAGATTTCGATTCTTCATCCGATATCTCCTCTACTGTTGGCCCATTTCCATTCAATTTACTGCTACTATTTCGCTCAATATGTCCTTGAATAACAATCGTTTTCTCATCAATAAACTCAATTATTATATTATCTTTTCCTAGTCCTGGTAATTCTGCTTCAATTTGATATCCATTAGCAGATTCTGACATATCAATCCTTGGAGATAAAGTTCTGTCTGATAGATTCTCTTTGAAATAAATCAAAGGTTCATCAAATGTACTATGAATCAATCGTCCTAAATCCGTAGGAAAAAAACTAGTCTCAAGCACTCTAGGAAATAACATTGGGTCTTCAAAATTCTAACTGCTAATAATACGGCTTCTTTATAAATATTTATATATTTATAATCATCACTCTATCATCACTCCCACTTGTATATATACTCGAAATAAAGCTAGAAGGTACTAGAACATACTAAATTCTAGACTTTTCCTTTTTGACTTGTCATGACAGGACGAACTAATAATAACTCTTTGCTCTCATATAACAGCTGGATATTATTATTTTTTTATATATAATCTATTTTATGGCTAGACTATGTGCTTTGGATATTTTAAATTTTAGAGAGCAACAGGGACAGTTTGGTACATCTTTTAAGATACAAAATATTAGTTTATGAGGGCTTTAAAATGATGTATAAAACAGGGAGTTTTGATATAAATTTGATGAGTAGTTTTAGTATAAGATTGATGTTGACTGTACAACCCTAAGCCTGACCCTAACCCTTTTAAGAAAAGACCTAAACCTAACCCAAACCTATACAAATAGGAACCCTAGCCCTAGTACAAACCCTAACCCGGTACCAGCCCTAACCTGGTACCAACACCTAACCCTAATAACATTGATGAACTTTCAAAACGGTCCATCTTAAAGTTTGAAAAAATATCTCATTAAAATATTTATTTTAGGGTTAGGTTAATAGACCTAAATAGGGTTATATAGACAAGGGCTAGGGTTAGGTGTCGGTACCGTGTTAGGGCTCGCACTGTGTTAGGGTTAGCGCCGGGTTAGGGTTGTTCATTCAAAACGTCGAGATTCAACAAACTACACGGTAAAATATGGGGGAAGATTCATTAAATAAGGTAATTATACAGTGAAATTACAAGAAATGAAGCAATTTAATGTATAGAAAACATTGGAAAATAAAGTTTTATCATTAGAAACAAAATTAAATGAACTTACGGAAAAACAAAAAACACTTCAAGCAACTTTAAAGTGATTTGATAATTTTTTTGAATTAATAAAAATAACTAAGTTTCTGTAGAAATCCTGATGCAACAAGTACTGTTAAACAACATATTATGCTTCTTCATAAATATAATGAGATACGTGATGTTGCATTAGGGTTAATGGGAAAAATTGCAGAACAAGAACATTGTCGACTCGTTGATGTAATGGATAGATTTGGTATTACCAAAGATGATTAATATTGATTTAAAAAAAGGCTTTTTTAAACATTTTGCTGTTGTTCAATAGGGTAGGTTTAGGTTATATATTTATAGGGCCAGGGTAAGGTATGGGGTTAGGGTTAAACTAGCACAGATAAAAATCCGTCGTCACATTTTATTAATTATTAAATATTTATTTTTAAAAAAAAGATGGTAAGTTGAAATATTTTGCAATATTTTATGAAAAAATCGAATTTCCACACCAAAAAAACATAGTATCTTGTTTTTGAAGGAAAAAAAAAGACCAAGTTTTGAACAGAATAGTGAAAAATACATAATTTTTAAATGATAAGAGAATATCCATGTTTAAACTAATGTTAAATATAGTCGTCGCACAAAACTTTTCGAACAAAAATTATACTTGCTCGTGCTCAACGACAGAATCGACCGATTCCTCAATGGACTCGTTTACGAACGGGTAATCGAATTAAATAGTATGTTTTGAATAAAATCCCATGATTCATGTTAAATGTTATCAGTAATGCTAAGAGAAAACATTGGCGCCGAACAAAATTAAATATCTAAGTTTTTTAATAACTAACTTGAATAATTTTGACTGGTTTATTTTCTAACTTTGATGATAACCATTTTTGAGCCATTGTTTTAATAATAAATAAAGAATATCTTATTATTTTTATGTTGCTCTTGGTGTTATATCGGTTGTTTCGTTATTTAAAAGACTCATTCGAGGCGTTTTTAAATCATTCCTGATTGCACTTGCATGTCTCTGAGTTGCTGCAAGAAGAAGCCTGCCCCCAGGGCTAAGCATAACTTTCCTTAGATCAGGACTGCTTGAAAACTTGGGTATTTCTTTTAGAAATGCTGCTGGTGTTTTTGCACGCTTTTTCTTTTTAATTTCCTCTGTTATTCGATGATGTAATATCTCTCTTGCTGGAATATCCGGCATTTTAAACCCTCGTCCAGGTGTTCCTGGAGTCCCAATTGACTCTGACTCCGATCCCATTCCTTTACTTAATTTTCTTGACTTTTTTAAGACTTTTGGTGATGGCGTAGGCGCCTCATCGACAAATGTCCATCCTGCCACTTCTGGTTCTTTATCAATCGCTGAAACAGACGGTGATGCAACATATTCTTGCCTTTCTAATGGCATTCGTGTTGCATGATATACAATTGACTTTTCTGCTTCTAATGGCAGAGATTTAGCTTTCGTATAATCTGTCTCTGGCGTAAACATCAATGCATTCATAGGCTATAAAATATACATATGTTAGTCGATTTTCCGCTTAAATAGAAATAATAAAAATCAAAATTCTATCATTTACATTAAAAGGCCATGCTTCTGGTTGGGCTGGTCGCCCTTCTATATTCCCAATATTATTCCCCGCCATTATCCGACGTCGCTCCTCTTCTTTAACACGATCACTATCAATCTTGTTTCTATTATCCCAGACCCAACGATATGCTTCTCTTTGACGTTCATTCTGCCGCTCTAAAATATCCGAAAAAGAGGCATTATCTTCTGATGTATATGTTGCTTGAAATTCATCCAAAGAAAGACCTTTTTTACACAATGAAGAGACCATTTCATTAGAATATTCTTCATGAAGATCCGGAAAAAAATCTCTCCTGATAATATCACTCAATGCTTCCTGGTATACATCTTCTTCCAAGACATGAGGTATTCTTTTTTTCCTGATAAAAGGCTTTATATTGTCTTTTTCAACCGGGTTTTTTGGAATACATTTTAAATCCTTATTTTCATTAATAATTTGTTCTTTTTTCATCAAAAAATCTGACGAAAATATGGGTTTTTTTGAAAAAATCTTTTTCTTAAGTTTTGATGAGGTTGAAAGATGCCCGTCTAGTAAAGTAGAAATCTAACCCGGCCCTAACCCTAACAGGACGAGCCCTAACAGAGAAGAACCCTAACACAGTAGAACCCTAACACATAACCCTAACATAGAACCCTAATTTAGAACATCGGGGTATAACCCTAACATCAATATAATCCTAACATATAATCCCAAGTATTCGTAGCTTTTACCATATAAACCTAAACTATAAGGGTAAGCTATAAGAGTAAACTATAAGAGTAAATTATAACCCTAATGCATAACTCTGAAATGTACTTTTAAAAGGTAGTTCTAAAAGGTAACTCCACTCCAGCATCTATTAAAAGGAAGCCCTACCCTAATATACAAACACAGGGTCCAACCCTAAAGCGGAGTCTAACTTGGACGAACACAATAGAAGAGAGAGCATAACCCTAACCCCTTAGTTATAACCCTAACTTTTAACCTAACCCTACAACGACAACTGACTACCCCTGAACCCTAAAAATTAACATAAGGGTTAGGGTTTAGCAAAAAATAATATAAAAGGCCAGAATTCCCCCCAAAAAATCTAAATTTTTCTATGATTTTAGAATGTCGACTTCAACGCTGCCTTTCTCAGTGACATTTGTAGCGGGAGCGGCAGCAGGAATTTCAGAGGTTAGGGTTATTATTTTTAATGATTTAATTATAAAGTTAGATATTTTTAATGTATCCTTTAGATGTGGTATGAAAGAAGAAAAGGAGTCAAGATTCATTCATATGAAGCGAATGAATCGTTTTGTGTATTGAATTAAATGGATAAGGTGAAAACGCGATTTCAATTGAATGTGGGAAAGGCGGAATATCAAGGAATGACGAATTATTTAATATCTATTATTAAAAAAGAAGGGTAAAAGGAGAGGAGAGGAGAAGAATTGAGGTTATTAATGGAGGAATGGAACAGGATTTTCCGATTATATCGAGGGATTTTACCGCCTATTTTAATGGAAGCACCGAAAAGGTGTTGAACGAAATTCTTTAAAAAAAAAGGAATGAATGATTAATTGATTTTTTTGTATAGAGCGACAAAATTTGCGGCAAATGAGCATTGGGGAATATTCTATCGTAATCTTTTTGGAAGGGAAAAAATGAACCAAAGTTTAAGTTTAATAACGGGTGCAACAGCAGGAGCTACGGAGTACGTCTGTCTATAAAAAATATACATTAAAAATATTGTTAATATTTTTATTTTCAAGATCGTTTATCGTTGTTCCTTTTGAGGTATATATATTTTTTTTTTATGTAATGGTTCTTCGTTTTATAACAATATGATTAGCTTATTAAAATTCGGTATTTTTTCTCTTATATTTTATAGAAAAAAAAAAAGTATATTTACATAGAGATTCAGGCTTCAGGATAAAGCAAATATATCAAAGTACAAAGGTGCTCTTGATTGTTTAATAAAGATTTCACGGGATGAAGGATTTTTTGCGCTTTATAATGGATTAGAAGCAACGATGTTTCGGTAGGAATAATTACAAGGAAATTGAACACTTATAGAATGAATAATTATGGACTAGACATATTACATGGAATGCAGGATATTTTAGTGTGATTTTTTCTGTTCGAGAGAAACTTAATCAATCGGATTGGCAAATGGATGAACGATTTAAAAATTTTTTGGCAGGTACGCTGGGCGGTATTTCTGGAACATTGTTAAATACACCTTTTGACGTGGTAAAATCTCGAATACAAAATACACCAAAATTATTAGGTCAAAAACTTAAATACAATTGGGCTATTCCTTCTTTATGGACTATTTATAAAGAAGAAGGTTTCTTTGCATTATATAAAGGATTTTTACCAAAAGTTGTTCGTTTAGGTCCTGGTGGAGGTATTCTTTTACTTGTTTTTGATCAAGTATTTTAAAAAGTAATTATTTTATTTAATTTTAATGATTATCTTTTAGATTATTCAATTTTATAAAAAGAATTTTGCTGAAATATAATATAACTCTGAGTGTAACCGGAGTGTATTCGAGTGTACTGAAGTGCAACCTAAGCGCAACCCCAACCCTAACCCTATCTTATTCCCTCGACTCCTACCTAACCCTACTCCTACTCCAACCCCAACCCTACTCCAACCCCAACCCTACTCCTACTTCAACCCTAACTCCACTCTATCTTTCAATAGCCCCGCTTATCAGTTAAACTAATGGACACCCGGCTGTCCCGCCACATAATCGGTCTCCACCCATCTCCTTCTAAGAAGCATATAAACCCATATAAATTGACAAAATTACCACATAAATTAAGAGATTCACATTGATTTTAAAATTTACCTTATATATGCACCCATTGATATTACAAGATATTATTCAAACGGAAACAGCAACACTTCAAGACCAAACAGAGCAAATATGCCTACCCTATTTGACGAAAGAAGTGAATCCTAAACTTGACCAAAAAACTCATGTTGAATATCTATTAAATATATTAACTAATCCTCTTCCAAAGTCATATTTGACTTTAGACGCGTCTCGTCCTTGGATTATTTATTGGACTTTATGCGCATATGCGTTATTAGGACAATCAGTAGAGGAGTATAGAGAAAGGTAAGACATAAAGAAATAGCTATAGAGATGTTCTCTATGAGGAATTGGAACGTATATTTAACGGATTACCGGATTGTATGCGTCTTTTTCTGGAATATATGCATTGGATTATATATGCTGGAGCATGACATATATGATATATATGATATATAGATGGATTATAGATGGTTAACAAAAGAGCAGAACTATACAGTCAATTTCAGCGTTACAGCTAGAATCGGGGGGTTTTAGTGGTGGGCATGGTCAAATTGCTCATTTGGCGCCTACATATGCAGCCGTTATGGCACTTTGTATTGTTGGGAGTGAAGAAGCATATGATACAATTAACCGGTCAGTTTTTAGATTTATATTGTTTAAAATAATGTAATATTTCCTAAGATCCAGTCTTTATTGCTGGATAATGCGATTAAAACAATCGGATGGAAGCTTTGTGATACATGAAGGTGGAGAGAAAGATGCACGGTAGGCAAATAATATATGAAACAAGAGATTATTGAAGGAATTGGGTTTAGAGCGGTGTATTGTGCATTATCAGTAGCGTCATTATTAAATCTTATGACGCCAGAATTAATTGAAGGAACAGCAGTATGGCTTTCTAGGTGATTTATATTATAATAAATTAATAATTTTAATATATGAAAGATGTCAGACGTATGAAGGAGGATTATCAGGATTTCCAGGAGCAGAAGCACATGGTGGTTATGCATTTTGTGTATTAGCATCGTTATCTATGATTGGAAAGCCAAATATGATATTTGATCAATATCTTAATATATCTAAATTAATGGCAAGAAAATTGGGATGAAAAGGATGGGAATATTCTAATTGTAAGGTAGAGATGGTTAGCATTTCGTCAATCATCAATAGAAGGAGGATTTTCAGGACGAACGAATAAATTAGTTGATGGATGTTATTCATGGTGGGTTGGAGGATGTTGGGCAATTCTTTCGAGCGTAATGGGGGATATTAGGACACCATTAATTGATAAAGGTATTTTATAAGACATTTATTTATTAAAATATATAACAATTATATGAAATAGATGCTTTACGAAGGTTTATTCTTACATGTTGTCAATATAAAACGGGTGGACTTAGAGATAAGCCGGAAAAGCAAGATATCAGGGTTTTTTTTATTATTTTAATTAATTTAATATAGATATCCCGATCAATATCATACATGTTATTGTATTTCTGGTCTTTCAGTTATACAAAACGTTTATTTTTATTCTGAAAAAGATAAAAAAGATACAGCATTAGGTGAATCTGTATTTAATTGGCATCATGATCATCTTATAGAACAATCTATCTTTACTACTGATCAAGTTAAGGCTGTACACCCTATTTTAGCCATTCCTATGGACAAGCTTTACGATATTTGGCTTTGGCGTATAAAAAAAGGTTCTATATAAATGTAGCTTCGAGTACAATATATCGAATGACATTTATTCACCTTGTTATTCATGTATTTTTTTCATATTTTTTACAAGGCTGGATCTCGAATACCAAAGCTTATATAGATATATCTATAAAGGAATACCATATTACATGAAAGAATGTCTTTATGATAAAATGTTAACATGTGTTTATTGTTTAAGCATATGTTTTTATCCAGAGGAAACACCTTGGCTTGAAATATACCTTGAACGGGTTTTTGGTACTTCATTTACAGCAGATCTTTTATACAAAATAAAACAAGGAAAAAAGCATCCAAAGACCGATATTTTTGAGCCGTTACCATCAGAAAATTATGAATATTATCAGGATATATATAAACGTGCGGCAGAATACAGTTGGAGTGTAAAAGAAAGCACATTTGAAAAACAAACAAATATTTTTTCATTAAATAAAGGAAAAACCCCAGTAAATAACATTATTAAAGGAGAGGATTCACGGGTAGAATATATATTTGTTGAATGGTTAGATATGGAGGAAAAAATAGGGAAAAAAAAGAAAGTGAAATGTCAAAAAGAGGGTTTATTTAAAGATGAAAAAACATCATCTAATTCACCGTTAAATGATAAAATATCACGCGCACAATATGTTCCAATTAAAGAGGATAACATGAATACTCAAAAGCATGGGATTGCAAATTTTGGGTTTGGAGTGATACATATTTATCGTGATGGAAACATGTTATCTGCCAAGGAAGAATGGGATGGAGAAGGGCTAACGCCAAAGGATAAGATTGTAGCGATTCTTGCGGTTCCAAGTTATATGAGTACATATGATTTTTTAGGGTTTGTAGGTGAAGATGTAAAGAATCAAGTTAGTCATTTTAGAATTATCAGGTAAGATATTAAAGAATAGTGAGAAGACAGAGCTATGATATTAATAAACTGGTAAAAATATTTATCAGTCTGTTTTTCGCTATTTTTATCATTATTTTTCACTTTGATTATAAGTTAACAATAAGAAGAACAAGTGCACCAAATCGATATATGGTTTTACTTAAATTTAGACAATTCAAAAGTGCCAAAGCATTCTACAAAGCGTTTAATGGAAAGTCATTTAATTCCACAGAGGTAATGAACAATTTAATCATAATCTTTTGAATTTAGGTTTTATATAGCCGGAAAAATGTCATACTGTTTTCATTAAACAGATTTTATTTCAGTCGAAACAGAATTTGCAAAAGGAACTTTCATCTTCTATAGATGATTCAATTTTACCCGTTTTTGATATATCTGAAACGAGTCAAACGATGTCTACGTTAACAATGCCTATTGCATCATCAACATTTGGTCTTCGTGAGCTTCCAACATGTATTTTTCTTGATTTTGTGTCTTCGATTTATTCACATTTAAAATATAGGTGTTGTTTGTTTAGAAAGGATGGATGCATCAGTAACCGGGCTCTTAACTATATTGTATGTTTATAATTTACAAGGGAAAAAAACAATTGATCTTTCTAGATGTCAACATACATTTCATTGTCAATGCTTAAGTAAATGGGGAGAAAATAAGTATGTTTAAGTTAACATTTTATTTAAATATTAATTCCTGAAGTTGTCCTGTATGTCGATATTCGCAACAAAAGGATGTTTTGAATGCCGCTAGGATTAATAGTCAATGTAGTGTTTGTGATTCTCAAGAAAATTTATGGATTTGGTTTTTTTTTTTTTTTAATCTATTTTTTTACACTTTTTTTTACTTTTATTAGTTTAATTTGTGGACATATTGGATGTGGTCGTTATGATCTTGCACACGCTTATGATCATCATATTAATACAGGACATTGTTATGTCATGGACATGGAAACTGAAAGAATATGGGATTATGTGGGCGATTGGTATTTCCTAACACTATTTTATTCATAATACCAGTTAATATTTAGTTATGTACATCGATTGATCCCGAATAAAATCGATGGAAACTTACTTAAATTTCCATCTACTTCTTATGCTCCAAATACTGACTCTTCTGTATCAGAACAAAATTATTTAGATATGAAGGAAAAAATGGAATCAATGAGTCTAGAATATACATATCTTTTGACATCTCAACTTGAGCTTCAAAGAATTTATTACGAAAATAAGATAGCAGCTGCAATGGATAAAGCAAAAAAAGCATTAGAATCAGAAAAACATGTTAATGAAGAAATGAATAATCTTATGAAAAAAATATCTGAATTAGAAACCAATTTCAATGATTCTCAAAAAAAAATCAATGAATTAAAATTATTAAATTCTCAAAATGAAAAAAAACTTGAAAAATCTACTGAGCTGGCTCGGCGTATGGAAAAAGAATGGAAAGAAGAAAAATTACTGAATTCTAAATTAATGCATCGAATTGAACATTTAAACATTGAAAATAATAAAATACAACTTCATTCCGATAACTTAAAATTAAAAATTGAAGATTTGTCTGATCAATTAAGGTATTTTATTATTCTTTTCTGATCTATTATATTTCAAAAAATACCTTGATCTAACTTAAATATTAGAGATGTTATGTTTTTTATTTCTTCTCAGAAACACCTCGACACTATGGATGATGCTCAAAAAAAAGAACTTCAAGAAGGAACCACTTTTATTCCAAAGAAACCTAAAAAAAAAATAAAAAATAACATTTATCTTTAATATGTATAATATTTGTTGTTTTTTTCACACATCTCTATATTTATATATATATAAGGTCACGTGCGCACTTGATTTACACTTATCGCTCGTCACGATAATAAAATTTAAGAGAAAAAGAGATGGTTTCCTCGACGTTTTATCGTAAGTTTTAGAGTATAAATAGAAGTTTTAAAGACATACTTATGATTTAATAGGATCGGAAGAGATTTCTATGGTGAAATACGAAAAAGAACGGAGAAAAACGAGTAGATATTGATGAAGTTTAGGTTCAGTTTTATTTTCCGGTAGAAGTGGCTAAAATGACGGTATCAGCCCTTGGGGACCTTGGAATTGTTCAATTCTGTGATGTAATATATATATATAGTTTTTTTTCCGGGAAAAATTGAAGGATTTTAGCTAAATGAGAATATTAATGTTTTCCAAAGGGCGTTTGTCAAGGAGATAAGACGACTAGATGAAGTAGAACGTCAACTACGTATTTATTTTATCTAGTAAAGTGTTAATTTCTAAGAAAAAACTAGAATTTTTATATGAAGAAATTAAAAAAACAGATATTAAGATTATAACAGCGGAAGAAGGCAATAATATGACTAGAATGCCTAATCATCATGAAATAGATGCGTTATTTGAGAAGGCATCATTTTTTGAGGGCCGTATTTGCTCATTAAATGAGTCATATCGGACATTAGAGAAGCAATATTTAGGATTATTGGAATTACGTTATGTACTTGAGGAGACAGAGCAGTTTTTCAGTAAAGTGAGTGAAGAATAGTTGTTTTTTTTCGATTTTTGGGTTGATTAGTGTATAATAGAATTATTGTATTCAAGAGTCGTCTATATCTATTAACGATATGGATACAGCACCACTATTGGAAAATGATGCAGAGCAAAATACGGCTAATATTCAAGGGTTAATGGGTACGAGTATTGGGTATTATCTATTGGTGCTATATACGAAATGATTTTTATATTTTATTAGATTTACAACGGGTGTTATTCCTCGTATACATATGGCAACATTTGAGAGAATTTTATGGAGAATGTTACGTGGAAATCTTTACATGAATCAAGTGGAAATAGTTAATCCTATTAATGATCCTATTACAAATGAACTTATTGATAAAAATGTTTTTATTGTATTTTCTCATGGAAAAGAAATTAATAATAAGATTCGAAAGATTTCAGAGAGTTTAGGTGCTACTTTATATAATATAGATAGAAGATATTCAAAAAGATGTGCGCACATACAGGAAACTAATCTTGCTATTGATGATCTTATGTCTATTTTGAAGAATACTAAACAAACTGTCTATACAGAATTACGAATAATTGCAGAGAATATAGTTAATTGGATGACAATTGTTAAAAGGGAAAGAGCGATCTATCAAATTATGAATTTATTTATATATGATCAAAACCATAAGTGTTTAATTAGTGAAGGATGGTGTCCTACTAATAGTTTATATTTAGTACGAAATACTTTAAGAGATGTTACAGAACAAGCGTGTATTCAAATGCCATCTATTTTGAACGAGATTAAGACGTCAAAGACACCACCGACATTTCATTCTACTAATAAATTCACAAAAGCATTTCAAACAATTGTTGATGCATATGGTGTTGCATCTTATAGAGAAGCGAATCCTGGTCTTATAGCTATTGTTACATTTCCATTTTTATTTAGTGTAATGTTTGGGGATCTTGGTCATGGGTTTCTTATGTTCATTGCTGCATTATATTTATGTTTAAATGAGAAAAAACTTGAGAAGAAAAATTATGGAGAGGTTTTCCTTTTTAATTTTAATGATATTCTTATTTTTCTAATATATATTTATAAGATTTTTGATATGGCATTTCAAGGGCGTTATATGATACTTTTAATGAGCATATTTTCTATGTATACAGGGTTAATTTATAATGATATTTTTTCAAAACCAATGAGTCTCTTTAAATCTGGTTGGGAATGGCCTGAACCTTCAGGAAATTCAACTGTTACTCTAGCAAAGAAGGTCGGCGTTTATCCATTTGGTATAGACAGTGCATGGCATGGATCTGAAAATGCACTTATATTTTTAAATTCATATAAAATGAAAATGTCTGTTATTCTTGGCGTTATTCATGTAAGTTTACTTTTTTTTTCAATTTTAAGATTTACAATTCCTAGATGTCATTTTCTCTCATGCTTTCATTAACAAATCACTTATTCTTTGAAACTACAATAGACATTTGGACTCAATTTCTTCCTTCTTTTTTATTTCTTCAATCTATATTTGGTTATATGGTCTTTGCTATAATCTATAAATGGTCTGTAGATTGGTCTAAATCTCAAACTACACCTCCTGGTATTCTCAATATGTTGATCTTTATGTTTTTATCACCAGGAAAAATTGAAGAACCTTTATATAGAGGACAGAAATATGTACAAATATTTCTTCTTATTCTATCTTTAATATGTATTCCTTGGTTATTACTTGCAAAGCCATTGGTTCTTAAATATGAACATCATCGAGCTATTCTTCAAGGTTATCAAGGTGTTTCCAATCGTTATTCTACTACAATAGATGATACCGATACTGACAGAACACCTTTATCATCATCAGAACCTCATGAACACTTTGATTTTGCTGAAATATTGATTCATCAAATTATTCACACTATTGAATTTTGTTTAGGCTGTTTATCTCATTGTGCAAGGTAACTTTATTCTGTTTTCCTTATTTTATTTACTCATAATATAAAGTTATCTTCGATTATGGGCCTTGAGTCTTGCACATAATCAATTGAGTGCTGTTTTATGGTCTATGACTTTAAAGATCGCCTTTAGAAGAACTGGCATTACTGGCGCTATTTTATTAGTCTTTATCTTTGCTTTCTGGTTTATTTCAACAATTGTAATTTTATGTTTAATGGAGGGTAATTAATCATTTCTTAAGGTTTTCTTTCATTCTTAACACTCTTAGGAACAAGTGCCATGCTTCATTCACTACGACTTCATTGGGTAGAAGCTATGTCTAAGTTTTATCAAGGTGAAGGCTATCCTTTCGAACCTTTTCGTTTTACAGATAAAATTTAATAATCCATACTATTTTATTCTACACTATATACAAAACTATATTCATCATACAAAGCTATATTCATCATACAAAATCATATTCATCATACAATACATATTTATCATATAATATACATTCAAATCAGATATTCTTTATTCAAACTAATTATTTTTCATTCAATTACACATTTATTCTCATATTTATTAACAATATTCAGTTCCAATATTCAACTCTAATATTCACCTCCAATTTATTACAAATATCTGTCCTTTGCAAATGGTTTATACACGATAACGAGCTGCATCACTTTGCTTACGAAGAGACCCCGTTAATCGTCGGTCCCGTTCCATCATTTGTTTATCCCATTGATCCAATGAATATCGAGGACTCTTCATTAATATTAGAGATCTTGTATTAACCCCATATACTTAGGTTTCTAGATCATATGGCTACATACATAACCTTCATTACGATAATGTTTAGCTGCTGATAAAAGTCCTCCTGTCACTGCAAACATACCAATAATAATACAGAAAGGCAATAGTGCTTCATGCGGCAACGGCATTTCTATGATATTTGATCTATTTGATCGAAATAATAAATATTAAGGGTTTTTATTAAATTTTATAAGGGAAAACAGGGAAAAAAGGGTTTTTTACGAGATTTTATTTAAGACAAAGGTTTTTATAATCGTTTTATAGAGAAAGAGGAGGATAAAGTAGGGTAAAAGTAGGGTAAAAATAAGGTTTAAAATGGAGTTTAAAAGTGGAGTAAAAGTAGAGTAAAACTAAGGGTAAATAAGACTAATTAAGGGTTTAATAAAGGGTTAAGAGTTAGTTGAAGGTTAGTTGAAAGTTAGGGTGTCAGGTCCAGGTCAGGGTTAGGGTTAAATATAAGGGTTGACACCGAGGGTTAGGGATTAGGGTCTAAATGGTTAGGTTTAAAGGGTTCAAGGGCAAGGGTTAGGGTTCACGTAAATACAGGGTTAGGAGTAGGGTTAGGGACTTGATAGGTCATCCTGTTTCAATACAACTTATTTATAGATCATTCAATACTCTTTATCTTAACCTTAAGATGGAGATAAATGAACTAAGAAAACGTCAAAGAGAAAGTGTTATTGAAAGAACATTTGGGGGTGTATTATCAGTTGAAGAAGCAGATACGTCAGGAACGGTACCGGATAGTGAGGATCGAGAAGGATTTGTTGAAGCTAGTCGTAAAGCAGAGGTATGTCAATAATACTTTATACGGGCATTATACGCATGATATTTGGGATATATATGGATTATATGCGTCATATATGCGTCATATATGCGTACTATATGCGTACTATACATACGTGTTATGAGGACGCGACATATAAAAATGCATATAATACGGATAGAAATGTATACATTATAGATAAGGGCGCATATACCCCGGATAAAAGTATATATATGACGTATAAAAGCGCGTATATGATAAGGCTTATTAATATAATTACTAACATGATAAGGCACGTCGTGCTAGAGAACGTCGTGCTAGTAGTAATACAAATTCAGAAGGAATTATACAATCAATTCAATTTGGAAATTTCGAAATAGATGCTTGGTATGTTTCGCCATATCCAGAGGAATATAGTCATAATAAAATCATTTATATCTGTGAATTTTGCCTTAAATATATGAATAGTGAATATGTAGCTTGGAGGCATCGAGTAAGTCACGTGATCCATGAATAAGAAGATAATAATAGAATAGATAAAATGTCCTATGAAATGTCCACCAGGAGATGAAATATATAGAGATGGGACTCTTTCAGTGTTTGAAGTTGATGGAAGAAAAAGCACGGTAAGTTTATGTATAATAAGAATATGGAATAAAAAGATAGATAGAGTGAAAAAGATATATTGTCAGAATTTATGTTTACTATCAAAGATGTTTTTACAGTCAAAAACTCTGTATTATGACATTGAACCATTTTTGTTTTATATTGTTACGGAATATGATGATATTGGATGTCATTTTGTAGGATATTTTTCAAAAGTAATAAGAAAAAGAGGGGAAAAATATGCTAATAAAATGAAAGGAAAAGCGATCGAATAGTGATTATAATGTTTCATGTATTTTGACACTTCCTGTTTATCAAAGGAAAGGATATGGGAATTTTTTGATTGAATTTAGTTATCTTTTAAGTAAACGAGAGGGTAAAATAGGAACACCGGAAAAACCATTATCATATTTGGGTTTAGTTTCGTATAGAAATTATTGGAAGATTAAAATGTGTTATGAATTGTGCAATCTAAAGAAACCAACAAGTATACAAGAAATTTCTAAAAGAACATCGATGACACCAGATGATATAATATCAACATTAGAGCGATTAGATGCTTTAGTGCATGATCCTATTTCAAAGATATATGCAATTAAAGTGGATCAAAATAAGCTTCAAAATATATGTGATAAATGGGTTCAAAAGGGTTATCAACCTGTTAAGCCGGATTGTTTAAAATGGGTTCCATTTCTTCAAGGTAATTTATCGGATCTAAAGGAAACCATTAATATATCATCATTACCATCGACGCATCGTAAATCTGATCTTAATATGAATAATGATTCTGAGGAGATTGAAAAAAATATAGCATGTCAATCAAATGGAGTTTTTGACGAAATACAAAATAAAATGGAATGTTCTGCATTGTTTCACGATGGTTTTTCATCAGTTGGTAATACCGATTTATCATTTTCAATGAATAATAATAATATTTCCGTTAAAACTGAAAACATTTCTAAAGATACGTTGAATAGGTTGATTCCTGATTCACGTTTTCTACCAGTTACTTCAATTTTTCATCAAAAAAGTGCGTGTAAACGAGGAAGACCTCTTGGAAAAACTAATCGAAAATTGAATATTTTTTCATCAGCACTTGCGACTTCAAAAGAATCTTCTTCTCTTGAATTTCATGATAAAATTCAAAACCTTTCTTATAATAAACTTGATTCATATAATACTTTAGACAAATCAAATCCACCTGATTGATTAATTCTCTGCAAAATTTTTTTAAAAAATATTCTTATAATTTATATAATTATTGAAAGGGAAGGTGAATTCAAATTTTTAACATTCTTTTTTATCTCGGTAAGATTTTCCTTTTTTTTCTTTGATTTGTTTTTTCTCTTTATTTACTTTTTTTAAGGCTTGCTTCTTTTTCCTTTTCAATAATTTTCTATCTTCATATGTTTTTTTAAGATATTCTTGGATCTTGTATAATTGAGCATTAATATTTGTATTTCGAAATGCTAATTGAGTTTCAAGCGATTCATTTACATTATTTTCAACTGGATTATGAATATTAATTCTTCTAGACGTTTGCAAATATTCAGAAAGAAATGTAATCGAATTACAAGTATTTAAACGTTTAAAAGAAATAACATTAAATGTCGGTAAAGCCGAGAATGATTCAGACTGCATCAATATATATATACATATACATATATATACATATATATATATGTATATAACCCTTATTTTCTTCTTTGAAACGGATTAAAAAAACGCATCAAATAAAGTGATTTTTTCAAGTCGTATAAGAAAAATTAAACGATATTTCTTATCTTTTTTTCTTAATTTTCAAAATAAATTTAATAATCGATTATTTAAGACTTGCAAAAAAAAAAGGATTTTTTTTTATTTTTAAAGCTTAAATGGCAGATACAATTGAAGCAGTATTAGACGATTTTCGTACTTATATTTTTTTTTAATTTTCCTTGTTTTATATTATTTAGGTCATGGACATTTTGTACTTGTTATGGATAATGAAGATCGTGAAAATGAAGCAGATTTAGTTTTGGCTGCAGAGTTTATGACTTCAGAAAAAATGGCATTTATGGTTCGACATACTACTGGAATTATATGTGTTCCTTTGTCTCAACAGCGTTTAAATGAATTAAATATTCCTTTAATGGTTGAATCGAGTGAAAATACAGAAAATATGGGAACAGCATTTACTATTCCGGTTGATTTTAAAGGTTAGTTTGACCTTTTTGTTTATAATATATATATATATATATATTGATACATATATATAAATAGATACATCAACTGGTGTTTCAGCTCAAGATCGTGCATTAACTGTTCGTATGTTAGTAGATCCTCAGATCACATCTCCTCAAATGTTTCGAAAACCAGGACATGTTTTCCCACTAAGGCCAATGGAACGAGGATTATTAGATCGGCAAGGACATACAGAAGCAGCTATAGGTACAAAATTAAAATAAATTATATTATATATAATTAAAAAAAATATAGAATTATGTAGATTAAGTGGAGTAAAAATGGGTGCTGCTATTGGCGAACTATTAAAAGAAGATGGATCAATGGCACGTAAAGAAGATTGTGAAATATTTTCAGAAAAATATAAGATTAAAATGATTACAATTTCTTCTTTAGTAGAATATATATCTAATGGTTATCACTAATATAGCCGTTGTCAAGGGTAACAAAAATAGTGTTAATAATAAGATGCTATTATTTTACATAATTTTACATTTTACAACCATTTTTTCAAGCGCGAAAGATGATAATTAATCGTATTGACTGTTTGAATTTTTTGAGTCTTTAAGTTGATTTATTTAGTTTAAAAAAAAAAAAAAAAACCAAAAAGTACCTTTTCTTTCATACAATTTTCTAAAGCATCTACAAAAGCTTTACAGGCTATTACATCAGGTTCACCTCCATGAGTTGCCCAACATCCAAGCATTGCACTCATTTCGGTCATACATGGGCCTAATAAAAAAATTATAAAAAAAACATATTTAGAAAGAAACAAGTAATATACTAATTGTGCGATTTCTTTGGGGCTTTACTCTTAGTTTTTTTAACCGAAAATGAGGAATTACAGACATTTTTTAATTTTCGAAAAAAATCTAAGTTTAATAATAAGAAAGTTATAAAATATTTAAAGAATAGTTTGAAATAAGATATTCTGATTAATGAGATATATATAATAAATTGTATTGCTTTTTTAAAAAAGTAATTTCATAAATTTAATAAAATTAATGATCACATTACATTGCATGCTATAAAAGCCAGAATTGATATTTTATATAATAATATAAAAATCGTTTTTTTGATAAACAGTATTCATATGTTTTCCATTTTAGATGAATGATTTGTATATTTAAATCATATTCTTAGAGGTATTGGGTATTTAGAAAACTAAAAAAAAATTCTTTTAGATTGCTTCCCTATTTGTCTGAGCCAAATCATCCATTAACGATGAATTATCAACAATAATTCGTCGACCCCGTTCTTCTTCAGGAACTCCATCCGCTGCTGCTCCAAAATCCAAAACTTCAATGTAAGTTATATGATCCCTTTGTACTGCTGCGACACAACGACGTTCATCAAAGCGAACTTGCCATACACCCGATAAATCAGTAAGTATATTAGCTACAAAACGCCCTGTTCGAACATCCCACATTTTAAGAAGGCCATCACTACCACTAATTACTTTATTTTCATCATGCTGAAAACATGTTATAGCTCCTGTATGAGAAGAAAGTACATGAATACATTTCCCAGTATCAGGATCCCATATTCTTAGTGTAGAATCAGCGGCTGCAGATACCAAATAATCATATGAGAGATCTAAAAGACCTACTAAAGAACTATGACCTAATAATATTTAATATACTTTTTAATGACGAATAAATATTGAAAAAAACCTTCTAACGTCCAAAGACAAGTGCCTGTTTCAAGACTCCAAATTTTTACTTTCCAATCCATACTTCCACTTACACATCTATTTCGTTTTGAATCAATTACTACACTATATACCTTTTGAGAATGACCGACTAATCTCCATATACATTCTCCTGTAGAAATCCTCCAAACTCGAACTGTACTGTCATAGCTACCACTAACCAAAATATTATTATATCCAGAAATAGCTCTTACTGAATTTGTATGACCAACAAGAGTTCTTATATAATAAGGATTAGTAGATACATTAGTACTATCTGTATTAACAGCATTTGGAGAAGAAGGGGGTGATGGTCTATAATGAGCTTCTCCAGGTTGTGGAAGTCTCCATACACGCAATGTGGAATCTCGTGATCCTGTTACAATTACTGAAGTGTTTATTTGCTTTTTAGTTCCATTATGAACAAATTCTATATTTGTAGAAGGTAAAATTTGAAGACAACGTACGGTTGAAATATGTCCTTCAAATATTTGTGTACATTCACCTTTAGCAATATCCCAAACACGAACCGTACGATCGGTAGAACCTGATACTAAAGAATTACCTAAATATTGTAATGCCCAAACACCTCCTTCGTGACCTTGCAATCTTCTTCGAAGTTTTCCTGTTGAAGTGTCATAAATATTTATACTACTATCATCAGAGCCTGTAATGATTTTGTCTGCATCAAATTGCAAACATGTAACAACATTGCGGTCATGACATCGAAAAGAAATATGCCGTGGTTTTATATTGAGGCTCATCCAATTCTTTCGAATAATATGATGTTTTTTATATAATGCTTTAAATAAATGTTGTTTTTGAATAAGATCGCTTTCTTTATTTTCTACTTTTTGAAAATATTTTTCAGTAGTTTCTCTATGCTCCGCAAGAGAATGCTTTTGGTTCTGAATATTCAAAGCTTTTTCAGATTTTTTGGAATATATATTCGAATTAATATGCATAACATGCTTTGTTTCTTTTAACGTATGTGTTGAAGATGTATCATTTGAATTCTCGCATTGAGGAACCCAGCCTTCTGAAGCAATTTGATCAAGCTCGTTATCCCGTAATTTAAAACCATCTACATCAAAACGCATTTTCCAAATCCATTCATCTGCATCAACAATTTGTTTCCATTTCTTTGATACCTGTGTTGCACGGCATAACGATTTTACATCCAATTCTTTCAAAATATTGAATGCTAATTCAAATGGCAGAAGAGCGAGAAAATCCCGTTTAAGCGTTGGATTAACCAGATTTGCAACAATCTGTAGAGTTGTTTTATTACATCGACGAAGCAAATGATGTATAAGATATGTTTGAATATTAGGCGGTAAATTATCAAAAATATTCAAAATTTCCGGAATTCGAATTATGGAATTTCCCTGGTCAGATAAAACAAATGTATTAATTTCCTTTATGTCTACTTGTTCATGATTTTCTTTTTGGTTCTTGCAATGAACCGCTTTTGTTGTGTTTAAACGACTATTTCGAGCAGTATAGTAATGTTCATTTTCCGAATTTAAAGTAGTTATAACTGGAGAAAGTGATGGTGATGGTAAAGGAAGAAGTTGATATGACGGCGGATTAGATTCTATAGGCAATTGATTCTGTGAACCTTCTAAACCAATCAATATCAATATCATATCATATCATTTACAATATTTATACTACCATTAGAAATATTTTTGTTTAAACTCGCATTAGAAATATCTAAAGGATCAACATCAACAATATTCTGAAAACCTTTTTCTTCAATATTTGAACAAAAGGATTCATGTTCTACATGTTTAGACGTATTTTTATGAGTAACCCTAGTTTTAAACGTCTCGTCCTCATATGAAACTAATGAATTATTATGTATTCCTTGATATGATGTTTCCCCTAAGACGGATTCCGGCTGAAGCATCGGTAATCCTATCTCATTCTCTACAATTCGTGTATCTTTTTTTTCAAATCTTTGTTCATCTCCCCCCCTAACAACTATAGTCACCGTATTGTTTTTCTGAAGACGCTCCATATCTTCCCGCATCTAGCCCTTATCAAACTCACTATTATATCCCCTCTAATCATTTACCTGACTAAGTGATTCTTGCGGCGTATCGCTTTCCCTAAAATATGCCGGTTTTCCATCAATATCAAAGCAAAACCGCTTCAAACATGCTGGCGTAGGCGCATCATAAAGCGGATACTGTTTAGAATCAAAATTCTTCTTTTTTTTCGGCGGATAAAACACTATAGGCGGGAAATTCGTGGTTGTTATTGTTGTCGTTGTTACTACCGTTGTATGTGTAATAGGCCCAAGGGAAAACTGGGCAACCGTAGGCGTATTCTCATACTTAGTTTCCTTATGTTCTTCATACGTATGAGTTGATGTTTCTGGTATTATAATTAAATGTGTTTTATCCTCTTCTACACTCAAATTCTGCCTAGAATCCGGGGACAAAGGGGTTTCCATGATTCCTAATGATTATACCAACAAGAATAACTCTTCATTAACCCGTAATATCTCTTAATTATCTATATCTAGTGCGTATAGTTGTTGATGCTTATTAATTCCTTAGATGCCTTAAATATGTCACTTTTTTTCCCGGAAAAAAAGCAAACTGGGCTTTAAATATCAATAAATTCAATAATTTATGTTATTTAACCTCAATTACGGCCCTTATTGCCTATATTTTCCCTTTTTCCCGTTTTCAAAATGTTTGGTACGTCTGTCGCCAGAGGGTAATACAGAGGGTTAACGACAGTATACAAACCCTTATAAAATGTCTGAGAAATATCAGAGGAAAAAATACATGAAAATGAGTAGAAATAATGAGGAAATAAGTAATTAATGAGGGGGAAAAAGTTTATAATATGTCATTATTTGAAAGAGAAAATATTAGATAGTTTAGAGATATTTAAGCTGTTAAAATCAGAAGAAAGCTTTGATTTGTAATTATTATATATGTTTAGTATTTGAAAATAGATGTATTTCGTAGATGATAAGGAAAAGATGCATCAATTTAATCTAAAAGATCAATTTAATCTAAATGATCAATTTTTTCGCCACGAATAGCCTTTTCTATTTCATCAGAAGTAAGTGTTTCGAATTCAATAAGAGCTTTTGCAAGGCGATCTAGTTCTTTTTTATGTGTTTTAAGAATATTTGTAGCACGTGCTTGTGCTTCTTCTAATAATGTTTTTATTTCAGATTCTACGAGTGCTTTTGTAGAAGAAGATAAACGTGACAAATCCTGATCATATGCAACAGGTCCTACCTAAATAATTATATTAGAAGAAGAAAAAGAAGTAAATAAATGAATAAACTTTATCACTCATTCCATATTGTGTTACCATTGCTTTTGCTATAGCAGTAGCGTTTTGAATATCCTTTTTATATTAGTATTATTAAAGAGTTTTAAGAAAATAATTATACGCTTAAGGATCCGGATGTAATATTATCCTTTCCAAGTGTAAGTTCTTCAGCAACTCGACCACCTAATGCTACATCTATCTAACAAGAAATCAATATTAATAATTAGAAAGTAAATGAATAACTTTAGCTAAAAATTCTTTTTTAGACTCGGTATATTTATCCATATCAGGCAATTGCATAACCATTCCAAGAGAGCTTCCACGTGGTATAATCTAAGATAATTTAATGAATTTTTTTCTAATATTGTAAATGTAATACAGTTGCTTTGTGTAATTTCATTGCACCTGGTGTATATAAGGCTACAAGAGCATGTCCGCCTTCATGGTATGCAGTATTTCGTTTGCTTTCTTCAGTAATAAATGCATTTTTACGTTCAGTACCTTAAATATTATTAATTTATTTTAAAATGTATGATTTGTAATACCCATTAGAATTTTATCTCGTGCCCATTCAAGATCTTTCATAGAAACATATGTAGAATTTAATTTGCTACTTTTTATCGCAGCTTGATTAACTAAATTTTGAAGATCTGCACCGGAAAATCCTGGTGTACCTCTAGCTAAAACAGTAAGATCAATATCATTGGCCATCCTTATTTTTTTAGTATGTTGTTTAAGAATACTAAGTCTTCCTCGAATATCAGGTAAAGGAACAATAACATGTTTATCAAAACGACCAGGACGAATAAGTGCAGGATCTAAAGATTCTGGAAAATTGGTTGCTGCCATAATAATAATACCCTCCTTATTGGAAAAACTTAAACAAACATATTACCAAGAAAATCAATATATACTTGTATAAAATAACTTACCCATCTAACTCTACTAATAATTGATTTAATGTTTGTTTTATGTAAGCGGAGTCTTTTGGATTCCTCTTACTTCCTATAGCATCTAATTCATCAATAAATACAATGCTTGGAGATCTGTTTTTTGCAATATTAAATAATTCACGTACACGTTTTGCTTGTATATATGTTAGAGATGATATTCAAAACATGATTAAAGAGATACCACCAATCCCAACATACATTTCGTCAAATTCACTTCCACTCATGAAAAAAAAAGAAACACCTGCTTCTTTTGCAACAGCTTTTGCAAGCATTGTTTTTCCTGTTCCAGGTGGACCTATAAGTAATACACCTTTAGGAAGTTTCCCTCCTAATGCTGTAAATTTTTCTGGATTTTTTAAGAAATCAACGACTTCCTGGAGATCCTCTTTTGCCTCATCAACACCACAAATATCACTAAATTTTACATCAGGTAAATTATCACCAGAAGCTTCAATATCCTGAGATTTATTTAATGATCTCAAGACACCTGCACTTTCTGCAAATATTGTAGACAATAAAACGATCAAATATCCAACAAATGTAAATGATAAAATAAATCTTGCCCATTTAAAAATCTTGGTCTGACGAGATTCTTCTGTCACAACATAAATAGGATTTTTTTTAGTATTCTGAGAAAAGGATTGAACCATAGACATATTCGAATAATTAGATAATAATTGATTATTGTTGGCATTACTTCCTGATGGATTTTCTTGGGTATTTGCATGAGTATTCTCCGATTTTTGTGTACTATTATCTGAATATGTATTTCCTAGATCCGAATTTATATGTTTTCGTACTAACATCGCCTTTTCCATCTGTCCAGTACTTTCCAGTGCTTTTGCATATATCAAATCGCAATCTTTATTTCTTGCCGCTCCTGTGTCTTCATATCGTGATATTATAAACTCAGGATATGAATTTAACAACGACTATTCAATTAGAAATAAAAAATCTCTTAGAAAACATAGTAATATATACTTTATAATACAAATATTGCTGTTTAGGATCATTCATCGATGCATTTGCTTTTTCCTCCAAATCCGCAAGATAACAATTATAACTTTGACTTGATGTTCTATAGTATCTTTGACCAAAAATACTAGCCTCATTTGTGTATATTTTTCGTACACCTGGATTTCCTGATAAACATGTCTTAACTTGTTTTATCTTTCTAAATTGCTGGATTTCTCTTGTATACCGTCGAGAATCTATTAATACAAAAATTTTACCCTTATTACATTCAAATAGAACTCCTCTAAGTCCTTCAAAAACCCTCTCTGAATAAACCCTCTTTTTACCGCCTCCGATCGCCCCGACGATTAGATTACCAAAACCCCTCTTAAAACACTTAGAAACCAAAAAAACCCTCTTTAATTAATAAATCCTTATAAAAACCCCTTATCTTACTGTATTCCTCCACTCATACATAGTATTTCAAGAGAATTAAATAAAATAACTTATTTATAAAGATTGTAAGCAGGTTAAATAGGCCAAATAATAGGCGTATAATAGACGTATAAGAGACGTATAATAGACGTATAAGAGGCGTAGAATTAAGAAAAAGCAATAAAATCTAGTAAAAATTAATAAAAACTAAGAAAAACTAAGAAAATTTATAAAAAAATTACGAATTCTGTTAAAATCCGGTTAAAAACGGGTTAAAAACTGGCTAAAAACTGGTTAAAATTGGGTTAAAATTGGGTTAAAATCTGCCTCGTAAAGAAACCTTAAATAATTTAGTCGTCAAGTCGAGGTTAAAGAAGGGTTAGGGTTAGGGTTGTGGGTTAGGGTTAGGGTTGTGGGTTAGGGTTAGGGTTATAATCGAAAGGGTTAGCGCTAAGGGTTAGTACTGAGGGTTAGGGTTCGAGGGCTACGGGTTAGGGCTGGGTGCTCCTGGTTATAAATCCTGCTTATCTCTTCTCCATATAAAATTGTTCTTTATTTTTAGAATAGAATGAATTTATACATTTGATCAAAGAATTTGTAATTAATATTTAAAAAAAATAATGATTCTAACCTGAATCATAAAATTAAATGTATAAAATAAATGTATATACAATTGTTTTTGAAGAGGGTTATCATGTGAAATCTTGTTGAATATAGATGAGATAATGAAAGTTGTAAAAATGGAATAATTTAGTTAAAAATCAGTCATATTTATAATGTTGATTCCTATGATTTGCAAGAAATAGTAGAAAGATTATAGAAGATTAGTTAGAGAGATTGCAATTGAATCATAGCACTAAATTGTTTTGAAAGAACCAAGATTTTTGGACCAATCCCAAAGAGAAGAGTCTTCTTGAACCAATTGCAATTGAGGAGATGGATATTCATGACGCAAAGGCGATATATTTGCATTAATAACATGTTGATAATTAAACAAATAGTCATCCTGAGGTTTCTGAGAACATACTGAGATTGAAGGTGAAATAGTATGGTTGAATGTTAAGGATGAAGGATAATATGAAAGACAATTATATTGTGAAGGTATATATGTAATTGGTTGAGGAGATATATGATCCAAATCATCATCTATATCCCGTAAAACAGAGGATTGAGGAGTCAATGGCTCGTATTGTGCCAGATTTGTCTGAGGCAAAGAAATAGACGATAACATTTGTGTTGTATAATGTTGCGGGTTTTCAAGAATGCTTTTTATTAAAAATGGTGATGTTTCCTGTGAAATATATGGATAGGACGAGCTTGATGCATTTGAATCTACCTCGTCCGGCTTCAATCGACCATGATGAGTACGTCGTATATGTTTTGTAAGTGTAGTTTTACGGCAAAAGCTGGATCAACTTAAATAAACCCATTATATACCATTCAATTACCTTCTTAGGCATGATGGATACTCACAAAGATACGGGCGTTTGCCCGTATGAACTCTACGATGACGGGCAAGAGAACTCGACTAGAAATAACATTTCTTCAGCCAATATACCTATTATCAAAAAAAATATTATTACATCACTAAAACATTTGCCACAATTGGGCCATTCACAAACATGTGGACGTTCTCCTGTATGAACTCGCTCATGAACCGTTAATGCTGATCGCTGAATAAACGATTTGCCACAACATGGATAGCTACATAGATATGGACGCTCATTCGTATGGATCCTCTTGTGTCTAACAAGATCTGACCGGCGTCCAAACTCCTAAACAAAAAAATTTCAACTAAACTCTCAATATCTCTTGACAACTAACATACCTTTGTACATCCTTCCCAAGTACACAAATAAGGACGTGCCTTATTAGCCCGGTGGTGATTATGTTTCAAGTTAATCAATTCTAAGATATCCATAAGTCTTCCAGAGACTTGTAACGAAACAGACTACTCCTTTTTATCCTCAAAAACCTCGAGTATCTTGTTTGATCACCGTACCACGGCTCTCAATGGTTTAATGATTCACACTTATGTACACCTTTATAATTTAGCTTTTTCTTATGAAATAGCAGAACAAGGGTATAAACAAGAAGGCACATTATCAATGGAACATGTTTTTCTTCTATTTTTCTTTAATATATTCAACAATCTTCTAGGCTTATTGCAACATTTTTCCTTTTTTAGATCTACACTTTAGTTTGACAGTGCACTTAGAATCCATTGCATCAAGCATTGTCTAATTCTAGGTAATTTAGCACTAATACATGAGCGCTATGGGCTTTACTAAAGGAGGAGCTAAATATATTTAAAGAATAAACAATGGTTAGTGAAAATAACTAAATAACTGAATTCATAAAAGTACAAGATAATAAGGCAAATGCAATGGAAATATTTCTATGGAAAGAATGGGGAGAAGAAGGGCACGGATCTTTTGTATAATAATTTGAAAGAAATAATTAGGGTGAAGCAAAGATGTATATATTTATTTCGGTGATGTCTATAAATTATTTTAAAAATATGTAAGGACATTAAATTACTTGTGAAGAGTGTATCTGTAGCTGGGAAGAAGATCAGTGCTGTTTTTTGTTTATGGTAAAATTTTTATTAGATGTCTGTTAATGAATGATAAAATGAATACGGTATAAATGGTTAATAAAATGTACTTAAAAGGGATAAGTGAATTATAAAAGGTTATAAAAGGTTATAAAAGGTTAATTAAGGGTTATAGAGAGCTTTAATGAGCTAGATAGATTTATTCTAGATTCTGGGCTTTTTGGAATAGTCTGTGGGTTTTCTTTCATATAGTAAACGATGGTTAACGGTTAGGGTAGAAAAATCCTTAGATAAATAACAATACTAACTAAAAGAAAAATAATGGAAGATTTAGCGTTTTTAAGTTGCTGATATTCTAAAAAGCAATAATTATTAATATTTGAAATGGAGGTTTAATAATAATAGGTTAATTGTATTTTTTTTTTCTGAATATAAGGAAAGACAAAGGCTATAAAAAAATCAAATACAAAGAGATAAAAACTATCAAGTAAATGGATATTTGGTAACAATTTTACTTGATATTTGAAAATGGCTGTAAAATGATTAACTTTTAAAAAATATTAAAAAAAAAATACATAAATCAGCAAAAATAACGGCACTATTTGATACAATAGAAACTTCTTTTCTGGTTAAATATGTTTCTAATCGAAATATCCGAAAAAACTTGTCAATCATTATACATACCTCTATCATAGACAATATCTCTAAATTCACTATAACCAATAAATAGCCTTATCACATTAAACCAAACGAATTATTAATCACTTTTAATCACTTTAAACACAAAACTCCTGTTTAATTCGATTTTTTTACAACCTCTTATAGATTGCCTTTATATAAGACATTTAATGCTTCGACAATCAGTAAAAAAAACGTCTCAGAAATAAAGCTGTTTTACGCATAAAAATCGGTAAAACCGGGGTTTTTCTAGCAAATATGTCGGCACAAATGCAGGTAAGTCTTAATTGGCTTTTTTCCGGGTATTTTTATGACATTTTAAGCTACAACGACCGTCAGTTAAGACGCATACAACAGGATCAACATCACAACAATTGATCCAAACGATGATAGAAGCGTCATTTGGGTGTATTCTATATGTTAGGTGAATTCTGCGCGTTTTTATCGTAATATATGCGTGGTTAAATGGGGATAATAGGGGACTTTTCCCAGATGATAATTTTTCAGAGGAAAGATACAACCAAAAGTCGAGTAAAACGTCTATTGTAGCGAATTCAGGAACGAGGATTATGAGGATAAAAAGAGGGTTTTCAGAAGAGGCGGATTTATTATTGGATTATCTGGTTTTTCAGGGAATTTTATATAAAATTATAAATTTATAATTATTCAGAATCAAGGGGTTTATGATGCATTATCGAAGAAATATTTAAGATCGATATTATTTGCCATATATTTTGATCCGAATGATTCGACGAATATTTTTGAGTCATATACGTTTAATTTTGCATATTGTGGACAGGATAAAAGGCCTATTATGAGTGTTGTTAATTCTAAAGGGGATAAACAAAGTTTTGGTGTAGAAGAGGAATATGCGAAAAGATGTATACAATTATTGTTAAGGAATTTGATTACATTGACACAAAATCTTTCTCCTTTGCCAGGTAGGTGATTTTTTTTTGATTTTTATTTTTTTGGGATTTAAATTTGGATTTTAGAGAATAAAAATCGATATATTACAATGAAATTGTTTTATACGGATGCAACGCCTCAGGATTATCAACCTCCAATGTTTCGTGATTGTACAATGGAAAAGCCGTTTACATTTGCAGTAGATCCGGAAAATACTAATTTTTATAAGCAAACGGCAGGATCTATTGATACGGGGTTTCATGCGTAAGAGATTCATTAATATTTTTTTTTTTCTTTACATAAAGATTTATTAATTCAATAGGATAACCCTTAAAATTACAAGTATAGCTGATGCCGTATCCGAATGTAAAAGTTTTGAAGAATATCAGGATAAACAAGTGAAAACAATAAGCGCTGAAGCAGATATTTCTGAGGAAAAGCCTTTGAAAGATTCTCCAAAAGGGGATAATATTATTATTTTAGATTCGCCGAAAAAACATCAATCTTGTCCAGAACTTTTGCCATCTTTACCTAAAAATAATATACCTAAACAATCATTAAAATATGTCGATGAGCGTTACGAAAAGGAGGATGCGGCTATTAAAGAAATGGTATGTTTGTTTTCTTTTTCTTGAAAAAAAAAAAGTATTTAATATATTTCTTTTTTTTTTTCTTTAGCTTACAACACATACTCAAGATTCGGGATTTGAAGCTACACAGCCTCTTGAATTTAACTTTTCTCAATTGACACAAAATGCATCTTGTGTTCGGTCAAAGTCATCATTTGAGGATGGAGATAAGGCAAAAGTCGATAAAATATGCGAAAAGAACTCGAAAAAATCGGAAGTAACCAAGATCGTTTCTGTAGAAAAAAATTTATCCAAATTAACCCTGAATTTTCGAAAAGCATTTGAGCTTAATGAGGAAAAAAAGCGTTTATGTTGTCTCAGAAATACCGTAAAAGGTACATACTAGAAATAACAACATGATAAAAAATAAGTTTAAATTTAGGTTCCGCTAAAGATAATGATGTAATACGTTGTGAATGTGGAGATGTTTCCGAAGATAGTGGTGATATGGTATACGATTATTATAAAGAAAAAAATTCTTATCAAGTTAGATTCAATGTTATGTATGTCAATCATGGGTTCATGCATGGTGTTATGGTTTTATATCTGGTAAGGATGAACGTTTGCCTGATGATCATTCTTGTTATTCTTGTCTTCTTCGTAAATTCGAGCCTGTTTTATACGAAAACATGAAGGATCTAGCATTGTTCAGAAGAGCTCTTATGATTGTATGGGAAGAAGGGTTACCCGAAAATAATTCTGAATTTTCAAACAGATTGGGTAAATATTAAATAAAAAAATAGATTTACAAAATAATCATTATTTATTTATCATTTAATAGGATGTAGTCGTCAAAATGCATGTCGAGTTTTGAAAAGACTTTTGCAAGAAGGATTTATAGCGAATATCACTCAAAATAAAACTTCGAAAACGAATTCTGCAAAAAAAAATGGACGTTCAAATATGAATGATGAAATGGTTGTTGTAAAAAATGCTGAAAATAAACATCGCTTATTTTCAGAATATTTTCAACCTCTTTTAAACATTAGTCATCATGTTAGTATTTAATAACATTATTATTATGACTAATTTTTTTTATATATAGTATGAAAAAGGTAATGATGACACTTCATTTCAGAATGATAAATCTCTAAATCCTAATGCTTCTATTGATAACTCAATACCCATAAATGCACTTTCAATTGCCAATTCATCTGATATTAACTCTTTAAAAGGCTCTAATTTTAATATAAATGCTATTCCGCTTTCAGAATTACAAGATGCTAATATACCAAAAGAATTTTGTACTAAAGAAATTAATGATATTAATTATAATAATGCTGAGCTTGATACAACAGATGATGAAGATCTTTCTACTCAAAGCATAGTTAAAAAATCATATTTAACAGAATCTACAAATTTAATTAATTCAAATACTGGTTTTAACTTGCAAAGACATAATACTATTGATAATCTTAAGGCTCATACTATGTCTCATATAAACCAGATTTCTAAAAAGAATAATAAACGAACTCGTTTACATTTTCCTGATGAAAATTTCGATGCTGAAACTAAAAAAAGAAAATCCAGTGTTATCTTAAAACCAATTTTAGTATAAGTATGCTTTCAATTAACAGGGATTTTATTGTGGTATTTGTAAACATTATACTGAATTTATTTAGCGAACAAATAATTAAATATTTAAATACATAATGCAAATGTTGATATGATTTTTAATATTATATTTGTTTTAAATCATTTGTATACATATGCTTTAATAACATAAAATTCTTTCTATTTATTACCGACTTCTTAGTTTTTCCCTATTTCTACATTAACTTTAAGAGAAAAGCATTTTTTTGAAAAAAACCGAAATATTGACAATTGATATTCAAGAATAAGAGGCAAAAATTTCCATGCATTAAAATCAGGCCAATAACAATTAACAAATTTAATTATAGTTGTCTTATGACACTGTAAATTACTTAATATATTTATATATACATATATATTATTCCTTACTTGCCATAACATAAAATCACTTAGCCGTTGGACACCGCTTGTTCGTATAAGCATGTCTAACGGAGGACAACCATGTGTAAACATGTGTTGATCCAAAGTCGCTTCATCAATTTTCTCTATATCTATCTTTCCATACTTTGATTTATTCACTATTTCACGTATTGCTGTAGTAATCTCATCACGTGAAGTGTATGGAAAACAAATATTCAAAATTGCTCTAGACTATGATTATTTTTCATCAACAAAAACTATCTAAATATGCCTTGTATTTGATTTTGTCATATTAGTTGCTTTTTCTATAAGTTCAAGAAAATCCGGCTTTAAAAGTGATTTTTGTCCAAGAACATTCAGCTGAATCCCATATTCATCTACCATATCTCTAACCTAATAAATAACACAATACTCACATATAAAAACACTGACCCATGAGAACATATTTGTGTTAATTGTGTTTTACCAATATCCATAATAATATCAATTTCATGTTTCGTCCTTTTAAAATTTTCAATAGAAAATGCATAAATGGTAACAACTTTTATTCCCACTTTATAACAAATCTCCAAAATCTGCATAAGACTCTTAATTCATGTATAATTATAAAAATAGCTAATATACATGTTTCATATTTTCGAATCCTTTACTATGTCCATCTGCTGACTCTAAATTCATATGTCTAGCCCACCGCCGATTCCCATCCATTACAAAGGCAATATGAGTAGGAACAGGTCCCTGACGAATTACTAAAATACATAGTTCTCTGAATTCTCTTGATAAAAACTGGAATAATGGAAACTGAAAAAACCATTTAATTGTATTCCCCATTTAAAGGATAATCTGAAATTAAATAATAATAAACCTCTTTAGTTCCTATTTAATAGACTTGTTTGTGTATTTTATAAAACTGTTACTTTTTTTTTTTATAAAAATATATATATAAATTTGAAGATTAGTATCCATTATATATATAAATAAATCGTAGACAGCTCTTCCATAAAACGGACCTATAGGATAGTTGGTTAGTCCATTGGATTCTGATGTATGTTTTCCAAGAACCTGAGTTCGAATCTCAGTAGGTCCTTTATTTTCTAGATGTGAAAAATTATTATGAATGAGTGTATTAATCCATGGAAAAGCATGTTTTTTTTTGTAAATAACTTGTTTTAATCTAGTTTGATGAAGAAAAAATTTATCAAAACCGTTTATTTGTAATAAAAATAGAATAAAAGAGAATACCCATATAAAAAGATAAAAGTTTAATATTTATAAGTGAGGCGTATAAAGCTGATTGTATTTTCCTAGATATTTTCCTAAAAATTCTGCATGTTTTTCAATTAATACTCTTTTTGATGCCTTTTTTTTAATAAATAAAAATTTTAATATAAATATTAAAATTACCCTTAATGATATATCTAATAGTCTATGTTTTCCATCTGAATAAACTACTGTTCCATCCGGTAAAGATATATCTTTTTCAATATATGTTTTTGCCATAATTTTACAATCTTCACCTATTCGAGAACCTGCACCTAAAAAACACCCTGGACTTATACATGTACCCGATCCTATACTATATGATTCGAGAACCGACCTAAACTCAATGATACATGTATCGTTAATACGTATTCCTTGTTCATTTGGTGCTTTAATTGTACAATTTTCCTCAATAATACATTTTTTACCAATAAAAACACTAATACTGGATTAAACTCTATATATACTGAATAAATCTCTCTTTACGGCCCAAAAGAACTATCAATTAGCACCTTAGGATGAATTACTGTGCCTGATTCAACTTTTACTGGAAAATTCCCTTTTATTTTAATATCCTTCTAAAATTAGTTTTTCCTAAAGATAATTCCAGATACTACAAGAGAAATTGTGCATGGAAATTCTAATTTTAAGAGATTTCTATCCATATTAACAAATCTTTAAAAAATAAAAATTTGTTAATATATCGACTGACAATGTAAATATAGTATTGATATATAAATTCCCATAATATATAGGCCTTGTATTTTATAAATAAATTATGAATCTTTTTTGATATTAAGATCTGTGCTTTCATTTATTTTTCTTTTTCTTAAATTAGTTGGTGTAGCCTCAGTAATAACAGGTTCTTCTTCTCTGATACGTTTACTAGGAACAAATTTTGCAGCAGTAGCAGATAATGGTTTTGAAGTAGTTGCAGTATTATGTGATGTTGAATTATCAAAAGTATTGTCAGATGTATTTGATAATTCTTTGGGTGTTTGTATATTAGTAGTAGAAACGAGAGGATTGGATTCAGTATTTGATTCGAGAGGAATGTCTGTTTGAATAGGTTCTGATTGATCTGTTTGTGAAGGTGTATCTTTCTGTATATGTTTAGGCTTCGTTTGTTTTTTGAGGTCTTTTGATACAATTTCTCTTTTTTGACGAAAATGTTGAACAATAGATCCCATAAGATCAGGTTTAGTTTCTGTATGTTCTTTTGGATTGTCATTAGATTTTTCGGTTAAATTTTGTGAAGATTCCTTTTTTTTTGATTCTAATAACATTATTTTACTTTTCAAGTCAGAAATTTGTTTTTCTGCTTTGGATAATTTCAATTTATTTCTCATTTCATTCTCTTTTCTTAAATTTTCGATATCTTGTGTATGTTTATTCTTAAGTTGAAGCTCTTGTTTTTCTAATGCTTCTTTTATTTTGACTTGAGTTTCATTTTCCCATCCAGTTTGAGCTTTAGATAATTCTGCTGATAAACGTTTTGATAAAAGTTTCTCGATTTGTTCCTTTATTGGACTTGCTCTTAGTGATGTATTTGCATTTTTTTTAGTTTGTTCTATAAATGCTTTTAATTTTTCTTCGTGTATTTTTTTAAGCTCAGCTTCCCTAGCTAATAATTCTTGTTTATGATCTTCCTTCCATTGTTCTTTTTCTTTTTCTATATGGCTATAAATAATAGTTTCCATATCATGATTATTCAGGTTTTTTGGAAAATTTTCATCCAATTTTATATCTTGAGTTATTTTTGCTCCTTTGTTTTCAAGATCTTTTTGCAATTCTTTTATACGGTTATTTACTTGTAATTCTATTTCTTCATTTTTATTTTTTTCTAGTTCTGATATCCTTTCTTCTACTTTTTTCTTAATTAACTCTTCTGTATTAGAATCCTTCAATAATTGAATCGTATCCTGAAGTTTACTAAGTTGAGCATTAGCTTTTTTTAGCTCTTCTAGTGCTGAATTCTTAATAATGTAAGTTAATATGAAAATAATAAGAGGTAATGTTTTACTTTTTCTTTAAAAAAAACAAGGGCTTTTGCTTTAAGTTTTTTTGTTTCTAGATCATTAGTTTCTTTTATTTTTTCTAGCTCAGCTAGTTTTTCTGCATAGATTTTTTCCTTTGCTTGTATTTCTTCTTGAAATTTATCTTGAATGCTCTTTTTTTCTGCATCCCACTTTATTTTTTCATTTTCAAGTGATATAATAGGATTTTCTAGTTTATCAGTTTTGTTTTTTTCTTGAATACTAGCTCCTTGCTCTTTAGATATAGTTTCTTGTAATTGTGCTATTTGTTTTTTCAATTCTTCTTCTGATTTTGTTTTAATTTCTAGTTCTTGCGTTTTTTGCAGTATTTGTGATCTAATTGTTTGAATTTTTTCCTTACTTTGGGCGATCAGACGATCATATTTTGCTTTCCATGCATTTGCAAGGTTTGTATTCTATAAATAGATTAATGTAAATATAAAAATTACAATATAATACTTGAAGATTAAGTTTCTCAATCTCTTCTTTAGCAGTCTGATGTTCTTGTAAAATCTTTGAATTTTCTGTTTCAAGCAAAACAAATTTATCCTTTAAATTCTTAAGCTCATCAGGATCAGTTTGCTTCTAATATTAATAAAAATTAAATAAAACTATTTAAAATACCCCATGTTTCTGTAAAATCTGTTGCACTCTATTTTTCCATCTTTCGTTATCTTCCTGAATTAATTTTAATTGAGATTCTTTTACTTCTTGTTCTGCCTGAAGCATTCGCAATTGATCTTTATATTCATTAGTTTTAAAAGTTAAATAAAGCAAATTACCTTCTAAAGGTTGGATCTGAGATGTTAAATTTTGAATAGATTTTTCATGTTCTTTTAATTTCTCGACATTTATCTTATTTTCAGTACGCAAAACTGTATTACTTTCACGTAATATATTCAATTCATTAACTTTACTCATTAAATCTTGATATTGCGATGTAGAATTGACTAGTTCATTTTTTTGTTGTCTTTCAGAATTCAGTGTTAATCTAACATCATCCAGTGATTTTAATGTTTTAGAAAGCTCATGCTTTATACGTTTATTTTCTTGTATACTAAGTTCATATTGACAATCTACTATTTCTTTTTCACGTCTTAAAAACCTAACTATTTCTTTTAAATCTTCTGTAGATTTATCAGACGTTACAGTATCATTTAAATCATGTGTATTATCTTCATTAGCAACTTTTTGTAACTTTAAAGCTTGAAGACTTATATTTTCAAATTGATTATGTAAAAGATTATTTTGTTGTACAAGTTCATTACACCTAGATTTTTGGTTAAAAGTATTTATAAAAATGTTTTATACAAACCTAGTCTTAATATCTTGTAACTCTTTTTCATAATTATCTTTTAATGTCTTCCAACTATTTTCTGAAGTAGAAAGTTGAAATTTAAATGATTCATTATCTTTATTTAAAGTTAATATTTCTGTTTTCAAATCAGAATTTTCTTGTCTTAATAATTGTAAATTATTTGTAGTTTCAGCATGGGCAACAAGTTCTCTTTCATAACTTGAACGAGCTTCCTGTGATATTTGAAATTGTTTTTGTAAATCCTCTTTATAATCATTCTGGTTTTTGATAGAAAGCTTTTCAATTTCTTCCAATCTTTCAATTTTAGCTATAAGTTCTTTTTTTTCATTATCAAAATTTTCACGCTGTTCATTTTGAGATGTTTCAAATTGTAACAATTCTTTTTTACTGTTTTCCAATTCTTCAGAAATATTTTTTATTTTTTCAGTTAATTCTTTTATATTATTCTAAATAGATTTAGTAAAGATGTAAAAAACAAATGATTAATACTTCTTTATCGGACAGTGACTTTTCTACTGCGACTTTATATTCATCATGAATATTATTCATATCTTGTAATGTTTCTTCTGCCGCATGACTGATGAGTTTCATTTGATCAGCATATTTTTTTGCTTGCACTGCCTCAGATTTTGCTATATCTAAAGAACTTCTATTGAAATATTTAATAAAGGCTATTTAAAATAATATAATGATTATACCTTAGATTCATTATTTCTATCTCTAACTGCTGTTCTTTAGAAAGTGTTTCATTATTTTCTGATGTCTCAGTAGTATTTTTCTGATAAACCTGCAATTTTTCTTCTGTAGATTTAAGAAGGATACTTAATTCATCGACTTTTGATTGAAGGTTTTGCTGGGAAGTCTGTGCTGCAAGTAGATTTTCGTATGTTTCAGAATATTTTGTAGTAAGATTATCAATTTTTGATTGATAATCTAAAAATTCATTCTCTTTTCGTATCATTAATTTCTTATATTCTTCATTTTCTTCAGTAGCCTTGTGTCGTATTTGTTGAAGTTCTTTTTCTATTGATTCATTTTGTTCTATTAATCGTCTACGTGATTCTGAATCTATCCTTTCTTTCTCATTTAATATTACTTGAAGATCACTTAACAATTTATTTAAACGGTTTTTTTCTAAAATAAGATTTTCATTATCTGAATTAAGACGTGTTTCAATATTTTTCCAAAGTTGTTTTTCTGCTTTTAAATTTGCTGTCTCTGTTCTAAGATTATCTATGGTAGATTTAAATTCAATAACTTCTTCAGAAAGATGTAAAAGTTTTAAATCTTGTTTAGCCAATGTTTCTTGCATTTGTTGATTCCTTAAACCAATGTTATCTCTTTCATTTCTAAGAATATCTGCATTTTCACTAAGCATATTATATCTTTCAGAAAATAATTCAAGTTGTGATGTCATTTTTGCCAATTGAATTTGTAAATTAGAATTATTATTAGTAGTTTCACGTAGCTGTTGAGAAAGGATCTTATTATTGATCGAAGTTTCATTTCTATATTGATCAAATTGAATTTGTAGTTCACGCAAAGCATTTTGACTTTTAATAGCTGAAATAGTATCTGATTCATTTGTTTCTGATTCATTTGAACTAAGAGGATCTGCTTGACCATTATATACTAACATTCTCCTAAACATATCTCTTTCACGTATGTAAGAATCCATTCTAGAAAGATTAGCTTTTAAATAATTAAAAAAAAAAAAAAAAAGATTCTAACTTTATTTTAAGTTTTTTCATTTCTTCTTTCATATCTTCAATAACGTTATTTGCTTCTGTAATTGCAGCACTTTCCAAATTTTCTAATCTTTCACGATTTTCTAATTCCTCTTTTTCCATTCGTGATCCAAGTTCTCTTATAACTTTTAATAAGTTTTGATTTTGTTCTTGTAAGGTTTTTATATCCTTAAATAAAGTTAATCTTTCTGATATTAAAAAATGGGTATCTGTAGGTTCAATAACATCGGATTCTGATATTTTTTTTATAACAGATTTTTCCTCTTCAGTCATTATAACACCTGTATAATTTTGAACTTCCATTTCATATAAAAGACATTGGATTTGTCTGCTTAAATCTCTTGTTTCTATAATTCAATCAGTTATTAGTGATTTTTATATAACAAACATATATACGTTGTAAATAGAGTAATTTTTCTTGTTCTAAATCTTTAATATGAATTTTTAATGTTTTATTTTCTCTGCCAATTTTTTCTTTCAATTCATTAGATTCTTGTAACATTTCACTTATATCTGCTATGTCTACTTGTAACCTTGAAAATTCTTCACGTTGCTCATGAATTTGTGGTGCACGAGTTTCAAGATCAGATAAAAGATCATTCAGATTGTTTTGCATTATTTCATTTTGTTTTTTTTCACTCTCTAATTGCTCTTTCACTGAAATATATTCAGAATATAATTTTGTCAACGACATTCCTGATTTTTTCAGTTTATTAGCAGCTTGTGCTGATGGAGATAATAAACCAACTCCTACCGGAGCATTTTCATCATTAATTCCTTGTGACAATTGATCCTTAGCAACAACTAATTCCACTTGTAATTTTTCCACCCTCAATTCTAATTCTTCAACTTGTGATTCCATAGTATCTGCACGAATTTTCTCTTTTTCTGCGATATTCATCCATTTTAATGCTTCTTGTCCTTCTTTCGTAGAATCTTCATCTAAATGTTCTTCAAGCTCTGTAATACGTTGTTTAGAATTCTTGAGATTTTGTTCTAAAAGTTCTGTCAATCGATGTTGAAGATCCATCTCATTTCTAAAAGATTCTTCTTGCTCAACAATTTTATCTTGACATTCTTTAAGCTTAAACAATGTTTCTTCCAATTTATTAGACGTTTTTTCAAGCTGTTTCTTAGACGCGTTTGCACTATTTTCATGTATCGTAGAAGCTGAAACTGTATTTTCCAATTCTAGTTGCAAACTAGAAATTTGAGACAACTGATTTAAATCATTAGCAAAATTCCTTTTTTCTTTTTTTTTTTGGATTATTATACTTTATCTTTGCGATATTCCGAAAATTCATTTGTCTTTTCCTCTACTTCTTTATTTAACCATTCTATATTCTTCTTTAAAAGTTCTATTTCTTGCATTGAAGTTTGTTCCTTAAACTACATTTTATTTAATTTTCTTTTCTTGAATAATTTACCAAACATACTTTCCACGAAATTTCTTTGTCTTTTAACTCATGATTCTCATTCTCTATTGAATTAATCTCTTTCCTTAATTTATCATATCTTTCTGTTAAATTTTGATATTCTTCTTCTTGACGTAATATTTCTTGGGTTTTTCTCTCAATAACCTCAATCACTTCCCTTTTTTCACTTTCCAAAACACGGTTACGTGATTCTAACGTGTATACTTGCTCTTTAAGCTCTGTATTACTTGATCTTAGCCCTGCAATTTCTGTTTCAAGCTTTTCACTTGTTGTCTCTAATTTTTATCAAAAAAAATGCCACCAAAACCCCTAAAAGCGTACTATACAGTGTACTCTGCTCCTTAAGATTCTTATTATCCTCTAAACTCGTCTCTAGCTTCTTTTCAATCGATTGTAATCTTCTATTTGCTGCATGCGTTTCTTGCTCTAAAAATCGCTTAAAACTCGATAAAAAAAGACGCTTCTTCCTCTCTAACCATAGTTTACTTCAAGAACAACCTTGGATCTCTTTAATTCCTCATATTCTTCCACTTTTTGCAGGATTCCTGTCCATAAAATATTGCCTTCTTCTTTCTGCTCCAGACTTAATATAAACTCTAATGATAACCCCAAAAAACTTGATATCCGCTCAGCCTCTACTGCTGACTCTGCCAACCCCATCCTGATAACCACAGGCTTAATATTATATACACAATCAATCAATATTGCCAATCCAAATTTTTAATCTCGTAAATAAAATATCTGACGTTGGTCGAGTCGTAGAGATAGTCTTATTGGAGACTAAGAAATTATGTATCAAATAGCTTAATATTTATTGGTACAAAACAAGGATATTCTATGAGGCAGTGTTTATACATCTGTAATATTCTAAGGATAATTGTTTAATTTTGTTGAAATATTCATCTTCAGTTAGGTTCATTTGTAAGATTCGAGTATGTTCATTTGCCTGAAAGGAGTTAGTTAAAGAGGGGAGTATATTTGAATACCATAATGTTGTTAGAAAGTATAAAAGAAGCGGAAAAACTAGACATGATTTTGATAGCAACAGATTGTTCGAATATTTTTGCATCCATTATTGGTAAGGTTTGTAAAAGTCGTAAGACAAGGTCTTTTTGAGTTTGGATTATTTTAAAGTCATCATTTTTTTTTAAAGATGATAATTTTGATTTCTCATTAAATTTTAAAAGTTCTATATAATCCAAATAAATCTAAAAAAAAAATAAATATGGATTAAAATATGTTAAAAACATACTTGTCCTCCTGTTTTCCAATTTGTAATAGCACTTGTATTTTGAAAACGTTGAAGAAATGCATATAAAACATCATGTTGAGAATATATAACTGCTTGAGGTGCTATAAATGTTAAAAGAGTTTTATGAGCTTCATTCCATAATTTAGCATCTAAGAGGTATTTCTCTTCAGATTGATAATAATTCATGTATCTAGAATAAAGAGCCTTTGATAATTAAGTTTATTCAATAATGTTTGGTATATAACACTTACACAAGATTCTAAAATCCAGATTTCTGGAATTTTTAAGTTTTGCATTAAGAATATATCTAATTCGGCCTTTCTATTATTATAGTAATCAGCAATGTTTCGGGCTAAGATTTCACGAATTGCTCTTTCTCGACTATATAACACACGTAAGAAAAGTATAAATAATAAGTATTAGATATCATTACATATGCGCATATTGTAAATGCTGCAAAACAAAGATTGCCCAATGCCATAAACCACAAGATTCTAATTGTGAAGCAAAGCTTAAGGTTAATTGATTCCCAAGAATACTCGTTATATTTTCGTGCAAGTTTTTACCAGGAAAACTTGTATAATAATCTTGAAAGTGTCGAATATTATATGTACGTGATAAAATGATATATAACAACCAAGGAATCTTGAAATCTAGAGGAAAATTTAAAGTAAGAGAATCAATAACATTTTCCAAAGGATAATCGTTTTTGCTAAATAATAATAATAAATGATATAATATGTCAAATTCTTGTGTATTGGAATCATTGATATTCCTAGAATATGAGATTTCCGGCGAAGATACAGTAGAATTTTCATTAAAAGCTCTTTGGTAACTCAAGACCGCTACTTCTATTGGCATTTCATCCGTTAATTCATACCATAATTTTAATCCAAATGCCCTTTTCCAGTCTAATTCTTCTGAAATATGTATATCAGGTGCATATTCTTCAGAATCCTTTGTCCCAGAACCTTGAGATGTTTCTGTATTTCCGGAGATTAATTCATATATTGCACGATAATATTTACCAATAGCAGGAAGACAATTTGAATCTCTCCAATCAGCAATTTGTTTTCTACAATCCTCTCGAATAAGCTCGTCTCCTCCAATAAGAGGAATAAGACTGGCTAAAAAGAAATTCCTACTTTTTAATGCTTCTAAACAACATTCTTCTATTTGATAACCAGTTAATAATAAAAACATTTTTGAAGACGGATCAACATATTTATAAAGATCGTTTTCAACACTCGTAGCGACAATATCCTTAAGCCAATCAGAAAGATTTTGTTTTCTTTGCATCTTAAGGATTTGTGCTTTTTGAGATTCAGAGTGCAAATTATGGGAATTAATATCAATTTCATCAAAAAGAATTCCACATAATTGTAATATGTTGGCCTCATAATTATCGAAAAAAGGTATAAACAATTTTGAAGTAAGCGTAGAATCAGGATTTGCCTCAGGGCATCCATATTCATTTATTTGAATATTCGTATGTTTTAACTGCATTTCTAAAGCGAGTTGAATATTATCCAAAATCTATTTATATCGATCAACAATAATTATTAGATAAAAAAGTATACTTTACCGATTCCTGATTATCTATTGTTTTTAATAAAACCCTTGGCTGAGTATTCTTGTTATTAAGGGGAATAATAAGAATATTATTGAGTCCCCAATGGAATTTCCCAGGAATAATAGTAGCAATTGAATCAGACTTAGATGAATAAACCTAAATATGTCTTAAGCAAATGCAACTTTTACAAGTTATATTATACCGGTAAATGCAAAGTTTGTTGAACATCGTATAAATCTCTATCTAAATCTTGAAATTCATATCTTTCTACGGGTTCAAAATTATTGAAGGGTGAATCAAATTGAAGGCGTGAAGGATCCTGATATTTTTTAGCACGAGTTCTAGGTGCATGTAATAAATTGAATCTTTCAATAGAAAGATTCAAAAGATCTGGCCAAGTTTTAATATCTTGTAAAAAGGGTAATCTTGATGATAATGATAGAATTTCAAGTGATTCATCATCCGAATTGTCCCGCTTTTTATAAGACGTAATTTTTTTTGAATCATCTTCAAAATATGATTCAGATTCCTTATTCCTGAAATCAATACTGGATGTATCAATCATATCATCTATAGTTTGCAAACTAGAATGATTATCTGTATCATCAAAAGATAAATAATCGCATGATTCAGTTTCATCCTTAGATATATCGAGTTCAGTATTATTTTCTATAGTATAATTCATGATTTCTGACGGATTTTCCGTAATAAATGAACCCGGAATTTTTGTTATAGGATGTTGAGAAATAAATGTATTTTTTAAATCGGTAAATTTTTTATTTAGATCTTTGTTTTGTTGAAATGACTCTTTATTAATTGATGACTCGGAATCTTGTGTTAATTCCCTTTTTCCTTGTTCTAGATAAGTTCGTTTGGTTAATGCTTGTGATTCTTTATTTGAAGATAATGTTTTTTGGTGAAGCGGTGCATTCATGTATTGATCTTTAATCTCTTGTGACTTTGGTAATTCGTCTTGATCTTTTTTTTCAGCACTAGAATCATCTTCGAGTAATCCCCATCTACTAAAATGATTGACTTTAAATATCCATGCACCTGTATCTGCGATATAATCGATAAATTCTGTTTCTTTCATACGTTTAAGTCTATCCAAATGTTGTTGAAATCTTGAATGATTCGGATCAGTTATTGGTTCTCGCTTTTCCTTGCTAAATGGCCAACAACGTTCAAGAGTTATTATTGCTGGAACATTTATTCCACAACCTAATGGCGGTTTAAGAGATTCATCTGGATATACTGTACAGACTTTTTCATCAAAAATAATTATAGTTCCAGGAATATCTTCCAAGGCTTCAAAAGTAGTTAAATCAACGGGCAATTGGAAACTAATTTGACCAAAACCCTTTCGTCCAACTTTAAAATTATTTACATGCTTTAATTCATCCGTGGTATAATCCAATAATTTCGATATTGAAGGAGAAGTCCAATAAGATAAGCTATTACTTTCCCTTCTATCTTCTTCTATAGAATCGTGTAATACATCTGAAGTAGTATCTATTTTTGTGTTATTTTGATGTTTAGTTGCTATCAAAGTAGGAGATTCTTGATCAGGAACTTTTTCGTGCATGCCATTACTTTGTTTCGTCAAAGATTTATCATTTTGTTTGTCGGAATCGGTGTCTTTTAACAAATTCTTCTCAAAGCCACCAAGATCCGCTCCACCTGTTAAGATATTTGTTTGAGAAGTTTTACGATCTATTACGAGTTTTTTAATATTGGACCTAGGGGAAAATGCATTAGCGTTAAGCATAGTTTCATCATTTAGATTATCAAATAAATGTAAAGAATGAGTTGTTGCTGAAATAATAGTCGGTGAATTGATATTGGAAAATGATACGCCTTTTATATCCTGAAATTTCCCTGATGATGATGATGATGATCCAGGGGTTAATTTAAAATGCGGTAGCATAGCTGGTTTCTTTTTTTGCACATTTGTAACAAGAGGAGTTGCAATGGGTCCAGGTGAATTCGTAATAAAACCAATGTTTGAACTTTGAAATAACGGATTATTTCCAAAGGGATTTTTATCAATAGAAGCGTGTAAGAGTGGCTGCTGTTGTTGCTGAGTATTTCCGAACAAACTATTTCCCAATGGTTGATTATTATTTTTAAAAAAAGATTGTCCAGAAGTATTTCCAAAAAGCCCTCCACTCGTATTAGTATTGGGTTGTAAGGTAGTACTATTTCCGAATAAATTTGTACCAGTGTTTGTTACAGGTTTTGCGCCAAATAAATTACTAGATGATTGTTGATTACCGAAAAAGCTAGTATTCGTAGTATTAGAAGAAGTCGGTGTTGTGTTAGATCCGAAAAGCCCAGTAGAAGAATTAGTATTTGTATTATTGGTTCCAAACAATCCAGTGCTAACTGTTGATTGCCCGAAACCAGTGTTACTTCCAAAGCTAAATGTAGGTTTATTTTGAGTTTGATTATTTTGTCCGAACAAATTGGAGGAAAAGGATAATGCAGGTTTGTTTTGTTGATTATCTTGTTGACCAAAGGAAAATCCAACATTATTTGTAGTTGTATTTGTCGTATTCGGTGCCCCGAAATTAAACGATGATGTATTTTGAGTCAATGATTGGCCAAACGATGTTGAAGGCTGTTGCACCTGATTACCGAAAAGCATTCCACCTGTACTTGGATTATTTGTTGTACTAGTATTTCCTCCAAACGTAAAAGAACCGGTATTTTGTGTAGTTGACGTTTGACCGAATGGTGTTGTCGTAGATTGTTGCTGTTGTTGCTGTTGTTGTTGTTGTTGTTGTTGTTGCTGTTGATTAGAACCGAAAATACTTGTACCCATATTATTAGTTCCAAACCCACTTCCAAATGTATTTGTTGTATTCTGCCCAAAACCCATATTAGCAGTTCCAAATGTAGTCGTTTTATTATCATCATTCTGAGTATTATTGAAACCCGTTCTAAAAAGACTTGATGAACCGAAAGAAGTAGATTGAGTAGAATTCCCTGAATTTCCAAAAGAAAAAACTCCTGTCGTTTGGTTTTTAGTCGTATCAAATGTATTCGAAGAAGTCCCGAAACCAAAAGGTTTCGATTGGTTTTGTTGAGTTTGTCCAAATGGCGTAGATATGTTTTGCGTATTTGAAAACATATTCATTCCAGAAGATGATCCTATATCGCATCAATAAATACAATTCCATTCGATAGGAATAACATTACCAAAAGGTTGTGATGTATACGTTTGATTTCCTGATCCAAAGATATTTCCCGTAGTTTGTCCTGTATTAAATGAACCAAATAACCCTTGTTGTTGTCCAAATCTTCTGTTTTGCATATAATCTTGTAATCGTAATTCCTACAAAATTGTTAAAATATCAAAAAAATATATCCCTCATGGATTAAACTTCAAACGATGCCGCTTGATATGCCGGCATACATGTAATCGATTGAAAATATTGCATTCCACCCGTTGATGTCTCTTTTTCCTGTGTCACTTGATAAGGTGGATTACTCGTTCCTCGTGTCGGTATTCGAGAATTCAACGAATTCCCACTAAATGTACCTGACCCATATGCATTTCCAAAGACTGAATTTGTATTCGTATTTCCAAATCCCGTAGGTGTTGAATTCTGTCCAAAAATACCTCCTCTAGATGGCGTACTAACCCTATTATATTAATAATCAATTTTTTATCTTTTTATACAGCATTCACAAACGTTTGATTATTAAATACATTCGTCGTCTGCGTATTAAATCCTGATGCTTCTTTTGTTCCTCCAAAATCTATATTTATCTTCATTAATCTCTATATACCCTATATATATATATTGCTTTACTAAAATTCGACGTTGATGATAACTGTGTTCCCTGGTCAAACACTGAATTTCCTCCACCAAAAGACGTTCCCTGACCAAATCCTACCCTCCGATCAATATTTCCTCATAAAATTACGCATATATGCGCTTCTTTCTCCAGATATTTTCTTTTTTTCTATTCACCCAGAATACGCATATTTTCCCTTACCAGATCCTCCAAATACTCCCGTTCCAGCGCCAAATAAACTTCCACTCCCCGTAGATGTCGGTTGGGTCCCTTGTGTACCCAAATTTTGCTGTCCAAATCTCGAAAATGTATTATTTGTATTTTGTCCAAACATTCCCTAAAATCCTCAAAAATCGTCCTTTTTTTTCCCGGAAAAAACGCCCAATCAATACAATCCCTTCTTAGAAACGTAAAAACCCTTAGATTCCTTTGAATTTCGCCTTTTTTACCTCTTTTTTTCCGAAAATCGGTTTTCGCTAAAAGCTGGTCGTCGTCATTTCAACGTCGGCTTTTCTTGCTATTTTATCGTTGTCGAGATTATTAGGGACACCCGGGCTGTCCCCAGCTGGCCCCGTTGGCCCACGTTGAGCGGCGATGACGACGTCCAAAAAATTTTGGGTAAAAAAAAGGCATTTTAAGAGGGTTTTTGAGGCTAAAAAAGCATAGAAATACGAGAAATAAGGTATATCTGAGGGGTTATTAGTATGTTTTCAGCGAAACAGCGGAGACGATTGCATGGAGATTCGCCAACTATTCGAGGATCACAGATCCGGACAGAAATCACGGAAGAACAGAGACAGGAGATTAAAGAAGCGTTTGAACTATTTGATTCGGATAAGGACGGAGCGATTGATTACCATGGATTGAAAGTAGGAGTGAAAACGGGGGTATATAAGGGTATTTTTTGATAAAAATAGATAGCAATGAGAGCGCTTGGATTTGAGGCGGAAAAAGGAGAGGTATTGGGTATTTTAAGAGAAAACGGGAAGAATGGACGTGGAGTTATTGTATATGAGGATTTTGCGCGAGTAAGTAGGGCATCCTATGGAGATTTAAGGAAAAAAAAGTAAATGATTATTTTAAGTGACAGAAAAGATATTGGAGAGGGATCCATTGGATGAAATTAAACGTGCATATACGTTATTTGCGGATGAGCAAACGGGGAAGATTAATATTCGAAATCTTCGACGTATTGCTAAAGAATTGGGAGAAAATATTGATGATCAGGAATTGATGGCAATGATTGATGAATTTGATTTAGATCAAGATGGAGAAAGTATTTTTTAATGAGATTAATGTTTATTTAATTAAAATATGGGTTAGTTAATGAGCAAGAATTTATTAATATTATGATCGATGAGATATAATAAAAAGGACGTTATGGATGGGAACATGTAATTGAAAAGAAGAGATCAAAGCTTTATGAAAACGGAATTCTATGAATATAATTATCATTTTTATTGAAAAAAAAAAAAAACGAGTTTTGGTCTTTTTTTTCAAATTATTCTTTTTGTATACACTTTCTCAAAAGTTTATCAAATTAATCTGATTCTTTAGATGGTTCTATATCGTTTCATTTTGGATATCTTTCTGAAAACTGCTCTATTTTGAATCAAATTAAATATTTTTATTAAACTAGGTAAATCTTTTTTATTGGACTTAATATATGGCTAGATATATTAAGTCCATAAATATTTACTTTTATATTTTCTAATTTAATCGTTTTATAGTATATTTTATATACAAATATTCTTAATTTCTTTTCAAAAAAAAATCTACACAAATAATTTCAACAAAAACATCAATATACAAATAAATCATGACGAATTATTCATTTCATGCTTATTTACAAAAATTATATCTAAAAATACCTTATCGCTCAAACAAAATACTGAAAATTACTCATTTTAAAAATTTAAAAAAAAACAAAAACAAAAAACATATATCAGGAATTGGGTTTTGTATAAAAAATATACCAGTTCTCGACATTTCTTCTTTTTTCTCTTGTTTTTTCTAGAATTTCTATCGAACCGACTCCGGTATATTTCTAGGTCATATAAACCCGCCTCATCTAAAAAAAACCAAAATTTTGAGATGTCTTCTACATCCCGTAATCCAGGCAATTGGTAGGCAGACGGTATATTAATAAATAGAGCTGATGATGTTATTTAATATATAGGCATTGGACAAATAAAGATTGTTTTCCATGGACAAAATCATATTTATCAGAAAAACTTGTTATATCGGCAGAAAAAGAGGGAATGGCAGTGTCTATAAATAAGCTATCAAGCTGTACAGGAGATGTGGATGTTGCTATGAGGAAGGGAAAGGTTATTACTATTTTTGATTTGGAGATTTCTCTTGAATTTAATGGTTTTTTGTGTTTTACAAGAAATAAGAGGGATCTAAGATATATAGGAAGAATTCCTGATGGATCTGAAGTTTCAGGGTCAATAACGGTTCCGGAGGTTTCTCATGATAATGAAGATTATGTATTTAATATAGAAATATTTTCAGAAACAAAGGAAAATCAAGTAATAAAAGGTTTTATTAGATCACATATCGTTCCGGAGCTTAAAGAACGATTAAGACATTTAGGAGAAGCTCTTATAAATAGTGAGGGTTACTTTTGTATATATTTTATTTATTAAGAAATTAGCACATGGAAAAGATGTTCTTTTATCGGTTGATAAAAGTGCGACATCAGGTTCTTCTACGCCTGATATATCTCATGTTAAATCGCAGAATGGTATTCAAACATCTAAATTATCAGGAGATGAAGAAACAGAGGAAAAAACGAAAGGAAAATGTTCAATTATTAATACAGGAGAAATTTCGGAAAATATTGATTTTCAGGCATCTACTTCTCAATTATATTCAGTTTTTATGGATCGTTCTTCTTTGGAAATATGGACACGATCTAATGTACATATTGATCCTAAAGTTGGAGGCACATTTTCTTTTTTTGGAGGAAATGTTCAAGGTGAATTTTTGGAACTAATTGAATCAAAACTTATACTTCAAAAATGGAGGCTTAAAACTTGGCCAGAAGGTATAACGTTATTTCCTAATTATATAAATAAAACCAATTATTAGATCATTATGCTGAACTGAAATTATTGTTTGATCAAAGTATTGATGGGACTTTATTAAGAATGAAAATGAGCAATATACCAGTTGGTCAGGAAGACGTAGTTAAATCCAATTTCCAAGAGGTAGTTTTTATTGTTTTTAATTTTTTTTTTTAAACAAATATAGTATTATATTAAACCTATTAAAACTGTGTTTGGGTATGTAAATAACTGCAAATATACTACCAATGATATTTCCTTCATTTTGCAATATTTCTAATTGATTTTAGTTATGGTTCGGTATTATAAAAATTGTTTTTTTTTTTAAAAAGAAATTTAAAGACAAAATGTATCATAACAATAACATTCAAAACAGCAAAGGTAATTATAATTTTGGTATGGCTGTTTTTATCATTTGTTTATTTTTTTATTTTGTATTCTGGTAATAATATTATCAAGATTTTAATAAATCATCATTACAAATATATTTTTTAATATCTAGAGTTTTTATCTTTCATCTGACATGAATATACTTATTTTAAATTGGCCTTTTATACCATTATTTAATAGGTAAAGGAGACAGAATGATGTAATAGATATATATATATATATAAAAACAACAAAAATTAAAAAAATATGAACTTGTTAATCCTGCAATATTATGGTACAGAAAGTAATAAAGTATAAAAAGGATGATAAAATTTAGGAAAACGATATAACACTGAATTCCAAACATTACTTATTTTTTATATACATATATGTTATCCTATACACTGCAAAATAAATGATAGGATAAATTATCAAAATTATATATCATTATTTTTATTCTCCCTTTTCATGCTTGGTCGACATTCTCTGTAAAGCAACAACGAAATCTTCAAGAGAACGTTGTTTTGAATTCTTTTTAACACTTTTTCCATGCATAATATTGTCAAATGCTACAGAGTCTGAAAGTAAATAATAAATGCCAGCCATAATGCAAAATACACCAAGTGAAAAAAGCCAAACACGAACAACTGTAATGATAGAAGTTCGTTCAAGACCATGTTCTTTAGTTCCTGTAAACCAACCAAAGATACAAAATATCGTAGCAATGACGTCAACAAGAAAGACGGCACCAAATAGTTGCCATGATGGCAATGATGACCAAAACGGTCCATTCGCACGTGTAATAAAGATGAGCCAATTTTCAGTAAGTGAAATTTCCAGGAACATAACAGCATCCACATTGCCATAGCCTTGTACAATACCAAAAGTATTATCATTAATATATATTGTAGTTAAAGCAATCCATGATCCAATAGCTAATGCGGCACCAAGAAGAAGCGAAATACCCCATAATTTAGGTAGATTCCACTTAGTGGGTAATAATGAATAAGGAGCATTATCATACGCAATAGCTAAAGTAGCAATATCCGCGAAAATAGCAATAAAAACAACTAATTCTAGAATCATAAGATGATTAAAAATAACGATCCACAGGCCTAAAAAGATTTCTAAATGTAATGATAAAGCGATACGATAAACAACATAAGCGTACATTCGGTGAAAAATCTGCCGAGATGTCTTTAACGCATCAATGATTGCAGAAAGACCAGGTGCTAAAAAGACTATATCAGCGGCAGAACGTGCAGCATCCGAAGCACCTTCAACTGCAATCCCTGTATCCGCCTTTTTAAGAGAAGGTGCATCATTAACACCATCCCCGGTCATAGCTACGAGATATCCACGTTGCTGCAAAATTTCTACAACATTATATTTGTGTTGTGGAAATACTTCAGCAAAGCCATCCGCAGCTTCGACGAAATCATAAACCTCAGATCCAGGCATATCTCCTCCACCACCAAGACCAAGACGTTCAGCATTATAAACATTAGTACCCATTCCAAGTTGACGTGCCGTTTCTTTAGCAATACCAACGGCATCTCCTGTTAACATTTTAATACGAAGTCCAAGACGAATGGCTTCACTAATGGTTCGTGCAGTATCACATCGTGGTGGATCAGAACATGGCATAATACCTAAGATCTCCCAATTAGAATTGCCAGTTTTACGAGCAATGCCAAGAGATCGATAACCACGAGATGCAAATTCAGCAACCTTATCCTTATATGCATTTTGAATATCCTCAGGAACGGGTTGATCTTCTTCGACCGTTCTAAGAACAAAAAGAGGTGCACCTTTTACACATGCTATCCTCTCTCCGGAAGGTGATTCAACGATAGCGGTAACTTTTTTGCTAACAGGATCAAAAGGATGAAATTCGACAACCTTATATTTCGAAATTGCTGATCTTACGACAGGATAATTTCGAAGCGCTTTGAGAAATGCTTTATCAATAGCATCAAGACCTTTTTTCTTACGTGAAGCTGCTAAACATGCGGTTAACATAAGTTCATCGCATGAAATTCCTTCAACAGTATAAGGCTCAGCAAGGGAAAGGTCATTTTTCGTTAAAGTGCCTGTTTTATCGGAACAAAGAATTTCAACTCCAGCAAGAGATTCTATGGCTGAAAGTTTTTGAACGATTGCTTTTTTCTTCGCAAGATATGCCGCACCAACTGCCATTGTAGTCGTAACAACGGCCGGAAGACCAACCGGAACACCAATAATCGTAATAGCAAGTGTATATTTCAAAATCGTAATCGTAGTCGATGATCGATAAAATGCCGAGATATATACAACGAAAAGTGTAAAAACAACTAATACTAAAAGAATGGTTCCTATGCGATTAAGAACATCGGTAAAATGCCCTGTTCCACATGATGCTTTATTAACAAGCGATGCTGCATGACCTACAAATGTTCCATCGCCTGTAGCTGTAACAACCATAAATGTTTCACCACGTTTTACCACTGATGATGAATAAATATTATCACCTTTATGCTTATCAACGGCTAATGATTCCCCTGTTATAGACGATTGATCCACTTGAATATACGCTTCTTCCGTAACAATCCGTCCATCTGCCGGAACAATAGATCCCTCCTCAAGTTGTAATATATCTCCTGGAACAACTTCTTCCGCTTCAATATCAATAAGACGACCATCCCTAAGAACTGTCGCTTTTAAAGCAAGCGTTTTTTTAAGTTCATCCACAATCGATCCCGCTTGAAATTCTTGAATAAATCCAACAAACGCATTAAGAAGAAGTAATGCACATATCACTCCAAAATCTACCCAGTCCTGAAGACTCGCCGCAAGAATAGCCGCCGCTTCCATCACAAATTGAATCGGTCCAACAAAATACATAAGAAATTTAATAATCATATTCTCTTTTTCTTCTTTCATCTTATTCAACCCATATTTTTTTCGTCTATTAACCACTTCTTGACTCGTTAATCCAATACGTGTATCCGTTGCTAATAACTCCTCCGGAACTTGTCGTTGTGACTGAAATTCCGTATCTTCTATATTATCTTCCTGATCTCCTCCCTGAGACTCAAGCTCATCAATTAATGCTTCAATATCATTATCTTCATCATCTAATAAACATTCCTCTTCTCCCCCCTTTTCTAAATCTTTTGTTGTTTCGCTAATCTCAAATGTACTCGTATGTTTATAATACACCGTCTCATGAATCAAAGCTTTTCCTTCTTCACTCATACTTCTTTCTTATTATTATTATTAAACTTGTACAGCTTCCCCGCTTATTCCTCTTTTTACACCTTTATGATCTTCTCCAATTCGTTTATACTCGTTTTTTACCCTTTTTCGACCGTTCAAAAACGACAAAAGACCTCCAGACTAATTAATACACATAAAATCCTGTTTTTATGCGTTTTATCCCTTGTCAAACTCCCTAAAACTGTATATTTTAGCTGTTCTAACCCGTTAATATTTGATGTGTTGTTATAACTCGATGGGTATCGAGGAGTTCTGATATATCCTTAACCCTAAGCGGTAGACCTAACCCTATTCTTGAGCCCTAACCTTGTGATTAAACCCTGTAAAACCCTAACCCTAGCTGAACCCTAGTTAAACCCTGGCTAAGCCCTGACTACGCCCTAATTAAACCAAACCCTAACCCTGGTTAATAGAATATCTAGTATAAGGTTAAAGTGAAGAATAAGTTGAGTGTGAAGACGAGGAAGTAAGGAAGTAAGGAAGTAAGGAAGTGGGGGGTTGAAGTGATGTTATAAGGGAGGGTGAAGGTGAAGGTGAAGATTAAGGTGAAGATTAGGGTGAGGTTTAGGTTAAAATAGGAGGGTTTATATGAAAGTTAAGAAAAGGGTTAAAACAAGGGTTAAGATGAAGTACTAAGATGAAGTGTTAAAATCAAGTGTTGATTAGGATGAAAAGTTAAGAAGAGGGGTAGGACGAGGGTTAGGGTTGTAATTCATAGATAAGGGTTAGGGTTAGAGTTAGAGTTGTATGTCAGGGTTGGGGTTAGGGTTGGGTACTATGCTGTGCTATCTGCTAGAGGGTAGGTGGTTTAGTAATAAGGTGTATTTGGAAATATTTAAAAGGGATGAATTGAAGTAATGAATAAATAAATGTATGAGAAAAATCAAGAATTTCATATTAATTTTATATAAAAACTTTTGGCATTAAAAAAAACTGCCCAGTTTTTTAGTTTATTAGAAATTTAGATACAAACGCAGACATAAATAACAAACAAACAGATATTCATTTAGAAGATTTTTTTTACAACCAAAACTATCATTAATTCCAAAACCATCAAATATAACCCATTTTAGATAGCCTTAAATTAATCAAATGTCCGTATATAATGAAATCAGAAAAAAATATCTCTCTTAAAATATAAAAAAAAAAAATGTCCAAATCATTCTCTATGCATTATTTTTAAACTAATTATAATATTCAGATGATGGTATATAGCCTTTATAAGGATTGAAGTCTTGCTCTTTCAAATATTGTTGATAAAGCTGTCTTCTTGAAGTTTTCATTGAATTTTGCATGTTAGGAAGTGTTATAAAAGATTCATCAGGACTTTCTGCTAAACTCGAAACTGTCGATGATGATGAAAGAGACGGCATAGTTGCAGGAGAACTCGTTAATGATAATCTTTTAGTCCAAATAGGCGATTTCGGCGGATTATATGAAATTGGAGGATACATCAAGTAAGGTAATGACGGAGACATACATTGCTCTGACCGTACTGTTTGCCATGCAACAATTGCATGTTTAATCGGCACTAAAAACGGTGCTAGAGCTTTATATAAATCTTCCATCGTAATCGAAAGATCCCATTCTAAAAGTGATAACAATTGCTTCTCCATAAGATTAACTTCCGTTAATGAAAATAAATGATTTGTATATTTTGCCCAATGCTATAAATATCATCAATTTTTTTTTCTTATTTTTCGACTTAAATTTTTCTTACTTTATTTTTGGGTGATGAATCATTAAGATACTTTGCCGCTAAAATAAGTGATGCAAGAAAAACCCGATGACATGTACACATCATTCCTTTTGCAACACGTGGTAATTTACATCGTAAACGTTCAAGATATACCAACGATGACATAAGCGTAGGTACTTGGACATTCGATTGCTCACATAAACTAGAAATAAAATGCTCTAACGTAGGAAAATTACGATACGAAAATTCTACATTATATTTCGAAGGTTGAGATATCGGAACACATTGTAAAACTCCATTCGCTTTTTCCGCAAGATAAACAATCATTTCCCATTTAACGGGTTGCTTAATAAATTCAATTAATGCTTGTTTATTAAGCATTTTATTATCCCTCCCCCCAATATAACTATTTATACCGTATATACCCTCTATACAGTCTATACCGTCTATCTATACCGTTTATACCGTCCTATCCCCTTCTTATTCCCTTTTATTATTCCCTTCTTATTTTTTATTTTTTATTATAATAAACGCGTATTTCCCCCTCAACACGTTCTTATTTTATTTATTATTAATTTCCTATCTCCCTAATTTATCAATTCCGTTACGCCTTTATTACGCCTTTATTATGCCTTTATTTTCAATCCTCCGATATCGCTTCTCTTTATTATATTATAAATCCTGGATCCCTACTTCTTTTCCTTTCTTTTCCCTTCAAACTATACAATTTTTACTGTCGTTATTTTTTCTTTCTCCCCATTGAGAATATTCCTTCCTTGCTAACCCTTGTCCCCTCACTTCATTCTATATTTTCAAGATTTGCGCCCAAAAAGCCTTGACGCGCTTTTTTTTAATAATTATACTAAGAATATGTCTTTATATATGAGGGGACTTAACGTAAATGGGATTATTAGGGTTGAATATGCATTTTTTACAAGGGAAAGCAAGATGCTTGCTTTTCTTTTAATTCAAGCATTCATTTAACTATACTAAAATAGGTGGAAAATAGGTCTAAAACCGAGAGAATAGATGAGTTAAAAAAATTAATGCAATAGCTATCGATAGGATTATTAAAAATTTCTATGTAAGGTATGGGTTTAAAAAGTAGGAGTCAATATATAATATGAATCAGGATAGTTAGAGCTAAATAATTATAACGGATGTTAGTAAAAAGAAGGGATAATATTGCATAGAAAAGATAAATATTAAGAGGAGGAGAGGGGGAGAGTTAATAATAATAATAAAGATTAAATATAAAATAATAAGAAATAAATAAATAGTTTTGTAATTAAAAATAGTTTTGTATTTAAAAATAGTTTTATAATTAAATTAGTTTTAATAAATTTTGATTATTTTTTGAAGTTTATATTTTTTTTAAATTAAGGATTATGCATGAATGGAGCGGATAATATATGGTACGGGAGGGGAGGAGTAGGGGGGAGTAGAGGGGAGTAGGGGGAAGAATAAAGAGATGATAGAAGAATAGAAAAAGAATATATTAAAGAGAATAATATGGAGAGAAGAGAATAAAGAAAATAATAGCGAAAATAATATAGAGAAAATGTATTAAAAAAAAGTATTATTAGAAGTATATTAGAAAGAATGTATTAAAGGGAATAAAATAAAGAGAATAAAATAAATATTAGAAAAAGTTTATTAAAAAAAAAAAGTATAAATAGTTAATAAATCTATTACTTTCTACATTATATTTAATATATATATGTAGCCTAATAGTCAGCTCTTGACTTTCAGTCTATTTTATATAGAAATACAAGTCAGATTCCTAGAAAAAGGCATAGAATTATTCTTGAGGATAAATAAAAATGGCAGTAATCAATTATAAATAAAAGATTACTATGGCATATCCTCTTGCTTTTCTTTTTGATCATAAAAGAAATATCCGTTAAATACGATGATCTTTATATTTTTATAACCCTAAACCACGAATTGAGTTGTAAAAAAAAATATATATATAATTTAAAGGGAATATAAGAGTTTTTTATATTTGTTTTGAAATGATATTTTATGTTTTATTTGTTTTATTTGAATTAATAAAATGTTTTTCCTTTGTTTTTTTAATGAATGAAAGTTTTCTTGAAAATCCGGCACGTTGTGCTAAAATTGCTTCATTTTTTTCATTAACAGACTTTGTTAACATCTATTATAAATAAAATAGATTAGTTTTTAATTTTTTTTTGTTAAAAAGTCAAAAAAAAAAAATAATTTACCCGTTGAAGGTGTTGTGCTTTTTGTATCGATGCTTTTTTAGTAGGAATTATACGTGCTAATAATAATATTAATATTAATGATTTATTGATTAAAAAAATATATATAATTACCCCCTCGTTTTAACTGAACAGGTTTATGACGAGTTTTAATAGGTTTTTTATTAAGTTTTGTTAATCCTTGTGTCATTTATAAATGCCGCTATAATAATATATAGCAACTTTTACGAAATATTCATTCGTAGTCTTTGTAAAAAATATTTTATAGAATGTTATAAAAAACGGAAAATAATGATATTTACATTTAAAATATTTTATTAATATTGTTATATGAAATACCGATTTTTATATGAATTATATTTTTATCTTTGAATAGTATTTTATAATTATTTAATATTTTAAACATATATATAAGAATAAGATTAAATTAGAATATCAAAAGTGTTAAATAGAAATAAAAGAGATATAAATATTAAAGAAAAATTATTTATATATATATATATTAGAGATTACATTATTTTATTTTAAAATATTAAAATAGATATTTAATATATATAATATTTTTTTTAAAAGCTTTCTTATCAAATAATATTTAATTTTTATTGAATAGTTTCATAAATGAATAGAATTGGTTTAAAAATATTTGAAAAATATCAATATATATAATATCAATATATATAATATAATTATTAATAAACAAATAGTTATTTTCTTATTAGTTGATGTACCGCTTTTAAAACTATGATATATATATATAATCTTACAATATAAATCATTTAGATTAAAAGACAATTTAATACCCTTTTATACAAAATTTAATTTGATTTCAAAGATTAAGTCTTAAACATTTTTATTTAAAAATTTTATAAAATAATATATAGATTTTTTTATTATTATTTTAGTTATAATTTAGTAAAAAATATAGGCTTTCTTGTTTTTTACTTAAATTTCCACTTATTTCTTTAAATTTTACTTATGATTATTCAACTTTTTTGATATAAACTACTTCAACAGATTCTAAATATCATTATATTTCTCTTTTTTTTCTTACAAATTTAACTTTCTACAAATTTATTCAATAATTTATACAAAAAAAAGACTGGTTTTATTAAAATTAACAACATCATATATCAATATTTCAATATTTATCAATATTTATCAATATTTATCAATATTCTTTTCCATATTATGCTTCTTAATCTTATTTTACTGGAAACATGACTTAATATTAAAAATTAATTTTATTTTTGGATATCACTAATTAAATTACATCTTATAAAATCAAATCGGCTTCTTTACAAAACAATACTTCTTCTTCTTTTTTCATATATTTATTATTACATTTCTAAATACCGGTTGATATTTATAAATATAAAAGGTTTCTATCTTAAAAAAAAAAGTATACAATTTTATTAAACTACTAATTCAATTCTCTACTAAAAATTCAATTCTCTACTACAAATTCAATCATATTCTCTTATTTTCTTCATATTTATAAAACAACTATATCATAAAATGATAAAAACTCAAAAAAATACACACATACTCAATTCTTCATTTTATTATCAAAAATTACACTTCATTCAAATTTATGCTTACACAATAATATTCTTTTATTATTACTTTATATATACTCTTTTTTATTTCAGGGAATATCGGCCATTTGACGCTAAAAAATCTAAACCCTCAAGATTGATTTATGAGAAGAGTCAACAAGAATCTGAGGAATCGAATAATAAAGATAATAAAGGCATATGTTTAAAGGGTTGTTAGTTGCATGTTTTGTGAAGGGAATTCAGAGTTTTATCCGCCTATATTATTTCAATATTCACCGGTTTATCATACATGGGTTAAATTATTCGTTAAGGATGTATATACATTGAAAGTGGTAGAGGGATTTGAGGGTTAGTTTAAATATTAATAGAATAAGAAGAAGAAGAAAGGATTAAAGGGAAATGAATAGATTCACCGGCGCTTTTTTGGTTAAATCATCCAATTCGTTGGGTTCATCTTTTTGGGGTGGTAGTAGGGTTAGAGAAGCGTGAAAAGAGTGATTTTGTGTCACGTATGAGTAAAATCAGCATCATATATTGGTGTTTGATTTATTTGAATAGTAGATGATTCAAGTGGGCGTATAATTGAGCTGATATTGAAGGAAAGGCATCATCGACATCTTATACCAGCGTTTCCGGAGGAAAATGGATTACTTGATATTGGAATGAGGATTAAAGTTCGTGGTACATTATCACATTTGCATGGATCACGACGAATTAGTGTGATTAAACTGGGTAGAAGAAATATTATGTATAAAATGAAAAAAAATAATGAAAAAAGATGTTATTCATGATCCGAATATCGAGATTTTAGGATGGGAAGAAAGGATACGATTAAAACAAGAAGTTCTTTCAAAAGTATGGATAATTGATTCGGATGTTAAAAAAGCTACGATTAAAGCGTATTTAAAAATGTATAATAAATCGATAACTCAAGGGGTATCGAAATGCGTAAGTTGGATTTAATAGAATGAGGGGAAATAGATGAATATTTAGTCAGGCTATTCATTTAAAATACTGAAAAGTAGCGAACATACAATGGAGAATCTTAAGAGATTAATTTTGAATCAATTGAAGGAAAATGAATATCGAGAGTTTACAATATCGATTTTAAGAAGTGATGGAGAAATTGAATATGCAGCAAATTGTATAGCGACAAAAATTCGAATAGAAATGGGTGAATTGGAGAATACAATAGTTTGGTCACAATCGATTGAAGTTTGTCATCTTTTAATGAAATGTATTTCAGAACTGGTTAATCAAGGCTTAATTCTATGTGTTGATGGGGGTCAAGGAGTTTATGCAACAATAGGAGAATGGAATCTTTCTCGAACGATACGAAAATGTTGTCGAGAATCATTACACAAATGGCGGCTTGCAAAACATTCTTCAGACAATGAAAAAGCAATGATTACAGCTCGAGACGTTTGGCAGAAGGCAAGAAGAATTGGGGATGAATGGAAAGCAGTAGATAAACGGCTAATTACAAACATTATGGCAAAAGTGATGCCAACACTTTCAGGTTGGCGTTTAGTAGAAAAAGGAAAATGGGTTCTTGATAAGTAGTCATCTTTTTAAATTTCAGGTCATTAAATTAGGTTTTTTTTTTTCGTGGACAGGTTTTTTATATACTTAATTAAGGATTCATTATATAATTGTTTTTTTAACTTGCATTTTAGCATTTACGGTTTGTTTTAGATAGATTCTTAATTCTTGATGCTTTTTGTTATATTGATATATAATCCTAGTTAACATTTTTAAAAATTTAGCTTTAATCCTTTTATATAAAAGTATAATATACTTTATAACTATTAAATAAAAAAAATCATGTTATTATTATAATATTTGCTTATCAGAAAAAATACTTAAATTATTTCTTAATCTATATTATTATTTTGCGTATCAATTAATAATCTTAAATAAATAATACAACTTTAATAAATTAATTGGAGATCAATTCTTATAAATGGATAATATAAATTAGATATTTTAAAACAATATGGAAGTACAAGTAAATCTCTTTTTTTCCAGTAAAAAATGATGAAAATTAAGAGAATAAAGATATTAGACAAGAAATCTAAAGAATTGCTATCTAATCAATGGATTAAAGAGTTTTTTAGTACAAAAGAGTTTCCAAGTGTTCCAGAAATATCAAGAAAGAGTTGTTGTATGTCTTCTTATAATAATTCAGGAATTGATGGCAAAAATCCAATGGATCTATCTTTATCTAAACGTCCAAATTCCTTAGATCAGATGACAAAAGAATGCTCAGAATATTTAAATTCTGAAGAATTAAATTCTAATTCTCATATTAAATGCAGATTTTCTTCAATTCCTATCATAAAAAACATAGAAAACATTTCTTCAGATCAAAAGAAAAAATTACAAGATTATAATTCAATAGATAATGAAAATTCAAATGATTACAAAGAAATAAAAATACAAGAACATCAATCACCTGAAAAAAGAGAATCTTCAATTAAAATTAACAATTCTGGAATTTATGATACAATGACACTTATTAACTATATACAGCACGAATTTTCAACATGGTTAAAACATACACAAAAAGATAAACATCTCGCTTCATCATCTAATAATTTACATGATATTGCAAAATCTAAATACCGACAAATTCATCATACTAGGAAAATCATTCGTTCTCTTTCCTTAGTCAGATTACAACTTTTATCTTTATAAAAAACAAAAATACTAGTTTTTCTAGGTACATATTTATTTCTTTTTATACATTTACTTATCAATCATACTTGCTAATCTACATCTTATCCTTATCAGAGTCGATAACATCGATATTTTTTTAACTAACATTTTCTATACTTCTCAATAATATACATATATATACATATATTATACTGGAAAACGCTTTCATTATTGATAAACTATATTTTAGAAGGGATATTTTTATAATTCTTTTATTGATTTATCATTATTACAAAAAATATACAGATTATTCTTAGACAACATATTTATTTAAAAGATTACCAGAGATTATCAGGCAAAACTCTGGTAATTCTATACATTCTATTGTATAATCCTGCTTTATATTAGCGTATAACTTTGGTATTGGACTATATTTTGGTAAAAAGGTTAGAAAGATAATGTATAAAAATAATATTTAAAATAATGAAACTAAGTATAAATTAGCTTTATTTATGCAGGAAATAATTAAAAAAAAGCTTTTAAAAGTACTTTATTTTAAACCACCTTCTAATGAGGAAAATCGTCCTCAAGAATCACATGAACCTTTACAGACAATATATAATGATGATAATAATTATAACAAAAGGAAAGGAAATGACTTATACTTTATTATTAAGGCAATTTTTATGAGTAGTTATCTGAATATTCTTATTTTTTTTGTGCCATTAGGCATTTTATATGGTTACTTTGAATGGAATCCTACATTAGTATTTATTTTTAATTTTTTAGCAATATTTCCTTTAGCAACAGTAAGAAACAAGGTTATTTTATAGTTTTTATAGTAATTAACATGTTAGATACTTACTTTTTTAACAGAAGAACTTTCTATGAAAGTTGGACAAGTAATAAATATGAATTATTATAATTTATTTATACTAATATTTTAAGACAACAGGAAGTCTTTTAAATGCTAGGTAAAAGAAGAGTATTTAAGGAGTATTTTTTGATTTTATAGTCTGGGCAATATTGTAGAAATGATTATTTCTATTATTGCATTAAATAAAGGACAATTAAGAATTGTTCAGACATCAATGCTTGGTTCTATTTTATCGAATGATCTTTTAGTATATTTTCATGTGTATTTTATCATTCAATTAATATATTTAAGGTTCTTGGGATATGCTTTATTGCAGGTGGATTACATTATCGAGAACAGCAATTTAATATGACAGTTGCACAGACTATGTCTTCTCTTATGGCAGTGGCAACTAGTTCTCTTTTAATACCAGCTGCTTTTAGACTATCATTACCTGGAACAGATGAGACAAATAAAAATATTATTATGTTATCACGTGGTACATCAATAATTTTATTAATTATATACTTTTTATATTTAATTTTTCAAGTAATATGATCTATTTCTAAATATCATGGCTTATTATGTAATAGTTAAAAACACATACAGAATTATATGAAACAGTTATTGAAGATACTCATAAAGAATTAATTCCACCTATTATCTCTGGACTTTTTCTCGTATTAGTAACACTTTTGGTTTCTTTATGTGCTGAATATCTTATTGATTCAATTGATTTGTTTGCTGCTTCATATAATGTTAATAAAACATTCATAGGTTTAATACTTATACCTATCGTTGGTAAAATGGCAATTGATCCTAAAAGTTTAATACTTATGTTTCAGGCAATGCCGCAGAACATGCTACTGCTGTTATAGTATCAGTAAAAAACAAAATGGATCTTGCAGTTGGCGTAGCTCTTGGTTCTTCGATGCAGATAGCACTTTTTGTTACACCATTTCTTATCATTGTTGGCTGGATCATTGGACAACCTCTTACATTATATTTTAAAACATTTGAAACAGTTATCATGTTTGTTAGTGTTTTCATTGTTAATTATTTAATTCAAGTATTTAATAATTCTATTTTTAATTAACAATTCACCTTTTCTAGGATGGGAAAAGTAATTGGCTTGAGGGGATTATGCTTATAGCGGTTTATTGCATTATTTCAATTGCATTTTTTCTTTATCCAGAACAAAAGGCTGTTTAATCTTATCATTATTCATTTATCTATATACACATACACATTTATAAAATTATTGCAAATATATGAATTTAGGACTTTAAAAATCTACTTTTATATGGCATATTTATTTGTTTTAACAACTATTCTATGGCTTTATTAATATGAAACTATACTTCTATTAAAAAATCGAATTATTCAAAAACAATGACTAAAAAAAAGGGCTCATTGGATGAAAAATTAACTGGAGAATTTAGTGAAATTGATCTATACTCTATTTTAAAAGTAGATAAGAATGCAACTGAAACAGAGATTCGCTCAGCATATCGTAAACAAGCTTTATTGAATCATCCAGATAAAAGACCAGAATCTGAACGAGAAAAGGCACATGCTGAGTTTGAAAGAATTGCATTTGCATATGGGATTTTAAGTGATGAAAAAAGACGTAAAATATATGATACAACAGGAAAAACGAATGAAGTCATAAGTGATATAGATTGGACTGAGTGGATAAAAGAACTTTATAATAGTTCTATAAATGGGGAAACATTAGAAGAATTTAAAAAATCATATCAAGGAATGTTTTATTGTATTTTTTTGCAAATCAAATATTGACTAATATTTTAGGCTCAGAAGAAGAACGACAAGATTTATATCAGGCTTATGAACAATTTAAAGGATCCATGACAGAAATATTTTCACATGTTTTATGTAGTAATGTGCTTTCTGATGAAGAGAGATTCCGTGCAATGATTGACGAAGGTATTAAGAATAAAGAACTTAAAAAATATAAAAATTATACACAAGAAACATCTTCTCAGAGGCGTAGAAGGCGAAAGAATGCAGAAAAAGAGGCAGAAGAAGCAGAGGAACTTACTAAAGAACTTGGCTTAGACAAAACTTTAAAAAAAATAAAAACAGAAGATGACCTTCAAGCATTGATAAAACAAAGACAATCAACACGTATGGAGACTTTAATAAATAATTTAGAAGCAAAATATGGAAGTTCTAAGAAAAAAACTTTAAAAAAAAACTAAGTATTTTATAAATAAGAAATTTAATTATGTACATATGAATAAATGATGACCCTTCTTTTTAAATATGATTTAACAGAACCTAATATTAAACATTAAATCCTTTTTCAAAAATATAAAATTATAAACACAAATCAATCAGTACTCAATATCGTGCATGAAGCAGATTAATCAGAGCCACTAGGCTAATAAGACCGTCGTGAAGTTGAGAAGTTTATATCATCATAATATATGTGTTTATAAATTATTATTACCTTTTGTTTTTCTATCAAACTCCTTATAACATTTATTAGTAAAAATGAAAATTTCATTAGAAAAAGTCTAAATATTTGCATCAGAATAATTTCATTCATCAATGTATTAATTATGACATATGCTTGTCATTAATAGTTTAGGATCATCCAATGCAATTAATATTTTCCATAAAAACATACCTTCATAAAAAACAATTTTAATAAACCAAACAGCTAATTATTAAGTTTATTTAAATTAAAAAATCCTAAATAATATAAATCAGTACTTGTATTTAAAATATTATAGCCAATAATTCATCTAGTCATTCAGCTAAACATGAATGGTAAAAAAAAAAAGTTATCAACACCAAATATGATGTCTGACTCGTCATCAACATTCATCATTAACAAAGAGCTTTTCATAGTTATTATCTTAAAACTAACCTTAATATTTTCAATAAATCATAGAAATATGTTTTTGCTTATAATAAATAAATATATGTACTCAAATATAAAAACCCCGTATTTCTGAAGCAAAAGCAAATTGATATTAATCTTTATAGTATTAAATATGAGTAATTGATATATTAATGTTTAATAAAATCTCTATCCTTTATATTAAAAAAAGAGATAAGTTACGTAAACCTGCAAACAGTTAAAATCCTTATAATAATAATGATAAAAGCTCAGGTTTAAAGCAGCATTTTTTTTCTGCATAAGATTCAATATTTGAATATCAGACGGTAATTCCAATGTATAAATTTTCATCTTTGCTTAAAAAAAATCAAAAAAAATACCTTAAAAACCCTCATATAAAATATATCCTATACATTATAAAGTTAGTCTTTATTTTTGATCAAGAAATGTATATATAAATTTTCATTTATATATCAGAAAATATGTAAGAATATAAAATCATATCAATATCAAAAACTCTAGTTTGAAAATAATCATTCATCAATTATAAAAAAAAACTATATATTAATAACATTTGTAAACATTACCTTTAAATATTATACTTTGTTGTTTTTTTTTTTCTAAATCATATTTTATATAAAACTATTAAAAAACTTAATTTTTAAAAATGCTTTAAATTTACATACCACTATATATATATTATATTAAAAATAATAACAGAATAGTTTGTAGCCAAACAAAAAATTAAAACGTAATTTGTTGGGATGCTGTATAATATGATGTGGAAACTAATGTTGATAAGAAATTCATATTTATATAAAATTTTGTTTTTATAAAGCCAAGTCCTTAAAATATATCAAAAATAATTTATGAATTAATTCAACAAAAAATTGTTTCGGCTTATTTTATAATAGAAAATTTTGAAGAGTTTGCAAATTGTTTTTTTCCACCAACTTCTACACTATGTATATTCAAAATAGAGTTTAATGCATTTTGAAATATTCTATAATAAAATATTCCTATTCATTAGTCAGTTTACAATAAAAAATCATCTATAGATGAATGTCATAGAAATTAAAACGAATACCTTATTTATAACTGTTGTCTCTTAAAAAATACAAAATAATTAATATAAAAAATAACTATTTTGTAAAAAAAAAATAAATATAGATATTTTCATTGGAAAATTATCTTCCTACAAATTTTCCAAATGTAGTTTCAACCCAGTCTGTAAACATGTCTTTTTTTGCATAATCTTTTAACCATCTTTGATAATCATTATCTCCTCTAAAAAAAATAAGAAAATAAAAAATTATAACATTCTTAATACTTTATAATAACTCTTTCATATCCAAAATTTAAACTATAACCTATGTTTTGATCTTTAATTCTTGTATTTACTTCTAAAAGATATTAAAAAATATATAAATATAAGAAATATACCTGCTCCTGGATGAAATAAAAGACGAATAGGAGAATCCGGCCTTGAAATACTTCCTGTGCTTTCATTCTGTCCTTGAGATGTATTTCTTGATTGTCTTTCTATATTTTCAATAGCGGATGATTCTATTGATGACATAGAAATTAATACTGAAGAAGGTTCAGGATATGTATATGAGGATTTAGATGTTAAATGGCCATAAACATCTTTAATAGCACGCATCTTAAAAATTTCAAATAGTCTAAATAATTTTCAAAAAATTGTTTGTCTTACGATTAGAATAAATATTTTTTCAATTAGTACTTACCTTTTTTACATTAAATATATAAATCCTTTATTAAATTTCATTTTATGAAATATAATGTATATGTTAATTATATCTGAGAACCTGATCTTTGTACCAATGTCAAAATATAATTTAAAGATTCAGGATTAAATTCATTTTTATTTTTAATATTTTGTACCCAAACAACATCTCCTTTAATATATACAATAATGCCACCTGTTCCGCTTGCGCTTGCGGTAATTCTAAAGAGAGGATTCCCAGTACCTTCATGTGCTTTTCGTAAAGGTATTAAAACAAGATCATGTTCCAGACAAAATTCTTCAACAACATCTTTAAATTCAACGTCCCTGTCTTCCAATTGTTTTGAATACGTTTTAGGTAATGGAGTTTCTTTAGTTTCTATTTCTATAGGTTGTGTAAGATTTGTTACAGGAGGAAGTAATCTAATGATTATTAATAATTAAAGATAAAATATAGAATATTAATACTTTTCAGAAACATCATTGCCAAGATTAAGTGCTTGATGCATCATATCTAAACCGTTTATAAATGATTCACGAATCATTGGCATTTCAAGCATTTCTGGAGGAAATACTTGTTGCCACCACTGATACCTATAATATAGTTAAATAAGTTTAAGAAAAATATAGAAAATTGACCATTCGCTAACTTGTGTATAATTACATTCTGAATCGGTAAGCCATATATAAAGTATATCCATCCATTTTGGAAAGAATTCAGTTGCAAACAATTGATCAAATACTGAAGGTTTAAAAAAACTACGCCAAGGAAGTATCCATTCTAAAGGTTCTAATTTCTGATCACTTGGATCAACAAAGAAATCTAATCGAAGGCATGCTGATAACTTCGGTAATATATGAGTTAACATTAATTTTTCAAATTGAGTATCCCCAAAAATTTCTTTCCATACATTCAATTCTTCTATAGGACCATCTTTTATATCCCATGAGCTTAATATCATTTTAAATTTTCTTTTAACACTGTCAATCAATGTTTCAGTATTTTCTTTCAATAAAGGTAACCAAGGAAAAAGCCATATATGTGGAAGTCTCGAATCCTTTTTTTTAATGAAATTTCGTGGATTCCAATTAAAAATAGACTTTTGAAGTTTTGGAAATATTAGTTGATTTAATACGAAATCCTGAATAAATGGTGATAATAAATTCTTCCATGATTCAAAAAGAAAAAGAGCAGAAGAATAATTATAAGGATTCCATGTGTTATTAATTGCCGAACGTACTTTAGGAACCCATAAATGTTGTAACATACTTTCAAAAGGTGTCATTATTCTTTATTATATTAACATAAGTAATAATATATAAGTAATAATTACGTTTGCTTTAATGAAAAATGATCATCTTGATCGATCTCTGATACATTTTTTACTCCTATGATTTGTTTCCATTTATGAAAAAAGTTTAAAACAGGACTAGGCTCTTCCAAAGGATCCCATGATAAAAATAGTGGTTTTATCTAGATTTAATGTTAAAAAAATTAATAAAAAAGTTATAAATATACTATAGGGAAAAGAATAGAAATTATAACTTCATCAAGATTATATATTTCGATTTCTTCCAAAAATTTATGCTGAATTTCTTCTAATATCCCAGATATATTGTTTAATAACACAAGACTATCTTCTGAATTATTCTTACAAAATAAATAAATATCTTCTATTTCCTTTATAATTTTTTCAAGTTTTTCGATTTTTATTGACTCTTTTTCCGCATCTTCATTGATCCTTAACTCTTCCATTTCAATATATACTTTACGGTCTTGCAATTGCTTCCATTCTGTTGCGTACATTTCCAAATCACGTCTAGCCAATAATGATATTTGATACATTTCATCATTACGACTTAAAGTCATAGGAATTGACATTGTTCCAGAAACATTTTCGATAAGCTTCACTTCTTTTTCAGTCATATCAATAATCTGTTGAAGTACCGGAGGAACCTCCATTCCACCTGCAATTTCACTTGCTGTTTTATGTTTTATTTTTTCCTTATGAATTCTTTCTGATTTTTTCTCAGGTATAGGCTTCTTTATATGCTGATCTTCCTCATCTTCACTTATTTCACCTCGTCGTCTTGATTCATCAATTGCTTGTTGCGTTTTTTCCTTTATTAATCCAAGACCCGCACGTGTTGGCCTCACTTTTGTTTCTACTGGATTTAAAATACCCTGGCCTTGAGATCCTAAACCTTGACCCGCAATATATCCCATTTTTTCTAACATTTTTGCCCCAAATCCTGAATTTTTAAAATATTTAGATGTTTCTGAATTAACAGACTTAGGCTTATTCTTTAATTCTGATTCAATTGGTGACTTAAATGACCTTGGATAATCTGATTCGTCTTTCATTTCTGCTTTCTTGTCTTGCTTAGGACTATAAAATGCTTCTTTTTCATTTAAGGCATCCGTACGCGGCTTATATACATAAGAAAAACGTCCATGTCTATTAGAACTATCTTTCTCTGACTCATCTATGCTTTTTTTATCCAAATATCCCCTATTCTTCTGATTTATTTCATCAATCTGTTTTGGCGTTGTAAAACGAACATGTCTGGTCAAAATTACCCTCTTTTTAACCCAAAAAAAACATCATACTTATATCTTAACTGTTTTTCTCCAATTCCACTATATTCCTCATCACTATCCCCCGCAAAAACCCCTAACATTCTATCTTCCTTAGTATCTCTCTTATAACTCCTTTTTCGATGCTTCAAAAAAAGGCCAAATTCCTCCTGATCCTCCCTATCCAAATCCTCCATGTTCTCATCGCTGTTCTCATCCGATGAACTGCTATATGACCCCATTATCCTCTATTTTTGCCTCTTAACTGCCTATTAATAAACTTCGTACGTTAATTTCGACGTTTATCGAAATTTAACCTCATATAAAATTAATATATAGGAATTAATGTCCAATTACTATGATATTGATGATATTCTCAGTGAAAATACAGTAAATAATATTCTCCATATTCTATTTAATATAATGGTTTTTTTTTTCTAGAAAATACCGTCTATTTTTCAATATACAGTTCCAGGATTAGGATATATAGAGGGGGGCCATGAGCCAGATGTAAAAAAAGAAGAATTAATACATAAATATTTATTTTTAATGTGTAATTTATCAGATAAAAGAGGGTACTAATATGGATCTTCCTTTTTGGCTTGCAGAAATGTTAGCTATTAAGTAATAAGTCTAAAATGAATGATAGAAGTTTATATTTTATTATTAGCAATTTTATTGATATTGAATTACCAAGTGCATTTTCGCCTAAGGTTAGAAATGCGCTTAAGGCATGTCCTCAAAATGTAGATTTGAGAATGTTTTCTACACATTATTATTTATTTGGAGAAAAAATATTAAATCTGTATATTATATGAATGTTTAAAGAGGTAAAACTGAGTAATATAGACTTTCTGATAATGAACTTGTTAATATTTTGATTGAGGTAAGTTATTTATTTTATATACGTTATTTATTTCAAGACTTTTAAATCGCGTATATGTTTTATTGCAGATCATGCCCATAATCCTCATGGAATGCTTGAAGAAGGGACGGAATTTCTGCGTAACTTGGAGGATACCGAAAAAATATGTATGTTTGTATTATCATTTTTTAATTATCTAAAATAAAAAGTCTTTCGTATTAGTCATGATAGTGCTAAAGATATGAGAAATTGGTTAGAAAAATCAAAAATTCACTAATAAAATACGAAAAAAATGTATATTGTTCCATCAAAAAAACAAATATATTTATAGATAATAATTATAAATATTAAAGTCTTCGGTCACTATAATCCTTTAAGCTATTTAAATGTGTATTTGTAATTCTTCCTCTGTTGCTACGTCTTTTTTTTTGTTTTTGTAAGCTTGTTGCCACTGAAATCCTTTTGATTGTAGCAGGATCTACAGAGGTAGGTTTTAATCCAACTTTCTTTATTCAGAAAAAAAAAATCATATAAATCATATTTTCCTACCATTTTCAAGTTCTCTAGGAAGATCCGAAGGTGCTGGTATTATTAATGAATGCCATATTTCCTTAAATTCTATCAAATATTAAATAAAACCTTATATTTTTTCCTCTTTAAAAACCTTCATCAACTGACTCTTGATCACTACAATAATTCGGCCATACTGATTTTAAATTTCCATCTTTTTTTGCTCTTAATACAAGAATTTGTCCATCTTTTTCTAGCTTTTCTATCTCATCTATTGCTTCCGACCATCCTTCTTTAAGATCCTTTACTAAAACACCTGTTGCTGTTACAGTTGAATTTAAAAAATCCACAAGTGACGTTGCTGATCTAATATTATGTATTGGTTTAAAGTGATATGTATCTTTATAAGAATCATATTCTATTCTTTCATTTGTTCGTAATATATTAATAAAAGGTTTTGTTAATGGAATAGAAAGATATGACGATATTTCCTCTGATGTTTTTGGTGATTCGTTTCTCTATTTCATCTATAAATACTATTTTTTTATTCATTTTTATTCCCCACTTTAAGATATTCTAATGTATAATAAAGCTGAGACTGTAAATGATTTCCAACACCCGAATCATCCGGTTGAGAATAAACTATTCATTTATCTTAACAATAATAGGTCCTATTTATGTTTCTAACCTATTGTATTTCTTGGTTTTTTAACATTTAATTCATTTCCTCCATTTTTTATATGTGCCATATTATCTTGTATGAAAACTCCTCAAATCAATGAATAAACCAGATTAATACATTAATATTAAGTAAATTCTTATAGAAATATATTATTTATTTAAACTTTATATATAAATTTCTAGTCTTGTTTTTTCTTGAATATTTACGAGTAAAAGTATATATAGAATGCTTAAATATTATAAAAGTATATGAAAGATAAAATATATAAGATATTAAGTTAAAAGAGTTATAAATCAATTAAGCTTCCAGATGGTTGATTATTTTGATATTGAGATGAATAATTGGATGATATATAAGGATTATTTTCTTGAATGACAGATTGAGAAAAAGCAGAAGAAAAGTCTGTAGAATTTTGTTGTGGTAAAACATCATTGAAACCGACACCGGTAGGAGCAGATAAAATGGGTTGTCGATTGAATAAAGCTTGATTAGATTTTTGATGATTAAGAGTACTGGATATGGTTGGTTCTGTTTTTGTTCGCATACCATAAGAATTAACAAACTCACATCCTATATGTTGACTAGGAATACGGAGATCACCAGTATTACCGAAAGTATCAATGTCAGGATTTCTTGCTTGCAATATAGAAGACAATTTACTCTGATAACTAGCGTTGTATTTATGCCCAGGAAAAAAAATACTTTGTGCAGTTGGAATAGTATTATTTGATTCATTTTTTTGATTCGAATACATTTCTAAAGGAGAACTTATAGTATTGTAATTTGGTTTATAATTATCAGAGCTTTCCATTTGAATAAAAGGATTATTTGATCCTAGTCTAAGAGATTTAAATTGATCCTGAGAATGATTAAGATAAGAATGATCGTAAGAAAAATTCCGATGAAATGTTTGGGTATCAACATATGAGGAATATGGATTATTTGTAGGTACATTTTGCTGAAACAATGGATAATTCATTTGAGAATGATTTAATTGATAATTTTCTTGAGGTTGATAATATTCAATATTTTGTGTATTAAGATTTGGTTGGCTTTCAAAAGCATTTGTTGGTTGTAAATATGTATTTTGAATATAATCAATGTTTTGCGGCTGCTGAATAGAATTATCTTCTCTGAAAAAATCCATTAATTTCGGTGGTTGTTGCGATTGTTGAAAAGATTGTTCGAGCAAAAGTGCTCCTCTTTTCTTTTGAAGTAATGCCATATTTCGCAACTCTTCTTCTTCTTTACTAAGCTGAAGAGCAAGTGCTAATTCCTCTTCTTCCTGTTTAGCCTTTAGAAGTGACTTGCGCTTATCATCTTCTGATTGAAGTTTGCTTTCTTCTATAGCACGTTGAAGTTCTTTATCATCATCAGATGTATCTAATATTTGCGATTGCTTTCTATTAGACGTTTTTTTATATGAAGAACTACTTGGCGTATTATCATTCTGTTGAAGACCCAAACGATCATGCATATGAGTCCGATTCTTTCGTTCAGAACGAAGACGATCATCATCCTGTAATAATTCCGTAATATCTCTTGCCTTTATTCTTACTAAAAAAATTAATTTGACTCGTTTTTAATTATCGAAATACCATTTGACCCTTGATCTTTACCATCTTCACTAACATAATTAAACTCACGTAGAGTCTTTATAATGTATATATTATCTTTAGCCCATTTTACTGTATTTTCCGACCCACTATGTAAACAATAATCAAGAACCGTTAACGCCTTTATATAAATCATTAAACCAAAAAAAATAAATACCCTGTAACTGCATACTTTAAATACATGTCTCCAATTCTTTCCTTTGTCATTCATTCGGCGATCCAGCATATCCATTACCTCTATAAAATTATGTCTAATATTTTTTAAAAAAAAAACGCTAATCTTTCGAAAAAAAACATACGGATCAAACGTCATACGCGCAATTTCATTCATCTCTACTCCACTGGGGCCCCATGGATCATTAGATGTCGCTGACCTCACTTTATTCTGTATATCTGAATATTTTAAGTTCTTTCTAGACTCTTTTAGCTCATTTCTTTATCAATATAGATGATATTTACACCGTTCGAATCGCCGCTTTCCCTGTATACATCATCCTTTCTTATTATTAAGAAATAAACCACTTTTATTCCTAAAATATCTCTTAAATCTTTCCTATTTTTTTTTTGACGTTTTTTCTACGCGAGAACTAGTGTCCTTTTTATATAATAATATAGGAGGAGATTATTTATAGCCATTAAAAATCTTAATAAGCCCTTATTAAAGAAATAAGAATTTAATAATATGTAGTTTATTGTATTAAATAAGATTATTATTATTATTATCCTATAAAAAAGATTTAAATAGAATAAAAAAGATAATATTTTAAATTTTCTTGATATGTACAAGTTTAATATGAAAAATAAGTAAAGATTTTAATAAAAAGTGTCTAAACATATTTAAATATGTCAAAGTATTTTATATTTAAATAAAGAATTGATATTTGTATAAAATTTAGTTTTAAAATAGGATATTAGGAAAAAAGCTAAATATATATATAAAGTGATAAATATATAGAATAAAATAAAAAATGTAAAAAAAATGAATAAAATCAATGGGAATAGTCTGTTTTATTGTTTAAAACAATGTATTGGAAGATAAACTAAATTTTGATTGATAAAACTTATGAAATTATAATTTTTATATTAAAAATAAAGATGAATGAGGTGTTTTCATATAAACCATTTTATATTTATAAAATACCAGAAACGCTTTTATCAACATTGACAGTAGAAGAAGATAAGAAGGTTTTTTTACCAGAAAATGAGAGTGAAAGTTCAATTTATGATATTAATAAAGAAATGCTTTTTACATGTTCTACATGTAAAGAAATACAATTTAATTCTACAGAAGAACATAGAATTCATGTAAAAACAGATTGGCATAAGTTTAATCTTAAAAGAAAAGCAAAAGAAATGCCATTATTAGATTATAAGGAATTTGAAGAAGCATTAGAGGGTATATATATGGTAATTAATCATATAAAAAAAATGTACTTATATCTACAGAAATAGAAGAATCTATTTCTGGTACGGATTCAGAAAGTGAAGATTCTGTTTTAGATGATATGGAAGGGTTATTTGTATCAAATACAAAAAAGTTTATTGAAGAAAAGACTATAGAATCGAAAAAAACAAAAGATCCAATTATATGGACTACATCTACTATCCTTAAGAAATCTACACATATTGGATTTTATCGAAGTCTGTTTGATTATGATGGTTCACAAGCATTTATTTCTGTTCTTCGTGAAAACCAGTTAAATACAAAGAATAAGAATAGAACTATTGCCTTGATAATGGTAGGAGGTGGTAATTTTGCTGGGATGATTGTTTCTTTATATCCAAAAACTGAAAATGATAAAAATTATTTCAAAATGGATGAACTTAATATATTACATCATAAAACATTTCATCGATATACAACACGTAGGAAACAGGGTGGATCTCAAAGTGCTCATGATTCAGGAAAAGGTGCTGCTATTTCTGCTGGAAGTAGTTTAAGAAGATATAATGAAGCAGCTTTACAGACGGTTAGCGAATTTAATTGATAATTATTTATATGTAATAGTTTGTTAGGAAATTCGACAGCTTTTGACATCATGGAAACATGCATTGGATGAATCGGAGTTGATTTTTGTAAGGGCATCTGGAAAACTTAGTCATAAAATTCTTTTTGGATATGAAAATTCAGTTTTATCAATGACTGATAAGCGTTTGAAGAAAATCCCATTTACTACTCGTAGAGCTACAAGGAATGAGTTAATTAGATGTTTTAATGAGCTTACAATGGCAAAAATTGTTGAAATTGATACGGAAGAAATAGAAGTTATTCCAGAAACTCAGATAACAAATGTAACAAGCATTTTTAAAACAATTGAAGTCAATAAAGAAATGGAAATACAAAAAAAAAATACATTGCAGATCATACTTCTTGTAAAAAAAGGCAATCCTCAAAAACTAATTGATTATATAGAAAAAAATTCATTATCATATGATTTTCAATTTCAACCTATTTCACTTTATCAACATACTTCTACACCTCTTCACCTTTCATCTTCATTATCCTTATCATTTATTGTAATAGCGCTACTGGAAAAAGGTGCCAATCCAACTATAAGGAATGGAAATGGAAAAACACCATATGATATAGCAGGAAATAAAACAACACGATATGCTTTTAGATTATCTAGAGCTAATTTGGGAGAAGAAAAATGGGATTGGGGATTGGCACATGTTGCATCCCCATTGACACAAAATGAAATTAAAAAACGAGAAGCACAATCAAAAGAACTTAAAATTAAATCTTTACAAGAAAAACAACGACAAAAAGAAGAATTAAAAAAACATATAGAAACTAACCCTCCTAAAATTATAGATACTGAGGCAACTAAGAAAAAACCAATCATATCTTTATCTTTGGAAAAAAAATTACAAGATCAACGTAATTTATCTCCTGATATTCAAAAACGTATCGAACGAGAAAAACGTGCAAGAGCTGCTGAAGAAAGAATAAGAAAATCAAAACTTTTAGGATAATATTCCTTCATTTAAAACAACTCTTTCTTACATATTTCTATATTTCTTATACATATATCTACTCATTTCTGCTGGATAACAACCCTAACCCTAGCACTACCGATATTGTTTTGGAGAAACTCCTCACTTAGAAAAATAAATATATTTCTACCTGGTAAAAGATAATTATTAATCAATCAGAGATATTTTAAGATGGATGTTCAAGAAGAAAGAATTGATGAAGAAAAATCAAAAAAAACGGATGAAAATAAGACTATTTTAGATTTAAGTGATGGAGTGATATATTTTGGAACACCTACATCAGCAGAAAAAAGGCTGCATGCAATGGAAACACCACCAAAACATATATCATCAAGGAGGAAAACTATTCTTCTTCCATCTAAAGCAATTCTTTATTCAGCAGGAAATTCAAATCAACAAGAAAATTGTAAAGAAAGAAAAAGTAGACGACAAAGTTATTTATATGCAACAAAGAATTCAGTTATGTTAGAACAACAAAGACTTCAAGAGATTATGGATGATAAAGATTTTGAATTATATTCTAATAATTCTATGGAGGAAAATTTATTATTTACAGAAGCACCAGGAAGTATTGAGCGGAAAATTAAGAAAAAAAATGATACAGGAAAGTTGTTTCTTACGCCATCTACATGCCAAAGACGGGTAAAAACATTAAGAAGATTTTCTGTTTTTAATACTATGATACCTCGTTCAATACCAAGTATTTCTAGAAGAAAATCTACATCATTATTATTGCAAAAACAAAATAAAATAATGCATGATACACATGAAAAAAATATTTTGACGCCAGAAATGCCATTATTATGTTGTATTAGAATTCAAGCAACTATACGAGGGTATTTAATTCGAAAGTCTATTTTTCTTCAAAATCAAGCTGCAAGAATCATTCAACTTAAATATATTACTATACTTTCAAAGAGGAGGTTTTCTCTTCAAAAAAGATCTGCTATAATTATTCAATCTGCATGGCGTGGTTGGCTTGGAAGAATGCGTTATCTCGAAATGATAGAAGCATGTATTTGTATTCAAAAATGGTGGAGACAATTATCTAAGGAAAAAAAGGCAAAACAGACAAAAGAAGTTGTAAGAGTAGAAGAAAGGGAGGTTATAAAAAATATATCGAATAATTCTAGTCTTCATGGATTTTTAAAAAAATGGGAATCTAAAAAAGCACTAGTAACTGCTACAAAAGATAAAAATATAAAAGAAAAATTTATGCTAGAGGATAACAATACAAGTACGGTAGATAAGATAAAGGAAAATATTCCACCTCGTTTAACTGAAGAATTATCATCCCCACAAAAACCAAATCTTATATCTAATCAATCACCAAAATCATTTAAAAAGACAGCAAAACAAAAGATTTCTTCGTCTGATTCTAGATCTGCATCATCTATGACATTAATGCTGAAACAATCTATATCAACCGCTAGGATATTATCTAACCCTACAAATTCCATTTTATCCACTACTGCACATAATTATTGTACATCATTTCAAAACCGTTCAAAGTTACCAAGATCACGACTTGCGGCACCAGGATTTGCTTCAAAAACTTCTGTATTAACTGACGTTTCTCCGAATCTATTAAACCAAGATACGATAGATGTATTAAATACACCAGCAAAGAAAAATAAAGTAGATGGCGTATCTGCAATTGCATCAAAAGTTTCTACTCCGAGCCCTAGAAAGAATCCTTGTCTTACATCACCACTTAGGAAGACAACAAAAAAAGTGAGTAATTCAATATCGTTTCATTATTATTTACATGTTCTAGAACCAACTACTTGGTTATCGAAAAACAGCATTATTGGCTCCTCAAAACATAAATTCAATGCATTTTTCACATGTTATACCCGAAAGTACTTCACCTCAAAAAAACATCAACCATTTTGTAAATAATGGGCTTAGTTCCCCTTCAAGACATAAAATTATTAATCAATCAGACCTTACTTCTAAGAATTTAGAAGTAAATAATGAAGAACGAAATTTCCCTACCCGGTCTAGAACAACAGAATCAAAAACATTATCTACATCTACTTTACAATCTTATACATCTGCGATAAAAAATATCATTTCTCAGAATTTGTCCGGTTCATACAGGTCTTTAAATTATTTAACTCTTGGGGAAATAACCAAAATGACACGGCAAAATACATATCAAAACAGAATATACCGATGTGATTTTAATAGAGTTATTGTACGAAAAAATTATTCACGTCCTCCATCACCTACTGCAAAATCACAGTCTAAACTTGCAGCTGAAGCACGTATTAGAAGAAGGAAATTTCAAAAAGAAAAAAAACATGATTATGCACTTGGACCAGGTGATGATGATAATTGGATTCCAAAAGAACTCACTTCTTTGAAAAAAGGCGTAAAATGGAATAAACTTTTAGAATCCGAAATTGGTGAACCTAATCATGGCATAGAGAAACTTAATTCTAGTAAAATAAAAGTTCAAAAAGGATGTTTATCTAAAAAAACAAAATTGGTAAGAAATCTTATTAAATTAAATTATAAAATTAATTTCTCTAGATTCGATTAGATGATCTTGGGAATGTGTTAGATGCACGTGAACCATTGACACCTGTTATAGGTAAAGCAGAAACTGTTATTATACAAAAATTTCTTTACAAAGGAGAAGAAGATGAATAACATATTTTAAAAAATATTTGTCTTATTGACTACAAATAAAGTTGTATAACTTTTATGCCATTTAAAAATCTTAAATCATATTTAAATATTTATAATAATAAATATAATATTTTACGTAACTATTGCTCAAATCGTTGATTCATAACTTTCCAATTGATCACCTTAATTATTCATTAATTTAAAAATCGATTAATATTTAAAACTTACATTCCATATATTTTCAAAATATTTTGTTTTATTATTTAAATATTGAACATCTATTTTATCTTAATACTTATTTTTAAACAAAAAAAGAATATATTACAATATGAATGTTCCCATGCATCCTATTAAACATAATAATTAATATATATAAATATAAATGAATAACTTACGATTCCAAGAATAACTTTACCCTGTGTCACAACATCTTGATTCTATTAAATTTTAATAAGAAAATAAATAAATAAATAAATAAAATAAATACCATTGTTATTTGAATACTTAGACGTTGACTAAAAGGTGATTTTACAAGCCATGCCCATCCACTTCCTTGAATTCCTGCCAATTGCATATTAAATATACGAATAAATTCATCGACACTTTTCCATTCTTTCTTAATAGCTTCTACTAAAGGTCCATTAATTATTTCCCCGCCTCCTTGTTTATTAGGAAGAAGATTTTCCCAATATAATGAATGATTAATATGACCTATAAATAAATCATCTATTTAGAATTCATCATAATAATAAAATATATAATTAAATAGCCATAAATAATCAACTATAAATTAACAAATAAACATTATAATATTTATATAGAAAAAAATTATATGATAAAAATTCTTTCACTTACCACCTGCAAAAAATTTTATAGATGTTAAAAGATTTAACCGGTTAATAAACGAATCTAATGATGATTCATTTCCCTCATAATATTTCTCTATCGTCTTATTTAAATTTGTAACATATGCCCGATGATGTTGATTATAATGAAGCTGATAATGTTTAACAAAATTAAATAAAAACTTAATAAAAAATTAAATAATAACCTCAATTAAATCTGCTGAAAGATATGGTTCTAATGCCTAAAACAATAAATTTTTTTTTTTTTTTTATAACCAAAATCTCACCTGATAATCATAAGGAAGACTTGGTAAAACATGTTTTGAATGAGAAAAAAAACGAGAGTTTTTAATAGTTTTTTTGAAAACCAAATCTCTAAATGACTTTAACATTTTATGTTTTTTTAACACTTAAAAACCCTAAAATCCCATGATTAAACCCTTTTTCATACCCTTCTTATTGTCTAAATAACATATAGTTTTATAGCTATATGAATATGTTAAGTTTAACTCCAGCAGGTTTATTTTTTATCTCTTGTTTTTATTATTTTTTCTAATTTTTTTTCTTATATAGGACTTCAAAATACACCTATTACTCAATATCTTTTATATGGAACAGTTTTAAATGCAACATTAGCAAGTATTTTTAATATTAAGCATTATTTTCCTATCCAATTGATACCACATTTTATGAACTATCATCAGGTAAAATATTTAGAAAAAAAGGCTAATAATTATTAAATGGAATAAGTATTGGAGAATTCTAAGCTGGCAAATGATTTATATTAATGCAGGGGAGGTTTTATTTGGTACACTAACATTTTATAATTTAAGAATTGTGGAGAGACATTTTGGTGCAAGAAAATATGCATCATTTATTATTTTATCATTTTTATATACATCTATATTAACACCACTTATTTTATGTTTTATTGTAAATCCATTAAGTCAAGGGCGTTATCAATATCTTCCACCGGGACCAACAGCATTGATTTTTTCTATTTTAGCACAATATCATACTATTATTCCTGAAAGTTATAAGTTTAAAGTATTAAATATGCCGCCAGCTAAAAGAGGATTTTTTTTATCTAATAAAATATATCTTTATATTCTTTCATTTCAATTACTTTTTGCACAATCACCAGGAAGCATTTTAGAAGCAATTACAGGATGGATTATAGGACGTCTTTATGTTTTTAAATATCTTCCAGGTCTTAAATGGAGAATACCTAAACGTATTTTTGAAAAAATAATTAATAATGCACCATCTATATTTACTCCAAGACAAACTAATAATAATGAACCAGAACGTGTAATTCCTACAGGTACATCTATTTTAAATGCAATTAGTGGTATTTCAGAAAGACCAGAATTAAGTGGAGCAAGAGAACATGAAATTGAATCTATTGTAGCCATGGGATTTACAAGACATCAGGTTGTTAATGCATTAATAAGAGCAAATAATGATATCGAAATGGCTATCCAAATTTTATTAGAAGAATAATTTTAATATTATTTATTTCATCACAAACATATTTATTTTATTCAATAATATTTTAACAAATATTATATATAATAAATAAAAACGCAAACTTACATAATTCCTTTTCGTAAAAAACTAGATTCGAGATCATCAAATGTCCAATTTATATAAATGCCATCTGTTTTATAGTAATTATCAACCAATTGATGAAATCTCTTTACTATTTCCTTATACTCATCATTTATTCTATTCCATACTACTATTATTAATTGTTCATAATAAGGATTTTCTTCGTTTCTAAAATGTTTTTCAATACGTTTATAGAGAGTTTCAATTCCTTTTAATATTTCTTTAATATCATACGAAATAATTATACGTTTTAAAGATACAGCAGAAAATGACATTCGATTCTTAATTTCCTCAATCGTCTTTGTTTTTAATAAAGCATCAATACTTTTTGAAAATTCCTTTTTATAAATTAGTATTTTTACTATATTTCAAGAAAATAGTACTATAATACGACCTAAAGGACGCTTAATAACGTTTTCAATATATAAATTTAAATGTTCTTGATATTTTATATTTGCATTTTCTATATATAAATCCAAGATAAATATATCTTTTTTTTTAAGTTCCTGAAGATAATAAAACATATTTTCAACCACCATAATATGACAATATAAAAGTTCTTTATCATCTGTGTCAACTTTTGAAGTATTACTTAAATTGTAGGTATCTTCTGACAACGTATTAAATGTTTTAAACATAGCATGATTTAACTTCTCAAGAGCTTTATCTAACAATTCGTTTATTTCTATATTATCTGAACCAGGATTTTGTCTAATATATTTATCAACAAAGTCCTAAATTTATTAAATCATATTAAAAAGATAGCAAATACCAACAGGAAAAATCCTAAAAAATGATAATATACCTTGTTTCCTTTTGCTGATTATTTTAACATTCTCTATTGCCTGAACCTGAGTGTCAATAAATATATAAAAATACTCTATATGTTTAAAATATAATTTATTTAAAATTCGTATTAAATATTCTTGATCACTTTTCTCCCATTCTAATAAAAATTTCTCTAGAGATTTAATATTTTCAAGAATACACCTAATATCAAATAAAAAAAGCATTCGACATTAAATACAACTTACATATGATCTGATTTACAACAAAATTCTCCAAAAGCTACTAAATTATCATTTAAAAAATTCATAATTTTAGACATCATATTTAGAACTAATTTAGCTACTGATCTATTTGATTCTACTGGTCTTTTTCTCTTTAATATGTCAGTAATATCATCATGATTATTACTCCATGAAACAAGTTCAGCATAATCTCGTTTTTTTGCTGATACCAAATGAAAAAATGAAGTGATAAAGTTTTGTTCTTGTGTAATTGCAGTTACAATTTCTTTTATAAGACCAAAAAAAGCATCCTTTGCAGCAACTTTAGTTTCTTGGTTTTCTTCTTTCCAGGAATCCAAATTAGGAGAACGATACGTTTTAAGTGTAGTAACAGATCGTTTAATATTTCCAGTCTTTATATTTATTATACTTTGAGGTGTTTCTTTAATAGAAGTAAATACTAGTTTATATTAGCAAAAAAAATATTAGTGGTAACATACAAAACTCTGTTTCTTCTAGAGAAACTCTTTTTATAATAGTTTTCCAAATATCAAAAAAGTTTTCAAAATTATTATTGTAAAAATTTCGAGTATATTTAATATAACACTATAAAATCAATCCAATGAAATACTTAGTCATATTTTATACCTCTTGAAATACTGAAAACATAGAATGATTAATATGTTTTGCATAGAGCATAAAACTTTGATAACGATAAAAAGACATATATGTAGAAGTATGATTAACCAAATGAGGTTTTGAAACTTTAAGGGTAGGTGAATAATCTTTATATATAAGATTTGAAAGTTCAGTCTTCATTACTTTAGATTATAATTAATAGAAATAAAATATAAAAACCTGGAATTTATTATTTAAATATTGAGTTAACCGTGAAAGAAAATCGTTACTTTCTTTTTCATATTCAGCTCTTTTGTTCATCATTATTGCGATATCATCTGTTACTTTTTCATTATCAGTTTCAGACGCTGGTATTTTAAGAGCTTTATATAAAAAAGTTAAAGATTTCTCAATACTCATAATCCCTGATGTAGATTCAAAAGATGCTTTTTTTAAAGGTTCCAAATCATTAACATTAATAGAAAGTGTATCCTTAATGATATTAAAAGTTTTCAAATTTAATAAATAATTAATTACCAACAAATTTTGTAATTCCAAAGCTAGTTTCTTTTGGTTCGCGGCCTGAACTTGTAATCCTCTATTTTGAATTTCTATATGAAAAATATCATCCTTAAGAGTCTAAATTAATTAGTTTTAGAAATAATAATAAAAAACAAGCTAACATTCAACTCAGCAGAATATAAAGAAAGTATCGAGTTTAGCTTTTTACACTCTTTAATAGATGGTTGCAGTTTTTTACTTAATTCTTTCATCTTATTATTGCTTTCTATGATTCTTTGTATATTTTCCGATTCTAAAACAGATAATTCATCTTTTAATTTCTCTTCCAATTTATCCACATTTTCCAATGAAGTCCAATCAAAACTATCTAATATTTGATCAATATGATTTATAATATCATCTACGTCCTTATAATTAGAAGGGGATTTAACTATTTCGTAATCATTTTTTTTTAAAGGTTTGGCTAAATCATCAAAAAACTTAGTTTTTTGAAAAAAATCCTTATTTAATGAATTACAAGAATCACTGGGACTTTTTTTATCTTTATTCCTAAATATTGAAAAACTAGGAGATTTAATTGAAGATAAATCAGAATTATGTTTTGAAGTATTATTATTTCTAAATCCATTAAATAAAATTCTAGGAAAATAACAAAAATACTCAAATTTTTCCGAAAGAGTACTATTTAATGAAAAAGATCCACTATTTTGTTTTTCCATTATTTGAGATAAAGAATCGGAAAAGAGATATTGGTTACTAGAGAAACTAAATGTTTCTTTATGACCCTTACTAAACCTTAATGAATGATGACTTAAAGATGATGATCGATTTGATGAATATTTTTCAGATGACTGTGAGTTCCTACTGCTTTTTCGACGCTGCTGGCTAGAAAAAGAATAATGCTTAGTGACTGAATCATTAGCATTTCTATGTTCATATGAAGCATGCGAAAGTCTCCGAGATAATGGTGTATCTGATTCTACGTTATTAGCACTATCAAAATTTTTCGTCTCTTCAAAGCCATTCATAATAGGAACTTTTCCTCCAGTGAATTTTTTATATATTTTCACTAAAACTTCAATAAAAAACATCTTATCTTTTGTTGATTCACATATCCAATGATATGGTTTTTGAAACGTAACAATCATTTTATATGCATCAACATTATCAATTCTTTGAAGTTCTGACATATCCCATGTCTTTCCAATCGAAAATGTACCATTACTATTCTCTCTTGACTTATGTACTTGTACTTTTCCATTATTTTTTACTAAAAAATATATATAAATAATACATTAATTTTCTTATCTTTTGCCACCTGAAATTAAAATACAACGCCGTTTCCTTGTTGTATGTTGAGTACTCTGTCCATCTGGGAAAAGATAATGGGATTCCTCAAATACTTTTACGTGTGTTATATAATTTTCAATCACTATATTATTAATAAAAATCCTTTTTGTTTAATACTTACAATCTCCATTCTCTGTTCTGTTAGAAAAAAGTGAACGAATTATCCGAATCTTGGTATTATTTGAATCATCTGTAGAAGCCATTAAGATTCTAATGGCTTTTTTTCTTAATAAACTAATTTTTTATAGTTATGAAGTGGAGCAGGCGATTAAATTTAAATAAAATATTTTAATTAATTTTATACATAAAAGATGGATATTTCAGAAGATTTATTAATATGTATCCATGATTTTTTATTAAAACATAAATTTGTAAAAACAGCTAAAATTTTTGCAAAAGAAATAGATAAAATGGAGTTTTTTTTAAAGGAAAAAGAAGAGATATCATTAATTGAAATGTATAAATACTATATTGAAAATATTGGTTCAAAAGAATCTATCAATGTTGAAAAAAATAATCAAGTTTCTATAATAGAAAAGTCAGAAAAAAAAAAGAAAAAAAAATCAATAAAAGATACACAAACAGAAAAAGAAATGAAGGGTAATGGCTTTAAATTAATTATGGAAAGGTTTCTTTTCTTTTTTTAGTTAAAAAACGAAAAAAAAAGGATTCTGATCAAGAAATATCTATTAAATCTAAGAAATATAAAGAGGAAACAGAAAAAAATGTAGAAAATAAGGATCAAGACCGACAATTAGATGGAATTTCTGTAAATGATACCTTGGACATTTCTAATGGTGTAGAAAATACTCAATCTAATGACAAAGCAGAGTAAAATTGAATATATATATATAATATAATATTTAATTTTATTTTTAGAACATCTAATTTAAATTTTGAGATAAATAATAAGAAGAATTCTGAAAAATCTATTAATACGGAAAAAGAACAGAAAAAAAATCCATCTTTTTCAAGAATTGATAAATCAAAGATTGAATTTGCTCATGAATCTCTTAAAGATAATAGTTATTTTGGAACTTATCAAGAAGAATGGAACGAATATGGAAGAAAGGCGAATATGGATTTAATAGTTACCAGAGGAAAGGAGTTTAGAGCAAAAAAAAGTAAAAAAAAGAGGGGAAGTTATCATGGAGGTAAAATTGATTCTAATGTTTCTCGAAGTTTTAAATTCACATAATTAAATTTCTATATTTAAAATGTAGTTTTGTATACTATATAAAAATCTGGGGTTTTCGATAATTTTTTAAAATACCTTTTTTTGAATGTTTAAGTATATTTATCAAAAAACAAAAAAAAACAGAATCTTGAGTCATGGATAAAAGCGATAAGCTTTTATATTTTTCCCTGTAAATAAACATATAATTAGATTAAATATACATAATAATAATAAATAATTCATTTTCTTTTGAATCATAACGCCTATTATAAAAATTAACAAAAAATATCAAAAAAGAACTATAATACTTTTATAAACTATTAAATGTAATTACAAATAAAAACAATTACATTAACCATGCCAGTCAAATAATTTCCTGAAACGTTGTTTTTCAGCAAACCATAAACTATTTTGTTCTATTCGAGATTCTTTATCAGATAAATCAGCAGTAAAGTTACGACAACAATTAGAGTTTTCAGCAATAATATTTTCTACGCTTCTGATATGCAATTCATTGTTAGAAAGACGCTGATTAAATTCACTAATAGTTATTAATAAGTTATCAAAATCCGAATATGTATATATAAATTTCTGTAATAAATTTGCAGGTTTATAGTCATGAAGTTGTAATTCACCAAAAGAGTATTTCGGATATAAAAATGAAGCCAGAAAAAATAAAATAGTAACAAAAAATATTCTAATTATCCAGATTAACAATGTTGAAATGTTTTTTGTTTTTTTAACAAAATTTTTAGAGTTTTTCTTTAAAATATAAATACTCATCGCTGTAGAAAGAGATACATTCCGTTTTCTTACTTTGTTGACTTTATGTTTATTATATACATCTTTATTATTATAATTAAATTTAATTATTTCACCTAAATTAAATATTAAAAAACGAATAATGCTTTTAGATACTTTCCAAAATCCGAATCTATATTTATAGATATTTTTTTAATCCCATTATCTGGAAAAATAGGTAAATTTATCTTATCTACATTACTCTTTGAAGTATCCTTTATCCAACCTATTTCAAATTTAAATCGAGAGTCTTTATAAATCCAGTCTTCAGACAAAATATATATATCACCATCGAATTTAGAATAAACACCTGATAACAATCTTTTACCGTTAACGGTGATAAACGAAGGATTAGTGTCATGTCTAAGATGTAGCAATATATCATCAAAAATACATGTATCCGTAATTGATATCTTATAGAATAAACACCATTGAGAAAATGATAAAGGAAAAATATGAACATTAACATTTTCAATATAGTTTTCCGAATTTAAATATACTGTCTCTTTAAACATTCCCAGTGGTAATAACCTTTCAATGCGAATGCTCAATGGTGTTGCTTCACCAGAAATACATTGATATTCCTGTATAGAAAACCTTTCCAATAAATTATCTTTATTACTTGTTAATTTCCAATCAGTCCGTGTTTCAGGATCAACAACATAAGATAACAATGGCAATGATGTCTTCATAAATTGGATTGTTTCTAGTTTAGTTTTGAAATATGGAACATGCAAACATGATCCTAAGATAGATGTGGAAAGTGGCTCCAGAATTACCACTTCCGATTCAATAAGCAAATCACTAAATCCATATTCTTTTTTTCTTGTTATCCGAATAAGATAGTTACAGATATCGTGTTGTTTTGACGAGGCTTCTTTTGAATTGGATTCATTATCTTTTATTGAAACCTTATCGCATTTCCAGTGCAAAATTCCCATTGATTTTACAGATATAAATTGCAACTCAGGAGGTCCGCAAATATGAAAATTTTGTATTAAACCCATATTTAATATGTTAGAAAGGTCATAATTTTGCTGGTCAAAAGCTATATTAGAAGAAAATCCAACTACTACAGCATCGCTAATAGACTTAATATCCACTTTTGTTTGTACATTTAGTGTTCCCAGGTAATTATAAACAGATGCATCCAAATGAACTTGCCAAAAACACTGCCATGACCTTTTTTCAAGACTTTCATCTGTAAGATCTATAACATCTATAATACTCTTATCAATCCCCTCTTCCAAATTTTCTGTAGCAATTTGTGTATCAGAAAGATGAATATTTTTATTATCAATCTTTTGAAAATCAAATCTAATATTTGCTAAATTTTGACACCTAGGAAGACATTGTAAATTCAAACAATAACATTTTCCATCAGCTCCTAAATTTGTAGCTTCAGAAATAGTAGATATAAATTCAACTTCTACTAATATTTCTTTAATTTGATTAGTGGGAAAATAAACATAAAGAATTGAATCTTCAAGATCAACTGTAGCAATCTCAGGAACATATCCGGTATAATTAGTTGTCAATTCATCTGTATCATTTGTTCGTAGACTTCTATCAGAATTTTCAGCAGAAAAATCAAGATCATTAGCAAATATATCCAATGTGGACTTCTCGCCAGAATTGTTTTCTATTATTAAGTTAAAAAATACTAAAGAAAATGAGAAAATTACTTTCTCTGATGATTTTTTTAGTTTTCGGTGTCCTATATATGTTTTCTGGGGGGAAATTAGTATCAACAGTCCTTTTTTTTTGCGGATCCAATTCTTTCTTATTTTCTTTTTTTTCAGATGAAAGCAAAGAATTTTTTGAAAATTCTTCTATCCCAGATTTTTTTTTAGGAGATAAAATAGAACTTTGCGTCGCGCGCTTCTTTTTCAATGGTAATTCTGTATTTAATCTTGTTTTTCGAATATTCTCACAGCGAGACTTATGAAAAGTTGAATTACGTGAAGAAAACAAAGGATCTGAGCAAGGACGATGAAAATCTATTCCATCTTCACTATCAACAACTTCTTGAATAGGCAGACTAGATAGTCCTGTTCGTCCGTAAAATGTCGGTGAATTACGGCTCATAATAGATAAACTTGAGGGAGAAGAACGTTCATATTTCGATTCTACACTCCTTTCAATCTGCTTAGGCATATCTAATAACTGAAAAGGGCTACTCTCTGATGACATTCCTTCACATGACTCAAAAACTGGAATCCCTAACGCCGCTGTTATTGCTGTTTCTTCTGATGCTGTTCCGTCACTATTCAACACACAGACTCTTGTTGATTGGGGAAGATATGTAACATCCTGAGATATATATAATAATGGGATTCTTCTTCCTGGACGTGACATAATCTTCATTAATTAGTTATTGTTTCTTTATAAAAGATATTAATTATCTGAAAAAACCTTTGTATACAAAAAAAATGATGCCCATTCAGAATCCGGGACTGTTTTCCCATGAATTGAAAGGATTTCTAAGATATCTTGTATATTTTGAACCATTTTTTAATTGTTTATATTTATTGATAGTTGTCGTCATAGTAACTAGATTTAGTCTGAAAATAAATATATAATATTGGAAATTAATAATGATATAAAATAATAATATCCTTTATATGACAGTCCAATATAATTCAATATTTATACCTGTTTCTTTCTATAAAATTTTTTTGATAGTTTAAAAAAAGTTGTATCAATATTTTTCCCAAAATCATATACCATAATCTGTTTTTTTTTGTCCACAACTCATAATACACACTTTGTCAAATACAATTCTATATAAATATAACCAGAATCTTTACTTCCAATATACGTAACAACTTTCCGGAAGATATATCTCATATACGTATTGTTTAATCATAAGATCCAAAAATGATTTTATGAAAATCATAACAAAATACCTTTATTAAATCTACATAACCTTCAAATGTTTTTAGTATTTGACCCATATTATCATTAGATAACCAAATCAAACGATTCGAGTTCCCCTAAACAATTCGACATCCATCAAATTGCAAACGTACAATATCTTTTTAATACCCCCTATTATTATATATAAAGATGCGCTTATATATAAAGTTGCACTTATATATAAGACCAAATCCTAACTTTAAAATCTTTGGAATATATCATAATATATTTTAATCCAAAACATAATTCAAGAATACTATCCCTATATAATCCTTATAAATCGATCATATCCTCCCTGAATTCAATTTACTGTTAATTCAAAATATATCACTAGATCCAGATACAAAAAATTTCATATTCTTATCAAATTAAACTGCCAACACACTTATTTGACGTCCTAATAAAATTTTACAACATATATCCTTCTCCATATCTTATATACAAATTGTTTTATCTTTTAAAGACAAAATTATAAATTCCCTATCAATTTGAATACAATAAATCCTATTCTGATACATTTCACTCCGTTTCACTCTGTTTAGCCATAATTTGTCTCCATAAAATCATATAATATACATATTTTCCTTTTTTCCATTTTTTTAAAAGTATTACTACTCATAAGCAGATTTCCAATTCAAAATAAAACCTTGATTTCTACTAAAAATCTAAGATACTAGACAAAATAAATTATACAATTGTTTTTAAAATTAATGAATATATATGTTAATATCTTCAAAATTAGCTCTAATTGGAGTTTATATCCATCATTTATTGTTCATTTTATTTAATTTTTATCAGAATTAAACCCTTTTTTTTATTTAATCCTATATAGTTACCCCTAACCCTGATGTAACCCTAGAATAACCCTAAGATTACAAGGGTGACACTGGTTAACCCTAATATAACCCTGATATAACCCTAACTATTCACCCCTAACCCTCACATAACCCTAATACAACCCTAACTTAACCCTAGGATTACAGGGGTCATCCCTGTTAACCCTAACCCTGAAGTTACAAGGATCATCCCTGTTAACCATAACCCTAGCCCTGTAATAACCCTAATTATTAACCCCTAACCCTCTTACAACTCTAAAATAACCCTGAAGTAACCCTAACATTACAAGGGTCATCCTGGTTAACCCTAAAATAACCCTAGCTTAACCCTAATCTCTCACCCCTAACCCTCTCTCAATATATCTTCAATTTGGTTTCCCCCGTTAACTTTCTGTCTCGGCGCCAAGTTTAAATCGTATTATTTTAAGAGATGAAGGCGTTAATTCTTGTTGGAGGTAAATCTAGAGATAATATTTGTTTTTTTATTTAAAATTAATAGGATTTGGAACACGTTTGAGACCTCTTGTAAGTAAATTTTGAGAAATTATATAAGAAATATTTGCATTAAGTCTTGAATTTTATTAATATGTATCAATATTTTTTTGGTAATTAATTAGCTGGATAGACTCTAACATTACCTAAACCATTAATTGAGGTGATTTTTTCATATAAAATATTAATATTTACGGAATATATTAGTTTGGAAATCGACCTATAATTCGTCAGCTTAAATATTTTTTGCTAGGAATGACATATATTGATAATGTTTAGTCCATCAAATTGAGGCGCTTGCATTATCGGGAGTTACGGGTATAGAAATTGTGTATAAAATTATTATATGAACTATTTAAATAGACATTGTTTTGGCAGTGAATTATTGTTCGGATATTATGGTTTCAGCGTTGAAACGTTATGAAGAACAATATCATATTAAGATTGTTTTTTCAGTTGAAAATGAGGTTTATTTTATTTGGATAAAATCCTATTATTTTTATTTTGATTAACATAATCTAGCCATTGGGTATGTAAAGGAAATTCGATAAATAGATATTTAGAAAAGAATATACTGGATTTGAAGCAAATATTCAAAAAATGTTTATAAGTTTTTATTTGGACAAGAATACCACAAAATTTAAATTTATATTTTAAAACAGTGATATACGATAAAATAATTATATAGTTAAGTTTTATAATTATTGTGGTATTTATCTAGAAAGTAGTCAAAGGATATATGACGGCGCAATTTTAAATATTTCTTATCTTAATATTTCTTAAATAGCTTCTAAAAACATTATTATGTAGGCCATTAGCTTACGGCTTTTATAGGTACAGCTGGCCCGTTAGCACTCGCACGAGATATTCTTGAAAAAGATCAGACTCCTTTCTTCGTGCTTAATTCTGATGTTATTTGTGAATATGCTTTTTCAGATTTTCTGCATTTCCACCAACAGCATCAGGCAGAAGGAACAATTATTGTTACGAAAATTGAAGAGCCCTCTAAATATGGTGTTGTTGTAATGAAGCCATCTAGTTCAGAGATCGAACGTTTTGTTGAAAAACCATCAGAGTTTGTTAGTAATAAAATTAATGCGGGGATATATGTTTTAAATCCTTCTGTTTTAAAACGTATTCCATTACGCCCAACAAGTATTGAAAAAGAGATTTTTCCGGCTATGGCAAGTGAAGGACAATTACATAGTTATGAATTGGAGGGTTATTGGATGGTTATTATTTTATAAATATAAATATATATATTATTTCTAACCATATTTAATAGGATATCGGTCAGCCAAAAGATTATTTGACAGGTACTTTCCTCTATTTATCTTCTTTAGCAAAAAATAAACCTTCTTGTCTCGATCATACAAGTAGCTATGTCTATAGAGGAAATGTTATTATACATCCATCAGCAAAAATAGGAGAAAATTGCCGTATTGGACCCAATGTTGTAATAGGACCCGATTGTACTATTGGTGACGGAGTTCGTCTTCAACGATGTGTTGTTTTTCAAGGTTCAAGAATACAAAACTATGCATGGATTGAACACAGTATTATTGGCTGGAATTCAACTGTTGGAAGGTGGGCACGATTAGAAAATGTTACTGTGCTTGGAGAGGATGGTGATTTTTTTTTTTTAATCTTTATGTTTTTATCTAATCAAAAAAGTGACAATTAAAGACGAAGTTTATATTAATGGTGGTTCTATTTTACCACATAAATGCATTGATCAAAATATTGAAGTATATTTTAACTTCTTTTTTAAGAAATCTAATCTTGTAAGGTACCTGCCATTATTATGTAGAGAATATTGTAAAAATTATTTACATTGGATTTTGTACCTAAAAAAATACCTATTACACTTTCAATTAATTATTATTTTATATTCAAACCACAATTCGTGTATATTTGTAATTTAATAGTAAAAAGATTATTTAAAATATGCTTTATAATAGATAATATTGAAACAAAAAAATTATACAGTCTTTTTCGATTCTTCATAATATTCGGATTCACTTATCGTTTCTGATTCGCTCTGACTTGTACTAGAATGCAGTTTTAGATAATCACTCTCATCACTAATATCAAAATCATAAGATTCGGAATATATATAAGGTTTCTTATTTTTTCGTTTTTGTATCCTTTGCTTCATTGCCTTTCGAATTTCCTTTGAAACTTCCTCAAAACTTTCACTTTTGCTTGATATACTATCTTGATCTATCCTTTCTGTTTCATTTTCTTCAGTGAGACTATTTGTTTTACTACTAGAACTAAAAGAATTATTTGCAAAAAGCTGTATTGAAGACAAACTTTGAAGACTAGTATTTCTCGATAAATCTAATATAGAATTATATGATAATGAAGTTGAGTTAGTTAATGCATCATCATTTTTATCAATAGATGCTGATTGACTATGACTTTGCCCAACTCGGCTATTTTGAATCATATATTCAGGCATAGCAATCACTTTGCCGGGATCAAAATCTGGAAATAATTCTGGTCCCAAAGTATTTATCAAATGTGTCAATTCAACAGCTAATTCTTCTCGAGTTTGACGTAATTTATAAATAGTGTTGGCAGATGTAGGATTTAAGCTTAAAAATAAAGGTCTTAGTGATCTATACTCATGTTAAAAAAAGATAATAATAGTAGTTATTTACTTATAAATGTCCAAACCACTTTCTCCAAATCTTAAAGCTGCAAATGACACCATAAAAATCATTATTAAACTTACAATAAGCATAATACAAATCCATTTTTTTGTATAAGAAACAATTTCAAAATGAATTGTAAGATATGTAATTATAATTGAGTAAAATAAAAGTAAAGCGGGAACAAGAGCTAATGCAACTAAAAGTTTCCATGTAGCTAAAACATCGTTCCCTTGAATTTTAACAGTAGATGCATCTAAAGCTTCTAAAAAATGCATTAAAATAATCAATAATTAATATAATTATACTACCTTTTGCTTTTCTTTTTGAAATGATTTTTGTTGCAATAAATATAGGTGCAAACATAATAACACCAGGAAAAGATACAATAGCAAGTATTAAAAATTTCAAAAAACGATATATTAGCAACGTTATAACCTTAAACACCCCATAGTTTGCACTTTGAACCTGATAATCACGAATACCAAGCAAGTATAACTGGCGATTATAACTTACAATAGAATTTCGAAGTTTAACAACACGTGGATCATCTTTATAATGATTATAACCCATTATAAATCTCCTATTTAATTCGACTATTTGTTGTAAAGGAAGTCTTCTATGACCTGGTTTATATAACCTTCTTCCAGCCTGAATAAACTATAAAGAATTAAAAAATAAATGTTAATATTTCTTTAAAATAAACCATTAAAGTCTCGTAATCCGTTGTTCTAACAGTAACTGCCATAAGGGCATTATAAATCATGTCTAAAAATGCTTTTATTGCTTCATGTTTAGATGAAGATTTATATTTTTCTACAAGTTCTTTTGGTATTTCTAAAGGAGTTCCAAATTCAAGAACAGCACAAGAACGAAATCGATGAGCATTAAAATAATTCATGCCACATGGAACAATTTTAACATTTATATTTGGATTATTTGCTAATGCTCCAAGAGCCATAATAGCGACACCAGCTAAATTCATTAATTTCCATATAAAATCATCATTTTAAAAAGAAAAAACCTTTAAGAGGAAGTAAATCAGATCGATCATGACTACCACCTTCTGGAAATATTCCAATACATTTTCCTTCCTCAAGTTTTTTAAAAACTTGACTATAAACTTTACTTTGATCAATTTTAGATAAAATTTTAAAAGTCAACCCTTCTTCAGAAGAAATAGAAGGAAATTCCTTGATCTCTTCTTTAAGTATTATTTCTGTATCTGAAACAATATCTGCGACTTCTAAATTAGGAATATTTGATATTACAATCATAGATTTTTTAGACAATTCTTTAGTAAAAAGTGTACCAATTCCATAAACACGCATTGGATCCTTCTCTGAAAAAACTATCTTGCCAGTTCCTTGCTTTAAATAATCAGATGGTCGTGCAACAGGAACTAATAATAAGTAAGTAATTATAAAAAAAAAAAAGAAAAGACCCACTTGAACCAGTAAGGCGTGCCATAAAACCTACAAATTTCCTTTTCATTGATTTCTCTGCAATTAAGAAAAATATACGACGAGAAGATGCTAGCTGAACTTGCCGCATAAGAAGAAGTGGATCTACAAACTAATCGATTAATATGAAAACAAAAAATAATCTTCAAAAACTTACCTGATTAGCATGAGGTGCTACAACAAAGATAAGTCCTCCTCTTTTTGGTATACGAAATGAACCTCTAGTCTTAACTTCTCGAAAAAATAAATCGAGAAGAGCTGAATAATTTTTAATCCAATCTATTCATTCTTCTCCTAAAAATAGTACCTGTCATCATCCATAATATTATATCATATGTAAAATTTGTAAATTCCATTTTGTAAGTTTTTTAATTAATATAATATATCAAATTTCTTATTTTTAACTCTGAGCCCCTAATCCTCTATTCCTATACATCTACTCTTACTACTGTAGTCCTTAGTGGGTCCTCCTATCTACCCACATTAATTTTAAATTTAGTTTGTTCTAATATGTATAAAGATCAATCCTCTTTCTCAAAGATAGAACCAATCAATATATATATATAACCCCTAAATAACTAAAAATAATTCTAATAAAAATCCTTTATTTTTATATTAAAAAGCTAAAAACGTTCATATAATATAAACATCTAATCACCATTAATAACTAATTATATTAATGTGAAGTACAGACCTTTAGTGATGTCAAAGACCTAACCCTCGATATACAATCCAAAAATACCCTTAATATTTTCTAGTTTAAATCCTGATAAATAAGCAGGGTTAGGGTTATATAGAAGTAGGGTATAATGCGCATATTCTCGTTTAAAATGCATAGAAATTGATTCATATCAACCCTAACCTTATATAAATTGTTTTATTGATGAATTAACTGTATTATATGCATTAATAAACCTGCATATATTCGTTATTATCTTTCTGTTTAACTTGTTTTTTAAAAAACTTTAATAAATATTAATAATTTTAAAACAAGTTATGTTTATAAGTTGTATTTTTTCCAGAGAAAAACAAGAAATTGCCTTTTATAATTCATATATAGATATTATTTGATCAATTATTGTATTTTTTTATGTAATTAATTTATTTTAGATGACTTTGACTTCTTCCTGGATTTTATGCAAGATTCAAAAAAAGCAATTCACGGGATTTATATAAAAGGGCCGCGTGGGCCACTCGACAACGAAAAAAATTGATAACAGTTTTTAGAGACATTATGCAGATTTTTGGTAAGAAAAGGCCTAAAAATACGTGAAATTAGGTGAATAATGGGTGAATATAGTGAAAACACTTACTGGAAAAACGATTACGCTTGAAGTTGAGTCATCAGATACGATTGACAACGTTAAAAGCAAGATCCAAGACAAAGAAGGAATCCCACCGGATCAGCAACGTTTAATATTTGCCGGAAAACAGTTGGAAGACGGGAGAACTTTATCTGATTATAATATTCAGAAAGAATCCACATTACATCTAGTTCTTCGTCTTCGTGGAGGAATGCAGATTTTCGTTAAGACGCTCACAGGAAAAACGATTACGCTCGAAGTTGAGTCGTCAGATACGATTGATAATGTCAAGAGCAAGATCCAAGACAAAGAAGGAATCCCACCGGATCAGCAACGTTTAATATTTGCTGGAAAACAGTTGGAAGATGGAAGAACTTTATCTGATTATAATATTCAGAAGGAATCCACATTACATTTAGTTCTTCGTCTTCGCGGAGGTGTTTAAGCATTTTAAGGTTAGATAGTCGTTATAGGAGTATCTTTTTCTGCAGAAAACGTATAGCTGATTCATGGAAAGTGAGATATATTTTTATATTGTATCTTGTTTCAAGTTAATTTTAATTGTATTCTTTTTGAATTGATTTCGTAAATGAATATGTATGCAGCTTTTAGTTAAGGAATTTAATGACATAATTTTTAAATATTTTCCTGCATATATTGACCTTTAAGTGTTAAAAAGATCATTTTCTATCTAGTAAGCCTTATAAATAATAAATTAGTTCGCATTATTTGGAGAAGGAGGGGAAGGGGTTTCAGATGTGTTAATAGAATTTTGAGAGCGTTTTTTTATCCTATCTTCTATGTGGCTTCTAAAATTTCGAATAAGTCCTTGAACTGGCCTTTCAAATATTAATTTATAGAAATGATAAATAAAAATACTACTACCATGCAGCAGCATCGCCAAGGGCACATATTGTGTGACCTTCTATTTCTTTTGTTAACTCCCAAAGCCTAAAATAATTAATATTTCCTTAAAAAGAAAGAAATCTAACATATCAATTTCCCTTAGTTGAGCATCACCTGTCTCAAGCCGTTTCATTATATTATAAATCCATTTTGTTCCCTCACGACAGGGAGTACATTGACCACAACTTTCATGTTTATAAAAAGCAGAAAATCTAGAAATGGCTCTAACTAAATCTGTAGATTTATCCATAACAATTACTGCTGCTGTACCTAAGCCTGATTGCGCATCTTTAAGAGAATCAAAATCCATAAGAACATTTTCACATTGAGTTTTTGTTAAAATTGGAACTGATGAGCCCCCAGGAATAATTCCTAATAAATTATCCCAACCTCCTCTTACACCACCACAATGTCTTTCAATAAGGTCTCTTAATGGAATAGACATTTCCTCTATTTTTTTTTTCATTATAAATCTTTCATTGTTAATAATAAAAAAATATACCTTCAACTGTGCAAGGATTATTAACATGTCCACTAATACAAAATAATTTTGTTCCAGAATTACGCTCACGACCAAGACTATTAAACCATGATGCCCCTCGACGACAAATTGTAGGCGCCACTGCTACTGTTTCAACATTGGCAACTGTTGTAGGACATCCAAAAAGCCCCACATCAGCTAAATAAAATTAAAAAATATATAAATCGCACTTTTTTCACCTGGAAAAGGTGGCTTTAGTCTAGGCTTCCCTTGCTTTCCCTCAAGAGACTCAATAAGACTAGTTTCTTCCCCACATATATATGCACCTGCACCTCTATGAACATATATATCAAAATCATACCCTGATCCGCATGCATTCTTTCCTATTAATCCAGCTACACTTTTTCTTCAATAAAATACTTATAATTCTAAACACAAACCCTTATATGCCTCATCAATAGCTGACTGTATAACCAATGCCTCATTATAAAATTCTCCTCGTATATAAATATAACAAACAGTAGCGTTCATTGCACGGCCTGCAATAAGACATCCTTCAATAAGCTTATGTGGCTCTTTTCTTATAATTTCCCGATCTTTACATGTACCTGGTTCTCCTTCATCTGCATTAATAACAAGATATCTAGCGCGAGTATCTTTTTCAAATCCTGGCTTGTTCATAAAGCTCCATTTTAACCCTGAAGGAAATCCTGCTCCTCCTCTTCCACGAAGCCCTGATGCCTTGATCTCTGATATAATCCATTCATGTCCTTTAAGCAAAATTTCTTTTGTTTTATACCAATCACCAAGCTTTTGTGCTGATTTTAAACTAGAATCATAACGGCTATAAAGATTCTGGAAAATCCTATCATAATCCTTAATACCTAATCAAATATGTAATTAATTGATGTTTATTTAATCAAAAATGTACCTCCATAAACTGTTTTTTTATGAAGTTCTTGAACATATGGAAATGAAGAGAAATTTCTATGCCTTGGCTGCAGGAAATATGAAATACGTGTACCTCTGTTAAGAAAATGAGAGGGCATTTTATCTGTTTTAATTTTATTAAAAATGGAGGTTTTTTGGAAGAAAAATGAAATAGATTTAATATATAATCAAGGAATATATATAATATATATATACATAAATTATTAAATAATGAGTAGTTATGAGCATAATTTAATAATATAATGCAGTTTCTATTGCTACAAATGCATGAATAAGACGAATTTTTGGTATGATATTAAAGTTCAGATATTTTTTCGGTAGTGTTATAATATTTATCTTGTATTTCTTGTTTCGAGATTGTTATTGAATTGAATAATCTATAATCCAAATCTTGTATATGGCTATCTGAATTCAAATCTGATTTACCATTAAAATTCTAATAAAAAGGTTAATTTAATATGTAAATAGTAAAATACATACATCGTAATTATCATCTATTTTTTCTTGTTTCTCATCAAGTATTAAAAAACTATCAACAATCGTATTTTTATCAATATAATTATCTTGATATTTAGTATATATTTTTTGCTCGAATATATCATTTAAAGATCTGTTATCAAATTTCTCGTCCGTTATTTCTTGATATTGAGAGGGACTTAAATCGTTTGTAATGCGATTGTGCTTAAAAGCCTCATTTTCTTCTATCCAAGAAACATCCTCCTTATCATTATCGGGTCTTTCATAATTATTTGAAAACTCATCCATAGATTGTTGATTAATATACCTCGAAAATTGGTCATGTTTAAAGTCACTATCGTCATCCATATCAGTTATAGTATGTTTATCGTTAGTATCTTGTATTCCAAATAAATTTATTCTTCTATTTAAATCATCATCATCATCATCATCATCATCATCATAATCGATATCGGCGACATCTGACATAAAATCCTGTAAGCCATTATCATCAAAATCAATGACAGAATGAAGGGATAAATGATGAGGCCGAACTCCTCCTAGAATAGCGTTATCTTTTTCCCTTGTTTCAGTCAAACTATGCTCAATATAATCAATCCATTGAGTCGATAAAACTTTTTCAGCAATAATAGGAGATATTGTATGAGGAGAATATCGTTTTGTAAATTTGACAACTTCTTCAGCGATTAAAGTCAAATGGCCCATATATCCTAATCGAACACCACAGGGTTTGGAGCTAAGATATAATTAATTCTGCAACAGTAAAAAGATTACTATTATTATACATTGTATCATCATTATCTTTTTGACCTTGAATAATTTTTTCACAAATTTTTCCTTCAGAAAACAAATCTAGTACTAAAGCGCAGCAATATTTTTCATCCATAGGAGCATTAAAAACTTGCTGAATAATATCATATACGACATTATGTAAAAAATTATTCCATGGAAATACGAAGAACATATTCTGATAAAATTTATTAATATCACTTAGAAAAATATTATCCTATACCAATAATGTAGAAAGGACCTTATGTTCAATAAATTGTATCTTCAAATAATCACTAACTTCTGGCTCAAAAATAGTATCTGTATTATCATATACCGCGGCAATCTCGTTTATGTTGGTACAATGTTTTTCATCTGACAAATTATTCTGGAATGGCATATTTAAAGCATCATAATTATTTTCGAAATGATCTAAATTTTCATCTGATTCCACATCTTCTTTACTTAGGCCATTATTATTACTTAAATGCTCTACCAAAGTGTTATTTGTTTCTGATTCCTTTGAATTTAATTCACTAGAATAATTATCAAAATTATCCTCCGATATAGATGATTTTGTTTTAGTAATATTTTCTAGAAATATATCTTCTATATCACTGTTTTTATTTAAAAGATGTTCCTTATTTTCAAGAACTTCATATGAATCTATATATTTAAATGAAAGATCCTCCCATGAAAATACCTGTTCAGTATTAAATACTTCATATGTTTCCACGTTTCCAGAAATGTCCAAATTCCTTACTATTTTTGTATTTTGTGGTTTTTCCTTTGTTTCATCACATATTTTGTTTTTTTTCATGATCTTTAGGTTATCCTTAGGTTTATTTAATAATATCATATTACTACAATGTAGTAATTCCGCATAAAGTTCACAAATACGAAATCTTTCAACACCTAAAGGTTTAATTTTATCAAATGCTACTTCAATTTCATCTTTAGGCATTCTTGGATTAAGAAGAATTTTTTGAAAATCGGATATATGAGATGCTAATATTTTTAACATATTATCAAAATAGATAGGTCCTTTTTCCCCTGATGTATTTTTCGCAAAAGAAATGTCAAAAAATGATACTCTATTATAACCGCTAAAAATTAATTTAGTATTTAAGTTTGATCCCAATCATATTCATATACCTATTATTTTTTCTAAGAAGTTCAATAATAATACTTGCACCATTAATAAGGCTTGATGAAGAAAATGGCCCTTCTGTATCAAACATAAAATTAACAAGAATTTCTATGCTTTCTTTTGATACAAGTTCCCATAATAATGCATTTGATCCAATGTTTCTTTGATTTTCCGGATTTGAAGAAATTGAAATGATATCTTTTAAAAGATCTGCCGCTGCAGTTTGTGTCTAATTATAATTTAGAATTTCATTTATATCTTTAAATTTATCCTTACACTTGGATCAACATGAGGATTCATTTTCGAAAGAAGATATGGAATTAATGACTCATTTTGAAGCCACTTTTATAAATTAATACCTCATTTCCATAAATAATATATATTATTTAAAGGCTTACATTAATTACTCCAAGGTCGTTTTGTTCAATACTAATAATTTTCAATAATAAATCTGTAATAGCACTCGTTTCGATATGTTTCAATATTTTAAAAACAATATCCGGAATACTTTGAATAAAAAGTATCATTTCTTCTGTCTTTTTTTCAAAAAATTGTTCATTCACTTTAGAAAAATATGATGCTTGTAATGGATCCAAAGGCGCTGGGCGTTCCAAAAATTCCCAGAATTCAAATAATAGCATTTTATTCTCCATAATAGTTTCACATATTGACCATATTTCACATGATAATACTTCATACGCAATATACGGGTATCTATCATTTCATTAACCCTTTTATCCACCAAAATAACTTGTATTCTTCATAATATATCTCCTATCTCAATTTTTCCTCCTCTACATCCTCCTCTATATCCTTTTCTCCCTCTCATCTCCCATTTAATCCCTTTTTTCTCATACTTACTTTTGCTTTGCTTTTTCATCCAAATCTTCCCTAATTATATATCTAAGAAGTTTATGCAATACATCCGGTTCTCTTAAATATTCAATCAACTTAGGATTATGTGATTTACACTCTTGTAATAATTCCTCTTCATCTAATACTTCCTCTAACGTTACATCTGGTGCTTTTTCCAATAAACTATCAATCGCTGACGTATTTGCAAATCCAAACCCTCCCAGCCTCCAAAACATAGTTAATATTGAAAAATATAGGCTTCTATTTGTTTTATAATAACTTTTTTTGCTTTTTTTAATGTTCTTTTAATCAGGAAGTTAATCCATACCGTGAATGTGTGTCCGGTTGATGTGTCCGGTGTAAGTGTGTGTCCTGTTAGTGTGTCCAGTATACAAGTCTCCACTTATAGGGACACGTCCTAAATCTTAGGAACACTCTTTTGACACATGAAATATATCTAGTTTTTTAAAAATCATATTATGAACAGATTATTTGGAACTCATTCTAATACATTTAAACCAAATATTAATGATGTTATTTTATCAGTTGAGTTTTTATGATATTTTTTTAATAAATTAATGGGAAATTTAAGACAGAACAACAAATACAAAATATAGAGAAAAAGATAGATAAATATACGGCAGAACTTGTGAAACTTCGACAGAAAATGAGGAATTGTTCATCAGTGTCATTAAGAGTATTGAAGAGCCAGGCATTGACATTACTTCATCAGAAAAAAATGTAAAATTATTTTTTTAAGTTTAAAAAATTAATTGAAAAAAATGTTAAGATATGAGCAACAAAAAATGAATCTTCAACAACAATTACTTAATATGGAGCAGACGGCGTTAGCTACGGATCAGATTAAAAATACGGCAGCTGTTATAGCAGTTATGAAAAGTACGAGTAAAACGTTTCAAGGACAGCGATTTAAACTGAGCGAAATTGAAAAAATTCAAGATAATATGGAGGATATGTTAGATGAAGTGGATCAAGTTAATTGTTTGCTTGCTCGATCCTATGATTTAAATCAGGTGGATGAAACAGAATTGGAAGCAGAATTTGAAGCTCTTGAAGAGACAGAATTAGAAATTGAGAGTGGAATTCCAAGTTATTTAGAAGGAATTGAAGAATTGAAAGAAAATGAAGAGAAAACGGAGAAAGCGGATGCTATAGAATTAAAAGAAGCTAATTATATTTGATAAAACCTTTATATGGATTTTTTAATAGGAAAAATATTTCAGCAAATATGATTTTGATTTTATTTTAATGGGGAGGTATATTGTTTCTTATAGGTTTTTCAACAATATTTTTGAATTATTTATTTTTGGTTTTTTTCTAGGTATTTGTTCTTTTTTTTCTGTCTTCATTTATTGAATCTCCTTCAAGTTCTTTGATTTTTTTAATATTTTCTTTTACGATTGATTTTCCTTCGACCTGTGATATCTCTTTTTTATCAGTTATTTCTTGATTTTTTTCTTTCTGGATGGCTATGAAATAATTGCATTGTTGAGCCCAAATTGCGTTTCGATCCATTATTTTCCATTGATTTTTCCATGGAAGAAAAATTACTCCTCTACAATCAATTATTGAAACGCCTGGATATTGTGAAACCCATGTTTTGATTTCTGATCGTTTAATAAATTTGCTCCATGTATGAGTTGAATTAGGGACAAGTTGAAGTAATCTTTCTGCAACAATGATTGTTATGAAAAATGAAAGCAATGTTTTTTCAATTGTTGAAAGAATCAAAAGACCTCCTGGTTTAAGCAAATCAAAAAGTGTTGTTATAAAGGCTTTAGGATGGTTTACATGTTCAATAATCTCCATAGCAGTAATCAAATCATATTGTTTTTTTTCATTTAATAGTGTTTCTGCTGTAGTTTTTCGATATATTAAATTTGTCAAACATGGATCTTTCTTTTGATGCATTTGAGCTGCTTCAATTGCCTTTGAAGATATATCTATACCAAGAACTGATAACGCTCCAAGTCTAGATAATGATTCTGATAGAATTCCACCTCCACAACCAACATCTAAAACACATTTATTCAAAAGCCATTTTCCGGTCAAAAACTTTCGTTTAAATACATCATTTGTTATTTTATCATTATATGAATTCTTTTGTTCTCCGAGTATAAGGCATTGTTTAATATATTCAATACGCACACTATTCATTTTATGTAATAATTTTAGACGTCCTTGCAGATTCCACCAATCTTCTGATAAATTATCAAAATGTTGTATTTCCATTAAAGATGATGAAGAATATCTTTTTATTAAATATTTATAAGGATTTTGGAATTCTTTTTTTATTTGTCTCATTTTTTAATTTTTATAGCAAATCTTTTGATTTATTATATATTTTATCTATAGCTTATCAAATTAATGTTAAAAATTATCTTAAGATAAAATATAATATTTCTTTACTTAAAGAATAAATTTAAATTATAAAAAAATAATAGAATTGAGTTATTAATAGATATCATTATATTACTTTTTATCTAGTTAACTTCTTTCATTAGAATTTAAAAATTTGAATAATTTAGTTAATATGTAATTGTAAAACAAATCATCATATTTTTAAGAAAATATATTTAATATATATTTTATTGTATTTTCTATGGAAAATGTTTTAATAATAATTTACATTAATTTTTAAATAATTTATATAGGACTATATTTTGAAAATAATTGATATTATTTTCATATTTAATTTATTATGTAAAGTTTTATACAATAATTAGTATGAAAAGTTTCATTGCTGATTTAGAACATTTATATTTTGATTTTTAAGGGATTAGTATAGTTATATTGATTTATGTTAGAAAAGTGCTATATATTTGCAATTTTTATTAAGTCAGTTTTATTTAAGATATTAGTTTTTTAAATGAAAATCTTTATCTATTGCGCATATTTTTCTTATAATATTTCTTTTTAGTTCTAAGTTTCTTAAATATACTAAGTTTTATAAATAAAATAGGTGATTTATATAAATATATTCAATAAATAATTCATTTATGATTTATTATATAAAATATAATCTTCATTACTCTAAAAAAAATCTCTTTAAATGATTATTTTGTGTATTTTAATATTTTATATTTTTAAAATATAAAATATAATTTAAAATATAAATTAATATTAATTTAGTATTAATTTATATTTTAAATTATATTTTTTCTTGATATCACTTAATAAGACGAATTATTGTACTGTAAATAAATTTATTTGATATAAATTCAAGAAAAAATTTAGCTATTTTTTAATTCTAAAGATAATATTTTATATTATCTTATATTTTTAATAAGATCTTTTATTTTTCTAGTTTAATAATATATAATAATAATAATACCATATAAAACATATCAATTTTTTTTTTTTGCAACTTTATTTTTTTGAATTTTTTGTTTTTATTTAAAATATTTCCAAAATTTTTCAAATTTTTGGGATTTCAAATTTTTCACCAGAAATTTAAAATATTTTTGTAAATTATTAATAAATACTTTCTAAGATTTTACATATATTAGGGATTTTTTTAAATGGATGAAACCCATATAAAAGAAGAAAAAGAGAATGAAGAACAAACTAATAATCAACTGGATTTTACTTTAGATGATTCCAGATTTGATAAGGAATATGACAAGAAAGTTGTACGTCGAATTGATTTAATTACAGTTCCAATAGCTATTATCTTTTACTTTTTGTCATATCTTGACCGTACAAATATAGGTTCCTTAATTAAATTATTATTAAGTTTATAATAGTTTTATAGGAAATGCTCGTCTCTCTGGCTTAGAGAAGGACTTGAATATTACAGAGAAACAATTTAAATTTTCTTTGACTATATTATTCATTCCTTATATTCTTATGGATATACCCTCAAATCTTATTATGAAAAAAATTAAACCTAATATATGGTGTAAGTTATCTTCTTAGTTTTTTTAATATTATTTATAAATTAGTACCAACTCTTATTCTTTCTTTCGGAATAGTAGGAACATTTCAAGTATTATAATATTTTTTTAGTATTTTTTTATTTAATTTTATATTTTTAGGGATTTATTAAAACAGTAAATCAATTGTACGCATGTCGTTTCTTTCTAGGATTAGCTTCGGGAGGTGTTTTTCCTGGCATTATTCTTTGTAAGTACATAATTTAATATTAACATAAACTATAACTAAATATTTATATTAGATCTTTCAGGTTGGTATAAACCTCGTGAACGTCAACTTCGAATAGGCATGTTTTGGTCTGCTAGTATTGTATCAGGTACATTAGGGGGGTTTATCGCAGCAGCACTTGAAACTATGAGAGGATTAGGAGGATTAAATGGCTGGTCTTGGATTTTTATAATAGAAGGATTAATAACAATATTTTTTGGCATTTTAGGATATTTTGTGATGCCACAAGGAATTGAAAATGCACGTTTTCTAAATAGCGATCAAAAATATTGGGCATCTAAAAGACTCCTCTTAGAAGAACAACGTACATCTTCAATAGTTATATCACATCCTGATACAGGAGAGATGCCATATGATAATAAGCGTTTTAAATGGTCATACGTGGCCTCTACATTCAAATCGCCTCATATAATATTATTAGCATTTATTGCACTTTCTTCCGGTCTTAATGTTTACTCTTATGCATATTTTATGGTAACAATTTTATCTCTATTTATATTTTAAATAATACTTCTAGCCAACTATAATTAGGTCATTTATTGGAGCGGACAAACGAATTGAAATAATACAATTGTTAACAATACCACCATATTTGATTCCTTTAGTAACTATATTACTGACATCTTACTATGCAGATAAAAAATTCCAGCGAATATATATAATGATTGTCTTTACTACAATTGCTGCTATCGGAATGATTATTGCATACTTTAATATTAGTTCTAATTTCAATTATTTTTCTACGTTTCTTATAATTTGTGGTATATATACAGTTTTTCCGTCATATCTAGCAATAGCAAGCAATAATGTAGCACCATATTATAAAGTAATTATCTTCTTTTTTTTTCTTTAGTTTAATATTTTTATAGAGAGCAACAACAATAGGTCTTCTTATAGTTATGTCAAATAGCGGTGGCATATTATCTTCTTGGATGTTTAATAAGAGTGAAGCACCTAGATATGCTATTTCCTACAGCATTATTTTTACATTAACAGTTATTTCCATCTTTCTTTCTATCATTTTGAGAATTTATTATGTTAAAGAGAATAATAGAAGACAAAAATTATTAGCAGAAAAAGCGCAGTCATTTAATACATTAGAAGAATTTTATAAGGCATGTGATCAAGGTGATAGACATGTTGGATTTAAATATTCATTATAAAAAAAAAAATCTAAATTGTCTATTTTATGTAACTAAAAAAACATTCCTTATTGTAAAACTAATTATTTGTTCTTGCTAATATTTCAATTCTTAATATTTTTATAATTTATAAAAAATATTTATTTTTTAATTAGCACTTTGTTAACAAATATTTTACTTAATAATATCCTTAAAAATGTCAGAAATAATGGACTTGGATGATAAAGGATTAGATAAAGAAAATATAACTTATAGAAATAATGAAAAGCTATATGATAATATATATAATTCTCAAAGAGATATTTTGGATAAAAACAATCAAGAACCTCCAATGAAAATGAAAAGAAATGAATTAGATCGGTTAAAAATGGCTAATCCTTTATTACTGGATGGATTTGAACTTGAATTTATGATAAAGAATACATCTAAGAAAGAAACAACCTATAAATTGGATGAAATATCCAATAAAATAGAAAATAAAGATATATCGTTTAATAAGATGATACTTGAAGAAGAAGATGAGGGTTTAAATGAGGATACAGTCTTTCAAAAGGATATATTTAGTTCAGAACAAGATGATGAATGTAATAGCAGTTTTAAATATGAAAGATCAGTCAGTAATAAGTGTATTATGGCTTGTACATCATATGGGAAAATTATAAGTTTTAAAAAAAAATATAAGAAACTAAAAAAACCGAATTTTATAAATGAGAATAACTATTATGGAATACCAATACATAAATTGGCAAATTTTTCCAATAATTTGGAAGAAACATTTGATTATAATGATTATAATTTAACGTCACCAATAGAATCTCAATTATGGGTAAAAAAATATGCACCAAAAAAATTTATGGATCTTATTGGAGATGATGTAGCTTTGATGATATTTATTTAATGCTAATGGGGTTTTAGAGGATACATAGAGAAGTATTAAGATGGATAAAACATTGGGATTTTTGTGTTTTTGGTAAATATTTACCACAAAGCAAGATATATGAGAAAGAGAACGAATTAGTGAGTTTATGAACATAAATATTTTTAATTTATTATAAGTAGAATTATGATTTTTTAAAAAGACCTAAGCAAAAAATCTTAATGTTAACTGGAACACCTGGATTAGGTAAAACAACATTAGCTCATATTGCTGCTCGTCAGGCAGGATATAATGTTATAGAAATAAATGCAAGGTAGCTTTAAGTAAAATTAATATATAGTTAATATTAAAAGTGATGATCGAACTGGTGCAGTTGTGAAAAATCAAATTTCTAATGTTCTAGATATTCAGTCAATTCATTCGAATTCTCCAACGCTTATTATAATTGATGAAATTGACGGTGTTAGTAATTCGGCTGGTGAACAGGTTAATTTTATCTTAAATATCATTAATATTTTTTTTGATTAATTTAGGGATTTATAAAATCACTTGTAGATATCCTTATTGAAGATGATCATGCAACAAAAGAATTGGTTTATAAAAAATCTGAAACATATTCGAAAAAAGGCAAAACAAAATCCAAAAAAAGGATTCTTTTAAGACCTATAATATGTATTTGTAATGATTTGTATAACATATATTCGTTTACATAATACATTGTTAATATTATAATAGATATACAGCGGCTCTCAGACCAATTAGACAATATTCCAAAATAATATATTTTAAACAAATACCTACATCCTCATTAGTATCAAGAATGCATACAATTTGCAAGATGGAAGGTCTATCTACTGATATACAAGCACTAACTACCCTTTGTGAAATATTTGAAAATGATTTTCGAAGTTGTATAAATTCTCTTCAAGTATTTTTAAAGTATAATTTTAATTATATAAATTAATTTTTTTAGTTTTATAAAACACATGGAATTGACTTAACATCAAGTTCTTTAGACAAATTTAAAGATAAATTAAAAAAAGATTCATCAAAAAATCTAAATCTGGTATTAGATAAAATATTCTTTTCAAACAATAAAAGTTATAAAAATAAATATATTTCAGGTGAATAATATGGATTATTAAGTATTATTTATAATTTTTAAAAAGACAATCATGCTATGTTTATGGATGTTTATGAAACTATACAAAATTATGGTGATTATGAAAAATTAATTAATAGTATTTTTTCTAAAAATTTTAATTATTTTTTAAAATTTATAGATTGTTTTATGCATTATCTTTCTCAAGACTATAAGGATGACCAATTATCTAAACCTGTATTGGCAGGGGATTGGCTTTTCTTTTTTGATACTTTAAATCGTTCTATATATGAGAAACAGAATATGGAACTATTATCATATCTAGTATTTCCATTATTAATATTTCATATATTGTTTATTTCTGTTAAAAAGGATTATTATCAAAATTATCAACAAAATACAAAACAGATTTCTAATTGGGAACTTTATGAATCAGAAAAAATCAATAGAGAAATTTGTGCTTCTTTATATTATGGGAGTGTTCCTTATTTACAACAAATATTATGTATAGATATACTTTTAATTGATGTAGTGCCATATTTGATTTATATTTTATTACCAACATTAAACTCAGTATTAACTTTTATATTATATTTCAATTAACTTATCACAGGTTAATTTACGATCAGTTAAAAATACAGAAAAACACATTTTAAATCGAGTTGTGAATAGTATGATACATTTTAATATCAATTATGTTGAAATGAAAGCAAATGATGGGACTTTATTTTATAAATTTGAACCGTAAGATATTTATACTTTTTTCTTTATGTTCTTATATTTTTAGTTCAATTGAAACCTTAGTAACTTTTAATTTTTTGAAAAGACATGAACCTATTTTATTGAAATATTCTGTTTGTCACATTATAAATCTGGAATTAGAAAATGAAAAGCGCAGAATTCAAAAAGAACGATATAATAAAAATTTAAATGAAATATCAAATATCCCACTAGTAAATAAAAGAAAATCCGATGAACCACTTGATGCAGAATCTGTAGTTATTAAAGATTTCTTTGGAAGGGTCATATCTAAAGATATAAATAATGAAGATCTGAAAAGTTTTAATCATAGAAATAAAATATTGCTTAAACCAAAGGCAAAAGTATGGATTAAATTCCATGAGGGATATTCCAATGCTGTTAAAAAATCTATTCCAATAGAAGATATATTAAAATGATTTAGTTTTATTCAGATATCATATAAATTTAAAATAATTATCCATTATAAAATGCCTTAAGACAAAACTATATTATTTAAATGACATTTCTTATAATATATAATATTTGAAAAAACTAATTTAAACTTATAATTTTTATGAACTTAAAAATTATCAAAGATTTTTTTTGGAATGAAAAGTAATATAATCAGCTCAAACAAAATGACATTGATATTTAATTACTCAATTTTTAAAGTTTATCATAATACTCTTCATATGAAGGAACTAATAGAATAAATAATCAATATCAAATATATAATTTTAATTACCGGTTTCTTTTAAACCTTTTCGTTTTCTTATATCTGTAACTATTAAACCAACCTTCGATGTTGCATCTAATGGAGAACCACTCATAGTATCCCAATGATCAAACACTGTCTGAGGGAAAGCCTAATGAAATATTAAAAAGAATATACGAAATATATTAGAATACTTGTCCTCCAGTTGCTTGACGCAATTCAGCAGTAAAACCAAAAGACTCAAGAACAGGTAAATAGGCTTTGATCTGATATCTCATTAATATAACTAAATAGTAATAAGATAGTATACATTAAAAAGAGGCGTTCCTGGTCTTTGTTCCTCAGAAAAAACATGGCCCCGACGTCTATTTAAAACTCCATAAATACCACCCATTGCTAAAATATTTGAATTTTTATTTTTTTCATAAAAAAAACAAACCTTGTTCAGGACACTGAATTTCTGTTAAGAAAACGGGCTCTTGTAAACAAGGATTAGCAAGCAACATTGATGCATAAACTACTCGTCTTGCTGTAGGTATAATTTGACCACCGCCACGATGGATAGCATCTGCATGTAAAACAACATCTAATATTATAATAAGTATAAGTTATAAGAAAATATCAATTAAACCTAAAATGTTATATCTACAAGATCGCATATTCTCTTCGGCCAATGGCCCTTCTTTTGTTGCCCATTGAAATGCCTATTAATGTTGAATCAAATAAAAAAAAGCATAGTGATATACTCCCACAACAGAATCCTTAATTTCCTAAGATGAAAATAAATATCTTTTTAAAAAGAATAAAAAATCCTTACACTTAAATAAGCAATAGATTTAGTTTGATCAACAACTAAATTCGGTCCAATAGTCTAATAAAATTAGGATATATACATAGATACATATATATATATATATATACTTCAGGTCCAAAACACCATATTTTCCGTGCATCTGTTATTTCCCAACCAAACTCATCTGCCATAATTCTTGAGCGAACTTTAAAATCATCTCGTGCAGAAATTTTTCCTGATTCAATAGCTAATGAAAGCTCTTCAGTAATAGGTTCAGCAGTCATGAAAATACGATTATGTTTATTAGGAGATTTAGATAAAGCAATCATACTTGAAACTGAAGTAACTGTTTCTCGATAAGAAACTACAGGTGGCGATTTTTTTAATGGAATGCAAGCATGATCTTCTTCCAAGTCCTTCAAGCAAATTTCAAGATGTAATTCACCTGCACCAGCAACTATATGTTCTCCTGATTCTGATGTATAACAAAGAACACATGGATCAGATTTGGATAATCGTTTAAGGCCTTCGACAAGCTTAGGTAAATCATTCGCATTTTTAACATCAACAGCCACTTGTACAACAGGGGATACTGAAAATTTCATAACTTTTAAATTATATGCCACTTCAGAAGTAGTTAAAGTGCCACTTTTTAGTAAGAATTGATCTACACCCACAAGACCAACAATGTTACCAGCCGGACAATCTTCAATAGCTTCAACATAACGACCCATCATTAAAACAGTTCTTTGAATATTTTTAATGAATAGATCATCCTTTTTCCCTTGAATATAATTTGGGCCTTGAATACGAACTTTTAGACCAGAACGTACTGTTCCAGAGAAAACACGACCAAATGCATAAAATCGTCCTTTATCTGAAGTAGGAACCATTTTTGAAACATAAATCATTAGAGGCGCTTTGGGATCACATGCTTTAATTCCGACTGCGCATTCGTCATCCTGTGGACCTTCATATAAAGTTTCACATCGGTATTTTTGAGCTATCTCAGGCGAAGGTAAATGAATAACCATCATTTCTAAAAGAGCATCTGCTGCTGGCAAAAACTTGCGCATAACTATTTTTAAAAGTGCTTTTCCTTCTTGTTCACGCTCTTCAGAATTAAGAGTAATATCTAGCTTTTGGAGTAAAGATATTACTTCATCTTTTTTAAAATTCATTACAGCGGAAAAAATTCTAAATATAGGATCCAATACGAATTGATTAAAGGCTCTTTCAAGAGGCTTTCCATCTGCATCTGTGGCACATTTTGTCCACTTTTTCGTTTTAGGATTGAAAAAATTATCACCCTAAAAAAATAAAGAAAATAAAATTTAATTAAATTTATTTACCCAAAATCTTTCCATCATTTTAGCTTTATCTACCCCAAATTTCTTAGCATATCTAACAGCAAATTGTCTAATAGTAAATGCCCATCCATGTAAACCTGAGCCAAAAGCAACTGTACCCTTATCTGGATATACTTGAACATCTCCAATAGCTTTATCAAAATATGTAGATATAATTACATTTACTGACTCAATTGTTCTTGAAAAAGATTGATATAAATCCTCTTTTGATATTTGTAGTTCAAGTAATGCTCTATCTACTTTATTTATAATAACAACAGGTTTAATACGTTCTGCTAATGCTTGTCTCAAAACAGTTTCCGTCTTAAATATATAAACTTCTATAATCATATATCATACTCATATTTACCTGAACACAAACACCTTCGACACAATCAACTACAACTAATGCTCCATCTGTCACTCGTAAAGCAGCGGTCACTTCTGATGAAAAATCAACATGTCCTGGCGAATCAATTAAATTAATCAAAAACTCATTCGATTCCGTCTTATGTGGTATATCCTTTACACTTTCATGATCCAATTCTGCGTATAATGATATCGCTGTAGATTTAATTGTAACCCCTCGTTCCTACCCCAATTATAAACACCAATTAAGCAAATAAATATATAAAACTTGTTCATCTGGTCTTGTATCCGTAAATCGTGCATTTCCTGCACTTGCTGCTGAAATAATACCGGCCTTTTGAACAAGTGAATCCGTTAATGTAGATTTCCCATGATCTACATGAGCAATAACTGACATATTACGAATATTGCTTGGACGGTCCATAAGCATTCCTGAGACAAATTAATCATGTTTTATTACATAATATCATATATAAATCATACGAATTTGATCTATCTAAAAATCATGTTAAAAAATGAAGAAAATATCAAAAAAAAGAGCAAAAAAATACCGTAAAATTAACCATTTTTATACACTAACTATTTGTCCAAGATGTATAAATAAATATGTAGATAAAGTTGATATTTTATTGAGAAAAATCTAAAGACTCTGGATCCTAAAATTTAAGCGGTGGTGGAGGAGGTGACTGCCTATCGACGTAGCCCTAAACCCAGGTTTAAATCCAATATATATATATTTAAGAAAATATATAAGCTAAAAGTTAATTTAAATGTTTTTATTAGCCTTTTGAATATACAAAAAATAGTTTATTTAACGATAAAAATGATGTAAAAATGAGAATTAGTTTGTATCGTTGAAACATCTATAATAACCCTAGAAATAGTATAATTTAAAAGAGTAAATGAGTTTATATTAAGAGTATATGTTAGTAGTGAAAATAGAGAAGGTGAATTTTTGATATTATCGTCTCCACAAAGCTTCGTCGGCATTGTCATCATCGTCGTAAAATCCACGTCCATCTAAGTTTCTATCTTTTAATTCAGTGAGATTATGATCTAAATTATTTTCTGAATTTTTATTTGTATCATATTTCCATTTTAATTTTACATTTTCCATGTCAGGAATTGTAGAAACATTGCGAAGAAACTAAAAATATATAAATTGATTTTTATAATTAAGTAAAAAAAAAACCTTTTCAGCGGTCCATCTATCTTTGAAGACGATAATTTGAACATTAGAATCTTCAGCATCTTTCTCAATGGCTTCATATTCACCGTTATGAAGTAAATGTTGTCTCAAAACCTCGTCTTTATCAGGATCCAAGTTATATACAGCAATCTTTCTTGTACGATTATCTAATTGCATTGATCTACGATGAAGAGTATTTTTTTCCGAAGTAGATCTAAAAACTTTTGAAAAACTTCGAGAAAATCCTAATTTCTTTTTATCTCCAAAATTTCCAGTTGTCTTTAAACTCTTAGTATTAATACTTATTCCTAAATTATCGGCCTAAATAAATTAAAAATAAATTTTAAATAAATTAAATTATGAACTTCGGCTTTTAATGAAGCTAGTTGAGTTTCCAATGCTTTTCTAGATAATTCCGATGGATCTGATTTATTTACATCATAATCTTCTTTTTGAGGAGATTCGGGTATATCTGTATCTTTCTTAGACATTAACGCTATCAAATTTCGTTTTTCTTCCAATTGTTTTCGAATAAGTTCCTCTTTTTCTAGAAGCATTTCTCGTTCTTTTGCATTTTGTTTTTTTCTTTGCTCTCTTTCTTCATGTTCTTTTTGTTTTTGCTCAATTTTCTCCATAAATTTATCTTTAGGTAAATCATCTACTACATGTTTTTCAGAAGTATCTAATGTCATATTGTTCTCCTGAAGATCATTTCTATCATTATATTTAGAAGAATGCCAATACAGTTTAACGAATCTATTATTAAAAATAGGAGCCGAAGAAGACCATGCTTTATTTGCACTTTCCCAGTCTTTAAATTTTAATATAGCTTTATGCTCTGCTTTTTTAACAGTTATCTTGGAAATTTTACCAAATTTCTTGAAAAAAAGATGTATATTTTCTTCGTTTAGATCATTATTTGGAATATTTTCTATTATCAATGTTGTTATTGATTGATCGTAATTTGGTCCTTGTATATAACATGAATTATTTTTTTTGTGTTTTCTAAAACGTTCTCTATCATTCCTAAAGGAATTTTTATAGTTAAGTCCCGGCTGTGTAATTGTCACTGAATGATTCGTATGAATAGATTGTGTAGGATCATATGCATCTATGTTATATTAATCAAAGATACTAAAGTGTCTTAAATATAACTATCATACCGGAATACTGACCATCCATTACAATATGATCAATCCCGTGATCATAAAAACACTTTAACCATGTTATTCTTAAAATTTTTAAATAAATATATATATACCATATCACCTCTCATACAATAACCTCTTTCTAATAAAACAATTTAGAAATAAATATACTTTTTATTTCATCATACCTTCATAATCTAGACATCTTTGTTTAGAATTAACAGGAAAATCTGGTGAAAATGAAAACATATCGGAAAATGGTGCCTTTTGACGATATGTCCTCCAATTCCCACGATTATTTGCACGAAAAGATTTTCCAAATCTAGATTTTTTCTCATTATTTATTCCATGAATCCTCATATCCAATGATGTCTGATGAAATGATCGCTTTCTTGCCGATTCTTTATATTTTTCTCCACCTGATAACTCTTTTTCTACCGCATTTTCACTCAAATAAGCTTTACTCTTAACTCCTTTAACATATTTTCTATATATTCCTAAATTATACCTCCAGAGCATCAAATATATTCTGAACAAATGAAAATGTATCTAAAATAATCAATTTCACTCCTCATTCCCCTCAAGACTCATACGTTCCCTCAAAAACTCATCTAACTGACTAAGACAAAGCTTCTTAACATCTTCTATTGATTGATCATGTCTCAATAATGCCAGAATATAATCACTAAGAATATCTAAATCTGCATTTGATCTTCTTTACTTAGTAAATTTATCATTTCTATAGAAAATCTTACATCGGCTCAAGATGTGTTAACAAATATGCCTTAAGAGCCTATTATTTATTAGAATATTTAATAAAAATCCTTAACAAACCTTAGAATTCTTCTCATCAAAAAGCATCGCTTTTTAAACAGGTTTCGAGAGGTTAAACGGATTTTTATTAGAATATAAAGAAGTAAACTGAGGATTGAAAAAAAATAAAAAATAAGTTAGAGAAAAGTGCTGTAAGTGTTTAAGAAGTGTAAAAGAATAAAGCAGTGTGTGTATAATAGGGGAGTTTTGTATTGAGAAGTTGAATAAAGTTACCGTATATTGCAGTGTTTTAGAAGTAGATAATAGTTTATAATCAGGAAGTATTGTAGATATTTTTATGTTTGTCCATTTTTTGTAGAAAACAGTAGAATTTGATATTTAGAAAGAAAAGTTAGATAAATAGTGAGAAAAGTTGATGTATAGATGGAAAAAAAGAGAATTGAAAAGAATTGAAAAGAATGATTTTAAATAATGTTTTTGTCGTATTTGTTGTTATTTTTATAATGTAGTTTAATATGAATGAAGTGTCAATTAAAATATAAACTTTTAACCTTATCGAAAAAAAAAGTTATGTAAGTGTTTTCCAAATTAATTAAAGAGTAAATAGTTTTTTTTTGGCCAGGAAGATATCTATTTAGATTAGTTTGTATTAAATATAAGTGAGTTTGTTATTTACATGAATAAAATGTACCAAGATTTTTTTTTGTAATTTGAAAAATGCATATTTATATATATGAAATAATATTTTTATAAATTTAGAGTGAATTATATGTCAAAAGATTTTGAAAAAAAAAGAATTGAGTGAATTGTTTAGAAATATTTTGACATGAATTAAAGATCTGAAAATTTGAATGTTTAATAATCTATAAATTATGTGTAAGACGTTATATGATAAATTGTTTATAGTATATATTTGAATTATGATAACATATCATTAGACATATCTTTTTTTTGCTTTTTTGTATTGAAATTAAATGCATTTTTTTGAGTTTTAAGTCGTTTCATCTCTTCTTTTTTAAATATTAATTTTCCACGTGCTTTTTCCTTTTCTTTTTTAATAAGATCTTCTTTAGCCATTTTTTTCTTGAAAGATTCACGCCGTTCTTCTTGTTTCTCTTTTCTTTTCTTTATTTTCTCATTGCGTAGTGTCATTAATTTATGCATAAGATCTCTTACTTTTCTTTCTTCTGGATTTAAAATAACAGCTCTTTTTTGAAGATATGTCTTTTTCCGTTGTGGTTTCATAGTACGCTGTTTTGATGCATAAGGAAGAGATGCAGCTAATGCTTTTGGAACACGTAAAGGATTAAAATGTCTAGCATGCCTTTCTATTTTACGATATTGAGAATTAATAGGCAAAGGAGTTTTAATATTTAAATCTCTTCTGATTTCTCCAGTAAGTCTCATTCCTTTCCATGAAGATTTGTCTTCCATTAATAATGATGTAACTGGATTATAATATTTTTTGGGTTTAATAGGATACCATGCTCTTAAAAAAACAATATCTTAAAAAATTAATTTTTTATATTACAAAATCGATTCAATAGTTACCGCTCATAAGTATTTTATCCTCAAATGCACATCTACAATAGCCTTCAGGTTTAGTCAATGCTTTTTTGATTTGTCCACGAATCCCAGATACAGTTCGTATACTAGCACCTTCAAATTTTGCAACTTCAAGAGATGAATTAAACATATCTTTTATAAATGCTGTATTTTTGTAAATTTTATAAGGAACTCCAACAAGTTTAAGTTTTTTTACAATTTCAGTACTTTGATCATTATCAAGTATGACACCTGTAGCAGCAATTCTAAAAATACCTGATTTTATAGAATCAGCACTAACTGATTGCACTGCAACAAAACCTGTGTTTGGGTTTGTTAATGGACCATAAAATGCAGCGAAACAATGCATATGCTCTGGGGTATATTTTAACATTCGATTCCTTACTCTTGAATCAGAGGTATAATATATTGGTAAAGATTGAAATCTTCTCCATCCTATACTGAATACTAAGGGATCATTTGTTTTTAAGATTTTCTTATGCCAACGATGTTTTTTAATCCGAACTTTCAAAAACCCAAATTGCTCTTCACTAGGTAACAATCCACCAACAACAATAGGAAATTTTGGATCAAAATTTTTAACAAATTCGCATGGCATATTAGACACAAGTAATCTTATGTATAAACCTGCCCTATAGCCTTCAATTCTTATTCTATCTGATAATTCTAATCCTTCATATTCTTGTCGGTTAATTTCAAGTTGCTTTGAAATTTTTAACTTTTGTTGTTGATACCAATCCAATTTTTCTTCAGAATCACTATACTTTGTATCATCTTCTTCTTTAAAACGGATAGCGAGTTCCTTTTTTTTTAAATTGATTTCTCTTTCTTTTTCAAAATCTTCATTCATTTTGTCGTCAGAAAAGACTAACTCATCTTTATTTTTTTCTTCATCTTCCAAATCTACAAAATCCCCATAAAGATCTTCATCCATATTTGACTGTAAATCATTATTATTATTATTCAAAAGACTTCCTGTAATAAAACGTGATCTTAAAGCTTCTAAATTTTCCTCTTTTTCCCAAAAGTTAAGTGCTGATATATTAACTGGAAGCTTAGATCTTTCAAGAAATTCTTTATTTTCATCCTTATCAAATCTTACTATTCTTAATAAATCATCAGAATCATCTACTAATTTCGTATTTTTAAGAACATGATCTTGTCCATTACTATTTGGTAAAGCAACTCCTTCCCAAATGTCTATTACTTGTTTTGGTGTATATTCCATTTTAATGTAGATTAGATTCGCTAAATCAGGAGCTCTTCTTGAATTAAACATGTTATTTGATATTCTTTCTATATTTCCTTTCCATGTTGAAGATATTCCAAAATATTCGTTATCTGAATTTTCTGTTGAACTTTTTAAACCTGAAAAATCTGAGAAATTATCACCATTGGCTTTTTTGGATATATGATTTTCATTAAATTCAACATCATTTGATTCAATGTCCATATTTTGCAATGTTTCATCTTTTACTTCCGAAGTATCACTAGCATCTGAATATGTATTAGATTCTAAATCATCATCGGATCCTTTATATTCTTCAGAGTCGGATTTATCCATATCTTTCATATCATTATCTTCAAAATTTTTAGGATCATAATCATCATTTATAATGTTAGGACTTCTCATCTGTTTTCTTCCTGTATTGTTATTACTAAGATCATGTTTTATTTTTTTTCCATTATGAAGAATTTGAAGATCATTCTTTGAAAAATCTTCACCAAGATCATGATTTGATTTTTGTAATTCTATAATCATTTTTTCACCAATGCTACATTCTTCTGTATTTTTTTTTGAAAAATCATTAGTAGGAATATCAATATAAACAGCGTCTTTATCAAACATAACACCACCAACATCAGACATAGGTGCATAGATTAATTTTTGTTTTTCTCGAAGAGTACGAGTTTTTTCTCCAAGTGGGCAAGGATCTGGAAGCGAACTAATCTCAGATACAGAAAAATCACCTACTCCTGGTATATGTATGCGACCATTTGTAGCAGGAAAGCTAGTTCCTTTTAAATATCCATAAAGAACTACAATTCGGTTGCAGAATGGGTTTTCATGAATTTTTTGAGGATCTGTTATATCTTCCATTCTATCCACAAGAAGATAAGGATGTGAATTTTTCCAAACTAAAGGACGAAATTTAATAACTGATATAAATCTTGCTAAATTTAAAATTTCTCTATCTGGATAACGACCATTGATTACACCAGAAAGATAAAAAAGTTTAGCACCTTGATATATTTCTGTCCAAAATCTACGTTTAAGACGCTTTTTCGCTGTTTTAAGAGCTTCTGGCTTTTTAAAAAGATCAAGATGTGTAAGAACACCCATGATTTTAGGAAATCCATGAGGTATTAAAATATTTATAAATTCCATAGTTTCCATCTCAAACCCAAAATTTCCATCAATAAGTAAAAGAATTAGATCTGATACTTTTGCTATATCAATCATGCTATTAAGATCATTAGGACATTCAATAAATGTTAGTCGACGCTTTTTCCCTTTTATCATTTAGAAAATAAACAAAAAGAAGTAAAAAAAAAGAAACCTGAAACACACGTGACAGGTCCATTAATCTCATTAAGTGTATATTTTGAAAATTTCCTAACTAAAGATTTAATTAACGTAGTTTTTCCCGTCTAATATATATATCATCAATTTTCTTATATAATAACAAGAAATAAGGCATAATTACACCCGGAGGACCAACGACTGCTACAATAATAGGCGGTAAAACATCTGGCGTACGATCTGCTATAGGAATATGGAGTTTTTTTTGAATAATCTATCATTATCTAGTTAAATTCATTTTTAACTAAAAAAAATATACGTCTGCACTTCTTCTCTCTACAACACTTGATTTCCTCCATGATCTTGAAACAAATGCCTTAAAAATTATTAGTTATAATATTATCTTTCTATAATAATTTATTAACCTTAACATTATTTTGTTGACTTGATTTTTCTTGTTTTTTAGCCTTTTTTTTTGCTGCTTTTGAGCCTGATTGACGAGGCCTATGTTTCTTCTTATCCTCTGAATCCATATAAACTTGTTATACACCTTGTCCTATACTCATTCTACTTGACAAATATTAATAAGTTGCAAGCTGTCGATTAAAAATTATAATATTATATAATATAGAAAATATAATATTTTTAGGTGTAATAAGATATATAAGATTGTTACTAGAAATATAAACGAGATACGTTTATATATTTTATAAATTGCCATATAGATAATGATTAGAAATAAGACTTGAGTGTATTTTCTGATGGATTTTTAAAACAAGAATATTGTAAATGTGTTATTTTTCTACAATTAACCAATATACTTTTTGCCTTTTCGAGTTCTTGTTGAAAAATTTGCCGATTGTCATTATGATGATAGGCTTTCTCTAAATGAAGATACAATGATCCAAATATATCAGAAGTTTCCTCATCAATATATGCTTCTAAGACTTGTTTAATGAATTCTACTTCTATGATTACCTGAAGCATTCCTCCTATACCAAAATTATTAATTTTTTGAAATGATTCAAGTAAAGCTTTAGTAAGTGATTTTACTAAATTATTTAAGGTGCGAGGAATTAAATTTGAGGTAATAGAAGAAAGCTGAGAATGAATGACAACTAGCGATAATATGGAATTAAATACGTATGGTTGAATTTCTATAATATTATTAAAAATAAATGAAAAAGAAAAACTTACCTTGAGGTGGTTCTTCTGAAGACCAAATAGGATTAGAATTGAGTATTCCATTTTTTATGATTTCAGAGATAGATTCAGACTTAACTTTGATGTAATCATCAAATAAACGATGATCGAGTTGAACTAAAGCACTATATAAATTCTAAAATTTTAGTTAAAAATGAAAATTAAATAATAGAGTTACTTTTGAATCATCTTCCAGAGATATAGAATACAATGATTCGAATTGCTTCAACAATGTAGAAATAATACTATTTTTTAGATGAGAAAAATTGCTTAAAGTAAAAAGAATTCGAGTATTCTATATTTAGTTATATTTTAAGAATAATACAGATAAAGTTATACCGTATTTTCATGATCTATTTCATATTCAGATTTTGAAGAAAGCTCAAGGGTAGAATTTTTTGAATCTGTTTGATTAAGATAAACATTTTTAATTAACCCCTCTAAGGATATATATAAAGATTTTAGAAATTGTGTTTTGATAGATAATATTGTTTTTGTTGAAGGAGAGGGCTTAAATATTAATAAATCTTAAGTAACTTAAACAACTTACTATTAGATCTTCAGTATTTAATTTATAATTTCTTCCAATATATAAAAGTTCGTTAATTTTAGTAATAATACAAGACTCGTAGGCATACAATGTTTTTGGATAGTCTGTTATATCAGGATTTCCAGTCGATTTTACCCAATTTTCTAACAAATGGAAATTACAAGAATCTATTTTAGGTAAAAAAAATAAATTTAAAAACTTAATTCAAATCACCTAAGTTCCACAGGAAATTTACAGCTTCGACAAACATTTCCCTCACAGTACTAATCATTGTTTGCAAATTTTTATTAATTTCTTCTGAAATATTTAATTTAAAAATTGCCATTGATGAATTAACAATAACTGTTAATAATTTATTCAGCATAGAACAAGCAGTTAAAGAGTCTGAATGTGGAGGTATGAATGAAATTGAGGAATTTTTATCGTTTAGATTAGGAATATCTTCTAGTTTCAATGATGAATTATTATCATTAGATAGTCGATTATTATTTGATAATGATGTTTTTTTTGTTGAATGTGAGGTGAAAAAATCAATGACAAGTGAAGAGAGCGTAAAAATCAACTGTTCTGCTGACTTTTTTACAGAAAAAATATCTTCAGAGGAAAACATAAGATGATGTTTGGATTCTCCATTTTTTCCTATAGGAAAATGCTATAAATATTAATAATAGAAAAAATATAAAAAGCATACTTCACCTTCAATAAATTTCCTTGAGAAATTTTACAAACAATTTCAAGATAATTTTTAAATTCATGAAACTTGTGAATAAATATATGTTCAATCATTTTTTCAAGAGAATTCCACATTATATTATTAGATGACTCTTCCCATATATTATATATTTGATATTTACTCAACGGCTTTTTCAATTGCTGGACTATTTGTTTATTAGTTGGGAGAGGTAATTTAGCTAATTGATGGCGAATCGCTTTAGATATTATTATCTTAATAATATAAATTGGATAAAATACCTTCAATCTTTACAGATTCATCTTTAAAATCTTGTTCCAAACTTTTTATAAGTTGAGCACTCTGGCATTTAAGAGAATAAAGAATAGGATTTTCTGTTGTTCCTAATTCAAGAAGTATACTATAGTTAAAAACTATTAATAAAATCCCAGCTATTAAAACTATATTACCATATTAATTTGTGTCGTTCTTCTGATGTTTTAAATGTAGAAAATTGCTGGAAAATATTTCTGCGATAATCTTCAATGATTTTTTCTACTTCTTTCCAAATTCTTTTAAAAATCTTAGGTCTTTGGAATTCAAAAATATCCATAGATTTTTCAGATATAACATCTTCTTCTGAAAGTATCTCTTTGCACTTTCTATATTCACGTATTAACATTTCATGATCATTCTTTCTTAATGTTAAATTTTATAATTAAATAGGAATAAAGAACCTTTTCAATACAATCCAATAATAACGATGGAACATTAAAATGATATTTGTACCTTTCTAAGATAGATAGTGTAGATATTAAACGATATGCTTTTGTACGGTTTTCTGTAATTGGCTCAAATGTTTGTGTTGCCTTAGTAATTACATCTATTTATAATTTAATCAATAAAATAAATATATTCAAATACTACCATTAATATTTGATTTTAATTCAGAAATTCCATATTCATGTTCTTGGTTTAACATATCATGTTTCATATCTTGATAAACATAATCAATTGTTGTTTTTGCTTTTACAAATCTACTAAAATTATTTTCAACAAGCATCTTCAATGCATCCGATCTCTTCTCAATTGACTGAGTTAACCATTTTAATCCTGATAATAACTCCGGATACCAATTATTTGAATGAATATCTCGCAAAAATACACTTGGATTAAATCTTTTTGATGAAATAAGATATTTCGCTCCTATATATCAATATTTTAGAATTTCCCTCCTTATTAAAACTTATTTTCATACGTAATCTAATATCATCTGGAACTGTTATACCATTTTGTTTAGCTAATCTATAAAAATCATTTAAATTCACTTTTTAGCCCCAAAAAAAACATACGAAATAACTGAATCACTCATTCCTAAAGGATCTGGCTCATCTGGTGCAATAAATTCCTCTTCAAACATCGTTGATTCTGTCATTTCTTTTGAATTATGTCTTTCCTCATTATTAAACTCTTGTTCACTCGTATCCACCCATTTTGATGGATATGGCGTTGTTAAAGAATAGTATTTAAGAAAATTAATATCTGCTTGTTCCATATATTTATTAATAAACTCCTCTCATTAGCCTTTTAAACTTTTATAATTTTTTTATTAAAAATAGCTCCAAATATATAAATAATTAATAAAAATATCCCTTATTATTCTTATTTTTTCTATTTTTTTACTATTTCTTATTAATTTTCTTAAGATTCTTAACATTTTCTTACCTTTTTCTTAATATTTTTTTAAACTTATCGACAAAAATTATTAATTTCTTAACTTTTTAAGGAATATTATAATAAATTTCTTACTTTTAATGAAGATTTTCTCTAATTTTCTTACTTTAAGACAGAATTCTTTATATTTTCCTATTAAAGTTGTTTTTTTTAAGCAAAAAGGTTAAGAATTGCTAAGAAAATCTAGAAAATCCGGTTTTATGGGACAAAAAACTATCTTAATGGGCCTTATAAGGGAAAAGCAGATAGTTCTGGACTATATCCTGTGACATTAATCTTAGGAGATGGTATTGGACCGGAGATATCAACAAGTGTTCAAAAAATTTTTGAAGCAGCTCAAGTAAAAAGAAAATTATACAGGAAAAATGTTTAAAATAAGATTAGGCGCCTATAAAATGGGAGCCAGTTGATGTTACACCGGTTTTTGTAAATGGTAGAAGAAAAAATATAGTATTTTATGAATTTTTTTTTGAAAAAAGGTTTTAATAGGGAAAATGACGATTCCTGAGGCAACGATTGAATCTATTCATAGGAATACGGTGGCATTGAAAGGGCCATTAGCTACGCCAGTGAATTTTTTGTATTTAAATCGGAATAAAATTTAATATTTTAGATAGGAAAAGGTCATGTATCTCTTAATCTAACACTTCGACGTACTTTGTAAATTAATGGTTAAGTTATTTTTCTTTTATTTAACTTAAGGTAGTTCTCTTTTTGCAAATGTAAGACCATGTCGTAGTATTGTTGGATGCAAAACAGCATACGATAATGTGGATATTGTATTAATTAGAGAAAATACAGAAGGAGAATATTCAGGTATTGAGCATATGTTAGTTGATGGAGTTGTCCAATCGATTAAACTTATAACGAGAGATGCATGTGAAAAAGTTTTACGATTTGCTTTTCAATATGCTGAAAGTATTGGAAGGAAAAAAGTAACTGCTGTTCATAAAGCTCCAATTATGTCAATAGATCTTTTTAAAAGAAAATATCTCATATTTATAGGAAAATTTCCGATGGTCTTTTTGTAAAAACAGCTTATGATATTTCTAAAGAATTTCCTGGAATTGAACTAAATACTGAACGAATTGATAGTTCTTGTTTAAAAATTGTTTCAGATCCAACTCCTTATAATGATAGAGTATTAGTTATGCCTAATCTTTATGGAGGTATTTTTTAATCTTTATTTTCACTTTTATCTTTCTCATTTTCAATTGATATCTTAAGTGATATGTGTTCTGGACTCATTGGTGGTCTTGGTTTAACTTCAAGCGCAAATATAGGTACCGATGCAAGTATTTTCGAAGCGTAATATTTTTCCTCTTTTTATATCTTTATTTATTTATTTATTTATTTATAGCGTTCATGGATCTGCTCCTGATATTGCTGGTCTTAATAAAGCAAATCCAACTGCTTTACTTTTATCTTCAATTATGATGCTTCGTCATATGTCGCTTTACCAATATGCTAATAAAATAGAATCCGCTATTTTTAACGTTCTATCTCTTGGAAAAACTGTTACTTCTGATCTGGGTGGCCATGTTCTTCTCTTTCTTCCTCTTTTTTTTTACTTATTTTATTAGGCTTCCACTCAACAATATACACAGGCAATCATAGATCTTCTCAAATAGTTTTTCTTATATTCAAATACACCTTTTTTACTTGCTTCTCTTGTATTTTTCTTATCTTTCTCTTCTCTTGACTTTTTCTCCTGTGTAATGCTTTAACGACGCTCGATAAGATGCTTTAAAAGACTCCCCATTATTCATGGAAAATACTGGCAAAAAGCCGCCTGGAAATCATGTATCAGTGCTTTATATCTATCAGAACCTTCTTATGTTTGAGGAATCATTGAGACAAGAGTATATTTCTCTTTATCTTCGCCGGCGCAAATATTCTAGTAAGTAACCTTTTTTTTGAGGAAAAAAATTGATGAAAAAGTGTTTTTAACAGGGCTTTTAACATGGAATACGTATTTCTTTTATGGTTCATTGATCAATCCATCTAATGTAGGGATTTTTGGCGAAAAAAAACGAGAAAATTAAGAGTTTTTAGTATTATTATGTTTCTTTACTTTACCGATTGTGTCTTTTGGCAGGGATTATAACGTTTTTGTTGTTCTATTTATCAGGACTTTATAGCCGAACATTAACGCTGCCTCAAAAATTTATTCCTTATACAAATAAATGTTTAAGACCATATAATTTAAAGATTGTACCGAATCATTTGAGTAAATCACGTTTATTACAGTTTTTACCTCATAAGCTTTTTACAAGACCGAATTTAGGTGAAGGAGGTATTCGTTTAGTTATTCTTGGCAAAGGTTTTGATAGGAATTTTTGTGAGGGATGGGAAATTTTTAGACAAGAGTATTGGATTACTGAACAGAATCGAATGATTCAAAAAAAAGAAAAAAAAATGAAAGAAACTCCATGTAAAAAGGATAATAAGTTGAAAAAGAAGAAAGAATAAGGTTTTTTTTTAAAAAAAGGTGTATTTTAAATCAACTTATTATTATCTTTTTTTTATTGGATATATTGGTTTATACGTAGGTGTATACTTTCATACTAATGAAACAATATACATAGAAAGATAAATAATTTGGATTGATATCGATTTTATATCGATTAAGGTGCCTCGATCAAAATTTTTTATATTTATATTCATGATAGAGATAAATAATAAGTATTATCTTTGTCATTTAGTGGACTATACGATTATTTTTCTTACAATATTTCATTTTTTTTTTGGAATATGGATGATTTTTCATTTTATTTATGATATAATTACATTTAAATCAGTTATAACAAAAAAAATAGATAGAAAAATCGTAGTGATTACAGGAGGTTCTTAAAAATATTATATTTTTTTTTAATTTAATTGATAACTTTACAGGTGCATCTGGACTTGGATATGAATTATCATTAATTTTAAGTCGTCTTGGTATGATCGTTATTATCATAGATATAGCTGAAAAAAAAATATCGGATTGTAAAAAAGTATTTTTTACACAATTAGTACTAAAATTTAAAGCCTTATGTTACTATTATCAGTGTGATGTTACTTGTGTAAAGGATCTTGAGAAAATTTTATTGGAAATTAAAAAACATGTTTGATTTATTGTTTTGAGAATGATTTTTTGATATATATAAAGTTTGGGATTCCTACAATACTTGTTAATAATGCTGCTATAATTGATGGTGAATCAATTGAAACAATGTCGTTTGAAAAATTTAGAAGGTTATTTATATTATTTATATTTATATTTATTTATGAATTTTAGAGTGATTGATGTTAATTTTATATCGCATTTTAATACTGTTAAGTTATTCTTACCTGGAATGAAGCAAAAAAATGAAGGGCATATTGTTACGATAGCATCTTCGCTTGCATTTATTGGTGTGACTAATCTTTGTATGAACATTTTATTTATATATACCCCGTTAAGAATCATAGCTGCTTACTGTGCTTCTAAAACAGCATTAGTTTCTTTTCATGAATCTCTAAAACATGAGCTTTTATACTCAAATTCTAATATTCGAACAACACTTGTTGTAACAGGACAATTGAACACATCATTGTTTCAAAATGTTAAAACGCCTTCTCGATTTTTGGCACCAGTTCTTGATCCTGTATATGTTGCAGAAAAAATAGCCAAAACTATAATAAATGACAAAAGTATGGAAATATATACACCATTATACTGTTTAATACTTCCCATGCTAAGATGTATACCTATAAGATTTCAAATAATCTTTAGATATTTTAGTGGTATAGATAAAGCTACACATGTATTTATAAAACACTAATTGTATTATAAACTATTTAAAATCTATAAAGAAAAAGTACATATTCAATTGACTATTATTAATATTATCGTCTTTTTGTATTTTATTTTTGAATTGATTTGTTCATTTTTTTAAGTATTTAAATAATATTACAATTATTTTTTCTTTACAAAATATATTATTTTATCTATTCCTTAGATTATATATTTACTTTTAATATTCAAAAGTAGAAACATTTACAAAAGATATTTATATCATAAATTTCTATACTTTTTTATTTATCAATTCTATAGAATTAATTACTTTTCCTAAAGAGCTTTATAAAATTAAATATTATTAATATTTATGAGTAAATAGCATTCTATTCTAATATTCATCTCCCAATACTCTTTTATTTATTGTCTCTAAAGAATTCTTATAATAATTTAATATTATATTAAAATATTAAATATTAGAAAATAATAATAATAATTTTTCTTATAACTAAAAGAAATGTTTATAAATTTCTTTTATTTTTTAAAAAGTTAAAAGGACATATATTTAAATATGCAAAGTTTATATTTTAGATTGCTCAACAATAATTATTGTCTTATCTAAGATTATCTATCAAATTTATATTTATTATAATCTTCCTATTTCAATTTCAAAATTACATAAAACCATCTGTATAGAATTTATTAAGCAATAGTTTATAAAACAAATATGTATTTTGAATCTGTAAAAAGACAAAATTATTTATAATTTGAATATTAAAAAAAAATTAATAGAAAAAATTAGAAAAAAAACTATATAACACATTGTATTTATTTGTTATATACAATATTATGTAGTATGTTCTTCAATTAAAAGTGTTTTTTTGTTATATACGTATTTATAAAGATAATAAATATACATCTTTTTATCGATCAAATATATTATTTTCTTAATCAATATATGTATTTTTAACAATATTATCTATTAATCTCTTCATTATGTGCTTTATTTCTCTTATCTAAATCTATTATTAAAATCTTTATGCTAGTGATCGAGTATACGAGTTAGCATAAATTAATATAGAACATGTTTAATGCATAAAAGATTATGAAATACTTTTCCATTATTTGTTAATCTAAGATCTATTGAAATTAATAAAGATGAAATGGATATATTTGATTTGGTTGTTTTCCTTGTACATATATGTTAAACAAGTAATGTCATTAAACTCCTCAAATGATCTAGATCCAATTTTGAAAAGACCAAGGTTTCTTAAAAAAGTATATTCTATTTATTCATTTTATGATAAAGTCCAATTTAACTTTTTTATAGAGACAACCCTCAATAAAACCTATTATTAAAGAAGTCACTATAACTATGACTCATTGGATAACCCATCATGATTGCATCATATTAAGTACCATTGATTCTTCAAGAATAAACACAAAAAGCGATACACGTGAATATGTGACAATTACAGGTACCAGAGATATATAGCACTTTTCTAAAAAAGAATTGATCATATATAATAATTGAATAATATCATGTAAAAGGGCTGATAAAATACTATGTCGGTTTTTAATAATTATAATTAAGTTATCAATTTTTAGTTGAAGTACTTATTAAAGAATGTTTGGTATGAATTAATTTCGGCCATTTATTAAAAAAAGAATCCCACATACTTTTATTTTGATTATCATGAATGTTTTTTCCCAATGGTTTAGTGTCAGCTTTTTTCTTTTTTGAAGTTCCACTCAAAAAATGTTTATTAGTTATGGTAGATTTTAAAAGAGTATTTGACAATATAGCCTTGGTATCATTATTTAAAAAGACAGAAGATTCAGCTGAATTTGTAGAAAAAGTAGATATAACCGGGCTTATAAATTGTGTAGATGGAGAGAAATTTCTAGGTGTTGTCCATGGTTTCCTTAAAAGAAAAGAGTCGTGTAAATCTTCTAACTTTACTTCATGCAATGGTTTTTTGTATAGAATATCCTTAAAAAATGAAGTATTAGGAGCATCCAAATAAATAGAGAAATTGGAATTAAGTTTATTATATTGTGAATGCTGCAATTCTTTTGAAAGATTTAAACAAGAATTCTGTCTTTTATTGTTTATGGAAACCGACTTTGGAGAGTTAAACATATTTGTTAGGGATAAATATCGTGTTTTTTCATGTGAATTATCTTGGGTATTCTGTGATTTACTTGATGAACTAAAAAGTAACATTATCTCCGGTGCAGAGAATGATCTAGTTATTTTTGAATTATTAAAATATGATTTTTTGAATTTTACTGGCATAAATAGATTATCAATAAGGTCGTATTTCAACTTAATTTTTGCTTCATTAATAAATTTTGATGAATATCCTTTTTGGTTTTCCTTATCAGAGTTGTGTAATATATTTGCATTTATGTTTTCATTAAGAACTTGATTTAAAGAATTTTGATTTAATTTTTTTTCTGAAAATAAATACCTATCAACATTGAAATGTGACATATTCTTCAGATTGCGTAGATTATATGAATCATTAGATAATGAACCATAATTATTATTTCGAGATAAAAATTGCTGTAAATGAATCGTTTCATCATATTTTATAGAGAGAATATCATAAAGTTCTGTGCATATTTTTTTAAGAGACGAATTTTTTGAAATTAATTCCTTAATGAATATGATTAAATGCGATTTCATGGAATCTGTATTCATCTCGATCTTTGGATAATTTTTAAAATAATCTATCAGAGTTTGAACGTTTTCTTTTTCTTTATCTGTTTTTAATTTATTTCCATTCATTTGTTCTTTTAATATATCAATTAATCGTTCTGATTGTTGCCATTTTTTTTTAAAAAATATTCCTATTTGTAATGATTGTTCTAATTCATTTCTTAAAAACTTTTTTTCTATTTCCATTGCATCCATATGCTTTTCAATGGATTTTTTATGATCAATAATAGAACGAGAACGTTCTAACTCCAATTTAGTCGCTTCTAATGTATCTGAAAGGTCTTGAATATTAGATTCAGAATTCGACAATAATATATTCATTTTTTCCATATTCTTATAAATCAATTAAAATAACCATAAAAAATATAAATGAATTACCCTTAAAAAATCCTCGTTCTTCTCGTTAATTCTACATATTTCCTCCTCTAATTCCTTATTTCTTTTTTTAAGAAATGATAACGAAGTCATAATCTGATCCCTCTTAATTTTTAAATGATATATCTCTAATTTAAACAATTTCTCTCTATATTCTGCATTTTCATTGTATGCTCTATATTCTGATAATAAATATTGACCCAATTCTATTTTATACTTAAAAAACATCTTAAAAAAAAATAAAAATACCTGATGCAATTTGCATATCCTTTTCGATCTGTTTAAAAAGAAGTCTATTTTGCCTAATATTTAAGCAATCTGTTCCACAACAACATCTTATCGAAGACATATGATTGTTATTTTTCCTCTAAAAACTCTTAAAAATATCTTGAAAAAAGCCAATTTATTTTCAATTAGTATTTCTGATTATAAATTATAAGAAAATATCAATAAATCCAATAACAATGTCTTATCAGCCTCTAATTCTTAATCAACATTAATTAAAAGTAATCGTAAACTGATTAATCGAAACATATAAAAATATATAGAAGTGATAAATTATGAGATGAATAATGTGACGAAAAAAACATAAACATATGATTGTTTTAAGACCAACCGGTATTTAAGAGAGAAATTCCCAATTCTTCACAATGGAGTTCTTTTAAACTTGTTGAATAACCTAAACCGTCGTTTTGATAAGATTCCATTAATTTATATTTATCATTAATACAATATTCATGACAATTATGAGCCTCAGGTTTTTTTCCTAGCATGAAGGAAAAACCAGCTTGAATAACTTTAATTGGTATTCGTACATGAGCTTTCAAGGACCATATTTTTACATTAAAAGGAACAGCAGTTCTTTTCCATGGGATAATCCGAAGTTGTACTACAATTAATATCGTTTTCCCAAGACCTCCTGCTATAACAGTGACACCTTCAAAATCCAATAATGAAGAATTGTTAATTTTTCTTTTATAAGGCGTCATAAATTCAGCATGAAAGTGATTTAGAACAAGTGCGTCAGGAGAACATTGATTTGTATCTGCTAATAATTTTTCAATATAAAGATCTAATTCAAAGACAATTGGTAATAATTCTTTAGAAGAAGTGTTTGACCAAATTTCAAGTTCGAAAGATGATGATGGAGGCCAAAATTTATTATCATATGAAGTCTTTTTTCAAGAAAAAAATATTAGTTTTATGAATATACAATTTTTTCTCTTATCTATAAATTACCTGGTTATCATAATCATTCATATGATAATATGGAAAAAAAATAACCCGTGTATTCGTTAAAACTGGTATTATTCCATATTTTAAATACGAAAAACATGCATGGTTATAAATATTCCCTTCTCCTGCTGGAACTGCCATGGATTTCATATCCATGATATTGTTCTGTGAATATAATTGTACTCTTCTTACTTCAATCCATCCACCACACATAGATTCCATTTCATCTGTTACACATATATGTCTCCTTAGTAAAACCTGTGTCAATGTATATTTTATTGTATCCCATATTGTTTCTAAAGAAATAATTGGTATATTATTTATAGAAAGAGGCTTAAATATGATTTTTTTCATTAATTTAACTTTTTCATTGGTAGAAAGCAACCATAAATGAATGTCCCCTTCATCTCTAACTTCTTCTTCTTCAGTTTCATTTATATCTTCATTTCTATCTATTATATTCTCAAACATTGCTTCATTTTCAAAGAAATGTAAGAAATATGGTGTATTCCGAGTATATTTAGGAACTGAAACAAGATAAAATGGCCATGATGAGATTGTACCAAGTAATATATCTCTTCTAAGTGCTTTATCTGGTGTGTCTACTGTATTTATATCTATTTTTAAAATTGGAACCTCTAGATCTTGGCTCTTTTGACATATACCCAAAGACCGTTTAAATACATAATCAACATAAAATTGACTTTTAAGAGTCATTCTCTGTTTTAAAATATGAATAATAGGGAGCTTATATAAAATTATATCATTTTTCTAATAACTTGTAGATTAGAACTATATATAACTAAGTACGATAGAGCTTATAAAGGGCTAGAGTTCTTGTTATTTTAGAAAAAATAAAACAAGATAATGATATATTAATATAAAAGGATCTAAATCTATTGATTTATTTCATTAGAAATTTTATAATTTATTAGATGTTATTAAGTATAAGATTGTAAAAAGTAAAGACCAGTAAAAATATTTATAAAAATATATATGCAAAAATATTTATGTTGGTTCCTGCACCTTATTTTTAATAGATAATTCTCGACATATTTGAAGAGATGCATTAGGATGAATTTCCATAGATCCTTTCGTAAAAATTTCAATTATTCTATTATGAAAATTTAAAACAAAAACAAAAAAAATAAAACTATAGCATACTTTTTTATAGTTTCTTCTTTCTTACTAGCTGCTTGTCGTCTAATATTTTCTAATTTTTCATTAAGAACTTTGTTATGATGTTCTTCTTCTTTTAAATTAAACCCTGCAAGCTATCCAATCATTAGTAATAAAACTAAAATGCAATATCCCTCTATTTTATACTTCTTTCTTGTATCTTTCAAATTCCTCTTCTTTTTGTGCTCGATATTCCTCAATTACTGTTTGCGCTTCCGAACGTGCATTTTTTAACCCCTGTGCTCTACCTGAAATATATTATTCTCTTTTCTATTAATTATATCATAATTCCTCATACATTCTCTAGCTTTTTGAACTATTTTTTGAGACTCCTTTTCTACCTAAGATTATTTAATTAATTAACTTATATTTTAAGAAAAAAAAACCTCCAATAATGTCTGAATTCCTGATGAACTCTCAACTGACTAAAACTCAAGTTATTATTCATTTTATTTAATAAAAATTTTACCATTTTATTGATAATTTTAGAACTTTAAATTTCCTGCTAAGAAGGTTTGAGTGGTAAATTGAGATATCAACAGGTAGTATGATAACGAGGTACTATGGCAACGATCGCTATGGCAACAGTTTCTAAGACGATAGTTTCTATGACGACGGTTTCTATGACAACGTAGTCTAGAACATTGATAGATTAACAATAAAACAAAGTAATTTTTTATTAAAATCTAGCTGATCTACTCATTTAAATGCTTATTTCATATACCTGAAGTACTACAAAATGTCCAAGGCAGCAAAAATAACATTTTTTACAACAGCCACTTTAACGTTATGTATAGTTGGAGGAGTTCATTATATTCAGAATCAAGAAAAAGAAGTGAATCAAGAAATAGAATTATCAAAAGTCTTATTTTAAATAGAAGCTGTATGCCGGTGTGCTTCGAGATGAGGCACGTGAAGCTATTCGTAAAGAACGTCAAGAAGAACGGATTAATAATGAAAAACCAGAAACCAAATATAAAAAAAATGAATCATCAAGGGTTTCTTGAAACTGTTTGAATGCCCATAGATAAAATATTGTCCATTTATCTGATAATATAATCCAAAGTTTATTTAAAAATTAAACTATAATTTTTCTGTAAATAAATTTAGTTATTTACTTAATTATAGTATATTTTTTATAAATTATCATGAAAAGTCATGATTAATAATGTAGATGATTGTAGTTATTTCAACAAAATAGGTGATATAAGACTGTTCCATGGTAAAATCAATTGACCATCATGTTCTAAATCTGTATCTACACCAAATTTTCCGTAAACTTCCTCTCCAGTTTCAAGATCAATTTTCTTTTGTTTTTGATCACGTTTAGCAAGCTTTAGAGTTAAAAGATCTGACTCTGAGCGATCTATTAATGTTGCTGTTTTATAATCAGACAAGATGGGTTCATAACTATCGTTTATACAAAGATGTTTAAATGCAATAATAGATCCTACAGATGGAGGCTGTGTGAGGACAACAAATGTCTCTATATTATCTGGTAAAAGTGGCATATCTTCAGATGATGATGTTCCATCTGAAACTTTATGTTATTATTAAAATGAAGAAATCAATTAAACTGATTTACCTTTGTCTTTATCATTCGATGTTAAATGAATAAGATTAATAGGAACATTTGGAAGTTCACATTCTATTTCTTTAACAATGCATCTATCTTGCCATTTTTCATCATGTGCTTTATTATTTAAATCATATTCTCCATTTTCATCAAATCTTATGTGCTTTCCTTGACTATTGTCTATCCTTGAAATAAAATTCCCTCTTTTATTCTTTATATTCTTTTTTGTTGGCCTTATTTCAATCTTTGTATGATTTATAGTGTCACCTATTTTTTTTTCTAATTGTAACAAATCTGAAAATCTAGCTGATTCTGGAAGAATCCCTTTTTCTTTATACATCATCAGTCTTTTAGTTCTTTTTCTTCTTAAATTACGTGCTTTAGTAGAGGGCATTCCCTGTCCTGGCAACCTTTGATTTTTATTATGTGAAGATACATTATCTATTCTTGAACTAGATCTATAGAATTAAACCTTTTCTTCTAGATTTCCTATAACCTACTTTGATGATATGCTTGAATCTGAACTTTTTTTAGAAATAGATAATTTTGAGGATATTGATGATTCAGATGCAGATGCAGATGATGATGACGACGACGATGATGATGACGACGACACATCAGACGATTCTGAATCCGATTCTTTTGTAGCTGTTTCTTTTTTATATGGTTGTATTTTTTCTATTTTACTGGAATTGTCTTTATTTTTTAATGTATTAAAATGAATTGAATTGTCTTCCTGTGAAAAAGAACGTTCTATATTTTCAAAACATGATGTTTTCTCTTTAATAGAATTACTCTGTATAGTTCTCCTATGATCAGACATATCAAACCGTTTGTTATATTTTAACAAATATATATCATTTTCTATTTTATCTTTTCCAAAAGCTTCCAGATCCATAGATGTCCCTCTATTAAATATAGTATATATCCTATCACCTGCTTCAGGTGCATCATTAATTTTTTTTAATCTATTTATATATAATTAACTTTTTTTTAAAAAAAAAGCTTTATATATACATGATTAAATCATTTTCCCTGAGTATTTTAGAAACTGATGAGTTTAAAGGAAGATGGAATCCCTCTAATTCAAGACTTAAGTAACATGTATCTATATTAAATAAAAAAGTCTCAATGATTTGTTCAATTAAATCTCTAATTGTCATAGAATCTGATAAAGGTGAAATAGAATGCCAACATCTAAACTCAGGTAAAGGATATGAAGTTGAAAGACGTATCCTCATAATATCGTTAAAATATTGACTTAGTTTGATATTTAAAAAGCTTGACGTTTAACGACTAACTAGCCCTTTAAAATGTTTAATATGTAAAATAAAATATAAAATTCCCATCTAATTAATAATCTTTTGGTTTTCTGTGTTAGTAAATATAATTGAGTTTTTTTATGTATGTATAAATATATATTTATATATACATAAAAAAACTTGTCTGAATAGAATACTAGACATAACTGAAAAATTATGTATATATTTGAAACCTCCTTTTATATTTGTCTATTTTTAGATTATAAAACTAAAAATATTGTTGTTTTTGCTGTTATTTCGTTATAATTCAAGTAGTACTTAAACCGTTTTTAATCAATTAAGTTCAAGATTTATTCTATTTTCCAAAACTACTTCTTTAATCCTTTCTTTAATCCTATTTTTTGTAGTTGATTTATTTCCATATGAAGAATACTCCATTTTAACAAGATGATTACTTTCATTAAGTAAAATTGATGATAGAGAAAATATTTGTTTTGAAGCTTCTGAAACATCTATAACATTTTCATGTGGAAATAAAATAAATTCTATATCTGACCATGCCAATAAGAAAATTCTAAGTAAATCATGAACCGTTGTTAAAAATTCAAAAGGAAGTTTTCCTGGAAAAATAAAATTCAAAGGAAATATAGGACGAGATCGAATAATACTCAATATTTCTAATGTAAACCATAGTCCTATTATATAAAAATGCCACTATTGTATATTATTTTCTTGAAAAAAAAACCTTTATATTATACAAATCTTTTCAATGGCTTAATTCCTATAAAATTTGATACTAAAAAAACAATTGTTATTCCCCCATAAAACTGCAAGGTTGATTTAACACTTTCAAAAATAACATCATATAAAGAAACCGTTTCTGACCATTCAATCATTGATGATCCAAGTCTAATCCTTTCTTATTAATCCATATCATCCCTCATACTCTTCTTTAACCTTTCATATACAAATCTATGTCTTTCATTTGATAAAACATTGTATGCAAAACGTAATGTCATAAATTCTCTTGAATCTCCATTATTAATCTTATCAGGATGAACTTTTAACGTCCTGTAATAATCAATATGTTACAAATATCCATATATAACTGCTACATCTTGTGAAATCGTCTTCTTAACTCCCGTTTATTAACAATATATGGTGATATTCTTAAGATCTCATAAAAGTTCTCTGATGTTTTTACATAAAATTTACACAATATAAACATAAAATAAAGCATAATTAAAGAAACTGATATCTTTTTCCTATCTCTTTCAAAATCCACTGAGTTAACTGGTAATCTATCTATACGGCCTATACGTTGACACATCTTATAATATAAGCCTTGTAATATTCCAACTAATTTCCCTGAAAAAAGGCACCAAAAGATCCATAATATAACACCCGATATTAATTTCATCTTGTTCTTATGTTATTTAAGCGTATTTATAGGCATCTTAGGATTTTTAATATTACTAAAGGTTAGTATAAGGTATACGAGCAGATCTTAGGCTTAAGAAAGGATAAAAAAGTGAAGAAATGACAAAAGAACATAAGAAATCTAAGAAAAGAAGACGTAGTGAGGTAGATGATAATGAAGAGGAAAAAAAAACGGGAAAAAAAGGTGAAAAGAAGGAGAAAAAAGAAAAGTTATTAGAAAAGTCAAGATTAAAACCAAAAAATCCATTTTATACATATAAAATCGAGTTATATGTCTCAATTCCTCCTATTTATTCAGGATCACCGATGAAGGGGGTTGAATATTATCTTGATACAATGATTTTGAACTATTTTCCAGATATACAAGGAATTATGCTTGCATATAGGAATTGTGAGTTTATAGAAGAAGCGGCAAAGATATATTATGAAAGTCCATTTGCATTTTCATGGGTTCGATTTGAAATGTTAGTATGGAAGGTTAAAAGAGGGGATTATTTAGGTAGAAATGTTTTAAAAGAAAAAAAAGTATAAATTGATTGAATAAGAGGGTATAATTAATATGCAATCACCATCACATATTGGTCTTTTAGTAAGTGGATTTTTTAATGCTTCTATACCAAAAAATGGGATTCCAAAGACATGGTTTTATCAAGAAATTATGTCACAAAAAGAAGTAGAACAAAATAAGAATGGATATTGGATAGATGAAGATAAGAAAGTAATTAAGATTGGGGATAGATTATCATTTTGGACAGTCAAGTAAGTTTTAAAGGAATTTTTATTAAATAATAAAAATCTAGACTTGAAACTATTGGAGATATCGTTAGTATAGAAGGTAGAATACAAAATGAAAAAATGTATAAATGATATAATATATTATAAAAATATTTGAAATAGATATTTGAATGATTCAAAAACGCTTTCAAGTACAAAGAATGTTTCTATCCTAATAAAATAAACCCTAACTCACTCCACAAATTTGCATTTAAAGTGTATATATAACCCTTCTTACATATCTAGTCAAAAAGATTGGCCCAATTATATAAAACAAAGATTATGGATTACTATAATACGTACGATATTCAGAAAAATGGGTAATATTAATTAGATCATCGTCGAGTTATCATCTTGCAAAACAGGTGTAGGGCTTAAATCCTTAATGAAACAAAACATGCCGTCTAAAGTGGAACCATCAATATTATTATTTGGGAATAAATCTGTAATAGGACTCTGAGAATCCCAAGCAGAATCCGAAGATGCATCATATGAACTTGACAGAATAGGAACCGAATCGAATGTTTCCTTATTATTGCAATCTAATGTCCAAGTATACTGAGAAAGTGGATTAGAGGACAAAAACTGCAACGCCTGATGATCAAATGATAAAGGATGTTCAGAGGATGATCCACTGCTTTGCGGCATTGTCAAATATTGATCCGATGTAGTTAATTCCGTAGATGTATCTAGTATCGAAGGCGAATCATGAATTTGCATATACAAATTCTCTGACGTCCAAAGATCAACCGATGGCTCATTTGCCATCAAATACGAATGCAACCCCATTAAAGCCGGCGCTGTACGCGAATATGATGTACATGATAATCCTGGATATGTTTCAGCTGTCCCATATGGATCTTGATTATATATGGGAAGATTCGATACATGCTTATTCGTTAATGTTGTTGTCGACACATTATTCGACCATGATGTAGTATCATGAAGATTCATATTAGAAGTAAGTCCCGGTGATAATGCACCAGGAAATTGAACCATCGAATTTAAATATGGCTGAGGCGACTCAATCGTACTAGGTGATTGTGGCGATGGCGACATCAAAATGGGTGAAATTTGCATAGGCGGATGAATCCGACTAACAAATTCACACGGATAATTCGCCTTAATACAATGCGTACATTTTCCATCCGGCCGTCCTTGGTCACCCGAACATCGGATTTTACGTCTCCGGCATCGTTGGCATGCAACGTCAATTCTTTGTCTCGGAGAATCCGAACTTTTAAGAGGAAGAGAACGAGAACGATATGGAAATTTAATAGTATCAAGAGTTCTCGTTTTAAACAAATTATTATCAATACCCATCTTCTTATTAATTGATAAAAAACCCGGCGTAATATTCTGTGACACCAATGTTTCACAAGCTGAATGAAAAGTCATATAGCTTTTCCCTTCAATTTATGCTTCTTTCTTATTTCTTATTATTTCTTATATGGTTTTACGCTTTCACGGTTTTTTTTTTAAAATACTCTTTTTCCGTTATAAAAAATATTGAATAGTAACCCTCGCTTTCTTATACTTTATTACACACTCTTATGACACTATCCCTTACACTCTCCCCCTTTTAATACTTTTTAACTTTCTTGAGTCCTCCTGAGCCTATTATTATAAAATCTTATTTATGATTTCCTCTTGAAATGTGTGTTTTTAAAATATCTGCTTTGTAAAAACACCTTATTTAGTTTGGAAGAAATGTGATTTTTTTTTATATTTTTTGTTAGATAATTTCTACTTGACCGGATAAAGATAAAATTTCACGTAAGTTAGATGAGTTAAAAATACATAAATATGAAAGGAAAAAAAAAGAAGATATTTAATAGTATTAATTTAGAATAATTAAAGATATTTTAAGTGAAATAGAAGGGATTAATTAATAAGAAGTAAAGGAGAAGTAAAGGTATATAAAGAGATAAATATATATAAAAGACAAAGAGGGAGCGCCACTTAACTTAAAGAAGAAGATATATATATAGGGTTAGGAATGGATTTTTTTAGTGGTAAACAAAGATGGTAAGTTTATTGAAAATCTCCATATTTTGAATAAGTTAAGCATTTTCTAAAAATGAGGGGAAAGAGGGGGATCAGGAAGGGTTAAAAGAAAAAAAGTAGGAATTTAAGTGAAAAGAGAAAGGGTTGAAAAAAAAGATTAGAAATATGATAGAAGAAGTGAAGTATATAATAAAAGGGATATATAAGTAGAATTTAGTATTAGAATAGATTAAAAGAATAATAATAAGAATTTTTTAATAAGGTGTAATTTTTAAAGAAAAAGAGATAAAAATGAGAGGATTAGAAGAAAAAAGAATAATATAAGCTAAAAAGTAGAAAAAAAGAAAACAATATGTTGTAATAGGGATAATGAAAAATGATATTATTAATCGAAAAGCTAAATAAGGCGCTTTCCTAATAAGATTAAATTTTTAGGGTAGTTAGTTAAGAAAATCGGGTTAACCATGAATTTTTATAAATGAACGTTATATAACTTATCTTATTTAAGAAACTAATACAGTGTATCAATAATATAGTTTCCTAATAAGGTTTAAATTAAAAAAATGATCTCCTTTTTAGATTATATAATCGTAATCCTTTTAGAATGATTTTTTCTAAAAGGAAGATATAAGAATATTTTATTAAAATGTTTAGTAAATTATATCAGAAAAATATGTAAAAGAATTGTCTTAAATAATAAGGCAAATATGTATATATGTATATGTATTTATTATATTTTTTTATTTAAAGAAAATTTAAGTCGAAATTTTTCTAAATACAAAGATAGAGTTTTATATAGAAAGGTTAGAATTTATTTTATAGTTAAATGAAGAATCTTTGATTACTAAAGCCTTTTATTCTGCTTTATTTTTTGTATATCTGTAGATTCTTTAATAAATTTAAAAAAAAAATTTATAGAGCAATGAAATGATCGTTGATGATTTAAAGTTTTTGCTACGAGAAACGGAGAAAAATAAAGTTTTTTGTTATTTATTTTTTTATTTATATAAATAATTATCTTTTTTTATCATAAAAATGAAGTGAATTTTGAAAAATTAATGATAAATATGAATTGTTTTTATCAAGATCTTATCAACTAAATATAACTAAACTTTTTTTTTTTTTAGAAAAAAGAAGTACAAGTTCTTTTTTATTAAAATATTTTTCTTTTAGTAAAATTGAATTCCTTTTAATAAAAGATATTTTTTCGAATAAGATTTTATAAATTCATATTTTTATTATTATGCAGCTTGATTTATCCTTGGCTGGTCTTTTAGCTTGAAGGAAATAAGAAAATGTATTTAATTGTAATTGAAATAGTGTTATATATTCAAAGATCAAACATATATTTCTATATCTTATCTTTACACTTTTTTAATACAATAATTCTTTATTAGAAATCAATAAAAAATAAAAACAAGCTTTTTATTTCATAAAAAAACATATTAGACAATATTATATAATGTTAAAGTTAGGAAATTTATTTTAGAATTTTTTCAATTATCTAATATAATATGAACATGTTTTATCTGCTTTAAAATAGTTAAAAAAATCTATATCGTTTGATTTATAATGGTAATTTAATCTCATTCCCAACTAAAAGTAAATATAAGTATATACCTAATCACTATTTTTAAATAAATATTTTCTAAAACATTAATTAAAAAATAATCTTATCTGACATTAAGATCATTATATATCTTCAATCTAGAGATGAACCCCATATCAATGACTTGATCATTTATACTTTTCATTTTATTTATCTTATTTTCGACTAATATAAAAAATTGAACTGATTGTATTTTTATTTCAATTCATTCAATAATATAATAAAAAAGAAAATTATAAAAATTATGATCAAAATCTATCATGTCTTAGCGTATATAAGCATTTCATGTATAATTTAAACCTCTATTAATCAATTGAAAATAATGCCTATGAAATATGTTTTTATTTTATCATTAAAGATCCAAAATCATAAATCAATGTCTTTATAACATATCACTATCACTATCAAGGACTTAATCTGACATTTCTCAAAATTTATCTCAAATATTATCTATTAATAATTCAAATTATCTTTTAATTGAGCCAATTGAGTTTATCATCTCTATATTTCTATAGAAATATTTCGAAATAAAAATTTTATTCTTATGCCTTCCCTTAATCCAATTATGAACAACATTTAATTTCCCTCTATTTCTATTCATCGTTGATATACATATCATAAAGATCTTCATTTCCATATATTTCTTATAACATATATTTATAATATATTAAATATATATTATATTTTTTTATATTTTATTTCCTGAATAACATAAAATCCTATATAATGACATATTAAACGTCCAGATCATTGAATCTTTATCAAAAAAAGCCATCTTTCTGTTTTTTTTCCACTTGTTCATTATTTAACCAAATTTTACCAAATTACAACATAATACTGGAGATTTAACTCAAACACTATTTGACTTATTTTAATTAATAACTTCATTCAACTCCCTGTTTTATGTGTTAGAAATCCTTTTTTCAATAACTTTTTTCCGCTCAAATATTTTATATAGTAATAATTATATAAATCATATCATTATAAAAGTACAGATAATTAGATTTAAAGTGTCTAGAAGGATTAAAAATACATTTCTCTCCTATTCTTAAACAACAATTATCCTTGTTTTTTTTAACTATATTAATTTTTTTAATAAAAAATAACAAAAAATCTTATTTTTAATAAGAAAATAGACATTCATCTATTATCTTAATAATACTTGATGTTTATTATTCTTATATTTTATCTTTATTATATATATTTTTTCTTAAATACTCGTAAGCTTTATATTTTAGTTTTTAATAAATCTTAAGGTCTGAATGTTAAAAAAACATGAAAAGCTTAAAAATACAGGAGATTTCTTAGTTAAAAAGGAGTATTTAAAGGATTTATTAAGAAAAAATATAGAAAAGACTGTATTATTGGATAAATAGCTAAAAAATCCGGGAAAATTTGGAGAAATATAGAGAAATATATAAAGAAATATAAATAATAATATTAAGAATATGTTAAGGGATGAGAGCGAACAAAACGCGCATAATTGTGAAGAATCAGTAGAACCATATGAGATATTTGATGATGAATATGAGAATTCAGTTCAAAGCGTTGATTCAGATGATAGTTTGATTATTTTTACAAAAGAAGCGTAAACTATTTTTCTTGGTGAAACAGTCGTTTTTTAACGTTTAAAAGTCCATATACTGATATTTTATCAAACAAGACGCTTAAAGATGAGCAATCAGTTGAAGAAATTGGTCAAGAAAAGAGACCGCCGCAAAAAAATAGGTAGAATATGATTATTAATAGTTTCTATGATTTTCTTAATAAAAAAGCGTAAAATGTCAATCATTGTTAGAAAATAAGCAAAAGGAAACATTAGGAGTACCGAGTGATGTATCTATTTTAACACCATATTCAGTAGAAGAAATACCAGACTCAGAAGATAGCGATTCGGAAATAATTTTAGAAAATAAAGAAATAGAGCCTCCAAAGGCGTATATAGATAGAAATAATATTTTAGTACAAAGTAATTTGGGATACTTTGTTAACCCGGAACATAAAGCTGTTATAAAAGATCAAATGACTACAAAAAATGAATTTTTAAAATATCCAGATCGACCTTTACCTTGGAAAAAGCCGGAAACTCTTGGTACATCGAGTAATCCAATAGATCTTTCGGAAGATTTGTCAGGACAGATATATCATGCTCCTCTTTCTTATTCAAGGAATGAATATCAGAACCCTATGTTTCAAGGATCAAATATTTCATCAGCGTATTCACAAGTACCGGACACTAATAAGGAAATAATGGCACTCTTTGATAATATATACTCAATGAATGAATCTAAAATTAGAGAAGGGACACCAAAAAGATTACTTCCTACACTTATGGAACATCAAAAGATTGGCTTGAGTTGGATGAAAGAAAGAGAAGAAGGAACTAATAAAGGAGGAATTCTGGCGGATGATATGGTATGGTTATTATTTTTATTTCTTTTTATAATTTTATTTTAGGGTCTTGGGAAAACAATACAAGCGTTGGCACTAATTGTTTCGCAAGATGAAAATAAAATAGGAACTACTCTTATATGTACTCCAGTATCTCTTTTGCAACAATGGGCTCGAGAAATCCAGACCAAAACCAAACCTCCTCTTAAAGTATATATACATCATGGTAACTCTAAACGTATAATTCAACCATCTGAACTAAATAAATATGAAATTGTTCTTACTACATATGGAACTGTTGCACGTGATCACAACACTCTTATTAAACTCCAAAAGGAATCTGATCATTCCAAGTATATGCTTTATAAGCCTGCATTTACTTTATTAGAACATCATTGGCACCGAATAATTTTAGATGAAGCACAAGTAATTAAAAATAGACATACTTTATCAGCTCAAAGTTGTTACAAACTTCAAGCTACTTATCGTTGGTGTTTAAGTGGAACACCAATGCAGGTATGATTATTGAACATTTAATTTTAGTTCTAAATATCTATAAGAATTCTATAGACGAACTTTATTCATTGATATGTTTTTTACGTATTAAACCATATGATGATTGGTCTGCATTTTCAAATCATTTTTCTAAACACTTCAATAGATATTCTTCTTCTAATGATATCATGAAATCTATGAAAAGATTACAAGTATTGTTAAAAGCTACTCTCTTGAGGAGAACAAAAGCTTCTACTATTAATGGAAAACCCCTTTTAACATTGCTCCCTAAAAGCGTAGAATTGGTTTACATCATATTTAGTGACGAAGAACAAGCATTTTATAAAAAACTCGAAGCAGAGTCACAATTACAAGTAACTCAATATGTTAATGAAAATATCCTTGGTTATCATTATACAAATCTGCTTGTCCTTTTGTTGCGTCTTCGTCAAGCATGTGATCATCCATGGTTAGTTAAAACTAAAGATTCGATCGAAATATCAGAAAACGATTTAGAAGATCAAGAAAAGCTTGCTCGTGAAATATTTTCTCAACAAGTTCAGAATATTCAAAGACTTAGAGATTTCGAATGCCATGTTTGTTATGAAGTTATTCTTTCACCGAATTTTATTGTACCATGTGGACATTATTATTGCAGAGATTGTATTATTAGAGTAATAGATCAAAGTCAAAAAACTTCTATTATGAATGGCAATACTTCATTAGATGCTCGATGTCCGGAATGCAGATGTATATTCAATATGAAAAAAGTTATTGACTTTTCAGTATTTAAAAAAGTTTACGGTTGGAATTATGAACTTAATTTTATAAAAGAACATAATAAAGTTTCTGATGAAGGTGATACTGATGATGAAGATCTTACCGTTATAAAAGATAAAGGCAAACAGAGGGTTGTTATCGATAATAAAGTTACCGTCAACGATTTAGATGTAAAATTAGCATGGAAAAGGATATTTAATCATAAATTTATTAGACAAACAAGAAATAAATTCCAACAACATTTGCAGAAAAATAATGATCAATTTAAATCCTCTACAAAAATCGATAAATGCATTGAAATATTAGACAAAATAAAACACAATAATAGTTTAGAAAAAACAATTGTTTTTTCTCAGTTTGTAGAATTTTTAGATCTTCTAGAGATTTCTCTTCTTGTAAAAGGATACAAAATATTACGTTATGATGGACGAATGAGTGCAATACATCGTGATCAATCAGTATTCATGTTTGACCAAGATCCTACACATACTGTCATGTTAATCTCCCTTAAAGCAGGAAATTCTGGCTTAAATCTTGCCTCCGCTTCACAGTAAATATCAATTCCTATCTTTTTTTTTTTTCTTATATTTACTTATTTTAGATGCATTTTACTCGACCCATTTTGGAATCCCTTTCTAGAAGAACAGGCTATCAATCGTATACATAGAATTGGACAAACAAAACCCGTCCAAATTTATAAATTAGTCGTTAAAGGAACCGTAGAACAAAGAGTTTTAGATCTTCAAAAACGTAAACGTGATCTCGTATTTTTCCTTTCATTTACTCATTTATTTTATTAATAAAATTAGATAGAAAACGCTCTAGAAGAAAACGCTAGTATGCAAATAAGCAGACTCAATAAACAAGAATTATCCTTTTTATTTGGCCTCGAAAATACTTAATTTTATATTATCCTCTTTTTTTCACTTTTTATATTTCAACTATTATTTTACACAAATAACACTCTTTACAAATATTCTCTTCTATCATTTTTCTCTACTCAATTCTATTCTATTCTATTCTTGCACTTATATATTCTACTTATTTCACACAAAACATCTCATACACAAATAAACCCCTCTTATCCCTAATTACTACCTTATTTCTATAATTCCTTGCTTTTTTTCTACTTCCTCTTTTTCCACATACGCCTTGCCTTTAGTTTCAATAAAATTTTTTACCGACGGGAATTATTTCAACCAATTTATTATTTTTATAAAAAAAATAAAGAGGTATTGGAGTTGGAGGATATTTTAAGGAGTTTCTTAAGGATATTTCTATTATTTCTATATATTTTTTCTTTATAGTGAATTTTTTGTGAGGAAATTGGGATAGTTTTGGATCAAAGTTATAAAGAGTTAATGTTAAGGCAATTTTAAAGATAAATTAGGAGGGAAATAGATATTTATAAGGGATGTCTTTTAACTATGATTATGGCAAAGGGAATACGCCGTCAAGTTCGGTATCAACTGCACCAAGTCAGAATAACCAAATAGTACCGCCAACAAATGTATCGTCACCTACCTTTCAAACATCAAATGCAGTATCACAGAATATAAATAATGGGCAAATTCCGGCATCACAATCACCATTGCAAGGGGAGAATAAGACTGCACTTTGGTACATTTTTTTTTTATAATATTTTCTTAATAATATATAAGGATGGGAGAACTTGAGCCATGGGTAGATGAAGCGTTTATTCGTCAAGTTTGGTTTAATTTAGGTGAACAAGTAAATGTAAAAATGATACGTGATAAGTTTTCTGGGCATGTTTTAATATATTTTTTAAAGTGATTAATGGAGGATATAGTTCGAATGCTGGTTATTGTTTTGTTGATTTTTCAAGTACTGCGGCGGCATCAAAGGCTCTTTCATTAAATGGGACGATTATACCGGGAACTACTCGGTTATTTAAGCTTAATTGGGCCTCTGGAGGTGGTCTTTCAGATAGAAAGTATAAAAATCTATTTTTATAATTGATAGGGTATTAAATTAATTTTTTAGGGATGATCGTGAGCCGGAGTTTTCTATTTTTGTTGGTGATTTAGGTCCAGAAGTTAATGAATATTTGCTTGTATCTCTTTTTCAAAGTCGGTATCCATCGTGTAAATCGGCAAAAATTATGACAGATCTTGTATCTGGAATGTCAAGAGGTTGAGAAACTATTTGTGTATATTTTTTTTATATATATTGATGTAATTATTTTTAGGTTATGGTTTTGTTCGATTTTCAGATGAAATGGATCAAAGACGTGCTCTTACAGAAATGCAAGGTGTATATTGTGGAAATCGTCCTATACGTATTTCTACAGCAACACCTAAAAATAAACCAGGGATGAACCATATGAGTATGATGCATATGGGTATGGCTCCTTTGGGTTATTATGGAGCGCCTCAACCTATGAATCAATTTACAGATCCTAATAATACTACTGTTTTTGTTGGTGGTCTTTCAAGTTATGTTACTGAAGACGAATTACGTAGCTTTTTTCAGGGTTTTGGTGAAATTACATATGTAAAAATTCCTCCTGGTAAAGGTTGTGGTTTTGTTCAATTCGTACAAAGACATGCTGCTGAAATGGCTATCAATCAAATGCAAGGTTATCCTATTGGTAATTCTAGAGTTCGTCTTTCATGGGGAAGAAGTCAAAATAATTCAGGACCTATAGGTACACCTTACAGGTATGTTTTCTTTCTTTTTTTCACATTATTTTCTTATTCATATATTTATCTTTAGACCTAACCCTCCTCCTCCTGTTCCCTATGCATCTTTAGGACTTCCACCTCAACATGCTTATTCTAATTTTGCTCCTATTAATCCTAATGCAGCGCATATGCATCCACCACAACAACCAGGACAACCATTACCTGCACAGCCAGGACAGTTGTCGGGCTCACAAAATCCCATGGATCCCATTCCAGTAACTTTATTGAATGAATTATATTCTGCTACACGAAACGCACGACTAGATAGATTAGAAGCTGATAGGAGCAGTTTCCATGGCGTCTATGCTCAATGATTTTATTATCTATTCACTCAAATATAACTAACTTGTTTTTGTTAACTTTTTATTAATTTTATACGGCTCTTTTTGTTATTTTGATTGATGACGATAAGGAAATTGTACTGGATTTTGATAAACTTTGTTCTCTTATTTACAATTTATTTTTTGTCTTTGTTTTTAATTTTGTATTTTACTCTTTAGACAATTTATTTAAATAGTATTGTTTTAATGCAATACTTTACATATATATTTGTATATATTAATATATATTATTTATGGTCTATCTATCTCTTTATCTATCTCTTTATCTACACCTTAATATTTTATGTTTCGATTAACCTTATCTAAGCAGAGTTAAAAATAATCAATTTTTAACTAATAATAAACTAATAAAAAAGACATTAAATAGAAAGATATTCATAGAATTATTATAAGGATGCGTTATGCAGACTTTGATTGCTTAATTTTTCCTTTAAACCGGAGGGTTCCTATACCAGAGTTCCGGACATCATTCTGTTTGACGCATGATCCAGACCATATAACGGCATTAAATAACCACCAAAAGTTCTTAAATAGCCAAGTAAATTCGGATAATCTTGGTATAAATTCAAATACGAATTTATTTGATACATATACCACGTTAACGCTTCCAACGGTTACAACGTTTATTCCATGTCTTTCACCGTCGGATCCTATGAAAATATCATTGCATTCATGGACGTTACCACATATATCTAGACCGATGGCATCGATGCCACCTGAACCGGAAGAAAATGTTGCATATATACCTATGTTTGAGGCGCGGGTGTATATTGATGGAATACCTATTACATATCAGCTTATGTTACCGCATTCTAAATGGCCGATTGTTATTGATAGTTATAACGGTGTGTAATAAAGGAAATATTTTTATATGATTGATTTTTTTTTGAGATCATAATAATACGTCTCACAGATTTTATTTTCCATGTCATAAATTGGAAAATATATCTAGTCTTACGGGATATGCAATACCGCCTGATTTTTCATCGATTAAAGTGATTTTATCAGAAGGATGGTTGAAAACACGTGAAAATGTTCGACCATTATTTAAACGAGTTCGTAACATTGTATGCTTTATGTTTCAATATACAGAATCAGGTAATTCTTTTTATTATAAGGAATTTTTGATAAATATTTTTTAGAACTTTTAGAAGCATCAGGTATTTCTTATCCATCCTTTCGTCCTGTTAACAGCTATACTCTTTCATGCTTTTCACCTAATTCATATTTAAACTATCAATCAAACGATGTACCTCTTCCGCTTCCCAACAATAATTCACCTCAAAGTTCTCTTTCTGATACAAATTTGCAAATAACAACTAGTGTTGAAGATCAAATCGAAAATGTTACACACTTTAATCCTTTACCTTCTTCATCTTTCGATTTAAACAAATCACAATTCACCATACCAATCAATACTCAACCTTTTTCTGATTCTTTATCTGAAAATACTACATCAATTATTCATCATATCGATTCTGGCTCATCTTACAATATTTATCCTTCTTTAATTCAATCTCAAAACGACTTATCTTTAGATACTAACTCTAACGAAAATAAAGAAAACACTTCAAATACTCAAAAATCCCCACGTAAAACGATAATACGCTCTTCTCTTTCAAAAAGTCCTACCAAATTAAAAAAAGATCTCAAAACTCCAAAACGCTCTCAGCTTCTTAAAGAAATACAGTTACAAGGAATACAAACTTAGCTTCCTCATTCCATAAACATATCATTCACAATTTATTCTTCTATTAAATCAATTATTTATGCTTTCATATTCTTCTTTTCTATTTAATACATTTTTTTTTTTTACTATCCTTATCTACTATTTTTCTGATAAGCCTTATCGCTTACCTTAATTTAAGCTTGATGATTCATACAAGTTTAATCAAGAAAAATACAAAGATTAAGCTCTCTAATGACGTTGATAAGAGCTCTATACGTGAAATTGAAGCTCTTTTATCAGCAGTTCCAAGTCTTGAAGAACAATACCATGTTTTAAAGCTAATTGGTTATGGTACGAGTATTTAAAGGCGAAAAAAGGCCTATAATTATGTGGAATAGGGACTTTTAGCTGTGTTTTTAAAGCAATTGATTTGAAATATCATGAATATGACAATTCTTCATGGGAAAAAGGAATTAATAGTCTAAGATATTGTACAAGACTTTCAGTGCAGCAAACACGTTATGTGGCAATTAAGCAGATCTATCCAACACAATCAAGTCATAGGATTGTGAAGGAGCTTAAAATACTTAATGAATTAAAGTAGAAATGAAATATTATCTTTTGAAGATAATTTAATTGAATATATAGAGGTAAACCATCAGTAACATGTGCAATTACGGCATTTCGATATCAGGGTAGAAATATGTCTAGATATGAATGTATTTGTAATGAATTTTAGATCAAGTGTTGATTGTTTTGCCATATATTATGCATTCTGATTTTAGGGAATTTTATCTAAGTTATACATTATCAGATGTTTCAATTTATATTCGTGAGCTTTTCCGGGCATTAAGCTCTGTTCATGAGCTTTCAATTATTCATAGGGATATTAAGCCGGCCAATTTTTGTTGGAATCCATTTTCTAAAAAAGGATCTCTTGTAGATTTTGGATTAGCACAAGTAAATATGTGATTTTTATGAATAAAATGATTTATATGAGTTCAGTGGGAAAATGAATTTGATACATCATGCACTTGCAGTAAAAAATATATGTCAAATAATCCAAGTTTTCTTGATAAGGAAAATATGGAGTCATTTAAATTATTAGAACCGAATAATGCTTATATTAAGAAGGATTTAAGGTATATTAAATACAATTGTTGTATATTTAATATTTGAAAGGCCATGCAAAAGAGGAGAAAGAGGAGGAACAAGAGGATTTAGGGCACCTGAAGTTCTTTTTCGTTGCAAAAGTCAACGTTGCGGTATTTTCTAGATATATCAATTTACTAATTATTTACTAATATTTAAGCAATTGATGTTTGGTCAGCAGGAATTATTCTTTTGATTTTTTTCATTAAGAGATTTCCTCTTTTTCAAAGTGAAAATGACATAGATGCACTTGTTGAATTAACACATATATTTGGTCGGCAAGAAATGAAAAACTGTGCTCGGTTACATGGTATATACATATATATACATCTCAATTAAGCTATTTATTTACATTTTAGATTGTTCTTTTGATGATAATATACCTTCAGTTCCTGATTCAAGAATTGCTTGGTGGCAATTAATCAAAGTATTTTCAATTAATGATAATTATTCAATATTTGATGGAGAAGATAACTTAATTGTTAATTTTGCATTAGATTTTCTAGAAAAATGTTTAACACTTAACCCTTCTGAAAGAATTCAGTCAAAGTCTGCTTTACAACATCCTTTTTTGAACTTCGTTTAAGTAGGATCATATTTTTGATTTTTTTCAACACAAATTATACACAATTATATAAGTATTTTTATGAATTTATAGGAACAATATATGCACCTAGGCTTCCACCTCCTCCCCAGTCTTTTTGAGGTATTAAAACAAGGTTAATATCTGTTTCTTTACTATCTATTTTTCGAACAACTAATATTTCTATTTCTTTCTAAACTAGTTATTAAATATTAATATTTATATCAATTTTTATACATTTTCTGATGCCTGAACAAGTCGTGAAACTGCTGATATTGTATCATGACTTCCTGCATGAACCGTACCAAATTTTTTGATTAAATCACCTAATAAAATACTTCAAAAAACATACCAATACATACTTAATACCTTCCTTCATGAAGCCCTGCCAAATAAGCCGGTGATTTATGCATAATATAGTTAACCTTTGCAAAAGGCCTATAAATAGGCTCTTGAACAATTGAAGGTCCATTTAATACATGAATATCATGAAGTATAGTCTCCATACTATCTGTTAATTCCCGATAATCATTTCTAAGCCTGTTTATTCGTGCTCTTGCCATTCGTACTTAAAAGGTTTATAACATATGGAGAATATATATAAGAGTCTACCTTCAACAATATTTATATCAGACCTTGGAAAGCCTTCTTCATCTATTAAAGACGTCTCCATATTAACATTATTCTTTAAGATATATTAATGTTTAAGGCTATATAGTTCTAAGAAAAACCTGAGATAGCACTTGACTTAATGATTGAAGCTCTTGTTTAATATCATCTATACGCTGAAGAATATCTTTAAGTTCAGCAGGAATCTGAGATGACTCAGTATTTATAAGGATTCCCATAAAATAAGGCTATAAATAATGTTTTCAAAAAAATTAATATAAAGGTATATACAACGTAAAAAACTATATATAAATCAATGTCGACAAAATGTATTTTCTAGATCTAAATTAAAATCACCATTCATCAGAACAACCTTCGATAGTTATAAAATCTAACATATATTCATCAATATGTCTGGGTTCAGGCGTTGAATGGGTATTCGTATTATATAAATCATTATATGTTGATACATAATGGTTTTCTTGTGTTGTATTTGCAATATTAGATTTTTGTATAGTTTGAGATGTATTTTTTGTAAGATCTTGATTAGAAATAATGGTAGTTGGTTCAGCGAAATCAATAGCATCGGTATTCATTTCATGACTTGCGATTTTAGCAGCAATAGCATCATTTTCATCTTCAGTAGCCATTAACATACGTTCTAAGTTTTTTTCATTTTGTAAAGTATCATCAGTTTTAATATTTGCTTGAATAATATCACGCCAATTAATTTTATTTAAGTGATCAGTAGTAAAATAACCTTCTCCAATAACTAAATTGTCCAGTATTCGCTTTTGATTTGCTTTTAATAATATATTTTCTTCAATAGTATATTCAGATACAAACCGATAGATATGTACATCTTGTGTTTGCCCAATACGATGGCATCTAAAGTAAATGAAATTAGATATATACTGTATTAATAATATAAAATTACCTGTCTTGGCATTGTCTGTCCATAGATGGGTTCCAATCAGAATCATAAAAAATCACTGTATTTGCACCTGTTAAATTAATACCTAAACCTCCGCTCCTTGTGCTCAAAATGAAAACAAATATTCTTGAATCATTATTAAATCTTTCGGTTAGGATCTGACGTTGTTCAACTTTAGTAGCACCATCTAGTCTTAAATATTTATATCCATGAATATTTAAAAATTGCTCTAAAATATCCAATACACGTGTCATTTGTGTAAAAATAAGTGCTCTACAGTTCTTTGCTTGAAGCTCACGAAGAAGTACAACAAGTTTTTGTAATTTTCCACAATCATATTGAAGAAGTCTTTTATCTGGAAATGCAATAGATAATCTAACTTGCATTGGATGAAGAATATTTGTATATTTTTGTTGAATTAAGTTTAATAGTGGTTGTGAAATTCCATGCAGTAAAAATGAATTTAAGTCTGTAGCAACGACTCCAGGTGTAACACATGAATACTTTTGTAATAATATATCCATAGAATCAATCCTTTGTTGGAGATCCAATACTGCTTCTGACAAAAAGTTACTAGTTTTCCAAAAAAGATTCATAGTATCTTCGGGTTTAGTTTTTTCTTTCATATTTAATATTTTATTAGTTGAAATATAACAAAATTGAATCAAGCCACTGCCATATATTGAATATGATTGACATCGCATATGATTGAGATAATTAAAATGCTGAATTTTTTGAAGTTTTGAAATTTTTGTTCTTTGAATAACATAATTTTTATATTCTTTAAAGTTATAATAATTTTCTGAAACAGTATAGTCTATAGTAGATTTTAAAGATTCTATATATTCCAATATTTCGTTATTTGCACAATGTAATCGTATTTCATTCATCATTATATGTGATTTGTCTTCATTCTTTACAATAATAAGATTTAAAAAGTCCAAATTCAAATTGTAAAATGGATCTTGATCCAATAAACGTTTGCGAATAAGAAAGTCTTTAATTTCAAAATCAGCAACAACAGAACGTGACATAGCAAATGACGTTACAATAGGTCGAATCTCAAATAAATCAGGATGGTTGCAAACTTTTCTCAATTGCATCAAGCAATTAATAATACTAAGAAAATTTCCTGATGCTAAAGTTTCTTTTGTTTTTGCTCTTGACATAAAATCATCATAAAGATAACGTTGTCGTTTGGATAGACGACAATAAAGTATGTGTTCATATTTTTTAGGCATTTGTTTTTCAACATCAGCTTTAAGTCGGCGCAGAAGATATGGTCGTAAAAGCTGATGAAGCTTAGATATCTGATTTTGAACATCACTATCGACAGTATCATTGTTATTTTCTATCATTCTATCAATAGGTTTAGAGAACCATTCCTGAAAATCTTTTAAATTAGCAAAATCAATTGCCATTGATTCTGATAACCCATGTGGCATTAAAAAATATAAAAGAGACCACAATTCAGCAAGATTATTTTGCAATGGTGTTCCTGTTAATAAGAGACGTCTTTCTGTATTGAAATTCAATAATACTTTCCATCTTTGAGAACGGAAATTTTTAATATTATGAGCTTCATCTAATATTAAATAATGCCATTTTTTTCTACGAAAAGGTTGCTGATCATGAATGACAAGTTGATATGATGTAATACAAATATGGAATGTATCCGGCTTATACCATCCTTTCCTTTTATTTTTACGTTGATTCAAATTACCATAATATGTTAAAACCTTAAATCCTGGTGCAAATTTACTAAATTCCATTTCCCAATTTAACATAACACTTGTTGGTACGACTATAAGATGAGGTCCCCAAATTTCTTTTTCACAGGCCAAATATGATAATAATGCAATAGTTTGAATTGTTTTCCTAAAAAAAAGCATTAAAGAAAACAAACAGAAGAAAAACAATTACCCTAATCCCATTTCATCAGCCAAAATCCCATTGACTGAATTCGAATAAAGACCAACTAGCCATTCTAGCCCTGCATATTGATATTCACGAAGTGTACCACGAAGTAAAAATGGAATAGGGATTTTCTGTTGAGATTTTTTATTATCAGAAATAGATCCATCATTTATCTCATTTTTATCACATGTACTTAAGCCTTCTGCTTCTAAATCAGAGGATGATTTTTCAGAGTTTGTTAATTTTTTATCAATTTCTTTTATGTTATCATCATTAGAATTCTGAGTTATATAATCATCTTTTTCTCCTTCCTCATCATCGTATTCTTCTGCTTCTGAGTCTTCAACATCAATTGAACTATAAGTATTAGATTCTTTACTATTAGCTGAAGCAGGTAAAGAATTTGCTTGTATATTTTCATCCATATAAAGAAAAGCTAATCCAGGCCCTTCTTCATTGCTATCATATTCACTGTCTTCATCATATTCTGAATCCATAGTAGTATCAGTCTCATCAATTTCATCTGTTTCATGAGAACTTTCAAAATCTCTTTCGCAAGAAGCTCTATCACTTTTATCGCTATGTTGAATGTCATCTTCAATGAACGATATATTACCAGTCGTACTCGATGAGTTTGTATCTGAATCGGCTTGACTTTTGTTGGACTCGTCATCAGTAGAATTATTTGAATCATTCATTAGCTGATTAGAAATAATTGAATGTTTAATTTTCAAATTTTCTGAAGGCAATTCATCATCTTCAATACAAGATATTTTATGACGATATTTTTTATTAGTAGAATCATGTTCCTTGGCGTTATTTTCATAACCATTTATATTAAAATCTTTAATATTTTTCGTTTTCTGGTTTTGAGAATCAGAACCCTGTCTAATTCCTTCCCTTTGAGCTTCAAGAAGTTGTGCAGAATGTTCAAGAATCTTGTTTAAATGCAGCTTCCCTACTTTTCTTTGCTCTTCTTCCAACTTTTCCATTCTTCTTCTTCGAACTTCCTATTAAAAATTAAATCATATAACCTTATACAAAAAATAGGATAACCTTTTCTATAAGCTTCCATTTTTTCTTAACTTCTAAAGATGTCTTTTTAGCTAGTTGTCTTATCTTCTTTTCAGCCTCTTTTTTTTCTTTCTCATCTGCCCCAGAAAGTCTTTTAAAATACGATATTATCATCCCAGATATCTTTCTAGCTCTAGATATGTTGGTTCTCCTTTCATTAGCAACAAGTTTAGAGAAATATATAGCATGAGAAATAAGATGATCTAAATGATCAAGTGTACGAACTGGTTCAATTGATTTTTTAATCATTAAAGCTGATGATTTGCATAAAGATCCTTTTAATTTTGCTTGTTCTATTTTATTAAGAAGTTTTGCCTCTATTTTAGCCAATGAAGGCGCTGTATTAACTGGAATCTCTTCGTTATTAAGAATTAAAAATGATGACATATAATCATCAAGAGAATCATATTTCTTCATCAATAAAACATGAAATGGATGTGTAATAATAGGTGACGGCACTTTAACTTTAATTTTCAGTGTTGGAAGACGACGATTAGGATCTAAAATTGTTAATTTTTCTGAAAAAAATAATATAATAATAGAAGCAAACTATATGTATCTACAAATTCTGGACTTTTATCCTTGCAACTTATATCTGAACCATCACTTAATGATTCATATTTTAAATTAGTAAATTCTTCTCCATTGATTTTTTTAGGGTCTATATATTCCTTAAATACATAATTTCATTATTTATTCATAATATTACCTTCATTTAACTCTGAAATATTCGTTTTTTCTCCCTGTAAAAAACAATATGACTCCTTCTCCGAATTATTAGATATATCATTATTTTCTTCACAAAACTACTACTATATTAATTTATTTATTTTATATTATTTAACTCATAACCTTTCTATCATTTTCGCTATTATCTTGACTTTCTTCCTTAGAATTACATTCATTAACCTTATTAAACTTTTCTAAATCATATAATTGACAAATTCTATCATCTTGTTCATAATAATTATTTTTTAATTTTTCTTGACCTTCTGTGTTTACACTATCATAAAATTCTATAATATCCGACTGATCAACACATCTTTTCTTATTATCTTCTTCTTCTATGTCATTCTTCCGCTTTTTTCCAACTGACATTCTTGAAATATAACTTAACACTGATTCTCTAAATTTACATGTTAAATGTTATTTTTCTATTTATATCTCCTCCTTTATTATTCCTTTATAAAACCTGTTTCATCTTTAAGATACTTAACAGTTTCTTTATTAGAGCTTAAACATTTATTCTAATAATAAATAGACTTGGATATTTAAATTCTTATGTATTTCATGTTGTAAATTTAAATTACGATTAAACAATTTTAAATTTAAAAAAAAGTAAAAATAACACATAAATTGGTTTTTAAATAAATAAGGGTTACTTTATACTTTATGAGAGGAAAAATATTTTTTAGACAGACATTTTTAAGCAGAGTTATAACGCCAATACAAAGACATAGGAATGTTTATTTATGCTATAATGGAGTTAAATCAGTCTCGATTCATTCTAAAAGTGAAGATTCTATGATGGGAGATTATCCCAGTAATGTTCCTTTTATAAATAGACAAACAAGAAATCCATATGATCCGGAATACTTTGATGTAACAGAAAGACGTAAATTTGGGGAAACAGTTATTTTTTTTTGTTAATTTTATATAAAATTTAATTAAGAATAGTTACATGAACAGGATGAAATTCTTTCGATGTTTTCTATGGATATTCATCCTCATATTACGACAATGAAAGCTATTCTTCATTTATTTACATTTGGATTAGTTGTGGGTACAATTTGTTCAATTGCATATGTTTTCCGACCCAAACCACATGGAATACCTAGAGAAGATATCTTGAAAAAATTAGAAAGACCTTAATATCTTAAATACTGAAAAAAAATCATAAGTTTTTTTTATTTTTTAGGTTATGAATATATGAAGAAATATTTTTATAATAATTTCTACTATAAAAGGATATTTAATTATTACTTTTTTGATAAAAGATTAATAACATGGCATAATTATTTCATTTATTTGATATATGTTTGGCAAGGATTATTTTATGTTTTATAATACAATACTATTAGATATTTATTGTTGACAAGTATATATTATTCTTTTAAAAAGAGGATATACTCTAGGTTTAATTAAGATATTTTTTAAGTACTAATATAAAACTATATATTTCTGTATGTATTTTTTAAACATTATTAGAAATGTTTATATCTAAAATTTCGTTTTTTTTTTTTGAAATTAAAATATTAATCATATATATTATTATTATTATATTATTATTTTGATTTAAACTTTTAAATAAAAATAAGATGTTATTGAAATAATGGAAGATTCTTCATGTTCTGAAATATCAGATTTGCCATTTAATGAAGAAAGTATAAAAATTGATGAAAATAAAGAAACAGAAGCAGAAACACAAACAGAGACAGAAATTAGTAATTTAGAAGAACATGAAAATTTAATTAGGTACATTTCTATTTAAATATAATGGTATGTTCTTTATTTTAATAATATGAATAGATCTGTTAAGGAAAAACAAAAAGAATTATCCGGTATTTATATATAAAGATTATGTTATGTTCGATCTATTAAATTATGTAGATGTTTTAAATGAAATAGATAAAATAAAGGATGAATATAAAAAACTATACAATGAAAAGGAAATGATGAAAGAATATATTGGAAATTCAATGGAAATTAATAATAAAACAACTAAAAAATAGATATATTGTAGTATAAATATCTAAATATATATTTATTATAGTTTCGATATTTCTTGTATAGATAGTAAGTTTAGAGATATTTAAATTTCTGAAGGAGGTAATTCATCATCAATTACTTTAATCTATTTCAAAATAAATAATAATAACATATGTATAAAAGCCATACCAAAACAACTCGCATTTCTGTATGATCGTTTCCTCGTAATACATCACTAACAAAATGTGCTTCAACTTGAAGTTGTATCTATATAATTATATAAATAAAATTATTTTAAAAAATATAAGAATAACCATTTCTAATGCACCTTTGAGTACACCACATAAAACATTTGAATACCAAAGTTCATCTTGTGCTCTTCCATCATCTGGAAGTTCTACAAAATCTGAAAGAGGATTTTCATCAAAAATTAATGAAAATTGCTTATTATCTGGTGAAAAATTTGCAACTGTTGGTGTAATATTAAGAAAAAGTTTAAATCCTATCTAACTTTTTCAGAAATTTATATAATTTTCTATAAAATTAATGCCTTTGAAATCACTTCTGCTGTTTCACAAAAATCTTTGCATCTTCCTATATTTGTTCGTGCTAGAAAATCTTCAATTAATCGTACACCAATATTATATCCCCTATATTTTCTCAATTTTCTTTAATAAATACTTCTAGAAAATACATATTATCAAGTTCTTTATTGACTTGAGCATAATCATCATATTCTTTACATAATTGTGCCACAATTGACCCATATGTTAAAACAAATAATTCTGCATTCTATATTAATATTTTATTAGCTTATTTAATCCTTTTTTATATAGAAAAATATAAAAATACATACAACTTTCTCTGTTTTTTTCCAAAATTCCTCTCCAAGTCTTGTTTTTGACATATTTTAACTTTTTATATTTTTTTACTTTTCTCAATGTTTAACGTAACGATTATTAAAAATATTAAGATTTATTAATAAATTGTTAAGATTTGTTAAGATTTGTTAAGTTTATTAAGTTTATTTCTTAATTTTTATTTAGACTTGTCTTTAAAAGATTATAAGAATTTTTCTAACAGAAAAATTCTTAATTAAGTTTATATATAGTTCTATGGATAAGCGAAAAGATGCTCCATATGATGGAAAAGAAGATAAAATGCTTATGAAAAGAGTAAAGGTAGTCTCAGATGATGTTGTGAGTTCAAAAGATAAGCAAAATACGCTTATTGAGATGATACCGAGAACATCCGGATTAAAAGCACCAATTATGCAATTAACAGGACATCAAGTATATAAAGAAGAGAATATTTATATGAATATTTAGGTAATTATTTATAGGGAGAAGTTTTTTCATGTAAATTTGATTTGAGTGGACGATATATTGCTTCTGGATCGTTTGATCAGTTAATTTGTAAGTTTTAACAGGTTAATGTTATTATTTCGTTGTTAATTATTTTATTTATAATAGTATTATGGAATACATATGGTGACTGTTCAAATTTTGGGCAATTAAAAGGTCATAAGCGTGCTATTCTTGATTTACAATGGAGTCGTGACTCTCGAGTAATTTATTCAGCAAGTGCAGATCAAACTGTAGGAACATGGGATTTAGAAACAGGTCAACGTTTACGAAAACATACTGGACATGAAGATATTATTAATTGTATTGCAACTATAAGGAGAGGTACAGAGTTTTTTGCTACAGGTAGTGATGATACAACTATATCGGTAAAAAACCTTATAAATAAAAAAAAAACATAATTAATATATAAAGCTTTGGGATGGAAGACAAAAAAATGCTGTAGACTATTTCGATGCCGCTTATGCTGTAACTGCTGTTGCTTTTAATGAAGATGGAAGTCAATTATTTTCAGGTGGATTAGATAACGATATTAAAGTATTAAAAAATGATTTTTACACTTCAATTCATCATATTAGGTCTGGGATCTTCGAAAAAGATCTATTATTTATAAAATTGTTGGTCATGCCGATACTATCACTTCTTTACAAATCTCTCCTGATAATAATTATCTTTTATCAAATGCAATGGATAATACTGGTATCTTTCATACTTATTATTACTTTATCTCATTCACTCACTCACTCACTTTTATTTTAATAGTTAGAATATTCGATATTCGTCCATTCGTACCTTCATCTAGACAAGTTAAAGTATTAAAAGGCGCTCTTCATGGTATAGAAAAAAACTTAATTCGGGCTTCTTGGAGTTACGATGGATTACGTGTCGCTGCTGGTTCAGCCGATAGAACCGTCATCATATGGGATGTTTCTTCCGCAAAACTTACTTATAAATTACCCGGTCATAAGGCTTCCGTCAATGCTGTAGATTTACATCCCCATGAACCTATCATCTTATCTGCTTCTTCTGATCGCTCTCTTTTTCTCGGTGAACTTGCTCAATAATCTTTCTCCCTCTTATTTATCTTATATTCTCCTATCTTTTCCTTCTTTATACCTCTTTTCTGTATTTTTTCTTATTCCCCATTTTATATATCATTTCTACCTTCTCGTCCCTCGGCTATACCTCTCGGTCCTGCGAGCACTTGCACTCTGCTGCGAATGAAGTGCTGGTAGCTATTCCGCTTTAAAAGGGTCTATATTTCTTCTATAACGGTGGTTCTGAGATATTCAGTGGCAGGGTAAGCCGTGTTTATTGTTTATATGTCTATTAACAAGCAAGATATGAGCGAAAAATGGGGTGAAGAGCGTGGAGCACAAATCTTATTAAATAGCTATATTTATGATTATATGTTGAAAAATGCATGGAGTACAGCAGCACGGGCATTTATGGAAGTAGCAGAAGTGCCTTTATCAGGAGAAAATCGGGCAGGAAACAAAGAAGAACGTATTCAGTTGGATATGATGGAAGGAGTTAGAGAAAATAATAAAGAAGGAAGTTTAGGAGGAAATGGAGGAGGAGAATGTAAGGGAGAGAACTCAGGACATCCTTTGGTAAAGCAGGAAACGACGCATTCAGGAGAATCGGAAACAGGGGGGGGATATTCAGGGCTACTTCAACCGGCAGTAATTCCGGTGGATACGCCGGGAGGATTTTTGTTAGAATGGTGGACGGTTTTTTGGGATATTTTTAATGCGAAATCTGGGAAAGGAGGGTCAGAAGCCGCTACGGCGTATTTTGCACATGCACAGGTAAGTAAATGTTATATAGAAGTGAAATATAGAAGGATAATTAATGAAATGTTATATAGAAAATGAAACATGAACAGCAGCGGGCCATTGCATCTATGGGGCAGCCGCATATTGTTATGATTAATCCTCAGTCAAATTTTACGACATTTAATCCGGCATTTATGCGTACATTTGATATACCGAATGGGATGGTGAATATATCAGGGCCGTCAGATACGGGGACGCAGGGTGTGGATACCCAAATAATAGGAACGATTCCATTAAATGAAAAAGTATTGTATTTTTTTTATATGAATATATATATAAATATAAATTTTTTTAGACACGACAAATATTGATGAGGCAAGCAATGAATAATAATATTAGACGATTTTCTCCGTAAGTTATGTTATGGTTGTTATTCAATTGTATTTAATCTTTTTTTTTTTTGAAACAGAACTGCAGCGCAAATTCAACAATTAAAAAATCAGCAATTTTTACAAAATCAGCAACAATCCTCTACATCGCATGCACAAAGAAATCAGGTATGTTTTATTTTAAGTGTTTAAATATGGATAAGTATGATTGACATGTGCTTAGCGTGATCTTGAAACAGATGTAAATGGGCAGCCCCAGTCTTCCCGGTCACCAGCTCTTTCGAATCAGGTTCATTCTCCTTTAAAAAGGCAAAAATTATCTCCGGATGGGTCATATACTCCTGTTCAAGGTTTGTACAAGGCCAATTTTGTATTTTATGTTGATATTTTAATGAAGGAACGATGCAAGCACGTCCACAAATGATGCAGAATAATCTTGTAGGGGCATCAACGACTCTTCAAACTCAACAAGCAAAACAAATGTTATTAAATTCCGGAATTAACCCGGTCGGTCTTACACAACAGGTTATATAGGTCTTTTTTATAATTGTTTAACTTTTCGCAGCAATTTACTGCATTTCAATCACAAACGCCCTCTATGCAACAGAGACAATTGCAAAAATATACACAGGGTTTTTCGAATCAACAACAAAGAGTTCTAAATATTCCTAAAGGGCAAATTTCAAATCAATGTCTTCCTTCATCAATAATGACGGGTGATGGAAATGAAATGGGGCCTAATGATTTTTATGGAAATATATTACCGTCTCAGCAAAACTGCCCGACAAATCCTAATAATCATACTCTTGAAGATTATCAAATGCAGCTTATGTTTCTTGAACAGCAGAATAAAAAACGCCTTATGATGACACATCAAGATCAAGAACGACTTCAATCACAAGATTCATCCACTTTTCAGATTTTATCTCCACAAGGAGTTAGAAATGCTCTTTCTCCGAAAAATAATCATAATGATACTAAACGCGGCATTTCAAAAGTGGCTCATCAAAATTCCCCTAATTCACCTACCGATGGTCCACTTTCTCAACAAAATAATACTTCAAGAAATACTTCACCTAGTATTGCAGGATACAATGGCCAAATTCAATCCGACACTCATCCACAAATTATGTTTTTCAATCAAGCAAAAACTATGGGAGATATGCAAAACGATGGAATAATGATGGGTCATAATGGACATATTATGAGATCTCAAATGACTGATCAATCCATTTATGTGAATAATCCGCAAATGCAGATGGCTATGATAAATGGTAGGCCAGAACATTTAATAAATCCAAGAGTAGTACGAACAAATCAACCCAGTACAATATGGCAGCAGCAGCAAATAATGCAGCATTTAGTTAATGTAGGTTTCGAAATATTATTGTATATTGATATTTATGAATACAGCAAAATCAAAACCGTAATATTCAAATGCAAAATATAAATCATACACAAGGGCATTTAAACCAACATTCACCACAAAATCAAATACCACAATCCCAGCAGCAATCCCAACAATCATCACAACCACACCAACAACAATCACAACAGCAATCGCAGCAACAACAAATACAGACATCACAAAATATACTGCAATCTTCATCTGCTAACCAAACATCACAAGGACATATTCAATCATCTCCGATTGTACAGAATAGTGTATCACCAACACCGCAAATAAATAAATTAAATTTAATAAGAGAAAAAAAGGGAAAAGATGTTAGAAAAGTTAGTAATATTTTTTTGAAATATTTTCTAATTTTTAAATTAAAGTCTAAGAAAACGCTTTCTGGCGCACCTATCACGCCAATATCCGAGTCTTCTAGTACCCCAATTACTTCGCATAATGGAGGAAACTTTCTTCAGACAAATTCTTCTACTTCACAGGGAAATTCATTATTACAAACTCCTGGTTCTGTTGCGCCTACTTCAGATCAAATACAAACACAAGTTGACCCTCCTTCCTCGTCTTCATTTGTAAATATTGATAATGGAGATGTATATTTTTATACTTTTATTTTTTCATAACTAATATTTTTATAGCCTAGCTCATTTTTGAATGATTTCAGTGCTGGAAATGATTTAGATCTAGGGATGATGAATGACTTTGATTTCGATAGTTTTCTAGAAGATATTAGAAGATGTTAAAATTAAATGTCGCTGACTAATTTTGGAATATTTTGTTTAAACTTGGGAACAATATTGAACTAATAATGAATAAGTTATATATTCAAGATGATATTCGTACGAAATCTATCAACTTTTTGTCGTTTTTCATCTATTTTATCTGTCTTTAACACTGTTATTATATTTCTGTCATTCATATGCTTATTTCTAAGATATTTTACAATTAAAAAAGTTTTTAAGATATGAGTATTTTATAGCTATAAAATCGCTTATATTTTAGATTGTATGCTTTGTATTTGAAAAACCATGATATTGATTAAATATTTTAAAATATCATTGTTTTAGCTATATATATATAATTCGTATTTTCCATGTGTTCTTATATTATTATCACATGAAAGTTTTCTAATATTATGAATTTGTATACCTTTTTAAATAAAATTTATAATTAATTTTCAATAATTGATAATACTTGATAACATTTTCCTTGCATGAATTCAAGATTTTCACCTGCATACGATATAAGTGGACTAATTTCAATGCCATCAAAAGGATTGCCTATTAAAATACCATGAGCTTGTTCAACCCATCTTCTTCCTTGCAAAAGTATATCCCTTTTAGAAGTATTGGCATTATCTTCTTCAATTTCCAATGAATTTTTAAGAGGAGAGAACTCATCAAAACGTGCAACTTCTAAGCAACCAAACTTATTTAACGAAACTTCTGAAAATACATCAAAAATGAATTTTTCCAATTTAATAGCATTTTGAGTTTCAGGAATAATTGTTTTTTTAGATTCATTATCATAAAAAGGTACCTTCTTTTCTGATATATGATAAGGTAATTTAGACTCGAATTCTATTATTTTAGAAAGAAATCGTCTATTAAAATAATGATTAGCAATATTTCCTAAACGAAATTTCAAGAGATTTGATGATTCATCCAATGTCTCAGAAATCTTAGTATCAATTTCATTATATTCTATAATAGAAGGTTTCCCATTTTTTAAAACAACAAGTCCAACTTTTTCAGAAGCTTTATGTTTTCGAACTACTTTAGTAGAAACATCAAGATCCCGTTCAATTGAAAACCCAATAAATATAGGATCTGCTACTCGAACCAGACAATTATCCACACAAAAACAATGTATATGTTGAATTTTACGATCTATTAAATCATTTAAAATATTCGAATTAACAAGCGCCTTATATATCCCCCCATTTCCATTAGGTGAAACCGCAATTTTAGACTTAGTTTCAAGAATAAATTTTCCTGTATAAGAAAAACATGGAATATCTTCTTGATTAAAAAAAATTATATCTTTCTCAAGACCAAAAAAGTTATGTTTAGAAAAAAATTCTTCTGTGGCAGATCGATTCAAATCACTTGTCATAATATACCATGGAATACTAACAGGCTTTGAACTATTATATTTTATTTGAGCAATTCTTATAAGACGTCGAATACGCTCTGCTTGCAATTGAAAAAGTGATTTATGAGATGGAAGTCCAATATCAAAACATCCTTTAGGTACATTTGTTCCAAGTCTTGTCGCTTGTCCACCCGCAAGTAAAATAATAGCAACACGATTATAAAAAATATTTTCAAGTCCTATAGACTTCCATCTAAAAAGCTCTTCCTCACTCGCTTCAATTGTAGATCCTAACATATCTAAATCTATCGGTTCAATCTCTCCTTTCATTTTTTGGTCTTTTTCTTTAATTGCTTTAAGTAGAATTCTATTAAAACTATCTGGACATATAGTTTTTATCTGTTTAAGAAATTCTTCCCGTTCTTTTTCACATAATGTTTCATAAAACTCAAATACATGTTCTTGACCATATTTTTCATATATCTTATACAGTATTTCTGTTTCTTTTTCCATTAATTCTATAAAACCAATATTTTCCAATTTTCACTGATTAATCTTTAAATATTCAATTTCTTTCTTATTTTAAGATATAAAATAGTCCTTTTCATGTATTAAAATAGTTTTTGACTTTGTATTTCCTATTTAAAGGCAATAAACTCTGGTTTTTTCCTTATTTCTAATCTTCATTTTTACATATAATATAAATATAAAATCTCATAAAATCATATAAAATATAGTTTTATATAATAAAAATATTAATATTGGTATTTCTTATGTATATTTTAAAATTAAGTTGATAAGTGTTTAAGTAAGTATTTATCTTTATATATTAGGGTTGGAGTTGAAGTGAGTCGGGGTCGTGTTAGGGTTAGGTTAATAAGTAGGGTTGTCTCTTAGGGCTGCTGGTTAGGTCTATTTATTAGGGTTATTAGGGTCAGGGTTATTACCTAGAGTCGTCTATTAGGGTTATTTCTTAGGGCTCGGTCAGGGTTGCTACTCGGGGTTATTTATTAGGGTTACTAGGGCTAGGGCTACTACTTAGGCAGGGTTAGGGCCTTTGTTAGGTCTTCTTTTTCTTAGTACGACTTAGTACGACTTCTCAGGGTTATCTCTAATGCCTACATTTCAGCTCTACATATCAAAGTTACATCTCAGGATTATGTCTCTCCTCATTATTAATCATCTTTCATCTTTCTCCTCCTCTCCCTCCTCTCCCTCCTCTCCCTCCTCCTCATTCTCTTTAGGGTTAGGGTTAGGTAAGGACTACTTTCCGTGACATTCGTTTCTCTTCATTTTCGACGTCCTCCTTTTTTTCTAGGACTTATTTATATTTGGGTTAAGCAAATCAATTTAGAAAAGTAAGAAATTGATTAATAAAATATAAGAAAAAGACGTTAATTTATTGTAGGAATTAGGGAAATTATTAAGTAATAATTATCTAAGTTAAAGAGGGTTTAAAGAAAGTTAATAGAAATAGAGAATAATATTAGGAGATCAATATAAAGGTCAAGTCAATATATTTTAGAGTAAGGTATGTAAGGGAATTAAGGAGATAAGTTGTTTTTTGGGGAGAAGAAGATTGAAAAAAGAGATTTAAAGGTTTTTTTTATTAAGGAGTTAAGAATAAAAGTAGAAATTGAAGAAAGATTTAAAGATTAAGATTTGAGAAAAAAGAGGGTTTTTTTTTTTTAGAGAAAAGAAGTTGACAATACTTTGGATATAGAAGATTTATACGTAATGACAAGTCGTGAGAATTTAGTTTATCTTGCAAAACTCGCCGAACAGGCGGAGCGATATGAAGGTTAAAATATTTTAAAATAAAAAAAATAAATAAATTTAAGAATGGTATAGAAATGGTTGAAAGCATGAAGAAAGTAGCGTCATCAGACCAAGAACTTACGGTTGAGGAAAGGAATCTTCTTTCAGTAGCGTATAAAAATGTAATTGGTGCACGTCGTGCATCATGGCGTATTGTATCATCTATTGAGCAGAAAGAAGAAAATAAGGGAAATCTTTCTCAGGCTGGTTTGATTAAAGAATATCGTTCTAAAATCGAATCAGAGTTAACTAGCATATGCAATGATATTTTGGCCGTTCTGGACGCTCATTTGATCGCCTCTGCAAGTACGGGAGAAAGTAAAGTATTTTATTACAAAATGTTTGTATTTCTTCTATTATTTGATGAAATATGTATTGGTTGAATAGGAAGGGTGATTATTATCGTTATTTGGCTGAATTTGCAGTTGGAGATAAGCGCAAAGCACCTTCTGATGCTTCTTTGGCAGCATATAAGGAAGCGTCAGATATTGCAGGTACGGATCTTCCACCAACACATCCTATTCGTCTTGGGTTGGCTCTTAATTTCTCTGTTTTTTACTACGAGATATTAAATTCACCCGATTGTGCTTGTCATTTAGCTAAACAAGCATTCGACGATGCTATTGCTGAGTTAGATACATTATCTGAGGAGTCTTATAAAGATTCTACGTTGATTATGGTAATTTTTTTTTCATTATATAAAATAATTTTAATATTTTAGCAACTTTTAAGAGATAATCTTACGTTGTGGACATCTGACATGCAGGATTCCAATGAGAAAAATGACTCTAAAGAGGCTGTTTCAGAAGTTCCTGATCCAGGAAAACCTTCTGAAACTGAAGCTTCAAAAACAGATGACATTTGAGTTCATTATTTGTTTTTAAGTATAAAATATAAAATTAACTATTTAACAATTATTGATTAAAATTGTATTTATGTATACAAGAGTGTATCGTTTTCGGATTTTTTAAACATTTTTTACTTTTATTCTTACTCATTAAAGCATCTATTTCTTATATTCTCTAAACCCCCTTCTTTCCCCTTCTTGTGGTATTTTTCAAAATCGGTATATACCTACTTAATATTTTCGTAATTATTTGAAAATTTAAAAATTCACTGATTCTTAGTATTATTAGATAATCTCCTTATTTAAATTCTATTATGAGCTTTTTTAAGTCGATTTGTACTGCTCATTTAAAATATAAAAGATTCCAACTACCACGTATAGCTTATATTAGTAATCTGGGTAAATTTAACCCTTGATTCCTATATATTGCTTAAATTTTGGAAATAGCAGACACAGCAGGTGGAGCAACCCCTTCTCAGGTTGCAGATGTGCTTAAAAAACGGGAAAAAGTTGCAGAAGAAGAAGTAGGAATTAATTTTAGTATTAAAAACGCTTATTATTGGTTATATAGTATATTAAAAGGAGAGAAATTGATAAAATAAAGAAAAATCAAAAAGGTGATACAGACAAGAAAGATAAAGAGGATTTTCTTCGTTAATAAGAAAGACATATAGTAAAACGTTTTGATATCTTTTTTTATTAAACTTTTTTTTATTAATATACAACATGCTTCTTATCTTATTAGATTTATTGTTTAAATTATCTATTTTCTTTTGTAAATAAGCAATATTAATTATTATTATTAATTGTTATATATTTATTTATATATTTATATTTATTATTATATTTATATTTATTATTATATTTTAAAGTATTATTTTTGCAGATTAAATGTATTAAATAAGGATTCAAATAATTATTTTTCTTATATTTTTTCATTTTATAAAGCTTTATTATGATTTTGCTTAGCGACTTATAAATCTTGTAAAATTTATTTTTTTAAAAATTTTAATACTTAATTATATAAAATAAAAGATAATATTTAATTTCTTCTAAATGAATATTTATGATGAGATTGAGATAGAAGATTTTGTATTTGATGAAGAACTTGAAATATATCATTATCCATGCCCATGCGGTGATCGCTTTGAAATATCACTTGTAATTATTAAAATTAAATTTTTATTTGTTTTTAATATATTTTAGGATGATTTAAAGGAAGGTGATGATATTGCATATTGTCCGAGTTGTTCTTTAATGGTACGTGTGATTTATGACCAGGTTTTCGATAACAATAAATATTTTTTAGATAATGTAAAACTAATATTGAATTAGAATATGTTTACGCAAGACAACGAAGAATTAAGTGTACAATACAAGCTTGTTGTTTGAATATTAATGGAATTTCATACATAAAAATAATATTATCTAATTTTTTTATTTTAAAGATACATAAATGAAATTAGGGGATGAATTCTTCATGAAAAGTTTTTTCAAAAGAAAATAATGTTGAGATAGTTCATATATTTTAAGAACTTAAACATTTATTTTTCTTAAAAAAAAAAAAAAAAAACTTATATAGATTGATGTGTCACGTGACTCAGTCATTAAGATTTTTTCTGAATGTATAAATATATTCTATAAATCATGTTAAAATTATTATTAATTTGGAAAGAAATAACATTTTTCTTATAAAATTATTGTAGATAAAAATTATTCGTTATCTTGTCGTTTTATCGACTTTATTGTTAAGTTTATTTTTTTTAAAAAAATAAATTGAAAAAAGAAACATGAAATATGATTGTTTAACAATTTGTCGTTTAAGATTTCAAGGAACTTTATCTTCATTTTGTTCATTGAATCAAAATTTTAAAAATCCGGTGTTTTTTTATTTAAATTCATCAAAAAAAATACAAATATTAAGAGTTTTAAGAACATCTTGTACACCTTATTCAACATGCAAAACAGGAGAGATATCTGTCAAAGAACATTATAATAAATCTAAATCATTTTTAGAAAGGTTAAGACATTTAATGAGACAATATGGTAAATTAAGGCTATCATTTATTATTAAAAGATTAATAATAACTAGGCATTGTGGGCGCATATGTTTATTTTAGCATCTGTCTAATTGATTTTGGTATTTCATTGGCTCTTGTAAAGTCATTAGGCACTACGACGATTGGATTTTATGAAAAAAAAATTATTTCAAAAATAGAAAATTTTACAGGTTGGAGGCCTAAAAATAACCGAATTTCTTTATCCGAAAATAAGGAAAATGAAAAGAATACAGAAGCAAGTATTTGGGCAGAAATAGCTATTGCATATGGTATTCATAAACTATTAATTTTTGTTCGAGTTCCTTTAACTGCAGTATTCACCCCACCATTAGTTAGATTACTAATTCGACAAGGATGGTCGATTAGCAAACATTTAAAAAAATAACATTTTAATATTGGCTATAATTTTTTATATATGTAAAAATATTAAAATATAAAAATATTATTTTCATTAAATGCATAAACCTGCCCTAAAAATACATTCAAACAACTTGTTTTTAATTATATTCTATAGTGAATTCTTATTTTATTAAAGTTTCTGATTTTCCTTGTTTTCCATTCTCCCAATTTGAAATTTTTAAATTAACCATTTCTCGTTTTTCTGCTTCAATACGTTTATTTTTATTAAGGCATTTCCTCACTATATTTGCGCAAATAGAAGAGTATCTACTATATCTATAAAGATTTTAACTCTTATTTAGAATAACAACTTATTCAAAATTACGTAAAAAACTTTTTCCTAAAAAAACAAATTAAATCATTTTAAATTTAATAAAAAATACGCACCACCAAAACTCCATTAATGTATTATTTAAAAATAATTTTTAAATAATTCCGGTTTATTTTTTTTATTAATGCTCCGTTACTACCTAAAATTGTCTTTATATATTATACCGATATATAATGCATTAAAAAATAAAAATCATAAGTATTAACCAAATAATAAGTAAAAAAGCATATCTATATTTGAAAATATTTATATTTATATATTCCAATTTAGTTATTGAATTCGATTGCAACTTATGCTTAAATTATTAATGGAAAAAGTGTTATTTTTTAAACTTTTCATTAACTTTTTTATCTTCTTCCATAATTTCTCTTTCATTTATTATTATTATTGTATTTTTAATGCTTAAGTCTATCAATCCTTTCTTGAAAATCATCATATCGATTATTTCCTGATCCATTTATCATTTGTGGAATCTTTTGTCGTCCTTTATCTACTGTATTCATAATACATGGAATATTATTAAGATCTTGTTGAAGATCAATTCCTATTTCATCTAATACTTGATTTATAATATCTTTATTTTCTATTTCATCATCCTCCATTATATCATCAATTGCTTCATCTATTACTTCTTCTCGCTGTTCCATTATATCATTTTCTTGTTGAAAATTTTGAACTATTTTCATTAATGATGGAACATGAATTTTTCGATTCATTGAAGTTAAAAGCTAATACATTATAAATATTATTCAATTATATCATTAATATTTTACTCTTGTTGCACTCTTTAAACTTTGCGTCATTTGTTCATGAGTTTGCACCGTCTATCGTTATTTTATTATTAATTTATCGATTTAATATAATTATTATACTTGTATCCTTAAAGAAATCGCCTGAAGTTGTGTTTTAATTTGTAAAAACTTTCCAATTTGTTTTCTTGTTCGTAAAAGATCTTTTACTTTAATTTTTGTCACTTCCATTTCTCCTGCTTGAGCACTTTTTCGAATTTCTCTAGTTAACCTTCCTTCTTGAGCTTCTAATTTCACTTCTTCCCTCTGAATCTCCCGTTGTGCTTTTTCTAGACCTCGTCTATACTGTCTATTCCCTTAAGATTCTCTGTTATTCCCTCTTCAATATACCTCAGCTGTTCTTGAGCTGTTTTATGTCCTCCAAATATCCATCCAAGAATATTCATCTAATAATACACTTATAAACCTTTTTTTTAGATTTTTTCTTATATATTATATTCTTTAATATTTGTGTTTTTCTATTACAATTCAAGTCTGCTACTTGGCCACTTTGTAGATAATATTAATATATAATATTAGGTGAACGGAACCTCACGAAACCTCACTAAACCTAAGCAGAGTGAGAAAACAAGGAGAAAATGATATTTTGTTGCTAATTAGAAGGGTTTTAATGATATATCAGAGGATTATAAGTAGTTAATATAGATAAGGTAGGGAATGAGTGGCTGGCTCGAAAAAAGCAGTGAAAATAATGAGATATACAGGTTATTAGAGTAAAAAAAATAATAAGTAGAGTATAATAGAAAGATGAAGTCACTGGAGAATATAGTATTTGCATTGCATGATTTTGAAGCAGTTAATCCAGAAGATTTACCGTTAAAGCGCGGAGAACAGATTTTTGTTTTAAAAAAAGATGAAGGATTTAATGATGGATGGTGGGAGGTATGTGAGATTTAAGGAAAAATATTAAGGATAATATATGAATAATATATGGATAATATATGGGATGAATATAAATGGAATATAATATGATATTTTTATTTGAAAAAAAGAAGTTAAAAGAGTTGTTTTTAATAATATGATAGGGTCAAAATACGGAGGGCCGGAAGGGATTATTTCCAGTTATATATACTATGTCGTATTCAGAGTTAGTTAAAGTTCTTTCAGTTGAACCTCTTACGCCAAAAACTCCGATAAAAAATGCAAAAGTTGATTTAATGAAAACTACTATTTCGAATATAGATGATTTATTATCATATATTGATCGGAATGGTTTTAAAAATATGAGTCTTGAAGATTCTAATGTGAACATTTTGAATTGGACACCACAAGAGGTAGCATCATGGATTGAATCGAAAGGATTTGGATCGGTAGCAGACAAATTTATTGGTATATAATTTTTTATAAGGGTAATTTTTGTTTTAAAAAGATTTTTAGAGCATGAAATAACAGGGGATATTCTAATTCAAATGGATTATTCACATTTAAGAGAGATAGATATTTTTAGTTTTGGAAAAAGATTTGAAATTGAACGTGAAATTAAATTACTTCGAGATTCATTGTCTATTGCAGCGGAAAAACATATAAACGAGAGGGTTGTATTAATATATTTTTTATATTTATAATCTTATTATAAAATAGCTAAAAGATGATACACAATCTTCTCAATCTATGATTACAGCTAGAAATTTTCACTCTGAAAGATCAGACTATGCGCAATCTATGCGTAGTGTATGATTTATCTATGAAATATTTTTTAAGGTTTTTTTTTTAATTATTTATAGATTAATTCGGCATCAATTAAACGAGGATCATATGAAAACAGTTTTTTACATGTGAATAATCTATCTGTTGATCAGTCCTATAGAAGTTCTCGGAATGGGATACCTATAGATGAAGTTAGTGTTGTTTCTAAACACTCCTTAGATCAGCCAACTTCTATATACAATCATAAAATTGAAATGTCTAATGGTTCTGAATGTTTAGAATCTTTAAAAATGCATTCTAAGGATTCTGAAGCTACTGTTAATAGTAAGAGTTCATGGAAAGTTACTAACAAATTGGTTCGTGCGTATAAAAGGAAATCTAAATCTTACGTTATGGTTGGTCGTTTACAGAAAATTGACAAGGGATTTGATCATAAAAAAGCAGCAAGACTTTCTAAACACATGAGTCAAGATGTTTTAAAAGCATGTCCATATGGAAATTATAGGCAAATGGATACTATAACTATGTTGAAAGAAATACAATCTTGTAACACTGCTTCTAGTAAGACTTTTAAAGTAGAAAAAGAAGCTTTAAAAACACCTTTAAAAAAGCCAAGCAAAGTATCCATAGCTAAAAAATCTTTATTAAAAAGAGATCAAAAAGTGCCAACTGCTATAAAAGAAGGTATTCGGCATATTTCTGTACATGATGCTATAAAAGAAGCTGATCATTATGGCTGGATGCGTAAAAAAACAGAAAGATATGGGCAATGGAAACTTAGATTTTTTTGTTTAACTGGAACAAGACTTTCTTATTTTTATACTGAAGATGTAAATAAAATCCTTTTAACTTATCCTTGTTAATATGATTAGGATATTGGTGAAAAGGGTTTAATCGATATTAATTCTTATCGTGTGGTTTCAGTTAATAATCGGTTTTTCTATGGAGAGAGGAAATTTTGTTTTAAAATTATTCCTCCTGTTCCTGGTACTGCTAAAGGTATTAACTTTACCTCGCCTAAAGTTCACTATTTTGCCACGGATACATTAGAGGAAATGAAAGAATGGGTTAGAGCACTTATAAAAATTACAATTGGCAGAGATAATTCAGGTATATATTCGTTTTTTTATTGTTTTTTTTTTTAATTTAATTTAGTACCTGTCTTATCATCTTGTAAAGTTCCGACTATTTCTCTCAAAGCTGCTAAAGAAAAAATGACTGCTAATATTCTTATGAACGATAAATCTGAGTGCGAATCTTTAAGTGAAAACGCTTCTTCTAAAATAACCTCTTATCAAGAACATCCTTTATCTTCTGATTTAATTAACCCTTATCACTCCGAAAACCTTCTAGATCATCTAAATCCCACCGAAACTAGTAGTTTTATAAGCGATATAAAATCTGCTTGGGAAAATGTTGAAGTCTTCGCTAACACCACTCAAGAATGATTTATTTCATTCATTCATTCATTCATTCTAATCTTTTCTAATCAACTTTTAATCAATTTCTAATCAGCTTCTAATCAGCCTTATTAATCATATCATATAAATGTATTATTAAATTTATTATCTTTAAAATCTATTCCTTTATTACTATCATTTCTTCTCTTTTTTATTATATAAAAAATATAACTACAATTCACTATCTTCTAATTTACTTTATTTAACTATCTCTTAACTACGTGCGATTTACCGAAAACTTCAAATTTAACTGTAGACTATGAAGAAGATCACTGTCAATGTGAAGGCTTCAAATGATAAGAAATATGCAATTGAAATAAATACAGATGCAACTATTGAGGAATTTAAGCAGTTAATTTCTAGTAAAACAGATATCACACCAGAAAGACAACGATTGATTTATAGTGGAAGAGTCTTAAAAGATGAAGAAAAGATAGAAACATATAAGGTAAGGTTATAAAAAGGCTTTAGAATAAGCTATATTAGAGATTTGAAGACAAATATTGATAATAGAGGGTTAGATATCAGATGGACATACGGTTCATCTTGTTCGAGGAGCGGGACCAGTTCAAAGTGAGAGAGAAGCGACATCATCAACAACGGCGGCATCTCAACAGATTCCAAGAACTATATCAGCAGGAACGGGTGTAAATAATCCGTTTTCAGCGCTTATTAGTGCGCATTATGCAGGACAAGTTCATCTTCCGCCAGTATCAACGTTTGGACCGGATGGAGGGATGACGAGTTTTCCTCCTACACCAGAACAGCTTTCGCAGGTGATGGGTCAACAAGGGATGCAGGAGGTTATACGGGAAATGCTTTCTAATTCTCAGCTTATGGATTATATTATTAACAGTAATCCGCAGCTTCGAAATGTTCCATCAGGAATACAAGAAATAATAAGAAGTGAGGAGTTTATTCGTATTATGTCTAACCCAGAGACGATACGACAGATTATGGAAATGCAAAGAGTATTTGGTAATATGGGAATGGGAGCAGGAAATCTATTTTCAACATCCAATGAGCCAAGAACGGAAACAGCATCAACATATCAACAGCAAGTGGCATCGGTAGATACACAAAATCGAACGGAATCAGCAGGACCTTATTCGAATTGTAGTGAAAATGAATCAGCACAACAAAATCCTGATTCTACAGCTCTTAATAATTCATTTGCTGCGATGGTATCGTTATTGTCTAATTTGGGAGCTCAACAACAAAGCACAGATGTGCCAGTGTTTGATCCTGTTGTATTCCAATCATTTCTTTCTGGTTTGATTCCTCAGCAACCTCCGCAACCTCAGCATTCGTTACCGCCAGAAGAACGTTTTCAAGAACAATTAAGACAACTAAATGAATTAGGCTTTACAAATTTTGATCGTAATATTCGAGCACTTGGACGAAGTGGTGGATCTGTACAAGGAGCTATTGAAGCAATGCTGGATGGCGATGTTTAATATATCTATTACTGAATTAGGCTTTATTTTCATAAGTTATTATCTCTATTAAGTGCTTTTACTATTTCTTTTCTTTTTTTTCGTTCTATGAACATATAATTGCCATGTTTTCAAATGGCATACAATTAATATAACTTTTTTTGTATCCTGGTTTTGTATTTTTGTCAAATTCCCGGATTTTAAAAATGAGATATTATAAATCCTTTAAATTAACTAAGGATTTTTCGTTCTTATGTTTTTAATATAAGCTTGTTTTGAATTTGCTTGTAAATGATATAGTCTTTTATTTTATAATATTACAGAAATCGATCTTTTTTAATATTCATATGCTTTTTTGCTTTCTTTGTCAAAATGTATAAATCATGTTAATTGAATTTTAAATAAAAATTAAGTTTTTTAATAAATTTAGAAAATTGCTTTTCATTATTTTTTAAGCATAGCTTTAAAATATATTAAAATGAACAAATATTGAACATTTAATTATATTAAGCTATCTCATATAATCATTTCTTGTGTACTAATTTCAAATTGTATAATATTTTTCCCTGGAAGCACAACTAAGCCTATTGATCGTTTTTTCCCTATAAAGATCCTCGGTTAAATATTGTTGATAGACTTATACCAATCAATCACCCTTGTTAAATTCTTGTGTATTAGAAAGAATCATTGTTCCGTCTTTATCTAGAACAACACATTTAAGCTATGATAATTGCTTTTTAATTATACTTTACCTACGCAGACGAATTTTCCGATAAATATTCGAGAATCTGAAAGTGTTACACGAACAATCTTTAAAAGCCATGTTTCTAATATTTTTTTGCCTTTCATAAAAAAAATTTTTAAAAAAAAAAGTTATTTTATAAAAAAATTAAAAAGATTTTAAAGATAATTATGGCATAAAAACATTATAAATAATAATTTACTCTTATAAAAATGAACTTAAAGCCTTTTATTGAACATATCTTTCCTAAACTATTATATATTTGTACTATTTAAAAATTAATATAATTTAAAATTATTAATTTGAATAAATATAATTAAAATATCTTATTAATAACTTATAAAATAAAAATAATTATTTCTTTATTACAATATAAATTATCTCTTCATAGGGTAATGCAAGTGTCTATTAATAAATTTAAAGAAACTTGCGACCATAATGAAGATATTTGTCCTTTAATAAGGATTTTTCTTGGCATGCTTTTTGACTCCAAAAAACACATTCTAGTCTTTAGAATAGTTAAAGACCATGTTCATTAGAGCTTCGAAAGTGCCTAGTATTTTATGTTTATAAGAAAATTATAGTATAAGACATATAATTCTGTAAAAAATGTATCTTAATAATTTATATGTCACTAAAGTATTTGATATGTATTTAAAAGCTCAATAATATCTACAGTATTTGAAAGAATATAAAAAATATTGAGGATTATGTAAAATTAAGGAAAAGAATTTTTTAAATTTATAGCGTTTTTTTTTAAGTTTAAATGTTGAGCTTTAAAAATTAATTAAAAAGTTATTTAAGTTTTAATGACTTTGGAGGATGAAGATAATGCATCTGAAGAGGTAAAATAGCATTTTTATATTATAAGATGACTTATCAAAGTATAGAAACTTTCTTATGAAGAAATTTGGGACGATTCTATGTTAATCGCAGCATGGGATGCAGCGGTTCATGAATATAAGGTTTTTTGAGAGAATAATATTGAAAGTAGATATTAAGTTGTTTATAGACATATCATTCTAATGTGTAAGAATGATATTTTAATATAAAAAAAATAATAATTTTATATAGAAATCAAGATGATAATAAAAATTTAGAAGAAGAAAAGGTGAATAATGAAAAAGTTATTTTGAATTTTTTATATAAATAGTCTTTATATGTTTTAGAATCAGATTTTCAAAATAATTTTAATAGTGAATCTCGTAATTCAATAATTTTAAAATAATTTATTTCTAAATATGATAGCCAAAGAAAATATAAATGAAATTGATTCAGATGAGATATTTAGGATTGCTCAAAATAATGATTCAGAAAGAGATTCAGAAAAAACAAAAGATACATTTATAAATTCGACTTCCATTACACCTCCTCTTCAAATTTTTAATAGTATGTTTATAATTTTTGTTATAAAATTATTTAATAAGATTTAGATGATCATGTTTTAAAAAATCTTTTAATGAGCTGGTATTACGCTGGTTGTAAGTATTTTGGTTAATATGACATTATCTTATATAGAGTAGATTATACAGGATATTATACAGGTCAAAACTCCATAAAAAATGAAAAAGATCTATAATTATGATCCTAAAGCATAACGCATTGTTAACGCCAAAATGTAGAGATAATTTTATAGATCAATGTTAATATAACCTATTTTATTAATATATATATAGGTATATTATTAGGCTTAGTAGATTCAGAATTCAAATCATTTTTGTATTAAAATAATAGACTATACAGACATTTCTTCTTGTAAGGCTTTAATTTCTGCATCGTCATTATCTGCTTGAATAAATTTTTTATATTTTTCCGTATTATAACCAGGTAATTGTGTAGGCGGTTTTTCCGCTCCAAGCATTTTTTCATCTAATTCTTCTTGTTGAATTCTTTCGAGTTCTTGATTTAGCTCATTTTCATCAAATGTTTCTGACATTCCTATAGGTCGAGCTATTAGTTCGCCTATTTCATTGTGATGATCTATTTGTTCTCTTATATCATCCATTATAGAGTCTACTTTATCAGGTGTTCTACAATAAATATATAAATAAATGATGAAAGGAACGTTATAGTAAACGTACATTCCCTTAGATATTTGTTTCATTGCAGATGTACTTTGTTTTATTGCTTTTGTTATTTCGTAGTTTATATTCGCATTTTCAAGAGTAAATAACGTTTGTTCAAGGTTTATTCGTATTCCCATAAGTTTTTCTATTTCATTTTCAAGAAGTTTTTTTCTTTTAAGAGCTTGCATGGCAACTTTTTTTAACATAAATATAAAATTCTAATAATAAAACAAAATAATACCTGATTTATTAATATTTGCATTTTCTTTAGCTATAAATAAAATAAGTTCTCTAATAGAAATAATATATTTTTAAAAAATAAACTATACCTATATTATCTTGTTCAATTATTTGTTTTCTCCAATGATTTTCCTTTTTATCTAAAGTTTCTATCATTTCCTTCGTATTAAGGATTGCGTTCTTTGGAAGATCACGTTTTAATGATGGCCTTCCTGTAAAATAACTCCACCATGACATTTTTTAAAGATATTTAATAGTTTAAAATTTGTAAAAAAAAAGTCGATTATTTTATTTCTTCTTTTAAATAAATATAATATCTTTAAATATCTATTTAAAAGAATATTCTTATTTAATTATTTTCTATCTTTTAATATTATGATTGCGTTTATATCCTAAATATGTATTTTTAGATCGATTTTAAATCATAAATAATATGATTATTAATTATATATAATGATAGAACATGTATTTTTTTAAAAAATTATGTTTTAATACCTGAATAAGATCTTGAAATTATTTAAACTATTTTATTAAAATATAATTTTTTTTTTTAAATATAGATTATTACAAATAAATTAATATAAAAAAAAGGGTACATTAAATAATAAAAAAGGGAAATTTATATCTTTAAAGACATTTTTATAAAAAATATCAGTGAAATATTCATTTGAAATATACATTTGAAATAGCTAAAATAAAATAATAATATATTGATGAAAAATTAATATTTTAAAACGGTTTTCTGTTTAACTTAATTATTTTTAAATTTTATTATAAATATTTTTAATAGAAAAAAAGATAGATAGTTTATCAAAAGCTCTATTTACTTAATATAAAAATATTAATATTGAATTTTAAAAAATCAAATTATAAATATTTTAGTTATGCTGAACCTTATCTTTAAGATATTTTAGTATTTTATATGAAAAAAAAAAAATATGTATAAAAAAAGATTGATATTCATTTAAAACTAAATTTATTATTATTTATTACTACTAATTTGATAAAAAATAATTAATTAGTTAGTTAGAACTCATTCTATGAAAACAATTGAGATTAAAATCTAATTATATAGTATAAAACTAAATACTATCGATAAAAATTAACATATTAATATGTTTTCTTAATAACATCTCTTTAATTTACTGATTAAATTTGTTAATAAATTCTAACTATAACATATTTTATTTACGATTTTAAAACAATTTTCGTTTTTACTTATTTATATTTAAATTGTTAAAATTTTTTTCAAAAACATGTTAATTTAAAAGGATTTATATAATAAAAAATACTTATTTTTAAAATGACCCGTAAATTTTTTATATCAACGAAATTTGTATATTAACTAGATTAATTTAGGTGGAAATCAAAGAGAAAATGATAGACTTAGAGCTCAAAAAAAACAAGAAATGACAAAAAAGAAAAAGAAATGCGAAACGAATTTTAAGAATTCCTTGGAACAGTGATTAATATATATATTAAACTGCTCTTTGTAACTTACTTTTATATTAGACAAGCAGAAATTATGAGACAGAAACAAAAACTTCATGATGAAAAAAAATTAATGCAAAGTATAAATAATAATAATAATAAAAACTAGAAAATATTTTTATTTTACTATTTAATAAATATGTTTTTATAAAAGATAACTTTTTATAAGAAACATTTTTAAAGAAATAATTCGTATTATTTCATCTTTTTGTTTAATATTCAAAAAGCATATATTATTTTTAGATATTCAAGAAAGACTTTTAAATATTAAGTTTCATATATGTTTTTATATATTAAATCTTTATATTATAGACATGTTATTAGCAATCGTTTTTTTAAATTTTAATTATTTTATTTTTTAGGAGAAAATAGTTTTAAATAGTTATTTACGGCTATCAATTATTATGTCTCTTCTTTTCGTATGTTTTGTCATTGTTATTATTATTAATTTTATATCTTTTTTGGGTGTAGATGTGATTTCATCTTTGGTATTTTTTATACAATAAAGATTTAAGACTAAGAAAAAAATAGATATTTACTATATATTCTAATTTTCTCCCGTATGAATTATCGTCTACAATAAAAAGATATAGATTACTTCAACGCTCTGCGCTTCAGACAAAAAAAGAGCTTTCTAATACTAGTAGTGTAGACGAGTTTGCTAAATGGGCAAAATTGAGAAGAAAATATGATAAGGAAATTTCAGAATTAGAAAAATCAAGTAATATATAAGATATTTTTAAAATATAATTATTAATATAATTTGTAGCAGCAGAAATGAATAATAAGAGATATTACTTTAATATCAGAATCCGTATAATAATATGGTTATCTACAAATGGCCTGCAATATATTATTCAATGGTATTATCGTAAAATACCAGTGTTTTGGCTGGCAAAAGGCTGGTTTCCACATTATATTGAACGGATTTTATGTTTTCCAATGGCACCTATTGGTATATTTAAAAAATAAGAAAATTACGTTATTAATATTTAAAGGATCTGTTAGTGTAAGTATATGGTTTTTTGTCACCAATCATGTTGTTTCAGAAACATTTTGTATTATAAAAAACTGTTTTTTTGAGAATCAAGCAAAACGTAATATAAACTCTAAAATTCATTCAAATATAGTATCAGAAAAAAAGGAATCATAGGAAAGATATTAAAGATGATATTTTACATGACTTAAAATGATTTTATATAAGAAAATATACATTTTATGGAATTTAAATATTTTTTATGAAAGTATTATTTATTTTTATCATATTGATAATCAATCCCCAACTTTTTTAATAGTTCTTTTTTTTTCTTAAGACGCTTGTTATTTCTTTTCTGCAATCTTATCCATTGCTCTTTGGTTTTTGCTTCTTCAAGACGTTTCATGGTTATCCTGGACCATGGTATTGGTTTAAATCGTTTATTTGCGCCAATAAACATAGATTTATGAAGTTTCTCTTTAGAAATAACAGAACATTTTAAAATATGTCCAAAAAGTAAATAATTATTCATTGCTTTTGCGGCAATTTTAGCTACTTCAGAAGATTCAAATTCTATAAATGCATAATGCTTTGATTTCCCTGTCTATTAAAATCAGGAATATGTTTTAAAAGTAAATATCATACTCTTCTATTACGAGATAGTTTAATGCGAGTTACTGTGCCAAATTGCTCAAAATAATTTTTCATTTCTAGTTCATAGAATCCATGTGGAATTCTTCCCAAATATATTACTTTAGATAATTCCTAAGGATTATTATTTAATTATATATATTTTCCAAAATTTTTTTACTTGAACATTTTGAGTGTCTTTTTTTTGGGTCATTTTATTTTGTAAAAATATATCATCTTGAGGAAAACTTTTTTTATTATTAAAATCATCACTTTCAAATCCATTCAATGAATTGGTATCAGTATTATCTAGGATATTACTATCATTATCTAATAGTAATTTGTTTATATTGGACGTATGATTTATTTGAAAATCTTCTTTATAATCTTTATCCAATAAAGATCCATTTTCATCTACGTTTTTAAAATCCTTATCAAAAGAACAGTGTTTTTTAGATTTATATTCTGCTTTTTCAATTATATTATTGAGTTTCCTTTTTTTTTTTAATTTTAATTCTACTTCATTATTATTCAATAAAGTTGTTTTTTGAATATTAAGTCCTCTTTTTAAATCTAAATAATAAAATATAAGAATTATTTTAGCTATTTTTTACTATTACCTTGAATATTTTTTTGTATTTTTTGCTTTTTTTTAGACATTTGCTTAATTTTTATTAAATTTCTCGATTAAAAAATTATTTATTTAAATAAATTTTTATATTTTTTAGAAATTTATGGCATAAAACACGATTAATTATAACTTTTCACATGTTTGTTTTATTTCCTAGGATTATTCATTCCATTTTAATAAAGAAGATATTTTATCGGCTAAAGCGTTTTTTTTCTAAGCCAACTATTCGGGCTATTAGTTTTCTGTTTTTTTCATCACTAGTTTTTCTTATACTTGAATTATTTTTCTTTTTACCGGAAAATATTATTTTAAAAACATCATCTGAAATTCAAACATCAGAAATTACATTAATAGCTCGACTTGCTCGTTTACGTCGAATAACAGAATATGACCAGAAATTATTAAGTCGATTAAAAACCTTAGATGGGAGATTACTATATATACTCTATGGACCTTCGACTTTAAGTTTATGTGAATGGTGCGAAATTGAGACGCCTTTAACATTTTTATATTATACTATACCACACGTATTTTTGTATTATATACTAAATCTTGGAATAATTTATCTGTCTATATCTATTCTATCTGAAAAAAATAGAAAATTATTAAGGAAGTTAATATTTATCATACTTTTTGTTTTTTTTATTATGGAATTAATTATGTTAAATATATATGATTGGAAATCAAATGCATATATTAATTCGGCCTTGGATATTGATTGGATTCATTGGAACCTAAAGAAATATAGATTATTTCTAATGATAATATTAAATTTATCTGTTGCTTTTATTATTTGGGTTATTAATATTAATACGTTATATCAAACACCTAATAAAGAAAAACAACTAATATTTTCTATTAATAATTTGGAGGAATCAATAAATCGTATTCGTGCTTTAGTTATTATGAAAAGAGCGCTGATTAAAGATGCATTTTTGCAAGAACAAAAAATGAAATTTTATCAAGAAAAGCGTCTAAGTCAATTAAATAATCCTAATATAAAGGATATCAAAAAAAAGATATCTCATGACAATATGAAAAAAATTATGGAAGAAGTTGAAAGTTATGCAGAAAGCTTAATTAAATACATGGATATGGAAAAATAAATATTTTATTATAATATAATTATTAAAAAAATCATACAAGTGTTTATTATGTTGTGATTTCTGTTTTAATATCCACTTATTTTACTCCCATATAATCTAAGAAATACTCTGAAGAAGACTATCAGCAAAATTGTCAATTTAGAATTAATATGTATTGACAAATTATAGTCAATTTGAAAATTTTTCATTAAAATATTATTTTTTCAACCAAAACGACGAGATTTTGGAAGGATCTATACTTAAAATACCTGCTTCTAGATTATTCCATGTCATTTCTTCTTTAAAGCGCTTAAATATAGAATGCAGCTTATTTTTAAACAAACATATTTATTTTTATAATCCATTTCTGTATAATATTTTTATCTAAAGTTCTATATTTTTAACATTCAATATAATTTAAATTTTTTTAATAAAATTTTTATCATTTAATGTACTAAAGAAAGTAATTTACAAAACTAGAAATCTCTTTAATAATTTTATTTTTTTTAATTCAATAGATGATTTGTTTTGTTCTATCAATAATAAAACATTTATAATGAATTAAACTAAAATTACTAATTATAATTAGAAATATAATTATTAAAAAAAATGCTAAATTGCAATTTTCTATATTAATATTAAAAATATCAAGTGTAAAATTATTAACGTTTTATAAGTTTCAAGAATTTTTTAAAATAATTCTTAGTTGTCCCCCATATCTTTACTATGTTGTAAATTAACTAATATTTTATATAAAAAATAGATTTTATAAATATCACATTTTATTTTATTATATATATAAATAATTCCGCTAAATTTTTAGAATCTATTTTAAAATTAAATATAAATAAATTACAAAAGAGTTTATATTAGAATACCAAATTATTAAAAACACATAGTAATATTCTTAATTGTAAAAACTACTTTATTTTACAAGTTTTATATTAAATAATTTTATATTTTAAATAATTTTATATTTTAAATCATCCAAAATATCAAAATTTGTAATTCTTAAAATTTTTATTATTAATTTCACTCAAATTATTTTTAAATTCGCTACTAGGATGTATTTGAAATCAAAGTAATACATTTTTAACTTAAATATTTTTATTTTTATGAAAATCGACGTTTATTTTACGAAAGCGTATATTTTTGAAAATCTTTATAAATTTTGATAATTTAAAAAAAAAAATAACGAATTCTTTCATTAGTTATTATATATATTAATTTTTTTTTTATTCAAAAATTTACTAAATATATATGTCTGAAAAAATATTATCATTTCGCTCATTTTAATAATTTTACTAATTTTTTAACGATATTTAGAATACTTATTTCGAAGCTCATCTTCTAAACTTATTGGGAAAGGCGGTGAATATAAAACAGGTATAAATGTCTTTGCATAAACATCATTTATTTTTGTATCAACTTTATAATCTAATAAATTAAATAATATTAAAGATAATTCCATATATTATTACCTTTATATCTTTGCTCTCGCTCTTTTTCAGTTTTAGGTATATTAGTAGGCCATGGCAAGAATTTATTCTCCCCAGCGATCCATCGTCTCCATGTTAATAATTTTCTATCTTTATTATAAAACAGCTTCCCTTTATTAATATGTCTAATATTAATTCTAAAAATATATTAAAAAACATATTAAAAATCTATAAATTACAATTTTTTAATTCCGTATTTTTCTCCTTGAATTTCTCCGATAAGCCGCACATTTGAATAATGAATAAACATAGGCATTTCAATAACACTTTTTCCAGTATCATTGGTACGTAGCACTTTTGGAAGATATTTTTTACACTAAATATTTATCAAATGTGTCTTATTAATAATTCCATAAATTTATGTTACCAATTTTAATCCTTCTACTTTAAGTCGATTTGTTTTTTTATCGATTTCTATTACTCTTCCTTGTTGGCCTTTATCCTTACCAGTAATTATCTGAACCTATACATAATAATTAATAAATAAATCTTTGCTTTTTTCACTAACTTGCATACTTGATCTCCTACTGCAATATTCCAAAACTTAATTCTATCTTTCGGATGGATCCACTGAGGATCATAACTCGTTCGAGACCCCATTCTTCCATCTCTTAAATTCCCAAACTTCGACCATACGTCTCTTCTAATATGTTCAATACATCGGATCCTTCTTGTCATAAATTATTGATTTTCATTAGCCCTTTAAAAATTTTATCATATCACGAGATCAGTCGGCGTTTATCTTAATATTTTCCGGTTTTCTAAATATATCCGTTTTTTATCAACTACGTAAAAAAATAAATTAATAAATAATTACATAATTGTTTTTGGATTAGAAAATAGACGTAAATAAGATCATTTGAGCCAGTTTTCTTAAGTCCTTTGTTTATATTATATTTATGTGGAACTATTTCATATTTTTTTCACTTATATTTCTTATAAAAACACAATCATATGTAATACAGAATAATAAAACAGATCAAATATTATATAAAAGGGATGATAAAGTAAAACTTATTTCAGACAAAATCAAAAAGCCGGATACCGATCCTTCTTCTTATAAATTAATTGAATTAACGAATCGACTTAGAGTTTTATTGATCAGTAATCCAGACACACTGAGATCAGGAGCAGCATTAGATGTAAAAGTTGGCCATTATAGTGATCCTGTAGGTTTATAAGAGGATTTTCCATTTATTTATTTCTTCTTAGGATGGTATTCCTGGTGTTGCGCATTTTTGTGAGCATTTATTATTTATGGGCACAAAAAAAGTTAGTTGAAATATATATTTGATATTATTAATATTTTTTAGTATCCTGGAGAAGATGATTTTTCTGGATATTTGAGTACACATTCTGGAAGTTATAATGCGTATACCGGAACAGAAGATACAAATTATTTCTTCAGTATACCGCATAATTATTTTGAGAAAGCATTAGATATATTTTCTCAATTTTTTATTTCTCCTTTGATTTCAGAAAGATCGGTAGAACGAGAAGCGCGTGTTGTTGATTTGGGTTTGTTTTTCATATATTTTGTAGAGCTGTTGAGCTTACAAATTCAAGAACATAGAAAGAATCTGCAAAGTGATGAATGGCGTTTATTTCAACTCGAGAAATCCATTTCTAGTCCGAAAACTCCTTATCATAAATTTGGTACAGGAAACTACAAAACATTAGTAGAAGATACAAGAAAAAAAAATATAAATATTGCATCTATAGTTTCCAAGTTTTTCCAAGAACATTATTCTTCAAATTTAATGAAGCTTGTTCTTTTTTCATCAAGTTAAAAAGATTTTTTTAATTTTATAAATCTTAATTTTTACTTTTTATTAGAAACTCTTGATGAACTCGAGAAATATGCTGCTACATATTTTTCAGATGTTCCTGATAAAAATCTTGAAAGACCTAAATTTACTGAAGAGCCATTTGGAAAGGATGTTATTGGGGTAGGCATTTTTTTTACTAAATAATGAAATTCTTATTTTTAGAATCAATATTGGTATAAACCGATAGCAGATAAAATGACAATGGAACTCGTGTTTCCTATAACTTCTCAGATTCATTTATATAAGACAAATCCTACTCTTTATTTGAGCTATTTTTTACGTTATATTTATAATTCTTAATATTCTTATTTCTAAATATTGTAGAGCATGAATCACCTGGTTCTATTTTATACTTCTTGAAGAGACAAGGATGGGTAACTTCTTTGAGGTAAACTTTTTTAGAGTTTCTGCATTTATTTATACTTTTTTTAGTGTTGTACATGAATATATAGTCTCCAATACAGATAATTTTAGAATAGGTATATCTCTTACTTCTCAAGGACTTGGTATTATTTTTTAGTTCTTAAAGAAAATGAAATAATTTTTTCTAGATAATTATGAAGACATAATTGGACTATTATTTAAATTTCTGAAAATGCTTAAAGGTTTGTTTTGTTTCAATTAAATTATAGCGCTAGAAAAAAAACAATAGATGAGGGTCCTCAAAAAACATATTTTGATGAGTTGATTCAAATAGATGAAATATTTTTTCGTTTTCAGGATTTGCCGCAATTAACTTCATATGTTTCAGACTTAGCAAGAAATATGCAGGATTTATACCTAGATGATGTGGATATATTGAGGAATACGTATGTTTCTGAGTATAACTCTACACATATTACGCAGTTGCTTGATCAGTTACGTGATGATAATTATTACCTTTTTATTTCTACCAAGGATCGACCTGATGAATGGGACAAGAGAGAACCTTGGTATGACTCAGAGTATAAGGTAGAGTCTTTTAGTTCTACATTATTGGAGGTATTCCTGAAGATTAAGGTTATTTTGCTTTTAACAGATAATAGAAAACTAAAAATTATACTACAAAATATAAGTTGAAATTACCAGAAAAAAATGTTTTTATTTCGGAAAAGTTCATTACGAAAAACGTTTCTACTAATGTAATTTCCATGATTTATTGATCATAATTTGACTTTTTAGAAAACAACTAAACCTGTTCTTTTATATTCTGACGCTAAGCTTCGTTACTGGTATAAGGAAGATGATACATTTTCTACGCCTAAATCATCTGTATTTATATCATTTAAAATGTATTAGCAAAACTATATTTGAAATATTGTTTACTAAATGTTTTAGTCCTGATTATTCTTCTTCACCTTATGAAACTGCTCATTCGAGGTATATTCCTAATATACTAATGAATTATTCTAAAAAATTATAGTGTCTATGTTAATATGTTATTTGATTATATCTATTCGACACATTATAATGCTGTTGCCGCGGGTTATCATATTCGTTTATTATCTAGAAGCTATGGAATTTTCTTGTCTTTATATGGCTTTAGCGACAAAATACTTGTATTATTTGATGAAGTCGTTAAATCTATGGCCAAATTTTCACCTTCCAACACTTCTTTCGAAATATCTAAACAGAGGCTTGTGGATTCCTATGTAACTAAGGAGTATTCAATGCCTTTTACATATGTGGCAGGTACTTTTCCTCAATTACACAATCCATTCCTATGGCCTTCTTCGGATATCTTATATGCACTAAATTGTAATTCGTTTTTAAAAGTTAATTTCTATTAATTTTTGATTTAGTAATGACCTATAATGATATCTATCATTTTCATTCAAGGAGGTTTTCTTCCATATTTTATGAGGTATTGGTAGTTGGTGTGGTTTCATACGTAAGAAGTCTAATATTAATTTACAATAATTGATTTTCTAGCAAACACCATATTTATTTGAGTTATATTTTCGAGATCTTTCTTCTAAAGTTCAATATCCGTATCAAGTTCTTCCTCCTCGATCCTTTGTTATTGAAGAAGGTCAATAGTTTTGCTCTTTTTTTTACATATTTAATACATTTTTAGGAAGTAATTATATTTACGAATTAGCTTTACCGAATCCTCTAGAAACAAATTCAGCAATTCTTTATTCTTTACAATTTGGATCATCAAAAGATCCAAGATTAGTAGCAATACTTAATGTTATCTATACTCTTATTAGATCGCAATTGTTTGATCAATTGAGAACAAAGGAACAATTAGGTTATGCTATTAGAAGTATGTTTTCTAGTGGAGATGCTCTATTAAGGTATTCTTTTATGTATTTTTACGATCTTTGTTTAAATTTATAGTTTTTTTTTCATTATTCAAAGTCAAAGGGATCCATATTATTTAGAACATCGTATCAATGCATTTTTATATAAATTTGCAGTTTTTATCGATCACCTAACTGATGAAGAACTTAAAGGTTATATTGACTCCTTAATTACTTTGACTCTTCCAAATTATAAAGACATTTATGAGGAATCGTCTACGTATATGTATACTATTTTAACAGGGTTTTATGATTTTGATTTTAGTAAATTGTGATAATTGATATTTATTTGTAATTAATGATAATTTAGATTCTAAAATGATTGCTGTTTTTAAGGAACTAACGAAAGATGATATAAGAAATTTCTATTATGCGCATTTCTACCCTAGTGCTGCTAATCGGAGAAAATTATCTATTCATTTAAAATCGCAAACTTTAGAAACTGTTTCCGTTCGAGATTTGTCGCCAAAAAGGTTACAATATTATTTTAAATGCAACGGATTAGTTCTCTCATTAGACGAAATTTATAACCTAATAGAAGCTATTCCTACATTAGCAGAATTTGAGAAAGAGATAGAAAAATTGCTCAAAGAAAAATATCCAGATAAGGATGTTTCTACGGTAGTTGCGCAAGCTTTTGAATATCTTAGGAAATTATATCAGAAATTAAAGGAAGATACTATTAAAGATTACGATGCAGTACATTTTACAGATATAGCCGTATTTAAGAATTCTTTAAAATTATCGCCTGCACCTCTTCCTATATTAGACTGGAGTAAATATAAATCTAAAGTTGTATAATTTTGTTAAAATTGGAATTGTGTTTTTATGATTGAAGTTATATAGTTTTACTAGGATTGGAGTTATGTAGTTTTGGGGAGTTAGAGTTATACGAGTTTATAAATCTTGAATATATCATTATATAATATCTTTTCTATTATTATTTTTATTGCTCAAAGTTTGAATTATGTTCAATGTAAAGTTTTCTGCACGGTTTTTATCATATTCCTATAAATTTTTACCTTTTATTACCAATATTTCTCCATTGCCTGATGTTCATTCTGGCAACTGGATATTGCTTATCTATTTCTATATGATGTATAATTGATGAAAAGCACCTTTTTTATGTTTTTTTCTGTAATTTAAAGTAATATAAGTGAAAATAGAGAAGATAATGTGTTCAATTAAACTAAAAGTACATGTCAAACATCATTAATCGAGTATTCTTTAATTAAAACTAAAGATCAGAAGTATTGATTATAAATCAATATTGAAAACAATGCAATGATTAAAGAAAAAAATTAAGAATTAATTATTTGAATGAAGTTATAAATAAGAAAGATACTAGATTTAAGGATGATAATATAGTATTAAAAGTAGTAAAAGTTCGAAATGAATTGAAATAAATGTTAAAAGTCGGTAAATAAAACAATTCAATAGGATGAGAAGGAATATAGAAAAAAACAAAAAAGATTATTTTAATTTATAATCAAGATTTGTAATGATTTTTATTTTTAATAGTTTTTCCTAATTTTTTAAAGGTTTATAGAAATTATTGTTGAGGAAGAGAAATTCTTGCTTATATTTTGAAAGATCATAACGATGATGATGCTTATAAAGAAAAATTTAAAGAATATTGTGAAGAATTGAGAGATATAGATTCAGAATTAAATGAAGTTTATAGCAAAGTTAAAGAAATTTCTGGTAATATAGAACAAAAATGCAAAAACCCAGAACTGAAGATTCATGGAAAAGTGGACGATCTTTGTAATTATATATATCTATTTACGAGTATTGGTATCACTTGTAAAGATTGTAATGAACACATACAAAAATGTTTGTTTTTAGAATTTACAAAAATTCATGGTATTCAGACTACTGCAATTACTTTAAAAAATTATATTATCTATACGAGCAAGAAAAAAAGGGAAGCGAAGTTATTCTTAGAGCTATTGACACTGGTATTACTGAATCTAAAGATTTCTAAGAAAAAAAGTAGGAAATTTGTCCAACATTGATTAAACAAGGTAATCATCTAGCCTCAATATGCCTTTGAGATATTTCATTTGAAAAAGTCAATAAAAGTATTGATGATTTTTGTGATTCTTTAAGTGATCTCCTTAACATGGAATTGTGAATAAAATTAAAGATCCAAATGAAATATTAGTTCAAGAACTCTGTACAACATGGGATCCATATTGTCTCCAACTTATGGAGAATTGTCCAGACACGTTAAAAATGGTTCCAATAGCCCTGATGGAAAAGGAGTCTGTCTGCAACTGAAAGAGAATTGCAAGCCATTTTTGGATAAAAAACGATTGGAGGATGGACCATCAAAAGAAAAAGTGGAACCGAATGAGGTGATAAAAATAAGAGTCCCTGATATAATAAAAATAACGTTATTGGGAGTAATTGTTATGGGGATGTTGTAAAATGAATAAGAAAAATGGCATTAGAATGAAAAGTTGTGTATATTCATTGTTTATATATAGATGAAAATGAATGAAGAATTGAAAAATGAAAATTGCTCTTGAATTATTGGAAAATTGTTACTTAGTTATTGGAGAGCTTGTCCTTGAGGTAGTTTTTATACTTTGTAAGAGTCTAGATTGAAAGAAGGTTAGAAGGGATTTGATTGAGATTTAGAGAAAGTTTTATCAAAGATAAAAAATTGGATCAAGTTGAAATGTTTTTTGAGTACTACATATGAAAGATGAAAGGTTACGTTTAAAAAGGATTCATTATTTATTGAAATGCTACAATTTTTCTTTATATCCTATAATTAATATATTTTATTTTATAAATTCTGTTTATCTTTTTTTGAAAAATAATAATAATTTTAATACTATTTATAAACAAAATGTAAGAAATAAAGATAATCATACAAAGAAGAATTTATTTGATATAATTTTTTTAAAACTATTATAATATTAATATTTTTTAGAAAAATTTCTAAATATATTTCAAATTATTATATTTTCATAAAATTTATATAAACATTAAATTCAAAGAAGTTAGAAAGCTACATTTTTTTTAAAATAACATTATAATATATTTAATTTTATACAAAAAAAAAAAAATTTTCTGATTCGAGTCAAAATATATCGAAGTTAGAATTTCGAAAAAATTAGAAAATATATTTTAATATAAAGAAAAATGATTAAAGAAGAGATAAATAGTAGAAATAACCATTTCAGAATGTTATAGAAGATAATATAATAAATGTAGTTATATTAGGTTATTTTCTTTTTTAAAAAATATCATTAAAAACAAACAAATCAGAGTTATCATTGATTGTTTTAAATCTTATAAAGAAAACATTTTTAAGTTGAATAGTTTCAATATGTAAACTAATTATATAATAAAATATTTAATTATAAAATATTAAATTATGAAATATTAAATTATAAAATATAAAATATTTTTATATCTGTTTTCCGAAAGATCAGATAATTTTAACCTATTTCTAAAAAAATAATAATAATAATATCAGAGAAAGATATTTGTTGGTTTTTTTTATTAATATCTTTTTTAAAGAGGAATGAGGCTCTCTTCCTTATTACTTCTATCTCTTACACTTATAATACAATATATAAAATCTAATGAACTTCGTGATTCAAATAACGCGGCAGATGATCCAAAGTCTTATGATCCTTCACAAATAAAACTCGTTGAAGAAAATCTCGAAAAATCTACTTTAGATGACAATAAGTATAAAGTTATTAAGCTACCGAACGGTATAGAAGTGGCATTGGCTAGCGACCCATCTGCATTTCTAGCATCTGTATCTGTGGCTGTTCGTACAGGAAGTAAAGATGATCCTGTAAGTTTTTATAAGCTTTCTAACTTAAAGAATCTCTTATATTATATATTAGAAGGATTTTCCGGGATTGGCACATTTATGTGAATATATGCTTTTTATGGGTACAAAAAAAGTATTATTATATTCATATTACTTTATTATCATTTTTAATATAAATAGTATCCTGAGAAAAATGAATATGCTTCTTTTGTTTTAAGTAATGGCGGTTCTTTTGATTCATATACAGCTCTTGAACGTACTGTCTTTATAACTGAAATCAATCATAAATATCATTTTGAACTACTTAATAGAATCTCTAATTTTTTTATTGAGCCCTTATTCAATGAAGAATCGATAGAACGCGAAACACATGCCATTAATTCGGGTATTTTTTAAATAGACATACAAATAACATTAATAAATATAGAATATGAGGAACATCGTTCTAGTTTAACTAAGCTTAAATTTCACTTTTTTAACTACATCTTAAAAGATACCGGTTATTTTCCGGAGTTTACTACAGGCAATCGTCAAACATTGTTTTCTAAACCTAGAGCTTCGAAAAAAAACGTTAGGGATGCTCTTAATGATTTTTTTAAAAAAAATTATCGTTCTTATGATATAAAAGTGGCTATATATGGGAATGGTATGGAAGTAGATTGTATTTATATGCTTTCTTAATAACTGCATCTATAGAATCACTTGATGTCCTTCAAGAATGGGCGGTAAACACATTTGGTCAGATTCCAAATTCAGGTGCAAGAGTTGTAAATGATATCAATCCATTTTCTCTCATTTCTAGGGTGAGGCATGTTCTTTTTTATTTATATCTAATTATTTTTATGTAGAATCATCATTGGTATAATCTTACTAATTCATCTTATGCACTTGATCTTGCTTTTATTGTCCCAAGTACGGCGTCTCACTATAAATCGGTTCCTCAGCATTATTTAAATTATGTTTTTTGTTAGTAGCTTAATTTTGGTATTTTTATTTTTAATAATGTTATTAGCTTACTCAGGGCCTCGCACTCCTGTCCATCATCTTTCGAGTAATATCTTAGCTTCGAAAATTGAGTAATACTTTCTCTTTTCATGTAGTTATATTAATATTTTTATAGAATTACAAGCGTGCCATATTCTTCGAAGTATGATATTCTCTTTTTCACTTTCACTCCCCAATATGTTGGGCGATGTATTTTTTTTCTAATTTTAAATTGCATATTTAACTTTGTTTAGTGTTTTATGAGCAAATAATCAAAGAATTTTTCAATTGTTTAAAATTCTTCCAAGGTTTTTTTATTATTTTAAATAAAAATTATTCTAAAGACATTTATATTAGATAAAGGGCCGAATAAAGATGTTTTTGAAGATATAATGAAAGCTCAAAATCTTAATTTTAAGTATTCTTTTAAAGACTCGGCTTCTAAACTTGTTGAAAAACTATCCACGGCTATGTTGGCTGATTCTTTGCCTCGTAGATATTTATTAAAAAAAGATGTTGCGAAAGAATATGATGAAAATGAAATTAGTGAGCTTTTTTCTGAATTGAGATATGATAATTTTATCTCTTTTGCAAATACTGTAAGAAAATCATATAATGAAACGGATCCCTATTATAAATTCTTATTTCGAAAAGAAAGTTATAAAAAAGAATTACTACAGGTAATGAAATAATTTGTTAATTATTATTAATTATATTAGGGTCTTCAAAACTCTTCAGCCCCTGAATTAGTATTTCCTCCTAAGAATATTCATATTTCTGAGCCGAAAATTACTTTGGAAAAATTAAATGAGGTAAGTTAGTATTATTATATTATTTCTGACAATTATTAGTCTATAACTAAACCGGATCTCTTGAAAAAGACATCTCTTTCCACTCTTTGGCATAAACATGGTAGTTTATTTTATTCTCCATATGCAGTTATACGTATTTTATTAAGAAAGTAATATTATAGAATTAATTGTACAATTAGTCTTATTTTATCTAGTCCATCTTTCAGTTCAACTCCAACAAATATACTTAGGATGAGGTATATGCTCAAATAATATTGGATTATTTTTTATAGATAATAGGCTTTTAGTACATTACATATATGTGTTTGTTAAATTTGATATTTTCTTTCTTTCCATGGTTAACACACATCTTCATATTGAACCTTCGCAACAAGGACTTATAATAACGCTTTATGGATATTCAGATGGAATGTTGGAATTAGTTAGTAATATTGTAAACGTTTTAAAGGAAGTAAATCTTGATCAACAAAGCTTTCGTGATTTAAGACAGACTCTTCTTTATGTTTATAAAGAAAGAACTTTACTAGGTCCTTCAGAATTTTTGGAAATTGATATAGACGATGTTCTTCTTTCAGAAAGACAACCTTTAAAAAACATGTTGTCTACTTTAGAAGGTAATATATCGCTTTTTATAGAACTTACACTTCTAACTTTATATATAGGATTTCAACATTATGAAGTTAATGCTCATTTTTATCATTTATTGTCCAATCTCCATTTTGATATTTTAATAACAGGAAATATTAATCAAGAAGTGAGTCGCATTTATAATAAAATTATATAATTAAACTTATAGGATGCATCTCATGTTCTTGATATGTTCGAAGAACTTAAACCACGTCCCTTGATATCTTCTCAATATAGTAATGCACGTTCAATAACTTTAGGAAATGGTTACTAAAATTATTTATATTATTATGCATAATAACATTTTAGGTTCTGATTATTTACATCTTTATGAAATAACTAAAAAGGATATAAAATCTGGACTACTTATGTATTTTGAAGCTACTGAAATGAATGATTCAAGAAAGACCTTGTTACTTTTTCTATTATACCTCATCCTACGTGAACCTATCTATTACGAATTAAGAATAAAAGAACAATTGGGTTATGTTATAAGAAGTAGTGTAAAAACTTCGAGAACTATTCTAGGGTATTTTTTATTTTATTTATAATTTATTCTTAATTTCATAGATATTATTTTGTACTTCAAAGTGAAAGACAGCCACATGTGCTGCACACTCGAGTTGAAGCATTCTTAGATACAATGCATACTAGACTCCTTAATATGACATCTGAACAGTTAAATATTCATTTAGAAAATCTTGAATACTTTTTAAATAGGAATCCTTTAGACATTCTATCTGAAAGTTATCGTATCTGGAATGAAATAGCTCAAAGTACTTATAATTTTGATTCAAGTAAATTTCCCTTAAGATTATTTTTATCTAATATTTTTCATAGATGAGGAACGTAAGAGCGTTGATCTTATAAAACTCAATGATATTGTACAACTATTTGAAGAAGTCTTTTATTCTAGAAAGCGAAGAATTTCATATTATGCATTATCCCCTACTGGTGCCGATACTTATAACGTTTTTGATCTACCACTTGATAAGCTTTCTGAATATTTGACTACTAAAGGAGAAAATCTTTCAAAAGACCAGCTTTCTGAATTTGTATTACTTTCCCATGATATCCCGAGTTTTCGAACTAAATTGACTCAACATTTTTCAGCTGCGAATAAAAACAAAACTGTCGTAAATTCCTTACTTGATGGGACGTTTACTTATCTCGAAGAGTTATATAAATCGGAAAAAGAAAAAGTCTTTGAAACTTTGGATTTAATTGAAGATTTAGCATATTTTAAAGCTAATATGTCCTTCTCTTCAGCTTTTATTAATAGGACATTGTGGAGTAAATTTTATAAATAAAAATGACTTTTGGATTATCATAATGGATAACATGTTTTATTAATTTTTAGTTTTTTTTTATATAAATTAAACTATGTACTATCATATCAATTTAATGTATATTATTATACTAGGGTTGGGGTATATAATATAACTTTGACACTTATTTTTTTGTACGGCAAATTTTACCTTTTATTACCAATATTTCTCCTTTGCCTGATGTTCATTCTGGCAACCGCATATTGTTTTTCTGTTTCTGTATGATGTATAATTGATGAAAAGCACCTTTTTTATGTTTTTTTCTGTAATTTAAAGTAATATAAGTGAAAATAGAGAAGATAATGTGCTCAATTAAACTAAAAGTACATGTAAAATATCG